CATTCCACCCCAGTTGCGAGGTTGTTTATAGATTACGTGTTTTTGGAGAAACACTGAGACTAAACAAGCTTCACAGTTGAATGTACGTACGATGGAACACAGAAGCGTCTATAAAAAAAGTCGGTTTGTTTACGCGAAGCCCCAGCTTGCCGGATGTGATTGGTCGGCTAATGGAACATCAGATGCTATGTATTTTAACCAAACTCTTTCAATTAACCCATAAGTGCCGTCGTCGGCATCAGCTTCTAGCCAAGGTCTTGGTCAACATTTTTCAACCTTCCCTACCCCCATGGAGGGAGACCAACGCAATGTCCAAAGCCAAAATAGTTTCATATTGCATCTAAATTAGTTGTTCTGTCTTGTCTGTGTTAAGCACTAGAGGTCTTGGAAAAATACCGAACCAATTTATAGCGGTTGCAAAGCCTAATGAATTTGCTATAGAAATAGGTCGGTACACCGACACAACACTACGTCCTACGAGGTATTATACCAAGGTATAATACCTCGTAGGACAAAAATTAGAAAAGGCCTTTTTTTTATGACACGTTATACGAGTGCCGCAAATTACCTAAGTTTATTTTTATTTTCCACAGCTCCACCCGACCAGAACGGCTAACGATTATTATATTCGTTATAGTCAATTAGATGTAAGCCATGTTTGGGTGTGATCATAGAACATTTTAAATATGTATGCATATAAGACAAGACATATATTTATCCGGGTTCCAAGTTGAAAAGAAGAAAACTTCTAGATACGACTCGGTAGCTCATTTGGTAGAGCAACAGCACGGAACGCTGACGATGCCGGTTCAAGTCCTGGCCGAGTCGAGAGTGTTTTCAATTTTTAAATTCTAGATACGAGTTTATCATACACAAGCTGAGTGGGCGTTTTATATAATTATTTGACAAGTTTGATTCCCATAAAAACGGTTTTAGCCGTCATTTTTTTTTAGATTTTTCGAAGAAGAATAATTTTTTTATACAAATCTTTAACCATTTTCGAAGCGGACGCAACGGAAACCTTAAAAGATGTATAATTTTTCATATTTCCCTTTGCTTCTTCTTTCTTCCCTTCTATTGGTTGCAGACTTACGTTTGTAGCATAAAGCCTTCTTTGATAAATGGCCTAACCAACAACAAAAATAAAATACTTGGAGCCAGCAGTTCCTGCGATTAACGCGTTCGAACAGACAAACTCTTCAGCTTTATAATATTAGTATAGATTTTCCTGGTCGAATTTCGATGCCGTTTTGCCTTCTTGAATATGGCTGTGGCCTTCACTATTTGGCATTCCTGACTACAGCTGTAGAAAAGTAGCACAGGCCGAGTATTGTGGTGGTACTTGTATTTGAAAAGTCGAGAGCCCTTCGTTCTGGGCCAAGCGCAACTTCAGCGGGTTTCTTATGCTACTGTAACTTGTATTCAGTCATTGGGTTTACAATAACAATTTTACCTTTTCCGACTAGTTCATATTTGCAGCTTAGTAGATGTAATAATGTGGCGTTATTCTGTATCTCCGCTTTAATATTACTCTGTTTACGACCTCATAATGTTGAAGAGCGTGCGCCTATAAAATTGTACTAAGTATTTATACATTATCTATCCTATTATACCGCCGGGCTGCGTACTTTGTTTGTTTTGGGAAGCGCACTGGCGCTTTATATAATTTAGACAATTATTAATGTAAAAACTGATTTTGTGAGATATAAAAATAGAGAGGGTTTCAGAAGCATTTTACGTCTATGTGTACGTGCTAATCTCTGAGCGTTAGCTGATTTTTGAGTATCATGTGGGGTCATTTTTTTCTATAACGTCGTAACAGTAAAAAAGCAACAATTTAAAAGATAAATTACGTAAAACCTATTTTCTAGCTCAGTTACTCGACTTTTGAGCTGCTTGTTAGAACTAAGAAATGGTTTTTAATTTTTTTTTATGATAGAGGAGTACAGACCAGCATGGACTTCACTTAATGGAAGGTGAAATACATCAGCCCTATAACGTTTATACAAGATGCGCTGTTGAATTTGGATATTTGAATTAATATTTCGCTATCACCAGTGGACTCATCAGTTCAGTGTTCCTCGATTAAGCGAAGAAGCTTTGGAAAATTACCGCAAAATTCTGATACGATTTATAATTATCATCCACGTGTTACAAAATGTTTGAAAAACAATAATTATACTTACGAAAATAACAGTGAAATAACTTTTCCATTACGATTAAGACGCAGACGAAGCTCTGTATATAAAATAAACAATTTCCAACGCTGAATTCGGTAAAAGTTTGTGTAAACTAGACGGGTAATACGTATTGATTTTGATCAAATGGCAACTTCCATTGTAGTCCTTTTGGAGCAACAGGACTAGCCTTTAGAATGAACCTCGTGACGCCTTTTCATTGGTAGACCATTGTGCGAAGTACAATAAGAACGAAATTACGCTATTCACGAAAAATGTATTCATTTTCACGTATTTTTTATATTGCTTGGCATTGTAAGATTTCCTGTGTATTCATAAATGGTTTGTACCCACGTTTTGTTCCAGTTAACGTAGCAGGTACAAAATTTAATATCACAGAATGAAAAAAAAATTTAACGCTTGACTAATTGTATTGTATGATATGTAGTTGAAATAATTTTCACCCAATTTTCTGTACACTATAGATATAAATATTAAGTATAATATTGTAGTCTAAGTATAATATAAGTCAACATAATATTGTTTTTATAACCAACTCCTTGAAATTAAATTAGAATAGTTAGTTAATTAGTTAGTTTTCAAAATATTATTTTAACCACGGGCCAACGTTTCGGATGCTTTACAACAGTTTTTTACTTTACAAGTTTAAGTAATAATATATTACGAGTTGTAAACCGTTAAAGTGTTTTATTTAAATGTGAACTATAACTACATAGTTGGTTTTAGAAACAATATTGTTTCTTATTGATTTAAACCCAAAAGTGTGTTTGCCCCATGATATAGTGGACTTCAAACACACTTGAGTAAATCCCAGATTACTCTAGTGTGTATGAAATAATTAAAGCAAATTGAATCCAAGTTGCCTGTGTCGCAAATTAGCCACTCGCGGAACGTGGTCAGAAGCATTCAACGCAATTGTGACCAATAACCACTTCCTAATTTTCTCGCTTCCTCGCCACTGTTGCGCACTATCCCACTTGAATTGAAATAGACGGACTATAAACGCTTTGTCCTATTTATTTATATCATTGGTATAGTTGCTGCGTGACGTTACGAATGTAATGTATTACAATTAGATGCACGTACCTGTTGATAATATTCACCAGTGGTGCTTATGTTCATGGGAATAAAGTTATTTACTTAATTGCTAATATTTAAAGGCGGTGCGAAGATCTGTATAGTGAAAAAACTACTTAATAGTAGTATAAGTAAATAGTTTATTTGTTTGAACGCGCTAATCTTTCTTTTTGTTTTTGTTGGTTTGAAGGCTATAAACATCAGGTAGCGACCAATAGGAGAGAGGAGACGGTGTAAAATGTGGAAAAACGAAAAAAGTTATACTTTCTCGCTCTCACGGAAAACGGTTCAAGATACTGAACGATATATATAAACGATATTTCTTCTTTGAATAATCTAAAACTATGTCCACGACACTATATATTTATCTGTTAAGATTAACTGACAAGAACCGTTTTTCAATATATAGAAAACGTTTCTTGATAATAGAAAAAAGATGTTAAAAATTCAAACTGGCTGATTAACTGAGCGTCAAATGAAAATCGTTCGAACAAGGGTCTTGAATTAGATAAACCTGTAGCTGAAACGGCGACCTTAATCATGAAAGGTTGATAGATTTCTGGCAGCGAAGGTAGGGTAGGCGTCAGGAATTTAATTTCGGTGTCAACGAAAATTTATTAAATTGAATTGAACGAACATGCGTAGGTTATAAGTACTTTTATTATAGAAGTTCCCCGGTTTCTTCGGAACAGTTTCTTTGATACAAACCCGAAAAGTTTTAATATGAATATTTTGAGAAACAAATCACAAAGTTTATACTGTTAACGAAAATTAAAGTTTGTATGTTGTTTATCGAATTATGAAATACTTTTAACTATGTTTTACTTGTAGAATAATTGTTGAATTTTCAAAACGAATTTCGATCACTAAAAAGTGTATAAATATCGTTTCCCTACGGTCTATGTCAATCGCATACATGTTATTGTTAATTTGCCTGAAGCCCTAGACAAAACAGCAAGTCTATTTCACATACAATTATCGTAGACTTTGTAATTAAGGCTATCAACGTGTTAAATATGTTTAGCGAGTATGTGCAGTTAACTCGAGTTTTGGCACGCGCGCTGGGTGTCAATAATTCGATTCGTAGCCCAGAAACGTCAGCTATAAGTAGTAGTTGTATTTATTACGACGGAATTAGTATAGGCCGCGTCCCTGAAGGGGAACGCTTCAAAGTTTCGCCTCAAAATGAATATGCGACTGGCGTTTCATGTAGTTTCTTATTGGACATGACTGGTCTTTGTTTTCGCCTCATATTCGTTTGACACTCTTGACTGAAGAAGTGAGGAAGACTAGTAAATGTGAATCTTAACACAGTCTGGAATAGTTTTATTTTATTAACATTTTTACGTTTTATGATTAGCCAATTCGGTATTGTAGAACACTAATTTTTAAGAGAATTTACACTAATACATAGACAATAGTTTTCTTTGTTTTCATTTATTTATTTATTTACACTTTATTGCACAAAAAATATATACGAGACTTATATGTATACTAAAAACATGGAGTGCAATGGGCTTTATCGCTAACAAGCGACCTCTTCCAGGCAACACAAGATAAAAGGGGAGAAAATTTACGGAAAAACAGAAAATGTAATCTTGTTAAGTCTGTGAGAATGTAATTTTAGGGTCGTAGTTAAAAATAAAGCACCTAACACGTATTTTATATCGTAAAAGCAGGCTACAGACTACTTGGGTATTAATTGTGGAAACTGATCATTTCCAGCACATGGTGGGCGCTGGAATGGCGGCCCCGTTCCCTGCGGCGGCGGCGGCTGCGGCCGCGGCGGCTCAGTTTGCAGCTAACGGTGAGCTAGCTGGTGTGAAGGCGGACGCCACTGCAGCACAACAGGCGTCTATTGTCAAGAGCGAGGGCCCCCCACCGCCGGCGCCGCTGCCTCCCGGAAACTTCTCCCCTCAACCACCACCACAAACCCACACCACACAGAATGCAACTGAAAGTCACAATACCAGCACAGTATGTATCATTCTTTAGCGTATCTAAGCGCGATCGTAGTAAAATACATGCTTGCCTATATTTATAATAGAGAAGTCGAATCGTTTGCCTCCATATTTCATAGTCAAGCATTTGTGTAGTTGTTAGATAGACGATGAACTTAAAACGAGTTCAACTAGAAAAATATATTACATAGTTGGAAAGCCCGCAAAAATCGAGTGCATATTTCCGATAGCTTTTGACACACGATACAGTTTTGAACACCGAATGTAATTTCACCATTTTAACAATATTGCTGTCATTTTTTGTATCGGAATTTTGATTGAATTACATAGAGCAGCCTAGTTTAGTGTAGTCTAGATTTAGCTGTGAAATAAACACTAGATTATATCTTATACATTTATATCTTTGTGTACATTCCGATATGTGTTTTCTGGCGAAGTAAATATCCTCACAAAACCAACATAAACAAATACAAAAAAACGCGACACCTCTTACACGCGTTTGTTAAGGGTGGTATAAATACGCTAAATATAAAAAAACTTACTACTTTAAATAATTGTAAATAATACAGAAAATAACTTAAAAATTTCAGCAAAGTGAAAGCGAGATATCCGATGAAAAGCCAGTCAGCGTTGCAGCAGTAGTAGCCCAACAGGCAGCAGCTGCGGTGGCACAGCAGGCAGCGGCTGCTCACGCGGCAGCGGCGGCGGTGAGCGCTGCAGTGGCTGCTAACGCCACTACAACCACCGCAGCTACGGAGAAGAATCTCGTGCCAGTATCTCAAGCGTCACAGCCGAAACGTCTCCACGTCTCAAACATACCCTTCAGATTTCGAGATCCCGATCTAAGGAATATGTTCGGGGTAACTTTTTCTCTGTGCACGGCATGTTTTTTCCTTCTATATTAGATCTCCCATTTAAATATAAAAATTTTACATTCCAGCAATATGGAACAATACTCGATGTAGAAATAATCTTCAACGAACGTGGCTCCAAGGTAAGAGCAACGATATGATAATTACCATATACATTGCCACGCGGCTGACTGAAATCCATTATTTTTGGATTTCAGTCTTAGCCGCATTTGATGAAATATCAGTTAAGAATTTGTGTTGCCAACTTTAAGATTCAGTTGATTTGTGCATCTTCAATATTCAGAAGATGAAGCGTTCTAATTTTACTCTAAAGTGTATTTCAAACCTATAAATAATAATTAATAATAAAGAAATAATAATTTTTAATCTGACATCACTGTTTCTTAAAGTTTGTATAAATACAGGAATACTTTATCTTGTTTCTTTAATTGGTTTAATATAGTCAATAATAATTATTTAATTGCGTCGTCTTCTTTGTTTGACATACAGTAATTAAATATTTCGAAACATTAGATAAAGTATTTCTTTGACCTCTTTGATTTATAGTTATTGTTATTGTAATTATTGTATTCACGACAATAATTATAATTATATTCACAAAAAAAGAAAACTTAATGACAATAGCTATAAAAAATATATAATTTACTGCCCAAACCAGTTCTCATTAAAATAAACAAGTAATTTCATTCTTGATAACTTAAATCCTCGCTTAGTCTTGTGGCAAAATGGGCTTGGATGAAACATTAATCTTTAAAAAGTATTTCCTTCTCATAGCATTTAAGGTTTTTAATGTTTGGTGCAGTATTTCTAATTGCATTGTATATTGACATTTAATAATCATTTCTAAAACTCGATCTCACGTGATAAAAGTTAAACTTGAACTTCTGGTGGCGATGGCGGTGAAATAACCTTAATTCCGCTGTTTTCGGGACTCAATTAACACGACACGAAAAGCACGGCGTTAACATTATTCCACCAAAGTGGCTGGATAACAGTAAAATGTATTTTCTATATTGCGTTAAACTCAAAAAACAACAGTAGTGACGTCATTCTGAGCCTTTTCCAAAACGGTCTGAAGTTGTAAAGTAATGATTCGACTGATTTCGTTGAATGGACCGCTTTGTCGTGTTTACCGCTTTTCTTGTGTCAGTTTGGTGACCGACCCCGAAGTAGCCCATGCTCGATCATTTCTAAACATATTTTAATCTTTTGATAATAGCTCGAAGTTATTTTTTCAATGCCTCACATTGGATATGCAGTATTAGAGAATGATGCATCGTCACTAAAACAGCTGACATTCTAAACGATCGTGTGGACAGCTCTATTATTCATCACTAATAAAGCGATTCTATCGTCCAAACTGCACGCTTCTTCTATCTGTATGTTAATGGCGATTTAATAGTTTTACGTTTAGATGAATGTTTGTATATTTTTCTACTTGTGCGTCGAGTGTAGTTTGGACGATGAGGCATTCTGAATTGTATAAAGTGACTTAGATCGGTTATGTTACACTGTCTATTCTGTTTGATTACTAGTTTTTCTCAGTCATGCGCTTTTCTTAACCAGGGAACATGATTCATTAGTTTTGGGCATGTATACTTCGCTGACCCTATGAACTGTGTTAATTGTCAATGAAGTATTTCTTAGAAGTAACTTTGGTGCATCACTTAGACTAGCTTTGTCTGGATCGTATGTTAGACGGGTTGATTTTGTGTCGTCGACGCTAATCGTTCGGCGTAGCGAGTACGTCGGCTAAAGCTATTTGTTATTGAGAGGCGCCTAGTCACACGTTTTCTTCCTACTGAATTGTCTATCTCTCTCTCTCTCTCTCTCTGCCCAAATTATTGTTGATGTACAATTTGCTGCACCCAGAATGGTATTTTATAATAATAGAGCTGTCATGCTTTTTTATAGGTGTTATTACGCGTTATTACTTATAATACGCAGTTTTGCCACTTTCACAAGTCGTCTATTTTCCACTGTACTGTGTGCTGTGCTAGCTGCTTTTTGTATCTATGGGTTATCACCATGTATTGAAATTATAATTTCTCCAAGCACTGTCAATTATTACCGAGTTAAAGTCAAAAATGTATATATATACGTAATCAATCGCTTAAGAACTTCACTTTGAACAGCTTAATATTTCATAACCTTAAAAATTCAGAGCACTGTAAAACTAAGCACTGATTCCAAAGAACGACGCGTGTATTAGTGTAAATACCGCTATACAATAGTGAGTTGCTTTTTAAAGGTTAGGAGTCTCGGAGAGTTGCGTAGCATCTACCTTATAAGAAGTGTCGTATTATTTGCTTAGCTAACTAGTTCTTTAGTTTCCTGCATGAGCGATGACATTTATAGAACAAATTGCAGCTAACATTTCACGTGTATTTACTAAAGAATAGTTACAAAGTGCCCCGAAGCGATTATTTCCGAGCTGTAAACGTTTTCTAAGCGAGACCCGATTTATGTATCAATGTAATGTAATCCAAACGCTTATGTGTACCCATTCAGCTCTAGATACTGACCGCTCAAACTATCAACGTAATCGAAAATACAACGTTAACATTTGAATAGAGATTCGATTCAATATTGCAATATTATGTTAATTTTTGTTGCACGTTGTTTTTTGAGCGACGCTGTTTTAATGCATGTTTTGTCTGTCTTGCATGCAGGGATTCGGTTTTGTAACATTCGCAAATAGTGGTGATGCGGAGCGAGCACGAGAGCGTCTACACGGCACCGTGGTTGAGGGCAGAAAGATAGAGGTGTGCATGAATCAATGATTACCATCCGTAGCACTATGTAACTTAACATCCCGCTCCTACCGCCCACCGCCCACAGCCCACCGCAACCTGCGCTCGTCTGCTCTGTAGTTACTGCCATGCTAGTGCATTCTAGCACTAAGTATGCCGTCTTGTCTAATCCGTAAACAAACCTTATTTATTTTGTCCCTTTACTCTCTAGACGGTCATTTAATATGCCGATCGAATGAGAGTCTCACAGAGAATGTAGAAAGAACATACCGTCTCAGTGTTGACGAGGTAAGAACTACAGTTACACTAAAGCTATTTTCATTTCATCTGTTTCCTCTTTTAGTTGTTTTTACGATTCTCCTACTCTCCACGAAGGTACAATCCACATCGATATGTACTTGAACTATCCTGGATTTAACATCTCTTAACTTGTCTATTTGCAAGGTAAGCTGCGACCGGGTTCGAATCCCGGCTCGAGGTGGACAAATTACCAAAATCTTTGAATGAAATACGTGCAGGCAGGTCACGCTTATGTAGTGTTTTACCTTTTTCTGGTGCCGTCTGGCGCGAATAACGTTTTCACATGTTCTTTGCTTCCCAAATCAGGTGAATAATGCAACGGCCCGAGTGCAGACCAAGAAACCTCCAGCTGTGCCAAACGGTAAGTGAGACCGACCGAATTCAATTGACTCGAACGGGCACATTTCACTCGAACTTTATATTAACCTATTCCCGCGTCACATTATATATCTACTTATATTTCAAATGTAATGCATCTTGGCATTTTCTTTTAACCCATTCAGATATTCTGGCTAGAAATGGATCGATTCCCACTCTGGGTGAGAGTGTAAAGTCGATGTTGTCCTTTATGTGTCGAGCTGTCCACTTACATGTTGCATAGAACCTATGTGGGAATGCTCTTAGTTGAATGCTACTTAGAGAATGATTCCACCTTCGACATTGGAGGTAGCCTTTTCCGCTATTGGCTGACACACTTACAAAAACTTCAAATGTCTATTTTCTATCCTTAAACTTATTTTTTTAATCAAAAGTTTTAAATAAGACCGAGACACATTTTTGTTTTAAATTATAACTTGAAATAATTTTATGAATTCGAATCTGATAAGTTATAAGAATAAATAGGAATGAAGACAAAAATATCATGTACAAATTTTGAGCAAAAAACATATATATAAGGAAACTAAAAGTATATTTTGAATAAATACGTGAAAGTTGTCGTATTTTTTGTTAAAATTTTATTGTATGTATGTAAACAACAGTTTTTTAAAATAAAAGAAAACATGTATTTTCTTCAAACACTTATATATAATTGATGCTTACTGTACTCTAGAGATTCATATGGGTCTTGCAATCATGTGGACGGACGGACAGTTGACGAAAGCTAACTCCAATGTCACAACCACTGCCTGATAACATTTGTCTAAACAAAAAATAACAAATAGCCGGCTTGTTAGTTAAAAACAATGTTGAGATTCAGTTTACATTTCTATAATTATAATTTGTGCTATGACGTTTCTGGAATGATTTCAATCAGCACTTTTATACTGTCGTAGCGAATGTCTTCTAGATTCGTCTATGTTCTAGATTAGATATTATTAAGTCGTCTCAATATGGTTTTAAATGGTTATGTCTTGTTTCAGTGTGTGTCCAGTGGCCGGAAGGTGAGAACCGATCTGTTTATCATTGAGAAGATTTATGAACGAAAAAAGCTTTCGCGATTACATCTTTTAACATCCATTCGAGCATGAACTTTTTACATATGTGGTGGGATAGTGGTTGCTCGATGAAATGTTGTATTTTTACGGCATTTGTACAGATAACGGCCATGCTTCTTTAGAGCAGAAAGTAGGAATGTTAATCGATCGCACGGTGGTGAGCAATTCGTGATTGAAATCGTGCTGTCTGTAGCCTGGCCTGATCCTGACATTCTTGAATCGATACTCATCGATTGTAGAATGGGGCCTTAGCCAAGCTTATAATAACGAAACGATACTTGACAATCAAAGGATGGATACCTTTAGATGGAACCCCACCGGATTCAAAATGTTTGTGAATTTATAATTCTTTAAAATAATTTATAATAAGCTATGAAATTTAACCCAAATTTAAGCCAAAATAGGTCGACAGCACATCCTACCGAGATGTTATATGGCTGGATTACTTTACCTTCCATCAAGTAAACCTCATGCTTGTCTATCTTCCGCTGTTATAAAAAAGATAACTATTTCTAGAGATAGCTAAGATATTTAGCGACTGTGTACGTCTAAATCACTAATTCTTTTCTTTTCAAACTCCTTTCCATCATTTTGTAATTGTTACTTGACTAAGGCCCCAGATCATTTAAATTCCACTCAAGATACGTAGATGTAATGTTCGTGAGGAATTAAATATGTTAATTTATTCGTTTGTGTAGCGTTACGTGAACCTTTTCTATTATGCGATCTACGAATATTTTAATACATATGTCCACTTGATTACCTAAGGGGATCTATTTGTATTCTCACGCCATTTATAAATAAGAACATTGATGTGTTAACCAAGGGGTGGCCAAAATTGTATATGAAGACTATTGCGTCGTTTCATTCACTACCAACCGACGACACGATTGCAAAAAAAGGTGTTCTACTACGATATGGGAATCCGCTTTAAGAAACGCCAAATGCTTGCAAATAATAAAAAATAACAAAGTTGAGAATCAGGGCCACCCCTGCGGTCGCGGTAGCATATCGGTAAGGTCAGTGTGTAGAGGCGCGGTGTGTGCGCAGGGCTTCGGGTGTCCGGCGTAACGTGGCCATGGCTGGGGGCGGCTCCGGCCGCGACGCCAGCGCCGCCGCTCGTGCTCGCGCCGCGCGCCGCACAGCGACGCAGGTAACCCCCTAGCGCCCCCCTCCTAACAACGCACCGCTACCGCCCGCACGCACCCGCCCGCATGAACGTAGCCCAAGGAGTTATAATCTAATACTAGTTAGGGAGTGCATACTTTACACTCGGGATCAAAATGTTGCCGTGTGAAGTGCACGCTCTCTACGTCCAAGCTCCTTGTAGTAGCCCTATGTGTGTTGCATGTAGCCCCATCGGCGTGGCGCGGAGCAGTTGTGATGAGAGGACGCTCCCCCCACTCGCCCGCGCACTCTCATTCCCTCCAATCAATGATGCCCCGCGCTGCCAACACATACGCCTCTTCGTTGCACGCATATGCACAGTGAGTACTTATCCTTGCACCTTTATGCCCTCCCATAATTTCAATATCAATCGTTGGAAACTTTCACAATTGTGTTCGAATTAAAATACGCAATAATTTTTTATTTTTACAGACTACCATTTCCACCCAGCACCTTCCCGTAAATCCAAAAAGCCTCCAATAATAACCCTTTCGCCAGATTCCATCATTACTAAACATAGTTTCTTATCATTTGCATTGGTATGAATTTGAAATTTATCGAAAATCCGTAGTGTACTGATAGAATTTCTGTACTTTGTCAGATATATGATGGTAAGTTTTGCAATTTTCAATTGCATCTTATGTGACTCTATTCAAATGTTGATTTAATATTTCGTAGAAGTAAATAGGTATGTATTAACAATTTACTAAAAAAAACATTCAAATAATTTTGGTATGTAATGGTCAGATTATGACAATATGTATACCTATACTTTACCGTAAAAAAGACCAACGTGAAAACGTGATCTGTGTAACGCACCATCCTATATTAGTCAATATACAAATACACTTGTAATCTAACAAATAAGAATGGTAACATTGCCTTTGTCAGCTTATAGCCAATCTCTATGTTATATTTACTGTCACTACTTTTCCATATCTAGTAACAACTTCTACTAAACACTTATTTTTCTTACTGTTTTAGAAGTTTGATTGTAAGTAGTTTGCTGTGAATTCTATGTTTAGAATCCAATTAGTTGGTTTTAGAATTCCATATATAATCATTGTATAATTTATATGATGTAAAACTAATAATAATATTTCATTGTTCTATTCACAGCGTTTATTATGACCCGTTCTTAGCTGCAGCAGCAACAGCCGACTCAAACTACCGACTACAGGTAACGCTCTCGAATTATAATCCGTTATTTTATTAAATCATTTTCAGATAATTTAACAATGGCTAATGTCTAATCTACTTTAATTATTAATTTAGTAACTCCAAGTTTATTAACATGAAATCAGGGTAATAACAAGCGATTGGTGGGCCCTTTCCTTTTTCTTAATTTTATTTTTATTTTTTTTTTTTTTTTTTTTTTTTTTTTTTTTTTTTTTAACAATTTGGTTGGTTGAACATATTGTTGATTCATACATTAAAGTCGTTATAAAGAGTTTGAACTGTTTATGCAAAATATAAGATATCGCGATTTAGTCCATTGAAGTTTTCTAATTAAACTCGAGTACGAGATTCAAAATGTAGAGTGTAAAAGATAAGTGGTGAAAGTGGGTGTGTTGTTCCAGGCGGTGAAACCCGCGGCAGAGGTAACGTCTCGGGTTTAAGCTGGTCTCATTATGTCTATTTGTGTATATCTATCGCTTCCTAATTTGTGTACCACCACGCTAGTACAGTTTGATAATAATCATTGTGGAGTGAGTTCTGGGATTTTGGTTGCTCCTTATAAAAGATTGGATCACCGTAAAGCAGGTTGCACATTGTGTTTGTGATAACAGAGACCGCGACCGGCCCGCTTCTGTTCAGTTGTTCGTAGTTCTGTGGTGGGTGACTTAGTTCTAGCTGGGGCTGGGGGTGTTTTTAATATCAGTGTACATCATGCAGCGCTCCGAGTAGAACACTGAGCCCACAACAATCGCGCCATCCTCATCAATCACTAACACTAACAGATTTCTTAGTTTCAATTTTACCATGTTGGCGCGCTGATTGTAGTTTTGCGGACTATACTGTTCGATATTGTTACGGTTGCATGACCTCGTACCCGAAATGCCTTTTCTATATTTAGAATGACTGTGTGCAGAGACATCGATACATTTGTTCTTGAGTATCGGGAAATGCGTTGCATGCGTAAATTATATTCATCATACTGTTACTTACATCACCGTCCATATTTTATGTTTGAGTATAGTTTTAGTTGAGGTGCATTGATTGCTTTCCATTTTATTTTTATATATTTTTATAAACGTGAAACCCATCTGGACGTTATCGACTCGGTAAGATATCATTGGAATTCATCGTATTTTATTAACCCAGTAAAGTTGTACAATACCTTAGAAGTGAGTCTTATGTGCCTTTGTGGGCTCATTGTTTTCAAGGTCTTGGAAACCATGTTTATTGTTCACTGTACTTTTTGAACCGTACTTCATTGTCGACAAAACGACGTCTCTTATTAAAAGAGGGCCTTAATCCACTGCGGTACTTGACAATTTGCAGCTTGTAATCTCTATACATATAAAAAAATGTTTTCTTTTTGAATCAGTTAAAAAGTATTGTGTATGACGTTTTCAGGCGGCAGCAGCAGCAGCCGCAGCGGCACCACTCCTAAAGTCTCCATTGACTAGTGCCCAACACGCAGCGGCGGCCGCCGCTGCAGCGAACTATGGAGCCGCAGCACGCGCAGCCGCCGCCGCTGCTGTTACTGCAGCGCCCGCGCAGGCCGCTCTCACACCGCTAGCTGCGACGTACGTATAACACATATTTATTTTATATCAAAGTATTTTACTTTGTATGTATCTTGCATTGTATTAAGTTATTGTTTAATCTTTAATGTAAAGTATTATTTACAGATATGGAAGAGAATATGCCGATCCATATTTAGGGCACAGCATCGGTCCAGTAACAGGATACGGGGTAAGACTTGTCTCTCCTAAATAACCATACTTTTATACTGATCTGACGTAACTGACCGCGTTGTTTTTTTTTCAGACTGCCGTGTACAGAAGCGGTTACAACAGATTCGCGCCATACTAAGCCAGTGGAACAAGTAGCGATTTTATTACTCGAATATTTTTAGTACTTCGGTCATCTTCACGTAACATGACAATGAACTCTCTTTGTAAACGTACAAAATTATGATAGGACACAGTAATAGAGGTAGATTACTGTTATAACGTGTAAGCGTGGCTAGCCGACGTCGCGTGCGGCGTGGGCTACCGAACTCATAAATACCAAAGTCATATAAATTTCTCATTGAAATATGTAATTAAGTTCAATAATTATTGTTAATGATTTTCGAAATATACAAGTGCGAGCGAGCGTCGGTAAATGCGTTCCTGCGGAGCGTCGCACGAGGAATACCAGCGTATTGTTAATATTAGGTAATATAGCGTAGTTGTTACGTACATACGATTGACAATAGAATTACTTGTAAAAATATTTAGCGAGCTTTGCACTTGCATATCATAGAAAAATGTAAATATAATTCCAAACACATTTTACTAATCTGTAGCGTACGTTTAATTCACACGGAACAAAATTAAAGATTTTAATAGATCCAATCAATCTTGGAAACAATAAAATACCATTAAGGCATTCGATTATCATTTACGAATTGTTATTTTTATATTCTACAATGCATTAACTTTTAGTTATTCGCAAGTTACATAGTCGTGTATGTCTTCAGGAATTCGACACAGTTTGGTCAGTCGTGTATACCTTCGAGTATAGGTAGCTATTGCTAATGAATAGGACCTTAACGGCTAATTTGGTGCGACTTTGATCTGGTGCCATTATTCGGTTGTTATTATATAAATAATAATTATTAAAACAATATAAAGTGTTTACCAACGTTCCTTCAAGTTTCGTGTTTAGACTGGCTTATTAATTTCTCCGTTTGCTTGAAATCGATCGAAGCATTGGAATTCAGAATTTAGCTTTGTCCTAAAAGTCCTTTCGCTTATCGGTTAAGCGTAGATCAAATTGTTTAACGATCGCTAGTTGTATTGCCTAGTTTGTAACGGAATCGTAGGCGATAATGCTTTAAATGTAGACATAAGAAAAGAAAAAGAATTACTCCTTGGAGTTCTTACATATCATTGAGATTTCTCCTTGTAACTATGATTTCATAATGTAATAATTCCTCACGATCAACTGATTTTGCAGTCCACAAATTCCTAGAACAAACTTTCACGCGGGTCCAACCGTTTAGACTACGTAATTAGGTCTAACAAACATTAGGATTGTAAAATATTTGTATGATTCGCTCAACGTTTATACCAAAGCACAAATGCCCATCGATACATACGCATTTCAAAGCTTTTGCATGTCATTCGTTTACTCATTAGATTTAATAGTCTTTCGTTTGGAAAAACTTCAAAATCTATTCGCAAGCACCCATACAGTTGGTCTTCGCAAAGTGTAGTAGTGCTCCACTATCGACATTTTATTCGTTTAAATATGTTTTAAAAGGATCTGAGCAGACTTTTTATTAATCCTGTTAAGCTTTTCCTACAAACGTAATTGAGGGTTTTTTGCCAAAATAGGCTACCCTTACTTCCTACCCTATGTTTTGGTCGTTACAGTAAAAACTTACTCAGTGTTGTTACGTAGATATTAATGTAGGCGCAGTATATAAAGAAGCATCAACAGCCAACATACAGTATCAGCGTCCTGTTACGTTTTTCATAGGAATTCTAGTCTTTTGCGCACAATTATAGAAATAATGGTGCTTTTTTTCTTAAAGATTTCATGTGATAGCTACGGAACCGTATTTCGTATCTGCGTTTCATTGTAAGTTATTTTAGGAAGCTTATAATGTATTTTAAGCTATTTCGTGTCATATTTTCTTATTGGAAGTTTTATAATTATTTCACTCGCCTCATAGTGCCACTGGCTTATGTTGTAGGTTACGATTCGATGTAGGTACGTTACGTAGTCAAGTTGCAGCTTTGAATAAGTTTTTTGCGCTTTATTGCTAAATACTCATGCGTGAATGTTTTTAATGTTAGGCTCTTTTTTTAGATTTGTATAATTTTTATGCAATTTTTACACGTAAGTACAGAAACTGAAGTACATGTGATTCCTTAATCATTGATTTTTTGTTTGTTTTTAATTAACGGAAGTCACAAGCGATTGATTTAGTAATCGTTTATACTGAATGAGTATCCAGGGCTGGTCTTGTTCGAATACGTTAATATGGCCTAGATTTACGCGACTGCTGGCCCTCGACACGAGATCGTACTGTTTACTTGAAAGCTCTCTATACGTTTAACATCGATGCTGATTTGATTGATTCACATTACTTTTATTTATTTTAAGTTACAATTAAATCAAAACTCACACGATCGAACACAAAATTAACTCATTTTGTTATTACATGGAGGAAAATCTGAATTTACATGACATATCTGACAAAATGGTTAGTGTGCTACGATAAGATTTTGAACAAGAAAATGAATCGTCAAAATCGATCAGTGTATTATAATTATTGTAATCGTTAAAATAAGTGATAAATATGTATTTTGTAACGAGAATAATATGTTTGTCTATGAAAGTGTTGTTTGAAAATAATTCATGACAATTCATCGCGCTGTGCACAAAACTTTCGGCCGCTTCGTCACCTTGTTAGGGGTAAATTGTTATATCGTGCATAATACCGTCATATCAGGCGTTGTGTTGGGACGCGGAAGCACCCGCGGGTCAACACAACCGGATTCGTGTAATATAATGTTATCGCCCGCAGTGCATAGGTCGCTTCGTGTGAAAACAGATAAAAGCTGGTCTCAGGTAGGGGGAGTGTGTGGCGCCCTCGCGTATTTCTATATTATTGTAAACAAAGATGTTCTAATCATTCGAAAAAGTTCAGTTTTCAATTTCGGCAACTTTAGCACCTAATGTTGAAAGGGCGGACCAATACCACACTCGACTTTTAATGCCAGCATGGGGTACTGTTCTTCTGCTCGTGTTTTATCCATGAAGCGATCTATACAGCGTAGTACGCATACAATTTGTACCGTCGGATTTATATTGTTGAAGTAGTAAGAGTTAAGGAACACTTGTTTGTCAATTGCACTCGTCGCTGTTCCGGTTAGTGTAGTATGCAGATGTCAGCAGGGTTTTTACGGCTGCTCGTCACTAAAGTCGTAGACGTGCCGCCACTTCATTTTAGCAAATGCACTACGTTTTATTACGGCATGTCTATGAGTTTAAATAGTTTCTCATTTCAATGTATATCGTAAGATAGTGGACGGGACGCGAGACCAGCCGATTCGTTGACACGACCAGGAAACGCTGCCACTGTCGTATTATGTATAGCTGTAGCGTGTGGCGGGTACCAGCGTCCAATAGGCAGTGAGTCCATATTAAACGTATTAAAACTATGCGAATTATTCCGGTGGCAGTGTTTTGTGGCTATGTGCAAGGTATATAACATCTGATTCTACTTTCTTGAAACCTAAAGGCCTATCAACCGACGTTATATTACATTTTAATCACAAATAATATCTCTGTTGGTGGTTGAAGGCCTTTGCGTTTTGGGAAACTAACTATTCGAATTGAACGGTTGGTCTATGTCTCACAACGTCGCACTAACTTTGGCGCGTGCTTAAACGCAACCTAAATTTGACCAGTATTTAGATAATATACTATGCTCAATTTCCATGTCTGTATGTTGTTTGTATAATGTTAAAAATAATGTTTCTAGATTTTGAATAAACTAGATTACCCGCGTCTGTTAATACGAGTCTTCCGTTCGGCACTTTTCGTACGATCATGCACTTTTGGTACCGGCTAGGAGGACGTTTGAGTCGAGCCTAGTGCACAGCGACTTCCCATGCGATTTGTGATAAATGTATGAATTTTAATGTGGCTATTTCAGTGTAGATTGCAGAGCCAAATTTCTCTTTTAATGTAAATATATATTTTTTTCAAGTGGATTGAATGAAGTGAATCATTTTAAGCCTTTGGCATTGTGTACTCATTTACGTTATTAATAAATATTATAGTACCGAATTTGTTTTCTTTTTTCATCTCCCCGAGTCAGAATAAATTTTATATATTCTCGTCACGCCAACGAACTAACGATGAGACAAAAATATGTTTGTAAGAAATAGCAAGTGCGTCGGGTGGCGTGGTTAATGTGATCTGATACGCTGAGGAATTATTGCAAATGTGACTTACACTAAGCCTAGCAGTGATTGGGCAATGATAGTGTGCCGATAAGATTGCGAGTACCTCGATAATAAACAATAATCACCCTTAGAACTAAATAATTAAAACAATCGGAATGACAGATTATCTAGTTAGAGCGATAAAGATTGTTAGTGCGTCGTTCGAGCAGTGAAGTTAGTGCACCTCGCTGTGATAACGTCTTGTATAATGTTATTTTGAATCGTTATTTTTAAAATGGTGTTGTGTCCGCCCTTTCGCTGGTCCTCGAGGAGCAGGTTCGATCTAACGACTGCGGTGCAAGAACGGCGTAATGCCGGACGACGTGAGACATTTTACGTAAGTAAATATTTGGTATTTGAGTTAATGACTAGTGCATTTATAGGCCGTTAACAAAGCGACAAGTTTAATTGTTGAAGATATTCAACGTCAAAATAAGTTTAACCAGTTTTATGTCGTAGATTGTCTTTTTAGAATTTACTTCTATATGGTAGAACACGTACTCAAAGAATCGCTTTAGGTATAAAATGCAATTTAGCAATCATCGCACGCAAGAACGTTGGAAAAGCAACGAAATTAAATCAAAATTTCTCGCTAATTTTATCACTTCCTATCTTGAATTTAGTGGTACGATAATGGTTTTAAATCACTGCTTACAGTACTTAATTCATGTAGATATAAGAATGTGTAGATATGGCATTTTTAAAAATATTGAATAATACTTTATTTTAATTTCAAAACAGTTCCAACTTTTTTTATATTTACGATCAGTAGAAATTCGCTTTTAATTCGAAAATATTTTTTTCTCAATCTCTTGGAAATTTGAGCATTATTTTGACTAACTTCTTCGAGATAAATCATACTTGCTGAACTGAACGAGAAGCGGCCAGAATAGTTGTATGAAAAACTATATGTCGTGTTTAGCAGCCAAACAAATTACTATCTAAAATCATATTTGTCGTGTAATTTAAAAATTGAACTATGCAACATGGCTACCAAAGAAGTAACATATCAAAGGTTAAATTAAAGTTTCGAAAGCTGTTTAGTGAAAAAAAATACTTAGACGTGTAAAAAGCTATTTTACTGGTTTTAAAGTATTGAATTGCACTACGCATTTTTAATTTCCGCTCATTAGTTGTAAAGTACTATACAATCAATAAAAAAATATTTAGCCATATACACCTACTCTCTTTTATTAATAGGTACTTCCGGAAAGCAATCCAGTCCATTCAGGAGCAAATGGCTCTTCTATAAATGGAACGGTGGCGACTTACAAAAGAAATCAATTACTTCCAAACGATATTGGTGAGCTAAGCAAAAATTCAAGTTACATGAGCGTTCAAAGTGACAAAGCAAGAGAAAGTAGCACCAATAGAGACTCCGATAGTGAATTATTTGAGGATCCAAAAATAAGCTCTGGACGCAAAACCATATCTGAGATAGTTCAAAGCAACCCGGAGAGGCGCATGCGACGAAAGCGCGGTATAATTGCTCCACATGCACCCCTAGATAGTGCCAGATCGCTTACAGACCTACAGTATGACAAGTACTCGAAAGATGAAGTGTAGGTACAGTTTGTTTATTTTAAGATATACGCTTTGTATATAATTTCATGGCACAGTTAAATTTCACTTTTAGAGGCCTATATTATAACTTGATTCATAATAATATGAGTCAAAACATTCGTTACCTGTTTAAAATGCGAACTATTTATTTAAAAGACCAATCAAAACTTACCACCAATTTTTTTTTTTTTATTCAGTTCGTGTTTTAAACCGTTCAAAAGTGTTATACAAAGTTGTTATACAAATTAAAATATTTTATAGCTTAACTCCTGATAAATCTTCACCATGGCCTGTAGAAGTTTTAAAGCACTGAAGCCGGTGTTGTTAATGTGTCAAAAAAAAAGAAGAAAGAATTTAAAGATAATTTACTTACCTACATTACTTTCTAACACAGATCTATAGAACAAATTAAAAAGGCTTTACTTGCAAACGATTTTTTAAAAAACATAATGGATGAAGAGCGTTTGGAGGCTGTTGTGGAGGCGATGGGTCCCCAAGAATTCCCCGCCGGAAGTCTCATGATACGAGAGGGAGAGAGCGGGAGCCATTTGTATGTGTCTGCTAATGGTCAATTCGAGGTGTTGAAGGGTGGACAAGTTGTGAAGAATTTCGGACCCGGCGAAGCGTTTGGGGAACTCGCCATTTTGTATAAGGCTAAACGATTTGCCTCGATAAGATGTACGTTTTTAATTTTTTTATTATTTTTTAATTTCTGCCGCCGTTTCAGCAGGTTACCGGCCTTCTGTGCTCTTCCAAACCGAAAAATACTTCTCCCTGGGTTTCGACCCTCTAGTGCAAATGCACTACAGTAATTGATATCAGAAAAGCTCAATCTCACTCGCACGTCGAAAACCTCGTTTTCAAATTGTATCTTTCCGGTTCTTTTCTTTTCCATTATATTCTCTAGTACCACTAGTTTGGTTGCCTGGTAGAGATCATTGTTTAGCGATAAGTTTTTATAATGCAAACCATCCCTGTGGTGTTTGTTAGTTATATAAATAAAATGAATATATAATCAAAACGTTTACAACCACTATAGGTGTTAGGTAAATTTATGTTTAGGTATAACAGAAGCAAAAGTATGGACTTTGGAGCGACGAGTCTTTCAAAAGATAATGGTCCGCAGTGGTCGCCAAGAACAGGAAGACAATATGCGTTTCTTATCTTCAGTACCACTTTTACAAGGAATTCATCCTATTGAGCTTGCGAAAATCGCAGACTTTCTTAAAAGGGTAAGAAATTATGTACAAAAAGGTAATAAATAAAAAGTGGTACTTTAATTTGTATAATAAAAGAAAATTGTACGGTTAGACCAACGTGTTGTGAGTTGAATCTTCACTAGATTTTTCTCGTTGGACTTCGCCTGGAAATCTGGATATTAAATGATGGTAGATATATTGCAATTCCATTCGGGTCACAAATCACCGCCCAAAAGTCGTTAAGTTTAATAGAGTTTCAGTTTCAATATGTGGATATCCAAAGCTAATATAGGCCGACTAAAGTTAAGCTAACATGGACTTAGATTAGATGTTATAAAGGTGGGTGGTTCTTCTTTCATAAAAAAACGAATCCTCGTACGGGAAGTCCCGTATTCTATCTAAATGGAAAAATAAGGCTTATGTCTGTGCCAATTTTACTAATAGACAAGTAGATGTGTACCTGTCTAATTAAACCCAGAAGCTAATGGGTATAACATGATGTCTTCCTGATAAGACATTTTTGAACTACGATGACCTTAACCAAATTCAGACTTATTTTCTTATGCTACTTTTATCTCCTTTGTACCAAAACAGCTGATTAAAAGGTTGTATAAGAAGTATGGGTCTCAAATAAATTTGGTTTTAGGAATTCTTCGCGTCTGGAACAGCGGTGGTCCGCCAAGGAGATAAGGGGGACAAATTCTATATTATTAGGGGTGGAACTGTGGTGGTGACTAAGCGTGATGGTGATGGTGGTGAGCGCCGAGTTGGGTTACTCCGGCGAGGAGAGTACTTTGGTGAACAGGCTCTGCTGCACGAGGACCGAAGGCTAGCCACAGTCACAGCTTTGCCACCTGGCGTCGAGTGCTTAACTTTACAACGCGGGTAACAATAGCATTTTTAAATAACTATCAATCCCATTCTTTTTAAATGAATCACTTTAACGGTCTAAAATGTGATATATATTAATTAAACTTATTTGGAAATTATTTTTACTGCGGCCAGACGTTTCTTAGATAGTTTCGGATGCTTTAAAGCAGCCGTGGCCTTCCCGAGACCACGACAGCTACAAAGTATCATGTTTTAATCCGTTAAAGTGTTTTATTTCAATGTGTACTACTACTCGCGTAAACTACAGACAGTATTTCATCCTATTCTACTAATATCACTATTGATAACGGATTTTGGAGAACTTAATTTCCAGATTTTGATAAAACTTATTGTGACTCTTTGGAATAACTGAAAGACCTTTCCTTATACTATTTATTGAATTAATATTTCATACATACGAGTATATTTATGGTTAAAACGTTAATAGGCTTTACAAAATACTAAAATGTAATATGTGACAATCATTATGACTAGAAGAAAACAATAAATTAATGTAATTGCTCAACTAACAACCATTTTAATTAAACGTCGTGTTCTCAAACTATGTTCGTGTTCTCAAACTATATGTATAATAAGAGATACAGGTATATCTTAAACTATATTTTATATGTTGATTTTCGACACAAATGTCTCCATGTTCTCCCCGCTCCGAGCTACTATTCTTCACCACATATTTGTAATCTCATCTTCCTAGCGTTTATTTCCTTACGTCTCACGTCTTTTTAGCAGTCCTTTACCTTATAAAAAAATAAAAACAAAAGTAATATATAGTCCAATAGATCTTTACTAATAGAATACGGTAATAGATGTGAAAGCTCATGAGAAAGTCTGTTTGTGGTTTTCCCTTTCACGCAGCGTTTGTGGGAACCCAGCAATTTCCCCTAATTGAATAAAGTTATATTCTTATGTCTATAATAGTTAGTTATTTTCTGAGAGGAGATGGCAACACAGTATAGTACTATTAAAATGTATATTTTTGTAAATTATTATTTGTTTTTTCACTTGATTGAATACATGGAGAAAATATAGTTTTCCAATTCAGGATAGAAATTAACGATTAAACATTCTGGTTGGAAAAGAGTCAGCTACCTTGTCATTAGTTTTTTTTTGCCATAAGTTAAGAAATTATCTTATTTGCAGACCATTCTCTGAACTATTGGGCAATTTAGAAGAACTGAAAAACATAAGACACGCAGTACCACGACCCTCGCAACAAAAGAAGACTTCAGAAATAAAAAGCGGTCAGTCGTCTATGAATTTTGCAAAATATTTAATTATTTAATTCCTTTCCGGGTAATGTGTTTGAACTTGAAAGATAAGATTATAATTTATTAGATACCACTCTGCGGTGTTAATTAATAATTAGGTATTATAAAGAATAAGTCGATATTATCGAGATAGTGGTTTGACAATGATTTTGATTCAATTCCTTTATAATTAAAAATAGCCCTGGTATACTTAGTGGTATCGGCTCGAACGGAAGCAGTTTGAGGCACGGCCCTGCACCACCAACATCTGTTCCTTAATATAATATTGTGATAAATACTACTTTGAAGAAAAACATCGTGAAGAAATCTGTATCTGTCAAAACCTCATCAAGACGTATATAGGGCATCCAGGAGGATCAAAAACTAAAATTTCTCCAATACAAGATAAACAAAGCCTTATCTTGTTTATGTTTTCTCCGGAGCCCAAATCTTATGTTCCTTCCATTGAGTTAAAGGAGGGTTCCCATGGCATGGCTTTCCCTTGATGAAAGATGAAATACCTCAGCCATATAGCATCTAAACAACATGTACTTTTGACCTTGTGCATTTGTATATTGCGAAATCCAATCCGATCCGAAATCCACAGACTGAAAACGAAACACGAACGATTAAACTTCACGGCTTTTTCATCTCTGGACTGTGGTTCGTGACCCGGGCGGAATTTAAATATTCGTGCCATCCATTTAATATCCAGGTTTCCAGGTGACGTCCGACATGTTTCAGAAAAATTTGAAATATGTTGGACCCGACGACCCGTTGATTATTATCCATACCCGTCGAATTAAATATTTTCTATTTTAGAGTACGAGTATATCGAATTGAAGGACCTAGAAATCGTGGGTACAATGGGAGTTGGTGGCTTTGGACGAGTGGAGTTGGTTCAATACAATAAAGATACTACGAAAACCTTTGCGCTCAAATGCCTCAAGAAAATAGATATGGTGCAGCAACAACAGCAGGAGCACGCTTTTAATGAGAAAAATATAATGATGTCTTGTAATAGCAGATTTATATGTCGGTAGGTTATCTCGACTATATGTTTTTATTAATTTGCATATAACCTGTCAATTTTAGGACGATAATTTGGACAAGAAAATACGCACTTCGCGGTTATCAATAGTACTCTTTCGTTCTAGTATCTGAGTATCCCCAGAATCGAGAGGTTTTCGTGAATTCGAAAAGGATCCACTGCCTAACGGCTAGACGGATTTAGTATCCCCAGAATCACATTAAATGAATCAAGTGATTAAACTCCGGGAAGTTCGTAGGAATCATTAGATATTAAGATATAGAAATATCTGCTAGAGGCAGAGTGACCTAATAACAACACGATTTTCAATAAAGAGTAAAAAGTAAAAAAAAAAATGCGCAATAAACATAGACGAAAATGAATTTGTAGTATTCTTTTTGTCGAAATTGTGTTAACACTTTTGTGGTCACAGTGCTCTTGTAGATTAACATTATTAGAATGTGAAATTATAAATAACTTAAGTCATAAAATTTCAGTTAGGCTACTCTGCCTCTAGCGGCCTCATATCGAGTAGCTATTTTAATATCTTATATTATTTAATGCAAAAACTCCTACAAAATGATAAATTGAATATATTTTTAAACGATATCCACACACTTATGTTAGGTCAAGATTGTCTTCACATAAAACAGGATATAAACAATTATATTTATAATCTACCCCATAAAGTTACGGTACTTCACCCTTTGATAAGCGCTGCAGTATGATTCAATCAACACTAAAACTTCTAACAATGTCACAGTGAAGTGTCGATTATATATTTCAATTAATCAAACCGATAATCCACTTGCCTGAATTATAGGGTGGTAGTAGATATAGTAGCTTAAGAATAAGAACTTATTCGCTCTATGTATACATTTAGGAGAATATTTTGATCATCATTTATCAATCCGAAAAAGTACTACTAAAGAGAATCTATAGACGTAAACAAGCAAGCAGTAGCGAGAACGAAAGACTGCGAGTGTACTAAAACAGAAGAATATATCAAAGATTGTATCTATAAACTGTTTTACTATATAGGCGTAAGATAAACCTGTACAATTGACAAATATAATTCATTACAATTCCGTTAGAACACCTACTATTTAAATAAAATATTTTAACGGTTTAAAACGTGAATTACATTAAACTTGTTTACGAATTCTTCTTTGAAAAGCCCGACGCGGACGTTCCGAAGGCTTTGCAGCAGCCGGCTTCCCGTGACCACGTTTTAGACCGTTAAAGAATTTTATTTAAATATGTTCTACTCGTATAAACTACAGACATAGTTAATACACCCAACCTTCTTACTTTCAGATTGTACCGGACATTTAAAGATAATAAATACATATACTTCTTAATGGAGCCAGTGTTAGGAGGTGACGTGTGGACAATACTTCAAAAGCAACGATATTTCCCAGAAAACATAGCTAGATTTATGTCAGCGTGTGTCGTTGAAGCCTTTCAGTATTTGCACTCAAAGGATATAATCTACAGAGATCTCAAGCCTGAAAATTTGATGTTAGACAAGAAAGGATACATTAAACTTGTAAGTTTGCATTATGATAGTGAGGAAAGAAGTATGGGGCAAGCCTTTTTTTACTGATTGTGTGAATGCCTAATGCACGCCCGGCAATAGTGAAGTGTTGAGTGTGGTAAATCGTACTATAACCTACTCGGAGACAATAGCCGATCAGAACCACAAAACACACCACCAGCCCACTACGGTGCTTTAAGGGAGCCCTGGGAACAGGTGCAACCAACCCTAACACACCTAGTTAGGACGTGCTGTCGGGCACTTTACTTTGAACTCTCAGTACCGATAGATGGATTCACGTCACTTCTTGACCACTTGGGAATGTTGGCCTAACATAAATGGCTAGCTAACAAAAATCAGAATAAGATTTCCAACTGGCTAGACCCGATGTTAAACGTTCTTACTCTCTCTTAGGTCATTAGCGCTACATCGATACTAATATTATGAAGCTGAAGAGTTTGTTTGTTTGAACTCGCTAACCTCAGGAACTACTGGCTCCCATTGATAAATTATTTTTGTATTGGTTAGAGCATTTACCGTGAAAGGCTATATATAAAACAACGCTGCTAACAATATGACCGACAGTGGGGTATGTAGAAAAACCGAGGAAAACTATTTATCTTTGAGGGTTTTCGTTGCACTGCGACAACGGTTCGAAATACATTTAAAAAAAATCAAAAAGTCAAATATTCTTCTCTAAATGATAGAAAAAATGTTCGCGAAAGTGTATGTCTACCTTTTACGATTAACTCGAACGACGGGATGCGGACGAAGTAGCGGGCAAATCCATACCATTCTCTTCCGTCCCATTATTAAATCTTAAATGAAAGCGGTTTAAACTAGTTCTAAGTGACTACTAATTACACATAGTTGTGACATGTATAACGCTATACACATATATAACTATAGATAGTAAAGCGAAGTACCAGTTCACCATTTTCAACTACAGGTGGACTTTGGATTTGCTAAGCGGATATCGTCAAATAGCAAGACGTGGACTTTCGCTGGGACACCTGAATATGTTGCTCCCGAAATTGTTCTAAATAAGGTAAGTCTTAGTACATAGATGACGTCGAACGATATCTGTCCCAACTGGTGAAAGTCGCCAAAAAGTGTCATTCTTGACTAGAAGCCTATTGATTTCAAATTTGACATATATAGAATTGAAATTTTAATAACTGAATTAAAAATCGATGATAAATAAAAAAAAACGAATACGACTCGGGCACAATGAATTGAGCTCGATTGGTTAGAGTAACAGCACGGAACGCTGGCGATGCCGGGTCAAGTCCTGCCCGGGTCGTAATTTTTTCAATTTATTATTATAGATTTTTAATCCATATAGTGTCATCATGTGCAACATGCAAAATATATTAAAGTTCTCAAATGTTTAAAATTATTTACCTATACATCAAAGTTAAAATACGCAAGATATAATATGTCAGAATAATTCAATGTCGCAACATTACATACTAGTATTGAAATTCAATACGACTAAGGTATCTAGTTTACATTCGTAATTACAATACATTAAAGTTTCATTGATATCAAGAAGGGCAATTGAGATAAAAATATTTTTTTCTTACGCTGCCTAAATGTGAGTCAACTCATGAATCCAGTCTTTGAGGTCAGTCACGATATTATTTGTTCTTTGAATTCATAGATTCTCTATTATACCTTCTGCTTTAGCTATTTTATCCGACTGTGGAAACATCTGAAGTAAAACTGTTTAAAGTGCGAAACATATACCCGTGCCTGACGTCCCTCCATAACAAAATAGTGTCAAGCATAATCTGAAACGTCGGGTCTTAGTTAAAAATAAAGTATTCAACGTTTTAAACTCTCAAAAATGTCCCCCGTAAACTACATACTTCCTATTTGTACCACAAATTTTATTTTGTTCACCAGGGCCACGATCGTGCTGTCGACTGCTGGGCTCTAGGAGTCTTCATCCACGAGCTGTTAGTGGGCAAGCCACCCTTCCGAGCGGCTGGAGGAGATCACATGAAGACCTATACATTGATCCTGCGTGGTATTGATGCAGTCTCCTTCCACCCACGCGTGCCAAAATCGGCACAGCTGCTTATTCGTAAACTCTGCCGCGCTGTTCCCGCGGAGAGACTGGGTTATTTGAAGAACGGAATCATTGATATTAAGAATCACAAGTGCGTAAATAATACACATCGTCTATTAGTTTTCAATAATTCCTTTTTATGAGAGTGGTTATTTGATTTTCTTTTTTTTGTCTTAAAACTAAATTGCTTTCTAATCAAAATTGTTGTTGTTGTCGATTGAAAACACAAGAGCTTAAGCTTCTAGGCTTACCCACGTTTAACAAATTTATGTTATCGGAAAGTCCTAAGACCAAAAAAGTATTAATGACTCATCACCACGAAATCGAAAACATAATACGATTTGTCACAGATAAAACACGTATTTCTCAAGATTTTTTAGAGTGAGTAAAAAAAATTAAAACCTACATTGCAATATTTTTAATAGAAGTGGGTATGATTTTCAGGTGGTTCCTTGGCTTCGATTGGGAAGGTTTGAAGGAAGGCAATCTAAAAGCCCCATTAATACAGCCGGTGTCGAATGACTTGGATCTGTCCAACTTTGAGAAATATCCTAAGGATAAACTACCGCCAGACGAGACGTCGGGCTGGGATATTGATTTTTAGAGTTTCGTTGAAAATGTTAACAGACAAGAGTATAACATATGCATGTATATTGTATACACGGTTATAGCAACTTTAAACTCCCATCGTTTATACAATAAATGACTTTATATATAAAATTATTATTATTATTATTTTCTAGGTTTGACAATGTCTAAAAATATATAATGCAACGCAAATTCTTGTTATAAGTTTTATAGTTCTTTTACAATACAGGAGAAAAGAGAAGAGTGTGGTTCACTTGATGGTAGGTGATATATATAACATCTAAACAAGATATGTTGTCGACCTATTTCTGCTATGCATATTCGGAAATCCACAAACTGAAAACGCAACGCTACTAAACTCTGCACAGCTTTTTCATCTGTGAGCGCTGGTTTGTGACCGTGTGAAAATGTTGGACCCATAGGGATCGAATAGGGGTATAATAAGGATATAGATAATTAAATTTATGGTTTAAGTACTTAAATGGATGACTATGTAATTTAATATTACAAGAAAATTTAATCATCTCTTTGTTAGAAATATGGGAGGACTTCATTAAGGCTATATGGGTTTATTAAGTTAATAAATAAAAACCTACCCACATAACAAATAAGTATTATGATATTCATCATAAAGTCAATGCGCTTGTGCCAAACGCAGGGTTGGCAATACCAAGGATTATTCCACTTAAATTATTATAGGAGTTTTTTTATTACTACCCAGACATGGTAAGAGGGAGGAGGTGGGATTAAATTTTATATCAAACTAGCTGTGCCAGCGACTTCGTCCGCGAGAATCGTTATTTTGGGCAACCATTTTCGTTTTTGCAATCACCTCTGTCATCTTTATAAAATTACGTTTACTTAAGCTTTGTCAGCCACGACGTCGTTGGCATAATGATGTAGAATTTTCCCACAATTTCCGTCGTATCTTCGCTTGCACGTTAATCTTTAACGAACTAGAATATAAAAAAAAAAATCTTCTATATTTAGATAGATATTCCACATACATAAATAATAACACAAAAATACAATAAAATAGATGTGGAAGGATACTACTCAGCTTTTGTGGTACCGGGAAGTAGGCTCAACGCCCATTTTCAGTGATGTCCCACGCTTGACATTTGAAGTAGAACAGTACAAATACATAAAAGAAAATGATTAAATTATAAATACATAAACTAAAAACCACAAAAATATTACATATTTTATTTCTCTTTTATAGATTTACTTATAAGTGACTATTTAAATTCTAACCCAATATAATAATAAATAGCTAGAAAATTATGTGTATGCATCTTTGTAGTTACACAGTGATTTAAGCAATCAAAAATGTATAGACTAGAAGAAGAAGAAAAATAGAGTTTATATTATCTAGAATAATGTTTTATTCAAAAAGAAAACTGTTAAGGTAGCCCTAGTTTGTATTCATTTCGCAGTGCAGTCGGCCCCGACCGCGAGTTTCCGACAAGCGCTGTAAACAAGGTTCCACTCGTCTCAATATAATTTCACATTTAGTTTACCGCGAGTGTGTGGCAGTGATCGTTCGCGCCATTATTCGCTACATGGCGTACTCATAAAATATAAAACAATACAATGAGAAACGAACCTACATCGCAATGATAACTAAAATATTTTAATGTGTGCTCAGTGAAACGTGGATTGTTTTTCAATTATTTTAAATCCATAAGTACGGTGAGTAATAAGATTTTACATCGAATAGTTTGAACAGAAAATAAAAAATATATTGTCGTATCTAAGAGAAACGTAGTGAAAGTTAGAACAATTGGTAAATTTGTTTTTTTAGAAAATATATTGTTACAAAGGTAGAAAAAAAACGAAGAAATATTGTAATTAGAAAACCATTATTTGCATTTAAAAATTGGAATAAAGTAACACGTGTAACAACATCCACGATACATTTTTTTTATTTACTTTAATTATGTATATTTTTTAAGTTATCGATGTCTTATTTTTCTAATTTCATACACTTAAGGGTTTACGTTTTTAAGACACATTAGTTATACATGTTAATGTCGGTAGCGTGGGTCTTTATTTATTTAAATTGTTTATTTATGCAAATAGGAAAAAGGCGGCAAAATTAAATGTAAGTTCTATTTCAAACACATATGCCCGTTAGAAATAATATTATATAAAACGGGCATTCAATGTTGATGAAAATAACTATAATATTTCACACTGAAAGTTAGTGACGGCTTTTAATGTTCCCCATTGTTCTTTCGAGGATGTTATGTATAGATAACCTTCGTACGTCATCTTTTGATACGCATCTCGCGTAGTTATTGCATTCTTGTAGTTTCAGTTTACGCTTTGGTATACAAACTGCCAATGGAAATAAATAATTCCCCTCTGAAATTCCTATTAATACCATCTTTAAATATTTGCTTATACATGGGGACCTAGGAAGTCTAAGAAATGCCTCCTTAGATTCTCTTATAAGACTTAGAAATTACAATAATTCTTCTTCACGCGAATTAAAAAGCCAAAACTAGTTAACAGGGAACAAAATATTCTTGCCAAAAGCTACGAAACTATAATTTGATGTATTTTTAGAGCTCGCGGATAAAGATCATCTTCTTTCTATATTTTCGTTAAACTTAGTTTTACCACTTACGCTTAATGGCTTACCATTAACAACGTTTTTTAATTTATTTATGTGTAAATATTACTAGACTAACATAACTCTTGGCGATGCCTCAAGGATGTTATACGAAAGAGCAATTATTTTGACAGTCAATGGAGGCGGTTTGCGTCCATGGCGATGGTATCTGCCATGCATATGCTTTGGCTGCTGGACTTCACTCACTCAACCTTTACTGCGCTGCCATATCCGCTGCACTTATATGCTGCTGTATTAAAAGAAGACCATATCGGTAAGAGCTTAATATCATTTAAGCAGCAAAACAATCCTCTTCAAAACAACCGTTAAAACGTAATAAGTTTCATACCCACCGACCGCTCATGCCCTTGAAGCTTTAAATGCATTACATCAAGCCTGAAAATTCTAGATTTGAAGGTTAAACATACACCATGAGTTTGTGGTATACAATAGTTCTGATGCTTGATCTGTCAAATGGGCGCAGTAATGCCTCTTCCATACTCCGAAGATAGACTTCCTTCACGTGTTTATTTTTATAATACAATTTCGACAGGGTAACCCAGCGATGGCGATTACAAAATATGCGTGGACTAACGAGCTTAGCTTTAGCTGTAGTATGGTGTTGCTCTGCGGCAGCCGCGTCACTCCGTCCAGCAGACACTGTCTACCTGGTGGCTTCCCTAATAGCTCCACTGTCTTGGCTGGCAGCTGCAGCTCTTCACGTATCGTTATGGATCCGCCGTGCTGTCGCGCCCATACTCTATCTGGCGATTTACTGGTTCCTCGCGTCCTTATGCTCTGCTGCAATATTATTCGAAAATATGAAGAGAGAATACTCCGCAACTCACATAGAAGTCTACCTTCAATCAATAAGTTTATTCTGCACAATTATCATGACTTGTGTAGACTGTATATGTTTTTACGACGAGGTCAGTTAACAAACATTTTAACACATTTTCATTTTGTCGTACGGAGTTGATATAAAAGTTGTTTCATAGTCAACACGTTTTAGTTAATACTACCGCTACTTAGCTATCTATAGAATGGCGGACGTTTTAATTGTTACAAATCACTACTCTTAATTGAAAATGTTCGTACATTAAGGCAGGAATATTAAAAACAATATTTGTGATGTGGTGCTTTTTTATAGACGCTTTTATCCCTCTTGTTGGTCGTTTATACGTCAATAAACACACTCAGTCGGGAATATTGGACTCTCTTTCATATCATGTCCAATGTTTAGAGTGTTAACCTGAATATTAGTCACAGGGAGACGCCAGACGCCGGACGTGGAGACACGCTCCATGACTGGCGCCTCGCCCACCACTACGTTTATACTCCTTATTACTATATTACATACACTACACATTTACTGGCTGTTGTGTTGTAAAACTATAAAATTATACGATCGTTACACAATCTTGTAAATCCCTCATCAAACATAGTTGTTTACATTTATTCAGAAATGTACATTTTACAAATTTCTATGATTTTGTATACGGTTCTGGTAGAACTGACCTACATTAATTTTATATTACGCGGGTAGTGGTAAAAAAAATAATTAAAATTATTATTTATAGCGTTGTGTAGGATTAACATCGAATAATACCCACTAAGTATATCACTGTCTTTCAGGTTGCCAAACGAAATGCAAACAACCAAAAAGAATCGACAGAACCGTATGCTATGTCTTATCAACATAACGAAAGCCATTTCTACGCTAAAATAACCTTTTTCTGGCTCAATTCAATATTGTACAAAGGTTACGAAGAACCACTAGAGAGTGATGACCTCGGATTTTTACCCGAGAGAGAAAAGTCCAAATTTTGCTACCAAAGATTTAAAAATAACTATGACGAACAGGTGATAACAGGTTTTTTAATATTCTTATTTGACCATGATTGACAAGGTGATTAAACATGCTCTACCTGGATTACAGACACGAAAACGACCCAGTTTGTTGAAATGCTATGCGAAGACCGTCTGGCCAAATTTCTACATTTCAGGGCTATTGAAAATGTTAGGTGATATGGTTGGGGTCATACCGCCGCTAGGTTTAGGTATTATAATACAGTTTATAGAGAAACCACTGATGACTGGATACCGGACCGGCGCGGATGTTACAGTCGACGAATTTTTTAATAACGGTTACGCTATGTTAATGATTGTGACGCTTTCACTTATCGTACAGGCATTATTGTCTCAAAACTCTACTCATTTAGTTACAGTCGAAGGAAGCCGATTAAAAACATCGTTACAGGTATTTATAACCTCATTTTTGATACACATGTATATATATATATATATGTGAAAAGGGGGGGATATGCTTAGATTGTGGGTAAAAAGATAGGCTATGGATCAAATTCACTGTAATTTCATTTCGTGTCTTATTTCAAAGCCCTATCAAAATCTACCTAAATTTAACACCAATAAATGACCAGATTATGAAATAGAAAAGCAGGAACTATCAACAAAAAATTCTATCACTCCATCTTCTATTTAAATAATTAGTGCTATAATATTGGTGCACTTGCATTTAACTTGTGTACCTACTTTTATTTCAGAACATGGTGTTTGAAAAATGCACTCGATTAGCTACATGGTCTTCTCGTGAAGTTAACGACGATGAACAATCGCCACTTCTAACCGTCCAAAAGGAAGAATCGACACAAACGGGCATGCTCATGAACCTGGTCTCACAGGATACATACAATATTATGTCCTGTATGTGGATTTGTCATTACACTTGGGCTATACCTTTAAAGGTCAGAATATTTGTACGTTTACCATAAGGCAGCATTTCTGTATAATATCTCCTCTACTTATTGTTTTAGAGTTTGTAGTCATTTAGTCGATTTCTATTTCAGGTATCTGTTATTTTATACCTTTTGTACACTAAGTTAGGCATCAGTGCAATTATTGGAGCGGCCGCAAGTGTTCTCTTAATAACGCCATTACAGTTTTATATTGGTAAAAAAATCTCAGACAATTCTAGAAGTATTTCTAAATGCACCGATCACAGAATGTCCAAAGTGGCTGAGATATTACAAGGCATGAACGTCATCAAATTATATGTGTGGGAAGACTTATTTAATGAAAAAATATTACAACTACGAGAAGTTGAATTGAAACATCTCAATAAAGATTCTATTTATTGGGGAATTTTAAGTAAGTGCATATATATACTTTGAGTTTTTATACGATGTAAAATTCTAAATCTATAGGGACATTATATACTCTTAATTTTATTTATTTAAGAATACCCAATTTATATCTATCATAAGTTTATTCTTTCAGCATTCATAACTCAATTTTCGTCGGTATTGGTGACAGTTATAACATTTATAGCGCAATACCTTCTCGGAAAAAGTAGTGAACTAACAACAGTGAACATTTTTGCTGGCTTAGCATTGTTTAATCAATTGACTATCCCCCTTCTCATTTTACCCGTTACTGTGCTAATGGTCATTCAAGCGATGGTAAGCAGCGTCTTTTATTTTTCCAAAATGTATTCTTACAAACACTTTTTTTAACGAGACACTACCAGTATATAAAATAGTACATCTACAGGTTAGCACAAGAAGACTTCAAGATTTCTTAGATCTACCAGAGTCAAATAATCTTAAAGATGAGATCTATATTAAGAATTCGGAATTTAATGATGACTTTTTAGATTCAATCGAGAATCCTCTTTCGGAAAAAGAAGAACATGACGTCAATAGCGTCGAAAATAATAGTGTTGTACAAGAGAAGACTTATGATTATCTAGTTAGATTCCGAAATGCAATTTATTCCTGGGGAACGAAAGACAACCCTAGTCTGGAAATAGAAGATTTAGATATACCTACAGGTACGTTTTTTTAATGCTAAGGCTACATTTTTCAAATTACTTAGTTTTCCGTTCCAGTTTAATGAAAAATTTAAATTACAGGAAAACTTATTATGGTCATCGGTTCTTCTGGTTCGGGAAAATCGTCACTACTATCAGCAATTCTTGGGGAAATGCAACTGGAACAAGGCAAAGTGGACTTTAATGGGTAAGTTACTAAGTAACCCTGCCTATTGCTTGAAATAGTTATTGTATTAGGCACTATTGTATTGTATATGTTTATAAATATGTTGCCCTCTTATTATGAAGGTGGTTAATATAAAACTTGGGTTTTAATCTCAAATGGAATCAGAATTCTCTTTTCACGCTGCATCGATAGACCAAAAAAGATGTTATATCAAAGACAAAATGTATAAAAAAAAAATATCATAAAACACAGTAATAAAAGTATGAAAAGAATTAGAGAAAACAATTTGCATTCATTATTTGTATTTCCAGACCTACGTCTACTTGGTTCGCTGGCCAACCTCCATGGCTTTTAGACTGGTCAATAAAGGACAATATCCTCATGGGGAGTTCTTGGTGCGCTACAAGGTACATGCGCATCGTAAGAGCTACCGGCCTTCGACCGGACTTGCAGCTACTACCCGGTATACCATATCTTCTTTTTCACTTTTCTTTTTCCACACGAAGCACATTGAGTTTAGATTATACAATGATGAGCCCCTTTAGGTTCTTGGTAGAGAGTAAATATTTATTCAGTCCATATTTGCAGATGGGGATAATACCATACTTGGTAGCTATGGAAGCCCGTTATCTGGTGGGCAACGTGTACGTGTATGCGTTGCACGAGCGTTATACTCTAGAGCACGTCTAATTGCATTGGATGAACCGTTGAGTTCATTAGATGTTCCTCTAGCGAGACACGTCGTGGCCAGAGCGCTGGTACCCGCAGCGAGATCAGGCCGAACTATTCTCCTCGCTACGAGCAGACTGGAACTACTACACTATGCTGATTTGGTATAAGCTTTTCTACATTTAATAATTGGAAAGGAAGAATAACGAATTTGTCATATCCGTCACTACCACTATGTAATCTACCATTTTAATATAGGAGGTTTTAAAATTTCGTAGTATTGGTACAAGTGTCACTGGCTATTTACAAAAACATACATGATGAATATGATACAAGTTTCTACTTGTTGGCTGCTGTTTCTTACTAGTGAATTTTCTTGTCACTAAAATTAACCCGTACAAATGTTTGGAATTTACTAAATTTCGCTATTTATCAGGTCATAGTTATGGAAGGCGGGCGAGTAAGTGGAGTAGGCCGCCCAGGGCTTTGCGAGGGAGCGCTGGGAGAGTGGTGGTCATTAGCTGGTGAAGCCCGGGCGTCCGCAGCCCGATGTGGAGCTGGACCCCCGGGAGGAACCGCCCAAGAGCGATCACTTTTAATTCACACAATCTCCAGGATTAAAAACCAGAGAAGCGTCTCGGAGGATAATATTGTAAGAGCTCTCTTACTTTTGTTTTTTTCCACTTCCATGGTCGACATTATAACTTACTGACATTACGACAGATTATGGTAAACGAAGTTTTTATTCAAGGAAAATTAAAACTAGCTGTTAATTGGAATTCGAAACTTTATAAAATTTGTACTAGGCTTCTTAGTAACATCATATTTTTTGTTTATCAGATTGGCGTAAGTGAAGCAACAGGTGCGCACCTTCTAGCAGAAGTGTGGACATGTGGCGTTGGCACTTGGAGAAGAACGTCTAAAAACTCTCGTATTCCTCTCTCAAGACAGTTTTCGTCGCCACCTGCGTCTTTCTATGGCCATAAGTATGCTTGTTTTGAAACAACAAAGTAGAGATAAACAATAATAGTTGAAATTACTTAGAAAAAAGTAGTGTTATAGCAACTATAATGAAAAACACAGTAGAAGGGGGACATTGAAACTAATAGAATTAGACTAATAGAAGAGATGAACGTGAAAGAGATCGATCTGAATGCGCTTTACTGATTCCAATCTTCACTATCGTCCGCTTAAGAGCCATTTTTGTGCATTCCTTCAAAGTATTGCCGTTCTCATAGGGGATTTGCCTCGTGGTCTAGTTCCCTCTAATTTTTCCTTGTGTCGTCTAGATATGTATTTGAAGAGAATAGAATACTCGAATAGCGCTATTTGCAGGTCGCGCCATGCTGTTCGTCGTACCGTAAGTGCAGATGCCTCGAATGACACACTTCAGAGAGAAGCTAGCTTATTAAGACGACTGCTAAGACCTAGAACTCAAACTCTGATAAGGTTTGTGTCTTCTACTAGTCGCATGCACGGGACAGTATTTTTTTCATTTACATTAGTAGTACACATCGACAATGACGAAAGAATATTATGTCTTATCGTTTCTTATGCTGGGTGACTAAGAAACGTAATTATACTTAAATGCTATATCTACTAAATTATTTTAATATTCAGGGATATTGTTCTTTAATCCTTTTTTTCATAAGTTTGTCACGTTTAATCCTTTTAAATAAAACACTTTAACGGTTTTAAAAGCGATATATGCGCGGGGGAAAGACCCCCCCCCCCCCCCCCCCCCGCCAAAAACCCCCCCCGCCGGGCCGCAATTTAAAAAATTTTTAATTTGGTTTTAAACGTTAAAGTGTTTTATTTAAATGTGTACTACTCGCGTAAAATAGAAGTACGTTTAATCCTATTATATTCTTAATGTAAGAAGAATCGTGAGAAAATCGGCATTTTATTATAATGTAGGTTAGTGTGACATACGAAGTGCTCGCAATGACTAAGTAAATAAACACAAGCGAATTTCTCAGACATTATTTTTGCATAATTAGGTGGACACCGAGAACTCTGCGTCGCTTGGTTAGCTCTGACTCAGAGGCAAACGTAGAAATCGCACAGAAAGGTACGTCCGATAGGTATTTTTACGGATATAAAGTCAATAAAAGATGTAAAAACCCTTAGTATATAATAAATTACTTTGAGTGTGCTAACACATTTATTATTACTATTAACACAGAAATGAATTAATAATCAAACTTGAATTAATAACCAAAGTCAAATTTAAGCATAAATGTATATTTAGTAGTTAACAAAGTAGAAATGGTTGCAGATAACGCAGAAGACCAAACCTTTAGTTCGACGCTAACATCGTTGACCACAAATGGAGTAGAAAACGTTGCCATATCAGATCCACCAGATAAAGATGAACCTGACCCGCTTCGGAACGAGGTGAGCCACATATTTAAAGTGCCTCTGTTTGCAATGGTGTCAAGACTTAGAAATTATCGCCACATGATTTTAATTACTACACTCATGCGCATAGTTATTTAAGTTTATTTATTTTATAAAAAAAGAAATTACCTTTTTTAAACGGCCGAGGAGTATTTACGCCAATTTAAACTGGTGAAGATTTAAGTGTGTACCTACTTCCTTAATTTTAAGTTAAATTTGATCGCGTAGTATATGCAACTTTTTTTAACCAACAACATTGTTCCCTTGTTGTTGATTATGAACTTGTTGCGGAGTTCATAGGGGTACACAGTTGTTTAAAATTTCGCGGTTTAAAACGTTAGTGTTTTATTAAGCTATACCTGCTCAAAATTGAACATAAATGTGAAGTAAAACATTTGTTATATGTAATATTCTCAAAATAATACTTTACGTACATATTCAACAGTGCTCTATGTGGAAAGAATACGCAGGAAGTTGTGGTTGGTGGGGCCTAATATTTTGCGTAACAGCATCGATAGCACAGGGTCTAGTAGTCGCCGCTGATTGCTGGCTCTCCAAGCTGGCTGATGAAAATACTCGACAGCGTCTCAGTGATGAACAGGTAACAGGCTTGAAAAATGCTTTAGTTTCAATTTCATAACGGACTAGCGGACCCGGAAAACGTTGTTTTTGTCACTTAAATTACTTCTACATCAATTCTAGCGTAGACAAAAACTAAACTGTAATAATAAAAATGTTTACTTTCATAAAGAAATTTTAGATTTGCTATCAGCTCAAGGAAAACATTTATCACTTAGGGATATTTAAAAGAGATATTAACCTTTTCGAAGGGGTCCCTTATCCCTTCGAAACGGCTCTAAACACTGTGACACGAGAATTTTATTTGATCAAATTTAAGCCTAATTATATTAAGATATACTTTTAAAGTTCTGTATTTTAAAAAAGGAAATGCTTCAATGTTTGGAACTATGTTAGATGTGGGAGATGGTACAAACCTACGCGGGTTGGTGCGCCTGTGGTGCGATCGCAGGTGGACTGTGTCAGGCGGCCTGCGCCTGCGCAGGGGCGACAGCGAGGAGAGTTTTCCACGACAGACTACTGCGGTCAACGCTTAATGCACCACTACAGCACCACCACGCCACCCCACAAGGAGCATCTTTGCATCGGTTTTCTGCTGACATATCCGTCATAGATAAAGTAATTAATTCTTCTGTTTTATCTATTATTTATTATACAACTGAAGAGTTTGATTGTTTGAACGGTAGTTTGGAAATTGTCTGGTTGGACATTTATCGAGGAAGGCTTAATAAAACATGAAGGAAATACAAAAATGAAATACGAAAAATTTTTCTCTTAAAGATCTAGAACATGTCCGCTATAATATATTTCTATCTTCTAAGCTAACTGCAAAAAAACGGGATGCGGGCAACGTCGTGGGTAATAGCTAAAATTTAAAAGATGAATTTTGATGCCCAAATAACTATTTTACGCGGACGATGTCGCGGTCACTGGTAGTTAAAAATAAAGATGGTCAGGCGAAAATAAAATGTTGACAAATTAAATGCGAGTTATTCATAATGAAAACCGGCTAGGAGCGAGTTGAGCACGTACGAAAGCATACATTGCTTGTTGGGATGCAGAATGTTTATTTTGTTCTGTTTTTTATATCTATTTGTAGTCTGGGAACAAGCAGACAGCGGTATTCTAAAATTGCTAATTCTTTATTTCCAGAAGCTTCCAACTGCTATCAGCCGGTGTATGCAGTTAGCACTCTTATGCGGTGCTGCTGTCTTAGTAAACATTATTCTGTCTCCGTGGACCCTCCTCGTTTTATTACCAGCAGTATTTTTTTATGTGGCATTGCAGTCTGTTTATTTGAAGAATGCAAGGTAAATATATTAATATGCTAGCTTACCATTTTCTCCTTTTTGCCATACATAATAAACAAGGAGAACAATAATTTAGTGTTTGTTAAAATAGCCAGGTGCCAAAAAAGTAAAAGTTTGTATGGAAATTTGTAGTTTTTGAAGCTAGAATGATGAAACTTTCTTCTTTGGCTTTTTAGAAATAGGAGTGGGAGTGGGAGTGAGAGTGAGAGCGAGAGCGAGAGTGAGAGTGGGAGTTAGAGTAGGGGTAATGTGAGGTGAGAGTTTTGCGGAAAAGTAGCGTACTTACAACGTAGATTGGCTGCCTTAAATGCGTCTTTACATAAATTAATAAACAGCCTAAATAATTAAACATTCTACCCCAAGTCACTATTCCACGCGGACGAAGTCGCGGGTCACAGCTAGTTTTCTATATATATTTTTGTGGAATAAATGATTTCGACGTTTATTACAGCGAGCTTCAAAGAATAGAAGCAAACAGTGCAGCTCGTGTGGTGACGTTGACAGCACAAACTAGCGCCGGTGCAGTCTCCGTAAGAACGGGGAGACTGCAGGCCAAGTTACGCGATGCCTTCCAAAAGCGTGTGGATGATAATCATAATGCATTATTGCTTTTGAATGCCTCGAACCGTTGGCTAGCTCTTGGCCTAGTAAGTTAATTTATAAAGTCTGTGGTAGACGCGAGAAAAACACATTTAAATAAAACACCAGTTTCAAACGCGAAATATATTACTTAAACTCATTTAAAAATTATGTTAAGTAATATATTTCGCGTTTTAAACCGCTAAAGTATTTCTTTACATATATATATTTTTTTTTAGGATCTCCTTGGCGTGTGCACAGTGTTTACATCAATATCGGTAGCTATGTATAATGAAAGTGCTGGATCGGTCGCGGGTTTGGCTGGAACTTACGCTTTGTTGCTACCTATGTACTTGGCCCATTTAGCTAAATGCCGTTCCGACCTACATTTGCAGTTGGCTTCTCTTGAGAGAATACTAAGTGATATTGATGTACCCCAAGAAGATTATCGAGAGGATTGTAAGTACGATTAGGAACTCACGTAAGGTGAAATATAATATCTAAACTGCCTGTTAACTTATTTTGGCTTTGGATATTTGGGGATCCACAGACAAAAACCGAAATGCGATTAAACTTCCCTTCATTTTTTTATCTGTGGTGGTACGTGAGACAGACGATATTTTGATATTATTCCTAGTTACAATGTATAGTCGAAAGTATTGGCAAATTATAACATCATTCCAATTTTCTTTTGATAGCTGTTTAGCGAGATCTTACCTCTTGGCTAATAGGATCATACTATACATACGTAATATACTGGCGTGTATTTCATGTTTTAATTCGTTAAAAGTTTTAAAAATAGCACTATTTAAACTTACCTTGACGCGGCGGAATGCGTGACATTTTTATACTTGTTTTTAGATGCTTGAAACGTAATCAGTCAGTCTCGTCAGACAACTAATATATGTGTCGTTTATAACAGGTCCGATTCCAGCTGGATGGCAGCGAAACGGAAAAATAGAATTCCAAGATGTTAGCGTCCAGCATCAACCGGATGCGTCAGTTATTCTTAAGGATGTCAATTTTACCGTGGAAGCTGGACAAAAGGTAGTTATGAATATATTCATAATAAAAAGGAACACTAAAGGAATTATATAAAATTAAAATCGATTTTAGATTGACTGTAAGGATAGACTATAGAAAAACGATTTTTTTAATATGCCTACCTTCTAGGTTGCAATATGTGGTCGCAGCGGCAGCGGAAAGTCCACATTGTTACTCACTTGTGCTGGTGCTACAACGATTAACCAAGGTCGTGTACTAATCGATGGACAGGATATAATGGAAGTCCCGCTAAAACCTTTACGTCACCGTATAGTAGTCTTACCCCAGGATACAATGGTGTTCTCTGGGACGTTAAGGGAAAATTTGGACCCACTTGCCGTCCATACTGATGAAGAGATATGGCAGTGCTTGAAAGCAGTTGGGTTATATGACTTCGCTAGTGCCCAAACTGCCGGACTAGGTGAGCGTAAAGCACAGTAATTCTCTGGAGTTTAATTTATACTCACAAACGTTCGCTAAAAATTTAAATACATACAGTTAAAACAAGATTCAAGAATATACATATTACCAATTAATAATTAAGTAACACTCATATGTCAATGTATAATTCTTAATTCTAATACACATCAGTAGATGGTTAAATCTCTTTTACACACGTTATATACCTATCTTTTACGAAAAAATAGTAGATAAACTTGTTGATCGATATTTTGGATCATTTCTGTCTTTTATATTTCCGAGTAATCTGTTGACCAATAAAAGTGTGGAAATAAAACACTTTAACGGTTTATATATTAGTCGAACTTATTTATTACTTTGACATAAGAGATACTCTCCATCTTTAATCTCCCCACGACCACAGCAGCTGCAAAACATCTAAACCTCGGGCCGTAGTTTAAATATTTTAAAAATAAGTTTAACAAATATGTTTCGCGTTTTAAACCGTAAAAATGTTTTTTTTTAACTTTTATTCATGAGTTTTATCTAACTCAATAGTCCTTTACTTAACAGAGTGTCTAGTAAGCAATCGCAATGGAGGCTGGCTAGGAGGTGGCCGTGTGGGAAGGGTATGTGCTGCGCGAGCTGCGTTACACGCTCGACCTGCTGCCGCGTTGCTGCTAGACGAGCCGGCTGCAGCTCTTGATAGTTCCGCCCAGCGGGCTTTACTCCGTGCTCTTGCTTCACTCGCACCACATATAACAATCATAACAGTTGCGGTAAGTTTTTGATAAGCGTGGAGTCCTTGGTGGAATTGAAAGCCTTAACGTGAGATCTATTATTTGTTTTGGACATTTTTTTACTTACTGAACTCTATAGAAAAACTATAAAGCTGTAGAGTTTGTTTGAACGCGATAATCTCAGGAACTACTGGTGCGAATTGAACAACGATTTTTGTGTTGATGAAAGAATGATTCCTCTTTAAAGATCTTAAGAAATTTCCCTGATAGTTTATGTCTATCTATTAAAATGAAAAAGCCATCTCCCCGAAACGTCGGGCTTAAAATAATTTTAAAATTTTTAACTAATATATTTCGCGTTTTATTTAAATATTTTGCCGTTACTAAAATTAATAATATGTATAACATTTTAGCACCGAATCTCATCAGTCCGCGAATATGACACCTGCGCAATACTCGAAGAAGGTCGCTTAGTGGAGCGCGGACACATCAATAACTTGCTCTCTGACCCGTCCAGTCGACTCTCGCGCATGTTGACGTCTCCTACGCAATTAATATAGGGGATATTTATAAAGCTGAATATTACCAAAAAGGTGCTATACTTACCTACATTTTTCTAAGCCAAATTAGATAATTAGACGTGTATTTTCCATAACCGCTTTTATAAATGATCATTATTTAATAGTTTTTACTTGATCAATGGTAATTTAATATTGAATACGAAAGAAAATACTTATATGCTCCACAATGTGCACATACTAATCTAGTTTAGACTAAATGTTTGTATTAAAATATTGTAACATGTTCTTTTTGTAAAGACTGATATTTATAAGCAGTTTGCTTACCCATAATTGATAAGAAGGGGCTCTATCTTAACTCCTAAATTTACCTCCCATTCAAATAAATGCAGCTATGTACTAAATAATTTGAAAGGAATAAAATCTGTACAAATAACATTTATACAAGTAGTTTTTAACGTATCCCAATGTACCTGCTCTATGAGACGGTTATAGAGGTCTTGATTTTTAAGATAGTAAACTTTGTGTTTACCCGGGACAAATATATGCAACCAAATGTGACTTACAAAATGGTAAACAAATAGGGTTATAATGGCACCAAATGTGTACAAAATATTTACTCCGTTGATGAGCTGGTTATTGACTTATACTTTTAACTGATTGAAACGACATTGAATGTTTCATTCCAATGTATTTAGACAACAATTGCATATAAACTCATTTAAAGCCGACATTGAGCGCGCCTCGCACGCGACGTGCATTCGTCAACATTACAACATATAATAATCACTACATAACAATTTACAACAATATTTACGTTGGCACCGATTTACATAGTTATACAAAAATATTCGTGTAACAACACAAACCATATAAAAATAATCACTTAGAGTAACTTACTATCGTAAATATACTAAAAGTTATTCTTAATTAAATCTCGACGTTTTATAAATTCTCCGTTTCACTTAACCACTAGATTGGTATCCACTTGTGTTCAGCCTGGCGGGTGATTGGTGCCGTTGCCTTTATGTTCGGCTACGACTTAAGTAAACAAAAAAATCTTTGGTTATGACTGTCTTATAAATATGCACAGTTTGATATCAAGGCACTTCTTTCAAATATATAGTATGATATCGAAAAGCATGGCGTCCTCTTGATGGAAAAAATATTAGCCAATGATATTTATATGGGATGATAATTCATCAACGTCTAAACAAACGCTCTGTTGATCTAATTTAACTTTTGATAACCGCGAATCCACAGACTGAAACCGGAAGGCGAATTAATCCTTCACGGCTTTTTCATCAGTAAACGGCGGGTAACACGGTCGTATTTTGGATATTCATGTTTTACTTCGTTTTGTTTTAAATCGAACCCACGACCCGTTGATTAGCCACAATTATAATTTTTTTAAACCAACGAGCCCGATATAGTGATGTACATTTTGTAACTAAGCAAATGCATTAAATTAAAATTAAGTATTTAGACAATTTAAACACTTGAATAAGCCCATTATAATAAATTTTGTGCGCATGCCTGGTAAAAAACCTCGTGAACACCAAATTGCACATTTATGACCACTCCAAGGAGCGGCATTTTTTAACTCGTCCTATCAATCAATCCATGTTTTTTCAACCGATTTGCTTGTCATACTTGAAATTATGTGAATTGAGTATTAAAGGCAGAATGTCTTAACAGTGTCTAAGTACAGTGCTTGTCTTTGTGTCCTTGAGCACTTCATATTACGTTAGTTTTTATCAAAGCAATGCTGAAAATTAAAGTACATTCAACGAGTGTAAGTCTAGACGGCTTTATGATATCTAAAATGGCTGAATACTGAAACGCAAATAACAAATGAAGATCACAAGACAACAACTATCGAGATAAAGAAAATTATTTAAATACTGCCTGTAGTTGACGCGAGTAGTAGGCATTTAAATGAAATACTTTAACGGTTTAAAACGCGAAATATACGGGGCGGAGTCGCCGCGTGACCACGGCTGCTGCAAAGCATCCTAAACTTCGGACCGTAGTTAAACAATGTTCAAATAAGTTTAACTAATATATTTCGCTTTTTAAACCGTTAAAGTGTTCTAATAAAAAAAATAGGGTTTTTTGCTTTGCGTATCAGTATTCACCCTGCGTCCCTGGGGGATAATTACACCATACTTTTAATTGCGATGGGAGGAATTTTACGAGATGTCATTCGGGAGTGGGGAGTACCTAATTTCGTGACGTCATATTCGTCCCATGGACGGGGAGGGGCGAACATTTAAGTCACGGACAGGACTTAAATGTACATAAGAACAATAAGGATACTTTAATAAATGCCCTTTCCAGTTACATTAAATCGGTTGAAATTTCGAGACTAACCATAATTGGGGACCAAAACTATCTCCGCAGAAGCGAACACCATTTTTACAATAACTAACAACATCCTCGCCCGTGCTGCCATCTGCCTCTTATAACCGAGGTACATAGTTCATGTCCTATCGTCACTAGTGTCGCCATCACAAAAATAACGTGTAATGGAAATAAGTAGAACACTTGTTGATCACTAGCATTTTTTCAGACTACGCTAAAATGTTATTTAGTTTCTTGCACTATAATATCGGACACGTTTATAGCAAGAATTATCACACAGTAAGTTTGAACGTTGGATTGATATTGTGTATGTACGACAGAACTCTTTTTAACAAAATCACACAATGTTACGCGTCTTACAGTGCAGACCATACTCTATAACAGTCTAGGAGTTGCCGATCTTTTCAGTTATAAAAAAACCGTATTATAGCGTAGTCTGAAACTAGCTCAACCCAAGTGGGCGTGTCTCTTGCGACGTTTGGGCGTGGCTACTGGCTAGTGACGACACAGCGCACGTTAGGTCGGCTCCGTCTTGACGGCTGCAGCTGCAGCCCGTGCCTCTTCCGCCAACCGTTCGGGGCTCGACAGGATGTCCGTAGTGGTGCATAACACGCGCAATGAATTCAACACCGCTGTAAAAATAAATTATTTAAAAAATACTGCATTTATAATTAAAAATAACGACAAGCATAATTTTAAATAAAAATAACGCCTAAATGTAGTAGAAAAATTAATGTGACGCCCACTATTTATTAATTGAGGCCGCTAGAAGTAAAGTACCCTACTTACAATTTTATGACTTGAGTAGATAAATATTTTCATAATCTAAAAGTCTACAATCTACAAGAGCACAGTGACCGAAAATTGTCAACTTTCTTACATAAATAATAGTACAAACTCATTTTCGGCTAAGGTAATTGCGCATTTTTATTTTTCTCCTTATTGAAAATGATGTTTTTTGTTATTAGGCCACTCTGCCTCTAGCCTCAATTCATAAAACATTATAAAAAACTATCTATTACAACGCAAGAGTAATAAATATTAAAGTGTAAATACCCATTTGTTTTAAAGTAATGTATAAAATACCTGGCCGCATTTCGACGAGGGAACAATGCTGCTCGGCCCAGAGCAGCGTGGTACGTACAAGATCTGCGCGGCTGCTGCACGAGACGCATGCGCTGAAAGACTCAACTAACGCCGCGCTTACAACGCTAAACTGAGTTTTAGCTAAGGACTGCTATAAAAAGCTATATAATCCAAGTACATTTAAAAAATAAAAATTCACGAAGAAATCTTTAGACCGTGACATTTGAAAAAGTATATATTTATATTTTTATAAATACAAATGTATATATTTTTTTCGTTATACATTATAAAGCTGAAGAATTTGTTTGCTTGTTTGAACGCCCTAATCTTTGGAAATAATAGTTCGAATTGAAAATAATTTGTGTTGGTTAGAGCATTTACCAAGGAAGGTTTTAGGCTATAAAACATTACGCTGCGACCAATAGAAGCCACAGTGGGAAATGAGGAAAAAGCGGAGAAACTTTTGTGAAAACGGTTCTAGGTACACAAAAAAGTGTATGAAAGAATGATTCCTTTTTAAATGATCTTAAAACATCCGCGACAATTTATCTGTTAAAATTAACTTGCAAGAACGGACGCGGATGACGTCGTGGGTGACAGCTGTAATTTATAGAGGACGTTGGCAATACCAAATACGCGGATGAAGTCGCGTCAACAGCTAGAGGAGCTAGAGATTCTCGTCACAATGATAATGGTAGCGAGTTTACTTCATGTTCAAAAAGGATACCAGCCAATACTTCCAATTGTGCATCGTTCTTGAGGCAACATGCGCGGCGAACATCTCGCGGAGACGACTTGCGCGACCCCGGGACACTGGGGCGCCTGTTGCCGGCAACAGCGAGTGGCAGTTACTGTTATTAATGAGAAACAAATTAAACATTTTATTATAGAAATCTATAAACCAGGCGGAAGTTTAACCAGAAATATATATTTATCAAACTTTATGGGGTACCTGTGACGGACACGTCGGTGTAATGGTAGCAATTGATGGCTAATGATGGTGGGGCGTGGGTTCGATCCCCCGATCCAACATAGGCAGGAAGTAGGACTTCGTATCTGGATATTAAATGTTAGGAATATCGAAATTCCGTCCGGTCCACCGTCTATAGATGTAAAATCCATGATTAATCGCGTTTCAGTATGTGGTTTTCCGAATATCCAACGCCAAAAGATGTTAAATGGCTGATGTAAAAAAAAATCCGAAAGAGCCTTCGTCTGAGTTTCCACCTGTATACACATGATTATAAACAATCGAACGTATTTTTTAAGACTGTAGTGTACAATCGCATTCTGTCTCACTTTTAAACACTGAAAATGGTAAATGAGACCAAAAAGGGGCAACACTTACGATATGGAATTATTTAAACATTCAATTTGCTGCCTTAAGCTTTCCATTTCTTCCTTAATTTGGTTCCTTTCAGCCTTCAGCTGTTTTATGTACTCGGCTCCCTTTTGCAGCATGGCAGCTTTACTTATCTGTAAAATATTTAGCAAATTATTAGGTTACGAAGAGTTATGTGTATATTAAATATTATTGTATAAATTTGGTAGTTTGTCAATAGTGGATAGATTACTATTGATTGGATATACTGACTTTCTTTCATTTAAAATATCCAGAAAGAAATTCATAGATGAGTAAGTTCATTTTTTTTAACATTCACATAGCGTATCATTGTTTTTCGCTATCACAAGCGGACGGCATCAACAGGGCATTTTGTCTCGAGCAATAGAGGAGTGGATGATGGCGAAACGTCGAGAACCTCTTCTCGCTCACGTCGGCCCAACAGCAAGAAAAACAATGTTATGTGAACGATGGCCGTGAAACCCTTACACAATTTATTAGTCAGTCATATAGTTATTATTTCTTGATAAAAATAGGTCTTGGTTTAAAATGTGGTGAGGGTATAAAAATCACGAACCTTAGCAGCAGAATTGGAGTTAAGATGCGGTATTAAGGCTTGGAGAGTGTCGAAGCCATTCTTAATGTTGTACCGGCGCTTCTGCTCCGCATGCAAGTGGGTGCGACGCGGCTCACGCGGCGAACCGTCGCGGGGTGAACCCGGAGACCCTCCCGGTGAGAGCGACTGCGCTCGCGACTGTAACAAGCATTCCATACAGCTGCCTATTACAAGCTTTTCGAGCTATTTAGATTTGAAAACTTTTTTATATTTTTCACATGTTATTACTGTATTATTGCACATGGTAGCTGTATATAAATTGCGCGAGAGGTACATGTATCAATAGGTTGAAAAAATGCGACGATGACGTGTAGGACACGGTAGCTCATTTGGTTAGAGCAACAGCACGGAACGCTTTGGATGCGGTTCGAATCCTGCCCGTGTCGAATTTTTTTCGCTGTCAATTTATAATCGATTTGTAATTTAACTTTATTATATTACACATGATGGTTTTATATAAAATAAAAATCTGTTTACATTGAAAAAGACACACATCCGTGCTACTGCTCTAACCAACTGTGGATGCACATTTTAAAATTACCGTTTAGATCTATTATAAAAACTGGAAGCGAGATTTGCAACCTATAGAAGCAGATGTATTTTATTAATTTAAAGGGATTAAAACGGCTGTAGAAAGTTAATATGGAAAATAAGAAGTTTGTAATTCTGTGCATTTCTTTAATATATAATATAAATACATTTTAAAGACACAAATTCTCATAGATAATTTAAAGTATAATATACGGATAGTAGTAACCTATCTATCGTGTATAAAAATATGTAGGTCACAATGACATGACACGACAATACTTTAAGAGTTTTTTCATTAAATAGCGGCAAATGATATCTTTTTATGATTACGTTAACCGCGATAAGAGCAGCCGAGACCGAAGTCTAGTGTTGGAGACGATTTTGCACAACTCGAGAGCGTGATACGTAGAAAACAAAATGACAAATTATCAAATCCGATAAAGATAAGGGATATAACGTCAGATAACATAGGCCTTTTACGCGATTTCTTAAGTATAGTGTTTTTTCATGATAAAAAACCCGTATATAAAATAATCTCTTATTTGTTCCTAAACACAAAACCTCTTTAATAATTCCGTCATCGTTAAAACTATTTACCTACTTATCTGCCTTTGCAACTTTCTTCTTCCCACTAATATAAATTTTCGGATCTTTCAAGACTTTCATTTATAAATTTTACCTATCCAAATATTAAATTGGGGTTTCTCTTATTTGCCTTGGATTTTACGTGTACCTTTTTGATTGTTATTCCTTACCTACCCCATTAATAAACCCTTTTCTATTTCTTTTTTCCTGTACTTAAGGTTGCTTGGAAGAGATCGCTTAACGATAAGGCCTTTCTTTTATAAATTAGTATGTATGACATTTCACAATGTTTTCCTTTTGTGATAAGGAGTATAAATAATAAAGCTGTAATAAATAAAATAAGAAAAAATATAAAACTCAAATGCTTTGCCCTGAACCACTGATTGTCTAAACTCTAAGGGTAATGCAATAAAATTTTACAGTCAAACATATAATATACAATCGAAACTTTATAACAAGCCTTTTACGTGTATAGATTTAAACTATATCAAGTGTATTATAGTATGGAAGACAATTTCCACTATTACCTACATGGGGGTTGTTTATCATATATAGAAATACTGTATCATAATATTGTCTTTTATATCGTTATATATCTCCCTTACAAATGCATACACCGCACTGCAGACTGACACGTGTAAAGGCTTAATCAAAATTTTCAACAGATAAAGACGATATTTTCCAATATCTCGCATTGAAACAAAACAATTAGCGTTATCTTACATGATGGGGTGACATGATGTCACTGCCAATAGGAGACGGCTGCCCTCTCAATACCGGAGACTTCATCGGATCGGAATTGAGACCCTCCTCCGCGCTGCTATTGAGTTTGTAGAGGCTTTGAGCTGTAACAAAATAGTTTGCATACAAATGGACTGAATGGCAGAAGACACGGATCTAGGCATTTCAAGGTTATCTGTTACTTTTTTATCTGTTTTAGTTCTTTAATACGGCTCTTTCACTCACGATAGAGCTGTTGCATATTGCCAAAGATATATTGGAAGAAGAAGAGAGGGAAGTATTCAGTATTCAAAAAAGTTCTATATATGTATAATAAGAGATAGCTATCAAGCGGTTTGTCCTTAGTTTCATCAATTTTATTTAGTGTTATGTTCTGTGACAATAAATAATATCTGTATTTAAATATTTATAGTTAGAACAGGTTACGAACAGTGTTGTGCTGAAAGCAGCTGCGCTAACATGACGCTGGCTTGAGGTAGCGTAGGCTCCGAAGCGACGCTCGTCAGCGGCGGTGGACGGCGCGGGACGCTCGACGAGCTGCTCGCCGAACCATCCACCACGGTACTGCTCGATGTCGAGCGCGAACGGAAGCGAATCGCGCTCGAATTCGGGTTCTGCTCACGAGCCTAAATTCAAACAACCTTATAAGTTAATATACCAACTGTTATCGCTTATATAGTTTCGCTAGAGGTTCTGAAAGTTATAAATCAATCGAACAGAACCGAGAATTATGATCACTTACTAGATTAGTATGACAATATAACATAGGACGAAATCAAAGAAGGGACAATTATTAAGACTCTACAAAGAAACAGGAAAGTTTGAAGGGACATAGTGAGAGTCGGATAACCCAATGACCTCCGCAAAGGCGGAATGGGGTGTCGAAACATATATCCCCCCTTATAGGGATATCTGCCCTTATGCATCAGACGCGACAATTTAAAAATAAATAATAGATATTCAAAAATTTCGTTTTAAATTGTCCCCGCTTTCCATAGCGCATATTGCATAATTTCTATAATCTGAATTCGGATACAACCAATTAATCAGTTGTGTAACTAACTGTTTCATGTAAATAACTTAAAGTATTGCCATTTCGACAGCCGATATCTCGTCCTTCCGGTTAGATAAGGAACGTCCAATCTTAACATTTAATCTTGTAATCAGAAGCAATAAATAGGAATGCATAGTTTAATAAAACAGACCGAGGTTATCCGATTCTATACCTATATATAAATAATCTGTTGAAAATTAAGGAAATGATAATTTATAATAGAATCTGAATTATTGGCATCTTGAATCATACGGGGGGGGGGTGTATTAAGGTAAATGAAAAAGAAACTGGCACTAACGTGGAGTATAATGTGGAGTAATGTGACCAGACGAAGAGATAAAAAATATCGTGTTGGTTGTTAATTATTTTTTAAATGGTTATTTAATTAATGGCTTACCCTAGCGTTATGAGGGACAGGCGCATCATGCGCTGTGGAGGGTCCACTCACAACCCAGTCTGCGTTCAACTGGGATCCCAGGGGCAAGCTGTGCGACCGGAATTGGTCCTTACTGCGAATACTTGCCGAACTAACAGAACTCGTCCCGGGCGTAACCTGCAACTGTAACTGCTTCCTTATACACGTGAATTATACTAATATTATAAAGCTGAAAGTTTGTTAATTTGTTTAGCGCCGCTAATCTCAGGAATTACTACACCTAATTGATTTTTTTTTGTGTAGATTGGACCATTTATCGTGGGCCCTCCAGGGCGCATGGCTAAAGGCTATCTAAACACCAGGCTGCGACGATTAGGCGCGGAAAATAATTCATCTTTGAGTGAACTGCGAAAACAAGTTTTATAAACCAGACATAATGATTTTCCTTTAATTTAGAAAACTGAGGAGTTTGCAAAAATAAATAATATGATGCCCAAAATAACTATTTCACGCAAAAGAAGTCGCGAGCACCTCTAGTATCTTATAAAGCCTATATCAATACTTTATCGACTATAATATGGTAAGTTTATTAATTTTGGCCAATAGGACTTGCATTTTTCTGTTATGAAGAATATGGCATTTCATCGTCAATTTCCGTTAAACTGAATATCTTTTATTTGCCAAAGGGTATATTATACCTGTTGTGTGGTCGTGGGCGCCAAGGGAGGCGAGGGCAGTTTGAACGAGCGCGTATTGGGCACCGCCGGCGCAGGCTTGACCTTGTAATCCGTCGCATTGAGCTGCAAGTACTGCATCTGGGGCGAATTCTGTCGCACTGGCCGAGCATCGAAGTTCTGCGGCACGTGAGCCTGACATTGCACGGGCTGCGAGTAGTTCTGATACTGGGTGTTCGTTATCGGGCTCGAATAATGCCCAATACGATTTCGCGGCTTCTCTCTATTGTACCCGCTCCGCCCTTGAATTACCACAGTGGAAGCGTACTTCACGTTTTGCACTGGTTGCTGAAGTAGCGACACCGTCTCGGGTGCGGTCTGTGATGGTGGGAGAGCTAAAAGAGATTCATAGTTAATTAAAATAGGAACTGAAAAACAATAACCATCTCTACAAAGTTTAACGTCGGGCCTTATTAATAATTTGTAAACAGAGTGTTAAATTCTAAAAATGTTTAATTCCGGAACATAAACCACTAGACGGTCATTTTAAAACAACTAATTATTGATACGTTTATTATACTATAACTTACGCGCACTATACTTCGGATAAGACTCCTGCTGTGGAATGATTTTATGCGGTGCGTTCACGTACTGCAAACGTGGCGTCTTCGTATACACGTTACTATGAATTTGTTGATCGGTCTGAGAGGCCGATTGCTGCTCGAACGACGGTTGCGGATATGTGGGCATTATTTGTGGATTGTTCAGGAGGTTGTTCTGAATTTCTGTTTCCGGATACATCCTTTCATTGCTGTACATTCTCATGGGCTCATTTTTAGTCTGTTCCGACATGGGCATTATCTGAGTATTATTGTTGGTACCTGTGATAGGAATTTCATTATATATGTGTATAAAAGGGAGATACATCACAGTTGAAGTAAACCTACCGTGAATGGTCATTTGACTGGTAGGCATCGTGGCAGTGGGCGCGCTATGACTCCCAGTAATGTAGTTTTGTGAAGAGTATGAATCGACGGACATCCCACTTCGGTACGACATTGGATCTTCAGCGGGAATCGTCGTTTCTTCGGGCACGGGAGGCAAACGCGAGGTAGACGTCAGAAGATCTATAGATTGTATCATTTCAAATACCGTATTTTGTGTATATATAACAGTTACAGATAAGAGTGTCGTGAAGTTTACCGTGAAGTGGCTCCAATGTGTCCATAAAATCATCAAGATTAGGCTGCAAGGGACCTAAGCTTGGTTGAATGAAGTCAGCTAAGCTTGCGCCCCTAGCTAAAATCAACACAATCGTATAGATTATCTCATCGCATTAAACAAAAAACTCTCGATGCAAGTACGGTAGTTAGTACCAATTTCCCTGCTATCGGGGAAAGCGAAAGGTTGGTGATTGGTAATAGTGGAGAATAGTGTGTCGCTCATGAAGTTAAGATAGTCCTCGTCTGTGAGCATGTTGCCTGCGAGGTCGCTGCACTGGGACTCCACCGTATCCATATCCGACATCTGAAAACCGGATAGTTGAAACATCTGGAAAGATAGTTTCTCTATAAAGGTATCATTCTAGATAAGGTTTGCAATATTAAACGAAATGAGTGGCAAGGAAGAGAGCTTAGGTAAATATAAACTTACCGTGTCCTGGACAGAGGTGTCCCCCTTGCCAAGGAGTCGCATAATATGAAACATGCGCCATTTTTTATATTCTGCTATAACCGCTTCTGCTCTTCTTTTCCAATACTTTCCTTCGAGAATTGTAGTCTAGAACATAGCAATAATTTGATATTCTTGTTATAATTATTATGCAAAAAAATAATTTTAATGATTTGGATACGCACTTCTGGTTTCACGTGCGTATCAACATCCAGAGGAGAAGCAAACTGGCACACCAAGGTATTTTGTTTCTTTATAACTGAAAAAAATCGATGTATTACGTAACGCACAAAACTAACACTACATTTTTTGCAGCAGATTTATCAAACGCGAAACAAAATGTTTATCTCTGAATATATTTTAGAAAAAATATCGTACTACCTTAAACCTTCTTTTGTTCAGTTTGTATTTTCCAACTAGTATCTAACATAATAAGCCCTAAAGCACGAACCATTACCCTTTCCGTGTAACAAAACATTGTGAAAGTGTAATAGAAAATATTAGTTCTAACGGAGCACGAGTGAACGCCGAGCTCTATGCACGGTCAATTTATCTCTGAAACGGATTTATAACGTAGGCGCGCCTTGATAAGACACTCTCATTATTTCTATAGCGATGTATTAAATTTGTATGGGCTAGATGCCGCCGTATGTTATCACGGGCCGCATGGTTTCTGGAGTAACTTTAGCGTGATTTTATCGTTTTAAGGTAAATGACCCTATGAGTGCATCGCTAAGTGGCAATTCCTAACAGCTTATATAAACTAAAAAATATATGACGAGACCCCTGCATCATAACAGACAAATAATAACTTTTTCAATCTTTAATTATGAAAAGTTTTCTTTATTAATCACATTAAACTGGTTCTAACCATGGAGCAATTAATTAAAACCTCATTCAATAATAAATGTGTACCTACACACTAGTATAATGTTAGATGCAATGATATATTGAGATTATTATTACATTGATCAACAATAACTGATACTGCATAAGACTAGATTCTTGCCCCCATCGTAAGACACTTTGTAATGAGTACAGTTGTTGTTTAGTATAGACAGTCAATGCATGACATTTAATTTTGTTAGGTTTTGTTTGTTCAATCAAAGATAAGTTTTTTAGTTTGAAAGAGATTAAAGTTTTTGAAAACTATCTTTCCAGATGTCTAGACTTTATGCGTTTCAGGTCTACACCACAATGAGACTTTTAGGCTGCATGATATAGTCAGTCATTCAAAACAAAGCATTTTATTTGTATAGACTGTTGTTGACAAAAGATTAAATGTATTTACTTACATTGCATGTGCCAACACCTCCATATAACATTATTCAATCTGATTTTGTCCTTCCACCGAAGCTTTATACCTTTGAAACGATTCCATTTGGGTGACGTTAGTTTCTGTCTAAAATTAATACATTAACAGTTTTTACAATAACACTTACCATTTTCAACTAAGGTAACACAAAAACTTATTCACACTGAGAAGCGAATAAGCAACTATATTAACAGTAAAAGTCCTTGAACTAAGAAAAAACATTTTTGAATTGGTAATAGTTAAGAAAGACATGTTCAAGACAATTGAATAATCAGCCAGCACAAATGTACAGCCTTGGCGGTACTGTACAGCTAGAATTTAATAGTTAACAGTATTTATATCTTATCACCAACACTATCAATAGTGGGTCTTAAGCTTATTTTAAATAACCAGGTGATAAGAAAACAACCTGAATGCCTTATCTTTATTTTAAGCACTTGAAGTATACATGGATACATCAAAATATTTGATGGCAATCAAATTTTTTAAAGATATTATATTCATTAAAACCTGTACTGTAGATATAAATAAGAATTAAGTATAGCAGTATATTTTGTAGGTTTAAATATGAATAGGCTCAATTATAATCGCCTTTATTTTAATATATAAATATTGCAAATAATTCCATCAATTGAATAGAACAACAGCTGCTGTTGTTGTTATACTGTCTTTGCTTACGATTGTTAAAACATTTGAAAACATTAATATTTTTTTAATTTAACATGTTATTTATTGCACATGAAGGCACTACATAATTTAAAAATCAAAAATAAATTGCTAAAACATGCTAATAATTTCAGTAAAGAACTTAATATTTGATTCAGAATAGAAATGTATGAATGTGTTAACAATCAATAACTGATATAAAGTATTGTAACTTTAAACTGCTATACAGATTTTAATACAACAAAAAATATATTAACAATCTAATAAAAAAGGTATGATAGTATGTAATATTTATAAATATACAACAAACAGACGAACTTATCACTTTGATTGACCTGTGTCTTTGGTAGCTACCCTGATGACCTTTTGTTATCTTTGCACACCAAAACCAATAAGAAAATGTGTTTCCTTATTTCCATTAAAATGTTGCTGCTTCCATGAGTTTATAGAAATTTATATGTCCAAAAATACATATTATTTTTTTCATAATATGTATAAACTATTTAATACTTTCTATAAATAAACTGCTAACATTAATAACATGACCTTTCATTCTGTCTTTCAAAGTTTGTCTTAAGGTCTCTAGTGGAAAATAACCAAGGAATGACAAAAGACAAACAGTGCATGCTGGAGATTTAAAGTTATTGAATAAACTCAAGAGTATGATGACCTTAGGTTCTCTGAATGTTTTTATATCAACCAGTATGATGAAATAATTTAAAAGTATTACCTGTAAGCCAATGTCATACATTTGAATAGTTTGGTAAGCGATATTTCAATAGAAAGTTGTTGATGTTGTTTACTTTCTTCTTTATCTGTAAGATGGAATGTTTCAATCGGTACAGGGACCGTGTAGGTTGCTACTGTAGTTTCCTTATGAACATTTTGCTCTTCTTCAGGAATGGGTACTGCTAAATCGTCATAATCATCTTGATCTTCAGCTTCAAAATGCGACACCATAAAGTGGCCAGAATGTATTGCCTCCTTTTCTGGCCTGGGTTGGCGTTTCTCTACATGAGTCATGGTTTTGCCGTCTTCACTTACAATGTTAATATAATCAAAATAACTAAAACTTAAATCTACTGCTTGGGTCAGCTTTTGGGTTTAGCTATATCCATATTTTCACTTATCACTCACATTGTTTTTTTCCACATGCCTGACATTTCACATATGTAATTGTATTACTACATAATGTTGCTAGTTGTTATAATATTAACGATAAATCCCATGACAACAATTTTACTGCAAACTTTACTCTTGCATTAAATTAATGAAAGCGAAAGAAATCATATTCAAAATGTTTTAGAAACAGTACTGTAATATCAGAGTACGGTTATAATTATTATACAAAACATCTAAAAATCTTACGGTGTTTTAGGCAAAGAATTGACAGTGACATTTTTTTTCAAGAAACGTCATTCTGTATGATTTAAGTTCTAACATTTTTATTTCAAAATACATTTTGTTTTGTATTCCGCGTTTTTTGGACAGTCAAATTATATCTTAATTGTCTTGTAGTCCTAAATAACATTTTTTTTTAATTCACCGCCCGTCTTATGTAACTTTTACAGAATATAGCTATTAATAATCCAGTAGATCTGCCATCAAAAAAATTTCAAATACTACTTACGTACTTTTACTGGACCATCGTTTTTTTGATAAAATTTTATAATTGGAAATGCATTCTCCAAATGTGTCATCGTCTCCATCATATAAAAACTTAAAGTATAAACATTCACAATCTCCGATTGAGTTGAAAGAAAAGATGCGAAAGGTATTAACATAAAAAAAATAAATGCGAAACTGTTTGGTACTATTAAAATTTATTACATGTAAACTTTTTATATTAAAGGACTACAAAAGCAAAGTTCGCAATTGTCGAGATATGTTATTAAATAGACTTAGAGGACCAGAAGTTGCATCTGACCTCCGAGGCAAGTTAACTGATCTGTACAAAGACATGTTTGACTCCATAAATTTGTCTTTAAATGAAGAAGAAAATGATGTGCTAGAAGTAATAAAGCAGGAGCTAATTCAGGAAGAACTGGATTGGTAAGTAATAAATACTTATATGCTTTAAAAAATAATATTATTATAATGGCTCCAAAATCATTTAATATAAGTAATTACATTTTTTTTAATTTACAGGTTTAACGAAGAGTATGAGAAATATCAAATGGATAATGTTGATTGGTCTTCATACCACAATGAGGATCATGTAATATGTCCAATTTGCCAGAAAAATAACTTTAAACTAAAGAACAGATTGCTTTCTTGTGAGCAGTGCAAAATTGAAATTAAAACAGATAACATAACATTGGGAGAAATAAAGAAGAATATATATCAGTGTATGGAGAGACACAGTACAAAATGTGACAGCAATGTTCAATTCTCTGTAATATCTGAAAGTGGCTCTAGTCACATTTACCTCATATGTGATGCTTGTATAGATATGCAATTAATTGTTTGAATAAAAGTATTGTTAAATTTAAGATAAAACTTTATAGCAGCGTTTGAAGAGGGTTTTAATTCCAAAATAAAACAACCGTTTACAAAATAAAAATGACCTTTTAATTCAATTCATGAAGCTTGGTAACAAGGTATATTGTTAGTTATTTTTATACTCTGTCACATATTAATATCCATATTCAGGTTAGAACATTTTAATACATAATATTATGATTAAGTCCTACCAAACATTAAGCTAATCGGTAACTTGTATAAAATGTACATTAATAATAATAGTATAAAACAGTACCATTTATTTTACGGACACAATACATGGGCAGCATTTGTAGTTGAATTCATTCTTAAGTTACGGTCAGCTAAGTGAATTATTCTAGGCCTGCAAGAGAAAATGAGTCATTACACACAGTATGAGACATGTCCATAAATGTTATTTTATTTTCTACTTTTTCTCTAACTTTTTAAGGTAAAATTTAGTAATACCTTGCATTTTTATTATTTTAGCTATAAATGAATTGTACTCTTGCTCACTAATAACATCAAAATAATTTTCAATTTTTTAAAAAGTTTATAATTTATTTATAAGAAATAAAACAATGTAGTTCAGGATGCCAAAGACTATACTAAATTCTGTATGTCATTGGTAGTCTACCATTGAGATAAAATGGCTGAGTCTTATGTATAGTTGAAGATATAAAAATATGCTGACATAGTTTATTATAGTTAATAGTTATGAGAAGACGTCAATGTCTGTTCTAACAGCTGTTGAAAGTCTAGAATAGAATTCTTTTATTCAGATAGGGCAAAAGACAAAATCTGAGTAAACATACAATAATTTGCACGACCGACAAGCAGAAATGTAATGCTAACTCAACAGTTGAAACCCCATCACAAAGCATTTATTACTTCTGTTATTCTATACTTTAGAAAGTATACTTACTATATTGGTAAACCTTGTACATCCATAAAGTCCTCTGCTGTAGCATGTGGATGCGAGTAAGTTGAGGAAGCATGTGGTATAGTAAAGGCATTAAGGTGATGTGGTCTGGGGCGCCGCGGTGAGCGGGCTGTGATTACGCGAGGCTTATGAATTTCGTCCATAACTGAGGGGGCGACGTATGTGAACCCCTGAAAGCGTTATTTACATTTTAAGAACCACTTGTTTGATTTCAATCTTTATTATTTAATTGCCCTTCTCATCGTAATAGCGGTACTGAAAAGCAATGCCTCTTACTTACGCTGATACAACGTAATCGGTCTTGCAATTAAATATGCACATTGCATTGTCAATATCTTTTAAATTTGTAAATGTTCTGCCACCTAAATGTGTAGGGATCGAAGTTATTGGAAATCCGATGGTGCAATATTTTGGATGAGACACACACACCATAGAAAAAACATAACGAATTGGTCATTAACTTTTTTATATTTTTCACCTTCCATCCCTGTCATGTTGTAGAAAGACATTTTTTCAGTTAAAAGTTTACCCCTTTTAAAATAAGTGTTGGGACACTAATGAACACATGAGCAGATGGTGATACATCTTTCACCATTTTTGGTTTTCAGAGAGTCAATTTCTCAAGACTGTTTAAATTATTCATTTCATTTGCTTACCTGAAACATCATATTAGCACTTTCACTTAGGGTAGATTCATCAGGAGAATCAATAGGAGTTTGAAGAGTAAATCTTGTGTCAAACTGGGAAACATCATCTTCACTGGACTAAAAAAAAGGTATTTCATAAAACTATATACATCTTAAGGCTTGAAAACGTTATTAAGGAAAATATGATAGTATTATGTAACATAGCAGTAAAGTTTTGTTATTTCCTCATTGAATGTTATATGAGTTTTTTGTTTAATATAATAATTAATTACAATAACAAAAACAACAACTGTGAACTGTACTTTTAAACTATTGATTTGTAATTGTCACTTTCTTATTTATTTAAATTTTAATTTAAGCTTGATATAAGCGAATAACTTACCAATTTTGGTTTAATAGGAGGTTCTAATCTACGGGCAAACACGTCATCCCAGTCAACATGTTTGAAGAAAGCATGGCCACGCACTGCAGCGGCACCAGCTGCGCCTAAGCGTTGTGTTTCTGAACGTTTCATTAGACGTCGTATCAGGTCACGAGCGTCTTGTGTGAGGTAGGCAGATAAAATAAGTTTACCCTTAAGAATTTTTTCTATAGTTTTTGTACGGTTGTCCCCAGTAAATGGAGGCTGAAATGTTGAATTCTTATATTAAAATGCTAACTTGCAACTGATTTGATCAACTACCAAATATTTTACTAATTACGCACCTGTCCAATTAACATATCGTACATTAATGCACCAAGACTCCACCAATCTACAGCTTTTCCATGACCACTCCTGGTCAAAATTTCTGGGGCCCTAAAATTGGGAGACATTAATTATAGTGTGTAAGATATAGTTGTGTTATCAAGCAAACTGGTCTTTCTGATCTTAGAGATATGAAGATACCTACTTTAATACCAAAAATTGCTTGGACTAAAATATTATATATATTCAAAAACTTATTGCTATTTCTTTTTTTTTATAGCTTAAGCTAAATAAATTTGTATGCAACTATTATTGACTATTTTAAATAAATAAAATAAGGAACATATCCATGACCTGGAGCAACCAGACCATATTGCTTGCAAGAGTTGTTATGTCCAGTTATACTTTGTTAAATGGAGCATACTCCACAAACTTAACAAATATAATTTGTTAGCTTATTAAAAATATAACTTATAATGTACTTGTATAAAGTACTATACTGTATTATAGAAACTTTTTTATTTTTTAAAATAATGACTTCTTTGCATATTTACTATATTTTGTGTAGACTTACATATATTCAATAGTTCCACAGAATGTGTGTGTTACAATGCCTTCTTGAATATGTTCTTTGCATAACCCAAAATCTGTAAGTTTGACATGGCCTTGTGCATCTAAGAGAACATTTTCTGGTTTTAAATCTCGATAAATTATGCCTAAACTATGTAAATGTTCCAAAGCCAGGATTATTTCAGATAAATAGAAGCTGAAACAAAATAATTACTTTGATCAATTCTCATCTTAGTCAAATTAAATAATAATTGCCTACAAACCAACTTTAACAGTACTTATCATTGCTTTGCACCAGACAGCGTAGATTTTTTTATTATACTTACCAAGCTGTGTCTTCTAAAAATATACCCTCTCTTTCAAGGTGCATAAATAACTCTCCTCCACTCAAATATTCTAAAATTAAATATAATTTACCACCAGTTTGAAAGGCATATACTAATTCAACTATAAATGGATGCTGCAACAAATAAATTTTATGATATTTAATTACTAGTAAATAAAATTAACTTAATTATGATTACAAACTGATGTTTAATATTCATTGCAACAATTATGGTTACATGGAATTGTATTCAAAATTTTTAAAAATGTTGTTAAACAAATGAACTAATATATTTTGCATTTTATACTGTTAACACTTTTTTATGTGTACTTCACACATTAAATTAATTACTAGGGCTATTTGATCCAATAATAATGTGTTTGGCTTACAAACAGCAGGGTGTGGGTTAGGTTCCCACAAGGTTATAACTTATCTACAACATGTCAAAAATTTGGACAAACAGAGATGTACAATAAAATGCCTTACAAGTAATTAACTGATGAAGTTGCCTTGAAATGAAAATTTAATGTTAAAATTTATTGTTTATGTAAAGCTAGGAAATTTTACTTGTCATCAAGTGAACCCTGTGCTTTTCTGTCCATCTAAATGATAAATAAAAAATAGTTATGTGGATATATACCTTAACTGCTTCTAAAATGTTTCTTTCAGCTTTAGTGTGAGCAGTGTCTTTTTGATTGCGCACTATTGAAGCTTTTTTTAGAACTTTCATAGCAAAATGTGCACCAGCATCGGTTCCTGTTATTTTTCTAACTTGGAATACTTTTCCATATCCACCTTTCCCCAAAACTTTACGTAATTCAAAGTCTTGGGGACCAAGACGTTTGCACTGACCAGGGTTTACATTGTCCTCTGATAGTTGTATTGTTTCAGAACCTTCAGCACTTAAAAATAAGCAGCACATAAGTAACTTTATCTACCACACCAAACAATTAATAAAAAATATAAAAACTCTTTTAGTACTTACTCAACAATATTGTTGACATGTAGTTCTGGATCATAATCAACCTATGGTAAAAACATTTTTTTAAATCGTGATGCTGTTACATATGGAAATACTTAAGAATAAGGTACTTATAGGTTATAGAAATAGCATGAAGTCTACTGGTAAAGTGATAAGAAATACAAACCTCATCTACGTCAATTATATCATCTTCATCAGAATCACCCACTGGAACTGTATCCACATCTAAATCTAAATCAAAAACACCTGCCATATAAGATGACATCTCACTAATATCACATCAGAAGATATTTTGTATTTTGCGTAGGACAAAAATCTTTTTAAAAGTTTGTTTAGAAACTACAAACAAATGATGTCAATTATGGTGCTTTTACTTGCTTAATATTTTGATTTAACACTTAACAATTACTGAATATAATTAGGGCAATTTTTATATTTCATTTACGAAAGATCAAACTGTGCTGTGGATCAAACAAGGCAGCGCTGCCAAGTTAAATGTTGCCAAGGTGAAAGACGACTTTTCGCTTAAATTATTGTGGTTATTGTGTGGTATTGTGTATATTATTGTTGTTTTTTAGTAGTGTTGTTTTTTCTGAAATTATAAATATCTCCATAAAAAATTAGATATCAAATACTATACGTTTGTACTGTTTGTATGTTCAAAAATTATTATATACCACAGTCTTATTCCATTTATCTGTGCTATAGTATTGTCAGTTGTCAAATTTGTCATAACTGACATAGTTGTTGCAAGTCGCAACGATTTATTTACAAAAAAATCTTTTTTAATTTTATATCTTTGTAAAAACAGTTTGCATTTAAATAGTGATATTTGCGAATGGCGATGCAGTGTTAACGTCTTTATAGGGGCAAAACTTGCCTTATAATCCTGTTACAACTCCAATGAAACCTTTCAATGGCTAGTGACAACGACAAAACTTCTGTTACTCATAACTTGGATGGATCTTTAAAAAGTAATAAAAAACATGTCAACGCAGTATTCAAAGGTACTTGTACATAAATATTTACTATGTAAGGTGTCAGTGGAAACATTCATATTATAACATTTTAGTTGACAACACTACTATACACTACTATATGTATAATATAAAGCGTTATTGTCAATAGTTTTATAATTAATGTTTTTTGGAATTTGGGACATACTATAATTATTGACTTATAAAGTATTTTATAAAAATTATGCTGATACATTGATTATGTTGCATATGTACATATACAAATTACTGTTTACCATAAATATGAGTCATAAATTCTAATACTATATTTCTTAATATAATCAAGAATAGTGTTGAAGTATCCTCCTACTTAAGGGTTGTAGTGTGCCACAGTTTATGTTAAGAAGAAAATAATTTGGATAGTTTTCCGGGTACTTGCATTTTAATATGAATCTCGGTTACGAAAAGTGTATAAACCTTTATTAAGAGTGAAAAATATTTAGATTATGTTAATAATCTTTAAATTTAAATGTAGACTTACTGTACAGGTTACTTATTTTTTACTTACAGATATATTTGAATACAAAATTTTTGAGGATACTTAAAAATGTATATTTGGATGTGCATTTTTTATCCTTTCCATATTATTTCATAAATATAGCAATTGTACTTTTGGTAAATTGACAGATCAAGTGACAAAAATGACAAGTGACATTGCATTTTGCTTTTATTCTTGTTTTGATTCAACCAAACTGATTGCTTCATAACAATTATTATTTTCACCTGTTTGCAATATCAATTGATATTTGCAATATCCTTCATTAATATGTGCATAGTTTAATGTGAACTGTTGAAAAATGAATATTCCACTAGAGGTTAGTACAACAGAGGAGGTGCCAGCAATTCTCAACACTTTGATAAAAACTTTATTGGTCAACAACAGTCAGACTGATTTAATGCAAAAGGATATATTTTTCCTGCTTATCCTAGTTCTTATGTTGGAGAATGGTTTTATGCCAATGAAGAATTCATCTGAATCTTTTGATGTCAAACACATTGATGTAAACATCATTACACATAAGCAGAGAGAATGTGGTTTCTACAAAGAAACATTTGTATTATCTGGATTGTATGATATTACAGTAGATATAATAATGAGTCCAATAGGGTCTGCTGTTATTTTAAATGCTGTTATCAATGACGACAGCTCAGAAATATATTCTATTTGTCTACCTGTAAGTCGCTTTGTGGTCTCACCCAAAGCATCAACAATTCCAATGATGTTTAGAGATTTGAACCACCTGTCTAACTCGTATAAGAACCAAATTGTTGCTCCAGTGAAGAGCAGAATATTAAGTTATTGTGGATATCCTAGTGCAAGTTTAGTAGGCGTACCTGAAGATATATTTATTAACTTAATGATGTTTTTGAGTGTCAATGATATAATCAATGTGTCTAAGACATGTAGAAGGCTCAAAGCGATTATTGAAGATAACAGCCTGTGGCATAGTTTATGTAAAAGAGATTTTAAAAACATTGTTCAAAGTGATGAAACAGATTGGAGAAATTATTACAAGGAATCATTTATCGCTGAACATGAACAGAAGTTTTCAAGATTGGCTGGTACTATGCATGACTTAATGGATGTGTCTGATATGGTCTCATACATTGATAATCCACTTTGGGGCGATATACTATAAATAAGTAGATTTTGTGTTTTAATGATTCTCTTAATAAAACCTCTTGAATAAAACCTAGTTTTAATTTTTGTTGAGTATCAGTATTACTATAAAATAACATATTTTTAGAAAATAAATGTTTATTTCAACTTATAAATCGTAATTTACTTCATTTTAGTATTGCATGTACCTTGTAGCACACGAAAAATGTTGATTCTTAGTAAAAACAGTCATAAATTTATTTGCGTCTCAAAGACAGTTTTCTTTTCTTTATAACATCTGATAAATACAAATTTTCTGTAGGTGAAGGAGAAAAGATAAATTTGCAACAACTTGGCAAAGGAGGGCGCCACTTATCAGTACCGTTTGATTCAACGACTGCTAATGGTGAATTAAGTAAGTACAGCTTACATGCACGTGTTTATGTAACGTCGAATCAAAAAAAAAAAATATTTTAAAATCTACATAATGTTACGGTGGTAATTCAAGGCAATGTAATGTGTGTCACATAATTATTACCACAACACATCGGTAGACATGTAACATTATATCTGCTGTAGATACAGATATAAAACATATACGTATACGAGGTAGCCTGCGACAGCGGGAGGGTTAGACAGGAGAGGGATGCGCGAGTAAGATGCGCCGCGCAGCTTCCCTTCGCCTTCCTAGCGCTGTGCCATAATTTACAAATCACTGGCGAATTCACCGAGTATACGTTATCGTGGGAGTTACATCAATTTAGGCCATTTGGCCAAAATTAAGTGCTAATGAGACGGAGGTGAACGAAGCCGTGGAGGGGAGGCAAGTGGTGCGCGATAGACCGCGCTGGCGGTGCTACGAACCCATGTTAACCCACAGTAGATCGGAAGGAGACTTCCCCATATACGCCAGAGGTGAGCGGTCTACGAACTCTAGAGCACTACGTTTCTTTGTGAAATGCGATAAACCGCTTTCGTTTTAAAGCAAACCATCGAACCTTATTCAAATAATAATCTGAATGCTCTTGCTGTACCTATAAATAGTGGAAAATTCTTGTGGTTGAAATACTATAAAGCTATGATAATGATCTTGAAGAATAGGGCAAAATAATACTTGAACACTAGCTGGGTTTTATGTTTTAGTGATGTCATTTAACATTAACATTCAGAGAATGCATACTACCTACGTGGTTTATATGAAAACAACTGTTTACGGTTCGTCGCGTACATTACACGCCTAATAAGCTTGCGCTTGAAAATATGGTCCGCTTATTTTCTAGAGCGAAAGGTTTCTAATAATAATAATATTAAAGGGTTCGCGTTAATCTAGCCGAGTCCACATCGTCGCCTTTCCACTATGATCCCTCGACCAGCACTTACCACGTATAAAAGCAATCAGGGATATAACGATTATTATTAACAAAAATCTGACATGAATATTTTATTTCTCGTATCTTAGCTAGATTTACATTAAAATGCAAAAATATATAGTACGGATTATAAGTAGATAGAAACGCAACTTGGCTATGACTGAATTTAATATTTAAATATATTAAAAAAGGATGACGATATTTCGGAGTTACAATGCTAAAGAACCATTTGATAAAGTGTTACGTTATCAGTTTTTATCTAATCTAGAATGCCTCCATTCAATGTCTTAGTTATAAATCGTTTTTTGTTAACATTGCACTGTTATTTGTCATAATGATATTTCTATAACTGAGTATAGTTGTTATGTGTGTGGATTTGAAATGGATGATCTTCTTTTGAAAAATAAGACGAGACATAGACCGATAGACGATGACACTCGCAGTGAAGATGGAACGATCGAAGATGAAATATTATCGAGTGAGTTACTTTTAAGTCCACAAAAGCGGAGCGTTGTAGTTTTAATTTATATTCATGGCGCTATAATGGAAGGTTTTATTATTTTCCTTAAAGAGGAATTTTAATATTAATAATAAACTTAAACATATAACGTATTTTGATAAAGCTTCATAGTAAGTTGACATATTAAAGTAAATCGTAAGTTGTCTTATTTTATAGTTTAATATTTAAATCTCTTATGAAATTTAGCAAATGTGCAGATCTAATTATTAACTGAGAAACGGTTTTTTTCAATTCCAAAGTTTAGTTGGTGAATTAAATTAAAAACATTTCAATTGTCTGTGGTGGTGTGTAGCTGTCATTTTGGGATTTTGTCTTTTTTATCTATGTTTTTGAGTTCTGTGTACTTACGTGCGTTTGTATTTCATTCTTCCAATCTTTCCTCTTCCGATGTTACTTTGAATTTTCAACCTAAGTTTGTGTATGCAACATAATTAACTCTTATAACAGAAAGCTCCTTGCTACGGCCACGACGATGGGAGCTTCTAAAAGGCTTATTAAGTAATGGTGTAAAATAATTGCTAGCAAAGTATCTACGTCGTAGAATACAAATTACATATAAAACAGTTACTTTGGGAGTAGTTCAATGAGGTCATAGCACAATTTAGCTGATAATTGCACCTTTAAAATTTGTTAGGCTTCAACAAATAATCGCGATGTAAGCTGGGTAAGCGGATGTCTGCTATCGCGATTACTGTACACAATAGCATTTAGGCTGTTGTCTCACATGTCGCATACTAATACTGTATACTAATTCTAATACTAATTCTTTATTAAAGTTGAATAGATTAAAAATAAGCTTAAAATTGTTCAATGTATAATATTTTTTGAAAGTTCCTCATGTTTCAATGTCTTGATAAATTAAGGTTCAAATTATAATAGGATCGTTGAAATTTTGAATATATGACATGAGTGCATGACATGTCCGGACTGATGTCCTGACTTATAGAAGGCTACAGCCTTAATTCGTTCGTGCGATCCTGATCTCATTCGTTACAAATGCCTTGTGCATGACGCCTAATGGAATTATGAATCCACATTACGCTGCGATTTGCTTCCTACGTCTTAATTTTTATCCTTTTGCCTTTAGTATTCTAACGATGAGGAAAAAATAGACTAACATCGTATGTTTTATCTTGTATTTGACTTTTGCAGTCCCTAAATTTTCTTACGTTATTTCAATCTTGCTTTCACTTTAGTTATAGAAAATTAAAAAAAAACAACAGTCGCACACAAAACATTATTTTCATCGCCGTTTATATTGATCGGAATGTATTGTGCGCGACTTCGACTCGCACTTGGCCGGTTTTTTCTGTACCGTGGAGTCGTTGTACTATATAGTGATTATGGATGATCGAGCTCAAGCCAGGCGCGTAGTGTTGAGTGCATCATACAAGCAGCAAGGGCGACAAGGCAGGCGGCCCCCACCCTAATGGCGGCCCGCCTCGGGCCGCGCGCCAGTACGCCGTAGAGCGTCCCTCGCGACGCAGGTACAAGTTCCGTTTGTCTATTGCCAAACAGTGAAACGCGTGTGTTTGTGATTGTTTATTGATCATCAGTGTAGTGTTTTATCTAACATCGAATACGTATGATGATGTGTTGAGGACATGGCCGCGTGTAGTTGACATGTCGCTGAGCGCGCCGGTTCAGGCGGTGCGCGGGACAAGGACCAATAGCCTCGACCATCTTGATTTTCAAGAGCGCCGGCAGCTGATTGCTAGCTCGTTGTCTTTGACGGATTTCCTACACGTTGGCGCTAAGGAGGTGGCGGCCGTTGCTGGTCTGTTGTACTTAATTATTTACAAAGAATTGCACAGTTTATTTTGGCGCCAAATTAGTAATTACTGGTGAACTCTACGTGTACATAAAAAGACTTACTTTGTCTTTCGAAAACTTGATTGATATTCGGTTCGGTCTAAAAGTATTGTATTAATAGAAGCAGACAAACAGTTTTATAGCGCTGTTGAGTCTAATTTGTAGAATGTAGCGTAAGAGTTTTGTTTCTTAGACACTAATAATAGATTTTGCACGGTTCTAGACATAACAGACAGAACTAGACAAGTGGAACGTATAGTATTTTTTGTCGTCGTTTTAACTGTAACATTTCTCACGAATTATTTCTTTAAAATTTGCATAATACGCATAAACTAGCAGTTGGGCTTGACACAGAACTATATTATAATATAGTTGTTTATCATATTTAAAAATTAAGGTATTGATTGTAGTCAACTCGAATAGAACTTATTTAAATAAAACACTTACCAGTTTAAAACGCGAAATATATATGTCACTTTTTAACTGGGGCCCCACGGTTCTGATGCTTTCAATCATAACTTATCGGGTATATCTACCTATCTCGTATTTGACGCTTTAAACTGTTAATTGTTTAAAATGTAGGTATATGAATAAGCTGCACTATTTTTGTTAGATATTAACATTTCGTTATCACATGTAGAAAATTAAAAACTTTGTATAATTGTATAGTCAGTTTTCATTTTTTTTTCCCGGAACTCACGATTGATTATAATCAACGGGTCGTGGGGTTCGATGTAAAATGTGTTTGAGTACGATGGGTGGTTTCGTTATAATTATTAGCCATTACACCAAGGAACCCATTATTAGTAATTCTTTTTTTTTATGATAGCATGCCATGTTTTTCAACCACCTACTACTATACTGTATGTTGTAGGTCCTTAGTACGTTGACTTGTTGATGTCACGCTATTATTTTTATGGTATCAATATTCGACCGTGGGTTGTGTTTACCGTTCGTATTGTGTATTGGTCATTATTCATATTATGAGTAGAAGAGTAGATTTTTTACAAAGATGTAACTTTTTTGCTTACTGAGACTAAATTTTAATAAACTTATTTTAACTAGACTTATTTTTACTCTTTAAAGTTTAAATTACGGATTTTGTTGACGGCTTATGCCTATTACATTAGCTGTTATAATATAAAACCTTACCTTTTTACTCTCAGGTAACAATGACAGGTAGCGTTGATAAAATTGTCCATCGGATGCATGCATTCCGTAGGACGTAATAAAGGTCTGCGGTCGACATGGCACCTAAATTTTAATCCCGGTTAGCCCAATACTAAGTTAATGCAATTGATATAACATAATAATAATTTTAAAAAATCGTATGAGGTGCTTGTGTAAATTTCGGATGAAGAAATAAAGAATTAATTATTTAAACGTAACGCCTTTACCGGTCAAAACGCAAAGTAATAAGTTATTTTTGAACTGTGCCCAACCAACCTGAGCGTCTCGTCGTCATTGAACATAATTTGGATTTAAAACCGTTAAAAGCCATACTACTCTCGTAAACTATAGACAATTGTAAAATTACATTATATACTGTCTATAGTTTACGCGAGTAGTACACATTTCAATTAAACACTTCAACGGTTTAAAACGTCTCCCCGCGACCACGGCTGCTGCAAAGCATCCGAAACGTCGGGCCGATGTTAAAAATCATTTCCAAATAAGTTTAACTAATATATCGCGTTTTAAACCGTTAAAGTGTTTTATTTAAATTACATTATGTTTACGCTACAGTACACATATATACAAACATGTATGTAATGAAAGTTTCACTGCTAATCTAAATTGGACAGAGCGAGCTCGCGATTAATATTTAAAACCAAATCAGATAGAGAACATTTCAAATATAACTGTTGCCCCGTCTATAATTGCGCTGTCTTGAATTTCCCGTTTTCTTTCTCGCAGTCAAATCAGAATTTCACTTCAGGTTTGATCCGTTAATGAAACTTTCTGCGTCGTAACCGAGAACAAGTAGAGCTTATAAATCCAGAACTCCACTACGCAATAACTAGAAAACATATTTATTCAACTAAGCAATATGTACAATGGGATAATTTTGTATACTTCCCAAAACCTTTTTTAGGATACCAAAGAGAGGTTTAGGTGCTTAAGAATATGGTATTTTACTTAAACATAACATACATATATAAACTTACCAATCATTATCCTTTTAGCTTCGGCGTCAACCCGTAAGAAAATTCCTTTGATTAGCGATCACTTATCGCTTATAAAGTGTTTCAAAGTAATCACTCGGATTGTTATAAGATAAGAGATGAAAACAATATTATTCGTATCTTATCTTTAATAAGAATTTTGGTGTAGATATGTATGTTGCTACATACACATTATAAATACGCGAATTGTAAATAACTATAAGGTAAAACTACTAACTAAAAATAATCCGATTTCTTAGTTTAAAAATCGATGTTAGTTATGTGAAGTTTCTCACTGTAAAATTTTTGTGGTCAAGACATTAACAGTGTAAATTATTTATTATTATGCTAATATTAAGAACAAACAAAAAATTCGGTCAAGGCTATTTAAGTTTGCTTACCTAAAAGATATAAGGTGTATATAATACTAATATATGCGCAAGATTATAGTAGTGTCTGCTCGCTGTTTTGCTCTTGAATTTCATATCCAATGTTTATTACGAAAAATAAGTTATACAATCGTAAAAATTAAGTTCTTTAACTGAGGTGGTCAATAGTTAAAAAAAAACACTTGGTTACTCCAAGTGTTTTTTTTTAACTATTTATGTAAATGTACGTAAAAACAAGAGATTTGTCTCGGTTCAGTTTCATAATAGTGGAAAATTATCACAGAATTTCTGGGCTGTATGCTGCAAACAAGCTGACAATGTACACGAGAGATAAGAGCGTACCTAGTATTAGCTTTATTATCATCTATAGGTACGTGTTGCGTATTTTGTTCTCGTTGGTATTGTGACGAGCAGCCGACATTTTGTACAATAGACGCGATGTAATGGCCATTGATTATGTCGATGTGGATGGGCATACGCAGTATTAAACATGACGTCCTACGTATGGTTATGGACACGTGTAGAATACACTACTAGCATTTCTCGCTTCACGATGAGTACCTTAAACTGTCTTAAATAAAAGGCGATCAATAAATAGTAACAATTTGACAAATATTATATTGTAATAAAATCAAACTGAGACCTTATTACATAAGCTATATATATAACTAGCTGTGCCCGCGACTTCGTTCGCGTGGAATAGTGACTTGGGGTAGCATTTTTAATTATTTAGGTTGTTTATTAATTTACTTAATTGCGTATTTATCGCAGCCAATCTATGTTGTAAGTGCTATTTTGCCGCTACACTCTCACCTCACATCACTCCTACTCTAACTTCCACTCTCACTCTCACTCCTACTCCTATTCTTAAAAAAGCCAAAGAAGAAAGTTTTAATGTTCTTTCACTTTCCAACCACCCCCCCCCCCCCCTTTATCCCCTTACAACCCTCTTTTCTTCATTAAAAATTAGCTTATGTTTTTTTCTCAGGGTCTAGACTATTAGTGTACCATATTTCATTCAAATCCATTTAGTAGTTTTGGCGTGAAAGAGTAACAGACAGACAAACAGAGTTACTTTCGCATTTATAATATTAGTAAGGATTATGCGTATTATAGGCCTTGTACAAAATATGGGAAAGAAGAGCAAAAGTAAAAATCGACAAGTTAAAGAGAAAAACGTCTTTCATAACCTTGGACGGTGATTTTGTAACAAGAACAACATAATTCGTCTCTGTTTAAATAGCGTATTATCTCGAAAAAATACGATTTTACAGAAAAGTAATTTAAGTTGTAGTAGCAATTTTTAGATAAATTTCTATTATTTACTATACTAATATAATTTATTATATCTTACTGAATACCTGATTTCCTTAGACCGTAGCTTTTATTAGATAAAGCTATTAAACAGGCTTTCTCCTTGTTTACAGCAAAGAAACAAAATGGCTCAGCAGTTCGAACGAACAGCCTGGGTTCCGGTGCGCGCACACCACCTGCAGAGCGGACCAAGTCAAAATTCTCGGCATTCGGTAGACTATTTAAACCATGGAAATGGAAACGGAAAAAGAAATCGGAGAAATTCGAAGCAGCTTCTAGAAGTAAGAATATTTAAATCTGGATAGAACCCAAATTGATTGCCCCGATTCGTTTAAATTAATTAAACCTAGGACATGAAAAACCAACGATGAAATATAAAATATAAATAATCTAAAGCTAATTCCAGCTTGTATGAATATGTGATCCTGTTTCTAAAAATATTTTTAAATTAACTGTAACTTAAAATTAAATTAGGTATAAGTAGCTTTAAATTTGCACGGTCATCGTTCAATGTATGTGCAAAACGTACATATCGAACGCCGTCGTTGATATATGAAAAAGTCCTTCCAGGAGTTTAATCGAATCAAATATAAATCTATTATGACAACAATGCTTGCAACATGCGGGATTCTAGTGGGATTATCCGGCGATTTGATCGACGATGTCTTTTAAATAAAACACTTTAACGGTTTAAAACGCGATATATTAGTTAAACTTATTTGAAAATGATTTTTAACTTCGGCTCAACTTTCGGCTTTGCCAGCCGTTTCACGGGGAGATGCTAAAGCTGCTGCAGCTAAACTAATATATCGCGTTTTAAACCGTTAAAGTGTTTTATTTAAATGTGTACTACCGACGATGTCCGTTCATTCTTGACATTTGGATGTTTACATTTTTTCAGTTCTATATTAAAAAGACAAAACGTAACGTACGTAACGTCTAGCTATATACGTTATGAAGTAACACAGTTATTTATGCAGTGTTATGATACATTTAAGAACAAAGGTTTAAACTAAATCGACAAACTAACTTTATAGTGACGTTAGTGTCACCAAAAAATTGGATTTTTCCTAATGTTAATAAATTTTCCCATTTACTTGTAACATGCGAATTTATATTATATTTAGTTTTTACTACATTATATCCATCGATAAATTGTCAAGTTTTGGATGAGGCATTTACCCTTTAGAGGAGCTTAAGTTGGAAATATGAAACAGATTAAATTAACAATGATATATGTATTGTAATAGTTAGGAACGTAAGTATAACTAAACAATATGATTTTGTCTTATTTAACTCTTATATGTTACTAATACGTCCAAATTTTCCAGCTTTAGAAAGGAAAATATCCGTCCGCGCCAATAGGGAAGAATTAGTTCAAAAAGGAATTCTACTGCCAGAAAGTCCTGTCACCCCCGTGCCCGAAGGCAGTAAGTATTGTTCAGTATATTACAAGGAGGCTAAAACGACTTACGATAATTAGTACTTTGCAAAAATTGTTTATAATTTGAGTAATGCATTACTAATAAGTTTTTAAGCTTTCCAACTCTATTTTCGTCTCATATCTATATTATGGACTTTCAAACAGCATCTGTTATTATTTACTTGATTAAAATTGGGAAGACTTAAGTTAATTTAGTTTAAGAATGAGAAATTTTGTTACTTAGATAGCTTAACAATTTTCTATTTCATAAACTCGAGTCGGTACAAAGCGGATTATTCTCAAAGCTTTCTGCTTGCGGTCGCGGCCTATTAAAGAGTAATTTACAAAAAAAGTTTTACTACATATGCTTATGTCGTGTAGGATCCAAAGGATCATTGTTTCCTTAAGATCCAAACCCAAGGCTGTTCTCACTTAACGCACTGCTAGGCACGGAATTTAAACATTGAGACACTTAAACGGCATATATTGTACAACACTTAACTCTTCACACGAACTGCTATCGACGAGTTATAGCTAAGTTACAGTTTTCTAAGTTTAGAACTTGCACTAATAGATTGCGGGCTGACTTATGTTACGTAAGACGGAGGTGTTATGCTTAGCCCACATGTGATTTATGCTTTCTATTTCAGTTGCGTAACTCATTGAGCGTGCATAACTTATGTTAGCTGTGTCATTAAGTGATTTTAAGTGAAATGTCGCAGGCATGTATACAGTGCAAACACTTTTTACAGGCTTGCTCTTGTTAGCTAAGAGTTCTCCTAAATATTCTTGTTAATATGAGGCCGCTGTAGGCAGAGTTGCCTAACTGTAATTTTTATGACTTGAGTTATTTATATTTTCATAGTCTAAAAATGCTAATCACACTAAAAATGCAACAAGAGCACAGTGACCGAAAATTGTCAACATAATTTTTACACAAATAATAGTTATGTTCATTTTCACCTAAGCTAATTGCGCATTTTTATTTTCCCCCTTATTGAAAATCATGTTTTATGTTATTAGGCCACTCGGCCTCGAGCAGTCTCATATAGATCCTTCAATAATTTTATATCCTTTTTAAGTTTATAATGGAGATCTCATAAGATGTTTCTTCTTCACTTACGTCTTTCATTTTATATTATATCATTTATATCCCACTGTTGCAGTAATAATACTATATCTACATAATAGAGCAATATCTAAGCTTTCTTCGCTCAATGATAAACTCTTAAAATTCATTAAACATTTCACCTCGATCTCAATTCAATACACAATGGGATTTCGCCTTATATGCATTCCATGAGTAATGTAAGGCTATGGTCTCATAAAACGCTTTACTATAGACGATCCAAATAACTACTAATTCTACCTGTAGAAAGTTTCGATTATTGACTAGAGAAGCGGCGCTGAGATTTGTTTAATTTCTAAAATATACCCTCTAATTGATATAATTCCAACGTCAGTGTGTGAAAGAGACAACAACAATAAATTTAAATACCTACTGTAGTTTACGCGAGTAGTACACATTTAAATAAAACACTTTAACGATCATAAACTTAAACGCGATAAATATTAGTTAAACTTATTTAAACATTATCTTAGGGTGTCTCTACTGTCTATGTAAAAATACAGGAACATGGCGCTAGTGTAGCAGTTTTTATTCCGAAACATCGGGCCGTAGTTAAAATAGCGTTGTTCTTAGAAACCGTGGCCTAAGTTAATTGAAGCGGCTTGTCACAGATGAGGAGGCCGAATACACGGAAAATAATCGGGTCGCACCCGAGCAAACGGGTCCGACGTTAACGAGCATGCATGCAGCGTTACAAGCGCAGCTCGCATCCCACGTTGCCCAGCAGCAGGCCGCACTCGCTGCAGCTGTTGCGGCGGCGGCTGCAGCACATCATCACCACCAGAACAACAATTCCATTGGTACGTCAGTTTTTTGTTTGTGATAATGGATCCTAAGATCCTTAGATTTAAGTATCGTTATAATTAACAAATTATCAACCTCAGCAGCTAACAATATACATAATATGAACGACTAGGGAAAAATAGACAACAAGGTGGCGAATCGCTTTTAAACAATATAACACAAAGCATCAATTTATCTTTCATATACCTATATAGTATATTAAAATACCTGACTATAAGTACACGTTACTTAAAATTTTGCTGCCTAAACCCGATTAAATAAAATAGGTATTCTGCAAAAATGTCACTTTACGTAATTTACTTTATTTGTATTAACTTGTTATATTTATTTCATCATAATAACATATTATGTGCCTACTTATAGAACACTGTAGTACACAATACTGACGTTACTTTGATAATTATTATCAACGCTATCTCTGTTCTATTCGAGGAGGAAACGAAATGCATCTAATTAACGATAATGGCTACAATTGATAAGAATTTAGATCACTCTTGCGTCGGTTCATTTGAAGACATTGATTGATATCTTGTTAGTATATTGTCGTTTACGTAATAAAACGTATTTTCGAGTTTGTTCCTTCGAGTTCATTATCCATGCGAACTGTTTCTGGGGTTCAATCAAGACTCCTGTGTACAACACTTGACTGGAATGGTAAAAAGATAGAGACGTGATGAGGGTATTCATGGAGCGAGGAGAAGCGTGTGGCAGGAATTAGTGGCTTCCTGGCAGGACGAGCTGGGAGCGTTGACCTACAGCTGTCATTGCTGCAATGCTGAAATGTTGAATGTTTAATATTTATAAGAGTAGTAAGCTCGTGTTTCGATCAATACGGTGTACGTTAAAATAAAACTAATTTAAACGAAGTAACTTTTGTTTAAAGTTAATGTAACGGCTACGTTTTAAGTGCTTTTCTTTCGCAGCTGTTTAGTTAAATATTTAAAATATATTTCTTTGAGACTCTTAAAATGCGAAATATTAAAATGATTAACTTTCACCAACAAAACGTTCGTTTCGTTTCAAACCGATCAATGCAGTGCAGTCACAGATTTATGTTAATAATTAGTATTGCTCTTTTTAATCTGTGTTAAAGCCTAAAGGCATTTACTTAATTTCATTTTAAAGCATTCATTAAACCATTAAACAAAATTGTTTACAAAATGGCGCAGCCATGACACGAATGCCATGAATTTCCAATAGGATACCTTTCTATGATTAATAAACGTAAGGCAACAGAAATATGTTGGCAAAGTTAAATTTGTCTTTATTATTTACTAAACAAAAGCAAATAAAAAATTGAATTTAGTATTTTAGACGTTTTGTTCAAAATCCTTAGACCTACTTGTAAAGCTGTTTGCTAATTGTAGTTTGACAAAGCAAGAATAGCAAATGAAACAAGTTGCGCAAAAAAAAGGTATTCCGTAGGCACCTAGCGACCACTACCCTAATTTCAATTGAGTATTTCACGTGGATAGTTTTGTAAAACGGTTGCATTTAAGTGTCTAACAGTTGAAACGGTTAGGGGTTGCGTCGTGAGGACATGCCCTAAGTCTAGAAGGGGCGAGGGTTGCGGGGGCGGCGGTATGGCGCGCGCCTCAGTGCTGGCCCGCCCGCGCCCGCGCCCGCCCGCTGTCCGCCAGCCCGCGACTAACACTGCCCTAACCTCACTTGATCGAAAACACGCATCGACCATTCGATTAGCCCTTATGACTCTTCATTACCATAATCACGATCTGTGCTAGAGTGTATTGACCTAACGCACACATTGACAGCGAAGCTGCGTTACATACACGAGTCGCAAAAATTCTGTTAGTATTGTCTTCCGTGAGGTGCTTTTTCATAACCCGTAATTATTCGATGTTGTAAATTAAAAATATCCTATCGCTTCAATTCTGGCTTTAGTGTGCTAAAAGAGAGTGAGTTACGCCGTACTCTAGTTATATTTTGCAGAGGAAATAAATGACATAATACTGAAATAATATAATCGTACATGCCATACGATTCGGAGCAGGTCGTTAGGCGCGAAGTTTGCGGGCGATATCGATCCGTACCGGGCTGAACACGCGATACCCCCGCTGCACCTAAAATGAGGACTAGCATCTAAAACATTTGACTAAATACTAAATTATAAATAACACGACGGTAACTCTTTATTGATTGGAACAACGTAACGAAGGTTGCTGTACATAATATACACAATTCTTGACTCGCTACAGTCGTACACTGCGAGAAGCGTTTTCGGCGTTCTTTTGATTGTCGTGAAGTAACGGATGGTAGAGTTAGAAGTGGTTTTCGAGTGAGGGCGCGGTGTCGCGAGCGGTTCCGCGCGGCAGGCGCGTGCCGCCGCCTCGTCCGCCTGCCACGCGCCTGTCTATGATGGGTTACATCATGGGATGTGCATGCTTGAGAGGTAATTTCCTTGCATGAGCTCCTGATACAAACTCAAAGCACTCAAGCCTAACACCCTTGTAACGGAACGAAGGCCTGCATGACTTAGATAGCTGCATTGTGAACAATTTGCTAATAAAAAGTAAATAATCAATGCAGCGCTTAATTTGTAGCTTCGAAACTTATTTAAAAAAAGAAACAGTTGACCGCAGTCTCACCAGATGGGTTTCTAGTCATTATGCGTTATATAGCGAGTCTTTTCAAGAAACCCTTATTGTTTCCTGATAGGGTGTTCCGTTCTTAGGTATTATACATATGGACGTATATAATAAGATGAACTGCGCTGCAATTACAGCGTGGTTCGAAGCAGCAATATTAAGTGCGGTAGCTTTGAATTAATTTGTAATTACACGATGTCAACGTTCCCGACAGTCCTGCATTGTTGCCGGTTAATGTTTCTGAAAATGTTTCTACGGCGTTGAGATATTGAGCTGCATAGCTCCGTCGGAAAATGTAAAAAACAAACAGCGCGCGACGCTAAAAATGATACCAACAAACGCACTTTCACATCATAGTAATTGATCGTATCTGTAACTTTCTGTTCGGCTATTGTATTGTTTGCGCCACTCTCACAAATGAAAACACAATTGTTGCGATTTATAAAGTAATTGACGAATTACCGAAAATATCTGTCGCATGCCTTTAACATGAAATACGTAAATTTAAATACACGAAGCAAAGATATTTATTTCAATCCATAATGATAATTACGAAAGTTTGTGAAGATGTTCTATCAGGCTCCGATGGAATGGCCGATATTGATAATTTGAAGTGATGGAACACATTTTTTTAAACTGACAAATGACACTGTATGTAGAACGATGAATGCGAATAACATGATTTTACTAACCGTATTACACGTTTTAATGTATCAAGTACACAGCGGCTAACACCAATATTTATACACTAGCTGCGTCAGCGACTTCGTCCGCGCAGAATAGTTAATGGTTTTGCAAAATCATTTTTTTGCAAACAAAGAGGACTTTGTGTTTTTCAATTTTAACCGTATTAACCTATAAAAGATATACATATAGTCGCGAACTTTTTTTAGATCATATTAAGAGGAATCGTTATTTTACACGTACAAATTCTCTAACCAACACAAAACATCTCGAAAACTACTGGTTTGTTCAGATTATCACGATGAAACAAACTAACTCTTCAGCGTAATATTTTATTATAGATTGACTATATATCAGCTAACACCAATATCTATATATATAAAATTTTAAGATGTTGTGATACCGCTAACATTACTTATGACTACTTAAATCTTAATACATATATGACGTAAGAGAGATGTGTGTATCAAATTACGTTATCTTTCAAATGTCAATAAAGCTTCTTCATTAATTACAACTTCGCTTTATAGCATGCGGTTTGCTCGATGCATGTTTGAGTAGTAGTCACAGCTCACATGACATGAATATTAAAAAAGTTTATCATTACTTACCTCCTGACGTCATGCAATGCGACGCATGCAGATGTGGGCGTAGCTGCTATTTGTGTGAGAGAACTGAGACTGTTCTTTTTTGATAGATTTTGATTTAAAAAAATATATAAAATTGCAGATGAAGTGGGAAACAATTAGTTATTACAAACCACGAATGTAGCTTATCTCCTATTTTTAAATAATTCATAGCGTTTTAAAATTTAATTAAAACAGCCTTTGAAAGCATCTTATAAAATGTATAGATAGGTATTTAAAATATTTTATTTTAAGCATGCTTTTAAAGCTTTTTTATTATAGCTGTTGAACTAAATGCAATAACGTACTGTCATAATGTAAGACGTGTCACTCCGTTTGTATAATCTGTTTGCGGCGATTAAAATTATCCTAAAAAATAAATGAATTAGGCATGATTTAAGACCACACTAGCTATTGCCTAGCACGTGACCTCCTGAGTTCGAATCCCTCGGAAACAGCAAACTTTTTCGTTTTTTTTTTGTTTTTTTGTCGCTACTTAATACCCCATCGCTATTATTCATTTAAATGTTTTGTTTGGTCATTCACCTCAGAGTATGAAGATACTTGTAAGGGTGCCATTAAACTGACGTTAAAGGGATTATCTGCTATATTGCGAATAAGGGTTGTAAGCGTTTTTATTAGAGTTCATTAGCCTTAGTAATAGGAACTATTCAAAGCTCCTATCAATCTGCAGCTGACAACGTCGTTTTAGTTGAGTTTTCAACTGGGCCTTTTCTTTGTCCTTCTGAGGGACATGCGGACAAAGACGAACTCTATTAACTCATTTACGCGAATGGAATATGAACAAAAATTATATTTTATTATTAAAAAAAGGTAGCAATAATATTGTACAGATTCAGCCAACACGTTATACGGTGCAAGCATCCGTTGTCTCCATGGTACAATGCTTAAACAGACCTCAGGTTCAAATCCAAGAGAAAATATTTAGGTCGTAATTGGAATTCTTCGTTTCTGTAAGTGCAGTCAGTGAAACAGACACAAAAATGTGTCTGCTTAATGCTCTTTCTAGGGAATACAGATTTCACTTAAGAATACATTCGCCGCACATCCAAACGATAAGACAAAATGGTAAATGTGGCACGGAGCGTAATTTAGTCTTCATATTGAGCGCACCGCGACGCCTCGTGAATATCCTACAAAGTTTCTCAAGGACAAAATCCGGGTCATTGATCTCATCTTGTGTCCATACATTTTTGTGATTACAGAAGTGCTCTGCTGACATAAGAGTTAGGAATACCTACCTAAAGCATATATATTGAAGCTTTGTAATAATATGATCTATCCTGACATGCATTATGTATGATTTGATAATAAATGGCTATTAATACTTTTTTAATAATTTAACAAATAACAATTATTGATTTGTCGTTTCATTAACATATAAGTATATGTAATAATCTTTGTAACCCAATATAATTAAAGTCTCTATTAATATATCATCAAATATTAAGTAATATAAAATACTGTCTATAGTTTACGCGAGTAGTACACATTTAAATAAAACACTTTAACGGTTTAAAACGCGATATATTAGTTAAACTTATTTGAAAATGATTTTTAACCCGGGAGACCTCGGCTCCCGGGTCTCCCCGTGACCACGGCTGCTGCAAAGCATCCGAAACGTCGGGCCGAAATTAAAAATCATTTTCAAATAAGTTTAATATATCGCGTTTTAAACCGTTAAAGTGTTTTATTTAAATTAAGTAATATTATTTATTTGTCTTTATTTAAATTGACAAGCAAATCATTGCAATTAATCGTATACTAAATATTAATTGATAATGAGTATTTACTGTAGCTATTTTTTTCGTACTAAAAGGTAAAAACGAAATTAGGTTCGGGTCAGCGAACTTCGACAAGCACCCGGGTGCTAGTTTTTTGCTTCACGCGAACATAGCCGCGAGATGAATGGCGATAAATTAAAAATTCAAAACAAAGCTCGGCGACGCGTGGGCGTTTAGAGCGCGCAGGGCGGGCGGCGATCGAAGAGCGCGCGCGGTGCCGTACTAGTAGCGAGACGGGGCGGGCGGGGTAACGATCCGTTGTCGGGCGCAGTCTTCCAGCCGTGAGCGCGACGCGAGCATGAGCGACGTCGGGACGCTCGCCGCGATGGACGCCTTCGCGGGCGGCGCGAGGCGAAGGCCCGCTCGCCTGCCGCCGCCGCCGCCTTTCGTTCCTCCGCCGCCGCCGCAGCGCCACGACAACTACTACGTGCGCCGCAAGTCTCCCGTGCCCAGGCACTCTTCCAACCTCACGCTCTTCGCGCGCAACGGTACCCTTCATCATTACCGTGCACCCCACATCATCATCTTGCACATCATTTCGTTCTTCCACCATGCATTTCATCAGAATCCCCTATAAGACTAAAGCATCTGAATGCCTCTCATTCTAGGTACATGTACTTGTTGATTATGCTGTCTATAATTATTTCGTAATAAAATAAAATATAGGACGAGAATTTTTAGGAAAAAATTTTGAAATGCATAGACTTTTGCTTTAATATTAAATATCATTTATTATATTTATACTAATTAATTTTATATTATTACATATATATGTATATATAGCTCGTAAATTGATAATAAAAAGGTCGAAAGTTGACATAATTTTTACTCAAATTCGTATTTATAATTAAGATCTTTTTATCAGCACTATACACTACGTCTCTTTTTCCCAAAATTATATTGGTATATTCATTTTGTGATCCTCTTTTGCGACTTATATGTATTGTAAGTCATAATTTAAATTATATTTTACATAACATCTAAATAACTTATTCTGAGTACCAGTTACGATAATGAAATAACTTCAAATATCCGAAATGAACTTGCAGTTTGACCTCGTACAACTATTCGCAACTTGTATGCTCATGAGGTGCGGCGTGTATACCGTGCACTGTGCCATTCTAACTGCTCAATTGAATGCCATCAAATACCCACCAGACTCATTATTCATCCCGAACGTTTTATCTAAATGGAATCGTACCGGATTCCCGTATCGGTTTGAATTAGCTATTCTTTGTAATGTATAATTTAATGCCTGTCTACACGGTACAATGGCCAGTTCCTTAGTTCGAATCTGGGGAGTAGTCATTGTTTTTATTGGGAAGGGCACATTGTAACTGTAACTAAAATTAATCAATGAATGAGTCAGTTACCGTAAAAAAGGGATTTCACACATTACCTAACTTATAAAGTGAAGCAGCATAAAAATTTGTACCTTTGAATTGTGTTGCTTTTCTTTTCTTTTTTTATGAAAGAAAAGGATATATGAGTTTTTCGTTTACTTCACCTCGGACATGTAACATATTGAAGAGATGCGCTGTCGTCCTTTTTAGATATACGAAAATCGACAGAAAAGAATGACGATTGAACTTACCGCTTTTTCATATGTGGATTATGCTTCGTAACCTGGACGGTACTTTGGATATTCCAAGGACCAATATCCCGATTGCCAGGCGAAGTCCAACAGCTTTCAGAAATAATATAAATTAATTAGAAACATTTGCTCGTTACTTTTTATTAAACATACATTGCTACCATTACACCAACGAACCCGTCTAAAAATAAATTCTAATTAAGTTCTTTGTATTAAAATTAAAAAATTCGCAGGCCTTTGGAGTTGCCGTACAGTTATGTTAATATTGAAATTTCCCCTTTGAGAACATACTTGAAATACAAGCTCTTAGACAAAGGACATAGCGGAGAGAAATTATTCGCGGAATATGGTTGGAGGTGGCCGCGGCCACTGCGCCCTTGACCCGTCGCTGCTTCCGAGTCCGCCTATACCGCTCTCGATATAAACGCTCTATTTACGCCTTTTGTTGTCATCACAATACAGAATAGACTGATCTCTGTATTCTATGTGCTTATTTAAAAGCGCAATATTAAAATGTAGAACAATAGCATTTATACCGGTCGTCCTCTTTCATTTACTCCCTCCGCTTTTAACTCGTTTCAGAATGACTTTTTAATATGTATTTAATTTTAATTTTTTAATTCCAATGAATTTCACATTCGTCAAAATCAATCCGTGGAAAAATGCAGCTTCTAAAATTTCTACTTTTTAGCTCAACTATTAGTTATTTGTATCACTATTATAATCACTAAATTTGATTTCTTCTTTATTTCCAATAGAGTTCTACGTTATTATTAGTAAATACACAACTCGAACGATGTATCGCGAAATTAATTGGTTTTATTTAAAACTCCAAAATTACTAAAGTCTTTTATCTAGAATGTGTTATTGATTGTACGGTCTAATTAAGGATAATACATTTTAAAAGATTAAACTTGGATTATCTAATCGATCTTGAACAAACAGATTTTTAATTCCAGTATAAAATGTTTCTAGATAAAAGATAATTTACGTGATAATGGTAGAGTCGTTACAGAAATGAAGATAGTAAGTGGTGCGCCGGCTGGATCTCGCCCACGTTTACTCGTCTTTTAACGTCACTGGATAAATTCCACGAGGACGGTCTCGACCCAGTTATGTCCATTAAATTTTGATATCGTCGCCAATGCCGCCAGTACTCAGCTGAAAACGAAGAACTTTAAATTGTTCATTATAAATTGTAAAAATGTCTAGGGATTGTAATCTGTTCAGGAGCGAAACTCGAGTATACAACCAACGACTTAAAGTGAGTTAACTAACTAAACTCATGCATGTAACGTACAAAAATAAGATTGATAATTTCGATTAACTAATTAAGACACGCAAACATAATTCGTAGAGCAACGGCACAATCTCGGGCTAGTCTTGGGTTCGTGTTGAATCGAGATAGTGTGGCTGAATCATTCTTATATTAAATTGTATTTAAAACAAACAGCGAGATCGGCGAATCGTCCGGTCCGAATGTAAATTCTATTTCTATTGATTTCTGCGAACGCGACGTGTACTCTTGACATTGTTTGTAACTATTAGTGGATGAGATGAGATGTAACCATTTCTCGTGCCATTGGCATATTTCAGTAATGGCGTCACGGATGCCCGAGCTGGTGGCCTCCGGATTAATTTATTGACGTTTGGCGCTTCCTCCTTGTACCAATAAACGACACTTTGCAGAGGACGGTTTTGTATATTTTGAAAGGAACGAAACATACATTTATTTGAGTTGCAATATAAAATTGGAATTATTGAACTACCTTCTAAATCTAATAATATTAATCGGATCTATTGCTTCCCAAGCTAATATTATATTTGTGGCACAAGGGACCTTCTCCAAACTAGAAAATTACCATGTCTCAACACTCTACCTGCCTTATACTTTCGTGTTATTACTGCTTTAAAACGTTCTTACCTTCATAAATATTTCTTACTCTTTACCTACCTATGCTTAGCTACTCACATATTATATCTTAATATATATTATTTATAAGTTAACTTATTATTGTATATAAACATTAATTTTGAAGTAGATTCCTTTAAACATTTATTAATTTGATTGAGTAATATTTTGTCTATAAAATGCATCACTCACCGTATGTTGAAGTGCTGTATATTACATCTTGATAGAATATTACGTAACACTGCAGCGTTCGATGTCCTCGGATGAGGGTAGCTTGGCCAAGGGCGCCCGCATCGATCGAAATTGGATCTTCTCTCTCCCTTTTCTCACCCTGGGCGCTTTTCTTTCGTGGTCTTTATAACGATGGAATAAAATTACTCCTTTTACATTTGTTTGTTTAATGTAGTACTAGTACAAATTATTTTGTAGCTATTTTAAACTAAACAACTGTAAATCACTATTGCTTACTATAGAATTTTTGTGATAGGCGTGGTCTTTTTTATATATTAAACATACAATTTCCAATTGACAAACATATGTTAGAACTATCATTACACTAAAACCATGTATATATTGGAATTATAATGTGTTATACCCCATAGTCCTATGGGGTGAAATAACCTAGTAAATAATGACATAAATTTTTAATAATCTACATTAAATTTGAGGTCTTCTCTGTAAATGTACAAAGCCCACGTCATCCGTGCGATATTATACAAATTGTTTGACTCGTTCATTTTTTATTTAAAATATAAGGACTCGGTCAAATACAGTGGGCGGTAGAACCTCTCGTTTCAAACGAATGCAAAGACCTTAAATCACATTCTATCCTGACCTTTTATATTAGATCTCCAATGAGAATACTCGAAGGCTATGAGAGATTTCGATCGTGGTTTGAGTCGCGTGATGCATAAATAGTTCGCTGTTAAAAATATTATTGATTAATATTCGCGCTGCTTATAAATTCTATCGTAACAATAGTGTCGACATTTTTATTTGAGCAACAGAATGTAGATAGCAGGTCGTGAAAATGCTTAGTTTTGATTGCCAGGTTATTTTTAATTTAATATTGCTCAATGGATGGTGAGGTCGACTGTCTATTAATAGACAAATGGTTAGGGGTGTTAATGTAAATTATTGATAGATGTTTAGTTCATTATACTTTGTCCAATGTAGGAAGATAGTTCTGGTTTGTAATTGCTGCATTTATTACGTCAAATCGTAATTTATGGACTGTCCCAAAGTCCCGTAGTGGAGTGCCTTGTAAACTACTAAAGAATAAAGTGATTATAAAATTATGCATGATAATCGTAATTAAATATACGTAAATCGTAAGTATATATATATACGTATTTATCTGGTCCATAACTGCTACTTAAAATCTTGATGAAATATTCAAGCCATCTACCCCAGATATGCTGTCGACCTTTTATGTTTTTGGATATTCGGAGATCCACAGACTGAAACCCGAACGCGATTAGACTTTACTGTTCTTTCATCTGTAGACGGTGGTTGGTTGTAATTTTTTATTTGTAAACTTATCATCCTATACCAGACAAAGCGTAATTAAAGGCCCATTTTATATCCGTAGGATATGAGTTCAGTCAGGATGCGTCAGTTATTTATAATATTCCAAGTTGCCAAGGTCGCCGAGTGTCGGCGCCAGCGATGAATGGGAATCGCGTGTTACAACAAAAGCCGTCATTTGAGTATCGCCTATTCTTAGATTTCTTAGACATCTCAGCGTACGAGAACACGATGACGTTTGTTATCCATTCTCTGGTTTTTTAACAGTAGTCTATGTTAGACATCTGTGCGTTCCAACTAACGTTTTCAGATTACGCTATTATATACAATACAACACCGCCGCCTCTGTAGCTAAATGGACAAACGTGTTGCCTAACATTGCGTCGCGGAGAAACAATAGATTTAAATAAAACACTTTAACGGTTTAAAATGTGAAATATATAAGTTAAACTTGTTTACAAATAATATTATTTGATTTGATGCAAAATCGTCGTAGAGGTAACTCGGGGTTATTTAAAGCCACGATTAACCTTCAAACAGTCGAATGTGGCTTACGAACCACAGTTTGACCACGCGACTACGACTACACAAATAATTCTCTTGTCACAGTGTTTGTTCACGAGCTCTTCCAAAACGGCAGAACTGATTTGAATGAATTGTACACATACATTCGTTAGGCCTGAAAATAGGTTTTATCTATATTTTTTGCCTCTTTTTTAATTTTATCTATATTTTTTGCCTCTTTAATTAATTTTTTGTACCAAATTATTCTCTAGAAATAATTAATATGGCAAAACAATGTTCACCGTTAGTAGTTATGAACAAGTTAAAAATACATATTGGCTTACTATTGACGCGGTGGACTGTATTGTATAGCCTAGTCTGAAAAGCGCCTAATGAATCAAATAACGCAACTACATCTTAACCCGTACAATATTACTCAATACAAACATTGTAGAACTCTTGCCAAATGGTCCGTATATTGCGAGCTATTCATATAACGTGAAACATATAACTATAGACGTAATATTAAATTTGAATCGATGGAGTTAATTACCTATAAAGCCTCCGCGTCGCCACCCACCGCGACACAGTGTAACAGCAAGGTTGTAATGTCGAATCCCGCCTGTATTATTAATGTTATGATTTATCTTCATCTAATACTCATTTGAAAACTGTTATTTTCACGAATCTGTTCTTGAATTTATTTATTGTAGAGATAAAATTAAATATATCTGACGACTGCTTCAGGTCTTAACTTTACAGTACGATAAAATTTAAACAATTTAATCTCTTATTCACGACCACGGCTGCTGCAAAGCATCCGAAACGTCGGGCCGAAGTTAAAAATCATTTTCAAATAAGTTTAACTAATATATCACGTTTTAAACCGTTAAAGTGTTTTATTTAAATTTAATCTCTTATTTACAAATTAACATTCAGTATATCAAATAGCCCCTTTTTTGACTGAAATATATATGTCACCGTAGCTAGTAAAAATTAATATTAAACTATAGTCATTGATGTATTTTTATTTGTAGAGCCAAAGAAAGACAAATTGGAGAACGGAGGTGAGCTAGTGAGACCCGAGAGACCCAACTCGTTGACGGCCGGCAAGCTTCCGAGGCGGATATGCTATCAAGGGGACGGTGAGTCACTAATCGTTACTCGATAATTAACTGACCGTTTAAGGTAAAACGTTAAGAATGCACTTGAATACGTCGACTGACAGTAAACATTCTATAACTTTAACTATTATAGTCTGCCTAAATTAGGTTGATGACTTTGACATCTAATGCTTATGTAAAGTATGGCATCTTTTCTTTAGTAAAACGGCACGCGGTACGTAATTATAAAGTTTTTTTTATGATTTCGTAGTGGAGTCCTGATGAATAACAAGATTTAATAGAAAGTCACGAAATAAGAGGCCATTTATTAAGACGATTTAGGGGACGACGACAGTCGGCCATATCTTATATTTCCTTACAAGGGGTGGTAGGGAGACTTGGTGGTTCTTACGTAAGATCTCAAATGCGCAATGTTTATTATCTGAACTGAAAATCTCACTTAGGTAAATTTTTATTGCTTATTTATAATAATATACATATTCACACAAGTTAGAGTAGAAACATACGCGTGTTTGCCTGATGATATAATATTGCAGATGTTTGACGTCACTGGACTCACTAATTAGGTAAAGCAAATAATTTTAATTGAACAACGCTTACTTCGTTTATGATGTTTATTTACGGTTAAACGAGTACGCATTTAGTTTTTGAAGCACACATATTAACAATGCATAACTATAGGAATAAACCTTTTATGATGTATTTTGAGAAATCAATTGGGACGTATGTAGCAATACACATCTGTTTCATTAAACGTTATTAACAGTCGATAATTCCTCTCCCCCCCCTCTTCTGACTAATCGAAATTATTTCGCTGGTGCTTAAAGCCTTATAAGTATTGAGCCACAGAGGCGGTAGATATAATAATTTTGGGCGCAGTGACATAAATGATCTACATGTATTTTACGAATTATGAGCAATTCAATTAAGCATGATTTCCCGTGAGTCTTCTGTCTTAATAAGCATCGAGGAATCCTGGCACGTCTCCAAAGTGTCTTAGTAATGGGTAAATAGCGCTCTCGAATGTTCTATTGTTCAGTAAAATTCACTGTCAATGTCGTGTGCTATTGCCCGAAAATGAGAAGCTATATACGTTCTTAATGTTTGTAGTCTTACTGTCGTTAAAAGAGCTTTAGTTTTGGGTTAATGTCTCACTTAAAAGTATAATTATGCCATATTACCATTTTATTTAGTGGTAACGACGTTTTATGAAACAAACATTGTACGATACATTCAATTCTCCAAAACTTTTTTCATCTTAAGCACACGTTTAGTACGATAGATCTTCTATTGTTTCCAGCGGGTGGGTACGGCGGTGGCAGCGAGGTAACAGATGGCAGTTCGGAGGAGCAACTGATGCTATCCGAATTGCCAGAGCCGCCCATCGCTCTATCGGAGATAGGACCTATCCCGCCGCCGCCGATGTTCAGCTCGCCCAGTCCCACGCGTCACCACCATCAACATCAACACCAACACCAACATCAACATCCTTTGTCACATAACTTATGTGATTGTAAGTATAACAGATGAAAAAAATCTTTAAACCCTTTACATACTTGGTAAATTAATAAAATGCCGGCCTCTTCCAAATGAGTGTATATACTACGTATGCAGCTTTCCTTAAAAACATTTTTAAATTGTCCGTAAAATATTTATGTTGTCCTTATCACACTAACGACAAATATACTATGAAGGAAGGCAATGGGTCTAATAACCCGTATTTTGATTTCATTCGACAAGTTGATTTCATAGATCGTTCTCTCTTTTTCACATTTATACAAAGAACAAGGACACAAAATTGGCGAAATATTTTTTTGTTTTTGTCAGTTCCCTTATTCACTATTAAGCATTGAATATACAGTAGTTACTAAATCTTAGATGTAAAATACTTACTTCAATAGCGGAAGATGAAGATGACCAAGACGACGACGATATAGACCCTCAGATGGGGGCGGATACGTCGCGCGTTGAAGAAATCCCACCGAAGGAGCCAATATTCAACGCGGTGCCGCTGAAATCCGCTCTGAAGAAGAGACCAGCGCCCAACGCCTCTCCGAACCCTACGCCCATCACGACACCGCTAGCGCCCAGACAAGATCACCATCACGCCAGCTTCAAGTCAGTATACACAATGATTTATTCATTAATTTCAGCGTGTTCTGAATTTCATGTAGTAAAATGTTCAGTATTGTTCTTTACTTAACTCGAAACTATATAAAATTCAAATACGCATACAGATGTACAGTAATTTATACAGTAGCTGCATTCTTTGAATACGTAGTCTGTTTGTGATTGGGAGGAAAATGAGTCGGCCAATTTTAAACCTAACGGTATGGCTGGGTACAATGATATCGTAGGAATGAATGAATGGCCTACATTTTTTATTCGTTGCTGCCCGTGATGGAAGCTCTTGAAATTATTCAACAGCAAGATTTATTGTTATTTATTCCTATATGATTGGTTGTTTGTTATAATTGTAAATTCGTTTTATTCCATCACTTGGTGGCGTACAGACGGCCGCCGCCCAAACCCAGGATCCGCATATGGTAAAATTCTCTCGTTATGTCAGTGTTGTCGAGCCATTCCTCACTTACACACGAACATACATATATAGACCTTCCGACGGTCCCGCTTCGCCATGCATCGTGCAGCGCACGCTTTACACAATGTCGTGTCTAGATAACATACATTCTAATCCTATTGATTAACACTTAACATCAAATGCTAATATCATACTTTTTCGTTCTAATTTTTAGTTCAACACGATTTTGATCTAGTCTCATAGCTATAACCTAAAGCCTGGTGTTTTTTACCCTTTGTATCAAACAAGTAGTCAAGTGTACAATACCATAACTGAAAGATAAACCAGTAATAACTAGAAAGCGCGATCAGCACAACCGCTGTTTTAAACATCGTTTTTTATCATGTCTCCCCGTGACCACGGCTGCTGCAAAGCATCCGAAATGTCGGGCCGAAGTTAAAAATCATTTTCAAATAAGTTTAACTAATATATCGCGTTTTAAATCGTTTATTCAAACGGTTTTTTTTATTTTAATAATCTTGTAAGATTTTCTAGTATTAGCTTAGAATGTTTTTTCTGTTCTGAATACGTACTGAAGTATTTACCACTTTTAAAAATGAGAACTTTGGGTTTTAGTTCTCCCTTTCTAATTTACATAATGTTTACTTATATTATTTTATTAACGTTACAACTAGTAATACAGTCGCCATTCGTAATCGAGTTGAACCTACCTACATAGACTGACAATTACCCCTTTGACTACGTCATCAGCTAGCTATTAGAACGAGAAAGTATTCGTAAATTAGGCACAAATCAAAAAATCATGCTTAACACTTGTTGATAGATCACTAACCACAATTAAGTGACTTCACACTTAACACAATACACAGTATCTTAATGTACCTGAAATATTAGACTAGATAGACCATGAGTAGGTTTGTATTGATGTTATTTGATAATGCATGTCTTTGACCATAAGACGATGTACTTTCTTTGAAAGATCTATCAATATGTTTTTCTACTAAACTTCCGCATGGCCTTTGTATGTGTCAAAGAGGCAAAAAAATTTGGTACAACGAGTAGTTTAAAAAAGTTAAAATATCTAGAAGAAACTCTTTTCGGAGATAAGCGTTTCGCTTTGATCCGCTCCACTTCTTTAGCTCTTGTATTGTTTTTTTAATAATCCGACAAAGGTGATTGGTGCTCCACATAATAGATGCTCGATATCTGTGGAGTTTTTTTTATCAAAATCAATAGTCCCAACTTCAATATCCAATAAAGATATACCTCCCTATTATATGGTTTAAAAAAAAACTTACAGTTGATAAATCTTATATAATAACATTAATAACCAATTAGTTAATAAATAATGTTATTTTCAAATTACAACTTTAAAAAACACTACATTATGAAAAATCATACGTATAATGTATATAAATACGCTATCTTTCGTATTGTAACCACCCCTTAAATCACTTAGGCTTTTTGGATCTTATTAACTCTCTTTTACATAGCAGCGTGCGGCCAGTTCGTGTCGGGAACGCGTTGGAAAATAAAGAAAACGCGCGCCCATGGGAAGGCGAACATCGCGAAGACTATGCGAACGAGTCAGATCGAGTTGCAGCGAAGCTCGCGAGAAAGGAGAGCCTCAATATCAAACTGGCGCTTCGCCCCGACAGACAGGAGCTTATTAATAGGTAAATAACACCAATATAAAACATGTTCAACGGCTTAAAACGTGTTATGTTTTCAATGGAGGTATTAAATCCGCGATAACGTCTGCTGTAAAGCACTGTAATTATCGCATCGTAGTTAAAAATATATTACTTTTTAAGCCGTCGTAGTTATTTAATTTTAATTTGTTATTTAAAGGGACTTAACAAATGTGCCAGGAAATATAATTTAACTGACGAATAATAGAGGTAAAAAATTGTGAACCTTTTCAATTTTGTATGTATTCCTAAATGCCGACATAATAACTATATTTTAAAGTTCCAACTCAAATTGAATAGGTCTTTACGGTAAACGCCAACTCAAACTTTTAATTACAGCGATGCTCATCAAAACTTGTCTCTCACTTGCTTCTCAACTAAAAATAGTATCTAAAAATAGACGGTACTTGTTTTTACATTACAAGGCTAAAAGGTTTAATAGGCCTGATTATAACTGCTATATTACTAGGGGTCTTCTGTATTTTTTTTTACATTAACAAGCACTTTAAACATTCTTTGTTTCAAATCTATGAAAATACAATCAATAAATATATATCCTTATATTTTGGGAACATTCTTTGTTAACAATTCGATTCTATAAAGGAATATTTCTTCTGATCCAATTAAACTTTTAACGATAAAAGTTGCTTTTCTTTGAAATCGTGTTTTTTGTTAAGAATACGCTATTGACGCGAAGAGGCGACATGTTCGCAATTAAATGAGGCGAAAAGAATGCCGATGTAAACATCGTGCCAAGCCAAAACTTGCTAAATATTATTTCTTTTCATTGGCAAGAGTAGTGAATGACAAATTTTAACACGCGTCTAAAGTATAACAATAAAATATTGTTCAATAGTGATTTTTTGATATATTAGAAGACAGTGGACCGTAGGGCCTTAGATCAAAACAACTTTCGCGTAAGTGTTATCACGCGAAATACTTTATGACATTTTTACAATTTTATCCTGGAAATCTAGTCTTAAATGGATGGAAGAACATCGAAATCGACGATGATAAGACTGATGGTGAACATATAAAAAGCCGTGAAGTGTAAAACCATATTTCTCTTTCGTGTCGGTCTTTCGTTAGGGGTCACCTTCCATCAAGTTAATTGCTAAAAAGTGCCATTTCTGTAGCTATAATTTATTAAATGGATTTAATTTGACTTGGCTTACTTCGAGTTAACTCTTCAACTGCCCGGGATATTTATTTTTGTTTGTCTCGTCATTGAGACGGTACTATTCATTGTTGCCTACTTCCTATAGTTTGTACTTGGCACTGACACTGTGCTATTATGTAAGTGTAGTACGGTATCTTTAAAAAACGATACTATTCAGTAACGCTAGTGACGTGCCAAACTAGTAATCACAGGTGACGATGGAAGACTCGCGCTAAACATTACGTGGCTAATTAATTTAAACAAGTCTAGGGTTTCGGGTTTTGGGATTCGTCCAAGAGTGTTAATCGGACATTATTAACGCGCTTTCGACCTCGCATGAGCTTCGGCAATTTTATATAGGCGGGCAGTCAGTGTACGTAGACAAGTGGGCCGAGTTTGTTATGCCAGCGTTGCACTGATCCACCCAATACGGAGTATTACGTCAGCGCGGCGTCAAAATAGTGTTATGACGAATAGCTGCTAAATGTAATGTGCGCGCAGGAATATACTGGTGGTGCAAAGTGAGCACGAGCGGCAGGAGTCGTGGGAGGCGATAGGCGCGCGGCTCATCCGCCGTCTGTCCATGCGGCCGACTGCTGAAGAACTGGTCGAACGGAACATCCTCAAAAGTGAGTCAAATCTTGTAGACCATAATAGTTAAATGAAAGAAACGTAAATAGTTTCGGATTCTGTAGTCGTGGTAGTTGATGATGGCGAAAGGATTGCTTCCGTTTTAATTTGTTTAATCTATTTTACACATCGGACACGAAAATGCTATATATTTTTAAATATAGATGAAAATAAATAGCTGTAGTTTACATTATAAATCGTAGTACTTTTTTGTGTTTATTGTCACTTTCTATATATTTAACGCTCCGAATGTTTTGCAGGCCAGTCGCCGGCGGAGGAGAAGAAGCAAAAGGAAGAGAAGAAGCGATATCTCCTGCGTAAGCTCAGTTTTCGTCCCACCGTCGACGAGCTCAAAGAAAAGAAAATCATCCGGTTCAGCGACTACATTGAAGTCACTCAAGTAGGTTATTTTTAGATTGCCAAGTGACAACGTTGCGATACTAACCAGTGGCGAGAGTATCGACTTTATATTGGCGACAAGGGCATTTCGTGCGATCATTGAGGTTAATTTTTGGGAGATATAAAACTGGTATTTGTACAAGAGGGATCCCACGACTTCCTTTCACATTTTAATGAAATTTAGTTAAATTTGAATAAAGTTGAAACTTCAAATTCTAATTATCAGAAATGTATTAACAAGTATCGTTTGCGCAGGCGCACGATTATGATCGGCGAGCGGACAAGCCGTGGACGCGGTTGACTCCACGCGACAAAGCGGCTATCCGTCGCGAGCTCAACGAATTCAAGAGCTCCGAAATGGCCGTACACGAGGAGAGCAAACATCTTACTAGGTACAGATTTATTTAATCAGTTCGTGAGTTTGATCCTACCGGGTCAATAATTTTTCATAAAAAGTTAACAGATAAAAAGCCAAAATAGATCGACCGACTGTGCATCTCGATTTAATCTTATAAAATAATATATAACATCAAGTAAACCTAGTTCTCTGTGCTCCTATATCATGAAAAAAATCTCTTTTATCTGTGTTCTGTACGCCGTGTTAATTTTGCTTGTTTTTTATTATTGCAATATAAGATGTGCAAATAATGATAGATGTATTTGAACGCTTTGACTTTCTCGGTTGCAGGTTTCATAGACCATGACGGCTGTGCCTTATCCCCGAAGTGGCGAGAGGCGTGAGGGCGCGCGGCTGAAGGCTCGAGCGGGGTTCGCGTGGCGCCGAGCGGCCGACACTTACCTGTGATTCTTAATGTATTTATATTGACTTCTTCCCAGCACAGGAAGATTCGCATGCAATAATTTACGCGACGCTACGGTAAAGTGTTGATCATTCTAAAACCCACGTTCGGGAGTCACGAGCGGTGTTCCGTGGGAGATCGCGTGTGCGACACCTTTTTTATGAATCACCTATTATATCGTAGTTATGTCCAGTACAATTTATGATTATCGTAATTTTTATATTAAGTTCGCATATCCTAAGCGTACCTATACATTCTTTGAATTGACCTTCGCGAAGGTTAGTGATACTGATCGTTGTGGAATATTGTGAGTTTATGAAGCTCCGAGGAGACTTTCGTTTGGTGCAAGGTGATCCATCGTCAGAGATGGTGTAGAAATGTGATTTTCATTATGCTAGCTTTTAGCCGTGTAGTTATTGTGCTAGAATCGCGTTATGTTCATTTCGCTACGGTCACAAATTTATGTGTATAAATTTGCTAAAATATTCACGTTTGAATCCGAGTGATGCCCTCCTTAACAAAGCGTATTTGTTTTATTAGTTTTCGCCATGGCACTTTTGCCGATATACTGCCATACACTTCCGTTAGATTTGTAGGACGTATTTGTTGAAATAAATCTGCTTTTGAACGTGTTAAAACGCGATTTATTGATAATTTCATAAATATAAGTTGCTGGTTTTTCAAAACTCATCGATGGCGGCGGCAATTTACGAACTTAACAATAGAACGCGTTTTAACTCGTTTTTTTTATTGTGTAATGCTTAAGTAAGCTACAGATTACATTTTGAGTATTTGTTATTAGTTGGCTATTATAATATACAGTGAAAGATGCTAATCGAAACACCATAATATGGAATCAATGGAGGATTATATATTGCTATATCTATTACATTTATATCCGTTGAAGATCCAAGATTGTACATTTGTATTATAATTTTAAAGCGAATTTGTAGTATAACGAAGTGTAGCGCTTTTAAGCTTTATCGTAAATTATATTCAAATAATTTAATAAAACGTGGTTCAGTTTATATATAATTTTTCTTCATTGTAACGACCACTCACACGTTTGCTCAATGCTATTCGCCCAACACGATGCGATGAACAAGAAATTATTCTTTACGCTGCTAGTTACGATTTGGCGTAAATCTATTAAAGAAAATCAACCATAAAAATATTATATTATTTCTTGCAGTTTTGTCGTAATTGCGGTTATGCGAACAGAAAAAAATTGTCTAAAAAAGACGTTGTTTTAATTTATAATATTTTAATGGTTATCTATTTGCAAATACATTTTTATGTTCTATTATACTTGGACTATTCGAGAGGTAATGCTAAACAAATTGTACCTAGATCCTGCGCACGGCGGTTGGATCAATTGTATAGTTGAAAGGTATCGCTTTTTGCATTGTCCGGCTCGGACCAACAAGTTACAAAGCCGCCACTAAATCTATCACAGCGCATTACCTCCCGTGCAAAGCATTCTTTTAATTGGGATGAAACTAAACCAAGTACGGTGTCCTATAGACGGGCCGTTGGCTCTGGCAACACTAAACTTGGCGGGAACAAATCTAATTCATCTATCGCTCTAGCTTAGGTATAGTTTAGATAATTGAAACGTTGAACGAACTATAAAGAGATAAGTAATATTAAATTGTTTAAACTCTTAAACGTAGCTATTAAATTAACATCGCCTTCGAGATTACTTACGTTCTAGTATTGTTTGTCAATGTTGTACTTTTGTATGCATCGTCTCGCAAGTAACTGAGCAATAATATTATATTGTGATTCATTTCAAATCGATGTATTTTAATTAAAAAAATTCGTTATGTTTCGGCGTGGAATCCTTTCGTTACCGACTAGCGACGCTTTCCCGATGGTAAGCGTGGTTGAACTTCGAGCACATATTTTTTATAACGTAATCTAAAAATAATAAAATACGATTAATCAATATAATTGTTCGTTTTGTATCAATCGACTATAGGTAATAAATTGTTTCTACTATTGTAAGTTAGTACCGGAAAATAGTTTTCAACGTCGCGCGATACGATAAATAATGTTAACACAATGGTTACTCCCGAGACCATTCCGTTTTTAGGATAAAGGAAGCCAAAATGACGACTTATTTTTCTAAACGATTTTGTTAGGTTTGCAATAAATATATAGGTAAATGTAGGTGTTTATCGATATTATTATAATAAGATCACATTTCCAAAGATCTAAAACTCCTTTGAATTTCCGATTTCGCGTGTAAAACTATGGATGTTATATCGATGCGCAATAAAACATCGACTTTGAGGCGACCGCATTCACATCACTTAGGATGTACATAATACTTATTATTTACCATTCATTGTGATAAGACTATTCTTATAGGATTATTGATATTATTTAAGAAAACTTTCCATTTGTATTTATAGCTCTAAATGTTTGTGTTGAAATCTTTTAATGGTGCTGTCAATTACCATCTTTTTTCGATTTCGTCCTTTTATCGTAATGTTTTGTGATAGCCGCTTGTATACTGGTGTTACGAAACGATAACTCATACTATTTGGACATGTAAATAGTAATTGTCGAATCGCTTCTTTGCTTCATAAGCAAGCAAGTGATCAGCATCCTATGTCTCCTGAATGTATTTTGTTTTTTTTTATAATTGATAGCTTATATATTAAGAAGTTTCAATTTTGCTCTGCCTTAAACAATACACTAATTTCGACCCAATGAACTTGAAAATAATATTAAAAAGTATTCTAAACGTCGGGTCATAGTTTCCATAGGTCCTGTCAAAACATTCAAATTTTTTGATTAGTGCAACGCTTTCTCTTCAGATATGTACTGTCTAATGTTTTGGAGCAAAGAAGCGAAATTATTAAAAGAGAAATTAATACAATTTTATCGATAAACATTCTTGTATTTTTATCTGTATAGCGTATTATAATTTTTAAACAATGTAAATTACGGAATCTCTTCATTTCCTCTTGTATCGCGAGTAAGTTTTGCCGAAAATTCTATTAAGATGCTTACTTCAAATCGTTTAACTGTTGCTTTTATTTTTCAATATTGTATAAATTATTATTATTGACATGTTGTAATAATTAGTAATGTATAATGATAGCCATAAAATTATTTGTTTTATATAACAATAAGTTTGTAAATACTACAATTATACATTAAATTTTATACTCGATTGTGTTTCAATCACAGCCTCGCCATCGTCGTGTGAACAATGAAATATAAATAATGACAATCAATAATGTTATGTGCAAGTATCTTCATATATTAGCAAACCATTTTTTTTTAAACTTGATTTATCAAAGGTGAAAAAAGTAGAAACAACTATTCCATTTGAACAGTTTTTTGTTGGAGTTTTTGGCATGGTAGATCCATCCTCTGGAATTTAAGTACGTTTTAAATCGAGAACATTTATCTACATAAATAAATTATAAGCTATTTTTGCACTAAGAGTTTCAGTGTCATAATAATAGGTGGATCAGGTCATGATCTTGTTATGGACAAATGGAAAGATTTTATTTTCATTTACTTATTTAATAAAATTATCAGGTTCATTCAAACTTTTGTCTCGAAGTAACTACCTGTGGCGCGAAAATTTACAGAAGAATAAGTAAGATCAAGTATATAAATGAATAAGGATATTTTAAGGAAAAATAAAAATATTTGCATTCATCTGCAAATTTATTGATTTTACCTCTTGATAATTGCTTAATAACTGAAGTATCTCAAAGTCTCAAATCATTAAATAATATAGTACTACAACATAATACGCCCTTCGCGGATATCTTCATCATTATATTGTATTTTTCTAACATAATAGGTATCTAGGTATAATGATGAGTCTCGTGATTAGATCGCACATTTTCTATAAAAGTAATGGAATATTAATGGAGGCTTTGACCCGTGTATCTGAGGTTGACTTTCGATGGCGTACAAGTTATGGCGCTAACTAGAGAGAAAGTTAACTGTAGTGCGTACCCGTTACCAATCCGCGGCGCTCGATCACTGCGCGCCGGTCCTTCCTACCCGCGACACATCTGCTATGCACAAAATCGGCGCGAGCGCAATGTTTACTTTTTGCACCAGTCGAACCGGATAACGCGTAGCCAACGTTCGTTGTAAGTGATAAGTGAGCCTTAGAATTGTCCGAGGCTAGTGTTGTGTGAACAAAGGACGATATGGTGTTTTCTGGAAGCATGAAGGAGAGCAAACCGCGATCGAAAGATACTTGGGAGTCAGAGGTGAGATCTCATTAATAATATGTCTATTGTTATTGTGTCGCGCATGTAATTAACATGAATGGAAAGCTCGTTCAATGGAGTGCTTACACTCATTAGCTTGCGCGACACTTTTCTCTGAACAATAAGCACTTTCTCCCGCTCAGCTACCATGATTGTTCATTCTGCAAAAAGGCTTCTTCCACCGTTAGATTACTTCTTTTTCCGTTTTTATTTTAGTCTGAGCTAACGCCGATCGCCGCTGTTAAAAAGCTTAGAACACGTTTAGCAATTCCCTTCTGATGGCAATACATTGCGGAAGTTAAAAAACTTGTATTGGTTGGCAAAAAATAGTTTTATCGAATAGCATACAAAACATTATCTTTATTAATATATATGCTTGATACAAGAAACTAGTGGTATGTTTTTATTAGAATACCTCTCTACACCTAATCTCACCAGTGAGCACATTTTTTTAAATAATAGTAATGTTTCCTAGAAACAGTTTTCCTCGAATCAATATTTTATAAGAAACAGTTGAACATTAGAAGATCTAACTCAGGATTTGATATAACTAGTTACTTGTATAAAATTATTTTTGAACTAGACTTGTTTTCATATAAAACATTTGTTAAATCGGTTTTAGAAAAAACGAAACAGGTATTGTTGACACTCTCGTAAATAGTATTTACAATAACACTTTGTTCTCATAGAGATAATATCAAATTCTTTCGTGAGCAGGAAACTTAAAACGCACCAACTGGAGCTACTAGTCCTTGCACTACAAACCACGTACTTCTCACTTCACATGATACATTACACCACGTTATTATTTACAAGAGTTTCAGCTACTTGAGGTATCAACCGAAATTTCATGTTATCTACTGTGATATCAACAAAGAGTAACTGGTAGCATCTTCTACATAATATCTCTTTGAATATACACTTATCAGTTTGAGATGGTTATTAAGATCCATTGTTAATTACGGGTTGGCTTTTCATTATCAGGATAGAGTGATACTCTAGCTTTCCATGACTTCCATGTACTTTGACGAAACACCGTCTTAAACAAAGAACATGATCATCTGCTTTGTTGCTTATAGTACAACGTACATTTTTCTATAGATTTTATTATTGTTTATTTAGGTATTCAAAATACATCAACAGATCAAAATATACATCACTAGTGTCCTTATGTACGATCTAATAAAAGTATTATTTCGATTGAGGAGGACGGACAAGCATGTGGTAGTGTTGATGATAGGTGAATTGCCCCTAACATATAACAAAATACGCCATCGACCAATTTTGGCTTTGGATATTCTGAAATCTACAGACTGAAACCAGAGAAAGATTAAACTTGATGGATTTTTCATGTGCACGGTTATTCGTGACCAGGACGGAATTTCGATAATCCTACCACCCATTTTATATCTAGATTTACAGATGAAGATGTTTCAGAAAAGATAAAATTTTATTACAAAAATGTTGGATCCGGCGGACCAACTAACCTAGCTAACAATATATCGCTACCATTACACCAACGAGTCCTGGCTAAATCTATTCGAAATTTACTTCCCAATGAATATGTATGCATCAATTATCCCATTCTAAGAACAGACGAGGTAATCACAATTCCTATAAACGTGACCTTCCGTTCCAAATAAAGCGTACGCCTTCGTTAATGCAACTTACGACGATAAATAAATTGTAAGTACGCTCTTCATATCAACCTACACTATGCCACCTTGAACCTATAGTTGGTGTATTCGAAGTGAAGGATCAGGCGTTCTTCAAACGGGCTTTATAATATTACTTATATCTATATGTACATATAAAAAGCTTGATCTTGGAGGACTTTGCTTGTACGATGTCTTCATCCGATAAAAAGTTTTTTAATAAAACATCCTCAAGGAAGTAAAAAGGGGGAATAAACAGAGGTTCGTTAGTGTTGGGGGTCGGGAGTTCGATCCCCAGTAGATTCAATAAAGTTATATTTTTCGGAATTCGACTTCGGAATATCCAGATTAATAAATAGATGATTTGAGTTACAGTCTGTACACTTGCGAATATCTGAAACTAAAATAGGTCCATAATCCCATCTTCTTCACATGTAATATGGGTGGCGTGTAATATATTCCATCATCTTCAGACCTTCTATCGTTTGAGCCGCATGCTAGTCTATCCTGCCCTTATCATAAAATACGGTTTTCCCTGGACATACGGCGTCCGACTACTATGTAGTGAAAAGTGCATAACTCTATTCTTTCGGTAAATCACGTAGAGCCGGGTAAGTGTGTCAGTAGACGTTAACGGCCGCAGCTATGTGATGTCCGATCCGGGTCGACGCGCGCGCAGCTGACCAGAGCCGACTGAGAGTCACGATAGGCCTTTGCATCTATTTGTTTAACACAGATAAATTGCTCGGCACAAGTACCTGTACAGTTCAAGTTAAGATTTACTCGTTGTTGTTGTTATAGTCGGTTACAGCTTCTAGTACAATATGAAATGTAAATACTGTATAAAGTTTACGCGAGTAGTACACATTTAAATAAAACACTTTAACGGTTTAAAACGCGGTGTATTAGTTAAACTTATTTAAAAATGAAATACTGTCTATAGTTTACGCGAGTACTACACATTTAAATAAAACACTTTAACGGTTTAAAACACGATATAATGATTTTTAACTTCGGCCCGACGTTTCAGATGCTTTGCAGCAGCCGTGGTCACGGGAAGACTCGTTTAACTAATATATCGCGTTTTAAACCGTTAAAGTGTTTTATTTAAATATGAAATGTTTATTATTTTTAAGTAAAAGTTTTAGATGTTTTGAAGTAGCCATAATCCCGAACAACAAGAACAGAATATTATTAAAAACAACGCAAATAACTAAAGCACTTCGACTGAACGAATAAACCATGAGTTTTATGAACCGCAAAATATTCACGTAACTAATTGATTTAATACATTCTGACAAGTTTTAATAAATCGTATAATGGTTCATTTATAGGTACATTTCCTAAATCTAATCGACATTTAAAAGTTTTTGTTATGAGTTGTTCTATATTTTGGATAGTATGGAGTTGTTATGAATTTTATTCTATTTTGCTCTATCTACCTACTCAGATATAATCAATATTAAATTATGTTGTTTGATGAATAATTAAGTAATTAAGAGTAAAAATAAAAAGAAAAAAAAAACAGAAAATAAATTGAAAAAAAAAATCGACTCGGACTTGAACCGGCATCGTCAGCTGTCCGTGCTGTTTCTCTACCAATTGAGCTACCGAGTCCTACACCTAATTAACAACACAAATTATAAGAGTTGATAAATAAATAATAAATTAGCTCTTTAGTGCACTAATAAAAGTAATTAACGAGCAATTTGAATTGTGTTACAAAAGCATTGGTCAAGAACCGCGATAGAGATCTTATTACAATCCTCATTCATAGAGGAAATATAATCTATCTCCATTGCATTGGATCGCAAATCTCGGTCAAATTGAATCTCGGAATTCAATTAACTTAATAGGAAAGTGTTGTAATCTAAAATCTAAGTATTTTGGTAGACATAATAGAGATTTTCTTCGATCGATTTATTTTGGTAGAATTTATAATGTCTATAGTTTACGCGAGTAGTACACATTTAAATAAAACACTTGAACGGTTTAAAACGCAATATATTAGTTACTAACTTAACTAATATATCGCGTTTTAAACCGTTTCAAATCTCGCAATTTAAGTACCTACACTATATGATATGACTACTATGATCAATAATGGACAAGCACCTTTTGGTTTAAGGAAGTCTATAACATTTAATTACCACGAGTTTTTCACCGTATTACATATATAATAAATATGTGTTATACTTATTCGATTCGCAAAAAGTGAGAAATTATTGAATACAAGCGAAAAACAACACGCGGAAGTATAATGGACCGCATAATTAAAAAAGATGTTACTAGTTAGAACAATAGCTCAAAAGAAATGTTCAACTTTCACGACAAACCGTGTCTGTCTATTCCATCGACTTGGTTTCAATAAGTAATGGAAAAAGCTTTAAATAAACTAGCTAAATAACAACTATTAGGTATTAAGAATAGGTTTGATGATTAAAAATATAAATAACGTTGAAATAGTGTTTTAAAACAACTGCTCATTTTTACTTTTAATGTTTAAGCAATAATTCGTTGTTCTCTGTAGCTTTAACAGATCTGGGTACTATTTCTAAGCGTTTGGAAAATATCAGTTCATTGATCTTATCACGTTACTTCATGATTTAAGTTACGTAGTTTTGTTTGTAAGCTGTAACACAATACTTTGTCCAATAAACTACACTATAGCGGTTGTAAAATTGTGCTTTTCTCTTTAAATAAAAAAAACATATTACTTGCAAACAAAAAGGGAAGGAGTTCAGAAGACCATCACCATCACCATCACCAAGTTATACGTCAATTGAGACATTTTCTTTTCGAACTTTGGCTGGACTTCGTTTATTTTAATGATAGAGGACTACAGACAAGCTCGGGGTTTACTTGATGGTATTGGGAATTTCCCCAGCGTATAGCATTCAAACAAGATGCGATGACAACCTATTTTGGCTTTGGATATTCGGAAATCCACAGACTGAAACCGAAACGTAGTTAAACTTCACGCCTTTTTCATCTGCTACTACCACCCATTCAATATCCAGATTTCCAAACGAAGTCCAAAATGTCCCGGTGAGAATCGAACCCGTCAAAAAACCATTATAATATAGTATATGAGTCCAAAGCGAAAATTTGTCGATAGCTTATCTAGATAAGTTGTAAACATACTCGGGTATTCCACCCTTATCAATCCACCAGGAATTTTTCCTATTTACTATCAGTTGAGATCGTGGTCGAATGGACCGCCTATTTCACCGACACAGTTAACTTAGCTACGGCTGTCGTAAGTTCTTACAATAGATGTACAGGTGTAGCAAATATCTAGCGGTTGAAAGTGAGGCCGTTCTCATTTCTACCTCGAGGTTTTGAATATAACAGATCAAATAAGCACGATCTAGACCAAATCGTTCACTGTCACTTTTATTTCTTGAGAAATGCCGTTGCGATCCAGTCCATAAACAGTTTCCTTACACTACCCGTATTTGTAACTGAGCACTTACTTAAAACTTCCTGGTTTTCCTTTTTTCTTTCGTCTATCGTTTTTTATTGTATTTTTAACTCAAGTTAATTCGCTTTCTAGAGTTTTACTCAGTTATTATATTAAGTAAATTATTTTTACCTACTAGCGTAAATTGGACTTCAAAGAAGTAAATAAGTTGACGACATGGCGTCATTTCGGAAAAGTATATAATACGCGTTTCAATCCGTTTAAATTGGTTTTATTTCATCAACATTGACTAACAAAGTTTATAGTTTATTATTAAATTTTGTTTTTTTTCTTTTCTCATATCACCTGCGTCTTGTTAACTGAATTACAGCATGTCTTAGCAAATCTTTGGAGCCTGATTATATTATAACGGAAAAGCCTCACTAACTTTTGGTAAAGTTCGTTATTACAATGGGCTTGCCTTACTGGGCGGAATGTTGGCCTATAGCGATCGTTGCTGCAACACTACCGACCAATTTTGTTAGCTTATTAAATGCCACTCTACTTATCTATCACAAATCACACACATATGGCCTGGGTAATTCACTTCCCATCATGTGGGCCTCTGTCCTCGTTTATCATTAAAAAAAATAGGATAAAGACACATCTATCTAAATAAAACACATTTAACGGTTTACAACTAACAATACAAAGTAATCTCTACACGAAAAATCGCGAGTGCTATCTATAAGTTTGTATTAAGAACGTTCAAATGTTACTTCATAACTTCACTGGTTTTGTCGCGTTAAGCATTATTTTTCTTTCGTTATGTTGTAACTGTTTAAAACTATTACGTTCATATTCTTAAGTAACACAGTTGAAATAAATCGTGACGTGTTTATTGTGGGATTTTTCGTCTTGCATATATTGTCTGTGGGCTAAGTAGACACTATTAGGTTATTAAAGTATTTGTACATACTTAAAAGAATTATATATACAAAATAATTTTTAACAAAAAATAACTGACTCAACACTAAACTTAAAGAGACAAACATAAATTTTTAAAAAAATATATATAAATGTTTTTATAAATAAGTTTACAATATTATTTACCGCGATTTCGCTCGTCTGTGTTCAACATATAGTAATTTATTTAAAATGGCATTATTTTGAATAAATTGATGAGTCTATTTTGTATAAAAACATCTATTTTCCAACGAAATAGTCGCATTAAATACGGTTTGTTAACGACGAAGTTATGCCGAAACTAACAAAAAAAGCATAAGTAGGTATATATAGTATACAGAAAGATTTAAAAACATTTTTGTTTAATTTGGTTAAAAATTAAAATTATGTAGGTATACTGTCTGTAGTTTACGCGAGTAGTACACATTTAAATAAAACACTTTAACGGTTTAAAACGCGATATATTAGTTAAACTTATTTGAAAATGATTTTTAACTTCGGCCCGACGATAGTGATTGTGGCCTATCCTACATCGGCCAAACAAAGCGTAGCATCTCAAACAGAATTAAAGAACACGTCGCGGATATAAAACATAAACGTTTCTCCAAATCTGCCGTATGCCAACACTCATCGGAAGGGCCCAATCATTACATTCGCTTTGACCAACCAAAAATCCTCGCAAGGGAGAGTCGATTTTTTCCAAAATTGGTACGCGAAGCAATTGAAATCAAAAAACACCTACAGCAACACGGAAAGCTTTAGGTACGTTTTCGCTCAAGTCATTAAATTATTTAATTATTTAAATCTGAAATCAATTTTAAATTTATTTATAATCTATTTACATACAAGTAAAAAATAAAAATAATAATAGGATTACAATAGATAACACTTATAAGTACAATTCTGAAAATTAAAAAATCCGAGTATATATAGAAATAAGATTTGTAATTTCTCTTTCTTGTAGTATTTAGGCTAACTGGGTAATAACATGAGATAGCCTTAGCAATGTGCAGTGGCGACAAGAAATAATTATAATGTCGCACAGAAACCTGTTTATTTCTTTAAAACGTCAAAACCAGTTATAATGAGGACAAAACATCCGATTCTAATAATTTTTGAAGATGCAGGACTAGAGAAACTTTTTGTTATTTAAGAAAGTTTATAATTAATTTATTTTCTATTATATTATTAATATTTAATTGGCAAATAGCTGAATTATCTCTACATGTACGTTTTACATTATTTATATTTTAGCGGCTGAAAAGTTAGATATTAAAATATATTGATACTTCTAGAAATGGAAAAGCCGTGAACTATACATTCATGTTTCGGCTTCTTTCTGTAGGTATTCCAGAATGTATTAAGCTAAAATAGGACGACAGCACATCTTAAATAATAATAATAACAGACATTTGAAACTTAACTCTATTTATTTGCGATAACCACAATTGTCGAGGTAAGCCAAGAAAAGTGAAATTTAATCGAAGTTAATAAAAACCTCCTGACTTTCATACCGCGCCTTGTATGTTCTTTATTATAAATTAATAATATCACTTTCTATTTCTAGCTTGGCTATGGATGGTCACGAAACGGACAGAGGCGGTGCAGATCGCATCGGCCTCCGGAGTCCACAATGTCAGTTAGCAGTGACATCAGATTTACAAGGCGTAAGCTAAGCCGTCCTTGCAGAGGATGCTGTGCAGCTATAGCCGCTTTACTGGTACTGCTGCTGCTGGCTGCTGTCGCCGTATACCTCGGCCGTAGGTACCATTCATTTATTTATTGTTATATCAAGAAATAAGTGCTAGAAATGGTGGGCATTATAATAAAATATGATCTTACTCGATATATGCCGTTGATGATTTTGCGAGCTCTTTCTTAAATAAAAAAGAAGAACAGTGACCTTCTAAGTTCTCTACCGGTAAATCTATTAATCTAAATCTACCGGTAGTTGTTCGGAATTCAAATCTACTACTGACGAAAATAAAGTCATATTCTTTATGGTTGGCGTTTGAACACCGACATGAGTTTTAGCCCAGTTATATATCCACATCCTTAGCTTAATCTTTTGTAAATAAATATCCTGGCTATAACCTCATAAATCAATATTAATGATTACATATTTTACGTAAATGGAGTATTTTATAGAAAATCGGTATAAATAGTATATTCCTATTTAAGTAACCCTAAAAATAACTTGGACTAATATATCACGAAATATATTGTAAATATATTATGTATAATATTGTTTAACGAAAGATACTGTTTCAAGCGCCGAACTAGATTCAGGTTTCATTCTTTAATGCGGTTGCAATAAGATATCAACATTTTCTCAGACTGTTCTCGCGACATTTAAGTTACGCCCGTCACCGGAGAAAAAGGCCAAACCAGCGGCCTTGCATTCGCCACAACAAGTGAATCGATATTATGTTTGATGAACTTAAAGATCAGATAATAAACTAAAAGCAACTAAAACTATTTAAACCGTTAAAGTGTTTTATTTAAATGTGTACTACTATACTTAAAAACTATTTATTAGTACATATTTGAAATACCCCTTCCTCCTTAGTGGGCATAGTCTAAGAACATTTCTAACTGTTTCACTGACCTATTTCATTTGCACGACTAAATCAATTTTTAGTCTGCTTCCCAGAATTTTAACCATTTCTCCTACTAATAAGCCATAACACTGAGGTTTTATAACTCTTCCAAGAATTATATAACAATTAGCATTTTAGGCATATATTAGTCTGAAGTGTATATTGTTTTGTAATATAAAGAAACAATCTTATTAACTAAAATATGTTTATTAAACAATAATGTTTTGTTAATTTATTGTACCACGGTTGAACAGACATGTTCATATTTAGTATCTGTTGATGCGGTAAATAATTTCTTACGTCATTTAACTTACCATGAATGCCGCTAAATTCTTTTGTTTCGTCAGCCATTTTGATAACGTAAGCTTTTAAAGTCGATCACATTAAATCTTAGTAAACTCGGCATATTCATTATAAGTGTGTTTCTTGAGAATCACACAAAGAACTCTTCTCTTTGCGTTGATACTTATCTTAATTTCTCTTACAGATATGTATCTATTTGGCGACCCGTTGAACAGACAAACATTTAGAGGGTCCTTTGTGATGTCCTCTTGGAGTTCAAAAGAAGACCTCAATTTGGACGTAGGAGATAATAGCACGCGGGAATCGGAAATGCAGCACATATTGTTTGATGTGTATAGTCGATCAGAGCTTCGATCTTGCTTTGAAGGCGCTGATATACTTGCAATAGACAAGTAAGTAGGTTTTTAAATAAATAAAAAATGACAGATAAGGTGTCTTACAATGGAAGGATGTCTCACGATTGAAAATAATAAATATATCTTCTTAAGATGTGCTTTGGAAATTCTTATATCTACAGACTAAAATCGAAACACTACTGTTTCTTCTTCTAAGACATTGCCATAGACGTGCATGGATTTTTCTTACAGTGTAATTATTCTAAGGGTATTTATTATAAGACGCTTATAATAATCGGAAAATAATCCACTCAAACAAACAACCGTTTGGTTAGCCTAATATTATTACCATTAGACCAACGAGCTCAAAAAAGATGTAATAGAAACATAAATCTATACTAATATATAAAACTGAAGAGTTTGTTTGTTTGTAAGGAAAAATTATTTTTGTGTTGGTTAGAGCGTTTATCGAGAACGGCTATAAAACATCGCGCTGTGGCTAATAGAAGCGAAGATACAGCGTGAAAAGTGAAAAAAAACGGGGGAAATTTTTTATCAGGGTTTCAGTTGCGTACGCTGCGAAAAAATTATTCCTCTTTACATGATCTAAAAAAAAATGTGCTTTAACGAATTATTCCTCTTTTAAGATGCTCGAAAAAACGAGGGGGGACGCGATCGATGTCGTCGCTGATAGCTTAAGTTTATAAAGATGACGGGGTTTGCAGAACCTAATTTGGATCCCCAAAATAACGATTCTCGCGGACGAAGTCACTGGCACGGCTAGTGTTTAATATATGCCAACACATTTGCATAACTTAATCACTGCAAATACAACATTAAGCATGATGATAATGATCATTACCGGACTGTTTTGTATGACATAACAGTTATTAAACTGTGTCGTTCATGGTCATGGTAAACTACTTTCAAATCGACTTTAGGTAGATTTAAGATGTATAGAGTACTATGTATGCTTTTATGTATGTTTTAGGTTTTATTCTTGACTGGATGGATACATTTCTAATTCCATAGCAGTTTCATGATTTTCTTTGCAAGATAATTATTACCAGCAACTAAAAATGATTTGATTTTCTTGGAATTCTAACCCAATAATTTTAGCTTAAAGGAGGGCTAGGCTGGCTTTGTATGTAACCACAAGGACGAATATCTGATTGTTTCTATCATACGTGATACACAACATATTATATACTGACTATTTAAATACAGAAAAAAATAAACGAGATACATTAATTCTTAGTCCCCATGTGACCTAGACCTAGGCCTAGCCACAAAGAATCGAAAACGTCGGGTAGTTGCTAAAAACAAAATCAATATATCGCGTTTTAAACTGTTAAAATGTAGGTGATGGAGTAAAGCGCACAAACGCTATAGATTCAGAAGCTACCTGAAGTTGACCTCGGGCGGAATAAAAATGTACGCGCAAGGTATCGCACGTACTAACATGGTAATTTAAATTGGTGAAAGTCAGCTTTCACGAACTGAGATCGAGCGTGTTACAGGGCCATTAAGTAAAGTTCGAATACATGAATGCTTGCGATTGATCTCACTCATCTGTTTCGAGATCAATAAGATGTAATCTGTAATCCGCGACGCCTCTGCTTCAATTACTTTTAACAGAAGATTCAATTTTACTTTCAAAATAACAAAAAATAATAACGCTCATAATCTATGTATACCAGGACGGAACAAGTCCCACCCGTGTCGTCATTTTTTTCATTTTAAATAAATTTTTAATTCATATTATGCTATCATGTGCGAAAACATTAAAATCATAATAAATGTTACCATAATAGCACGTCTGCTTGTGTTTTTAATAGATAACAAATATCAACTAAATCTAAATCGTTTTTACACAAACAAAACATTAACAGAACAAAACTCGCTGTTGTTGTGCCTAGATGCAACGGCATATAGTGGCGGTATTATGTAGAGGCAGTATTTAAGCAAAGAGGTGACAACTTGCTGCTAAACATAGAAAAAATCAGACCACCTTCAACTAAATACATGTTTAAGCTTTAAAACGCTCTAGTAATTACAGCAAGGCATTTGAGGGCAGGTATGTAGTGTAAATATAATATACCTTGTTAGTCGAGACCGCGTCTATATGTATCTTGACAACGACTAATATTTTTATAACGTTCTTAAAACGCGACATAAATTGGTTAACTTGTGGAACGTTTTGGATGCATTGCAGCAGCCATGTTCACGGTAGGAGTAAATAGACCTTATTCGTTTTAAATCGTTAACCCTTGTAGGACCATAAGATGGCTGAGACTGAATAAGCGAATAGAACACAATATCTTAGATCTTTTGGTTGTAAAGAGAATACCACAAGAAAAACATACACAGGGTGTATAGATATCCCATAATTTCATACGTTTTATTTTCGAATATCCATTAAACAATAATTAAATGAGGATAACGATTTTTCAGAAAGCAAAAAATTTCCCTTGAGCGTGAAAGGGTTAAAAATACTACTCGCCTGAACTACAGACAATACAATTATCTTATTAATTAATTTCACCACAGATAAGTACTTTTGCTTTTAAAGAATATAGATAAAGGTTTTACTATATATAAATACTAATATTTAAAAAAAAACCGTGTCAACTCCTTCCGTAACGTTAGATCAGTATTTAAGGCTAAAGTGAAAGATACTTCAGATAAAATTTCGTCTAATTTTAATTCATCATCTTCGTTAAAGTTTGTTTTAACAAGAACCTAACTTATCGTTGTTTCCTGTACTGTTCGAGAAATATTTGTCTACACGTCCGGCGTGTGCGTTCGTCTTTGACAAATTTAGATCGTTCTTAGTATTCGACATGAACAATTCCGTAATCGGTGTATTGTAAATCAGGCCGCCGAAAGTAAGGGCTTACAACCTTGAATGCGGTTTAACAACACTTACTGCATAGAAAGTACAGCTTAGAAACTTGAGCACGCATTACTTTCCCAAGATGATTTCAAAATGTGTCATATTGTGACTTGATGTTTCTTAAAATATATAAATAAAGACACACGAAACTAAACTTGTAGGGTAGTAATGGTTAATAAAAAACGGGTCCCCATTAACTCCAACATGCTGAAGTTCGTCTGGAAATCTGGATGTTAAATGGATGATAGGAATATGGAAATTCCGCCCAGGTCAGGAACACCATCTATAGATCAAAGAGCCGCCAAGTTTAATCGCTTTTCGGTTTCAGTAATATTCAAAACTAAAATAGATCGCCAGCGCATGTGGTCAATTTGTTATATGACTGGGGTAGGTATTTCATATACCATCAAGTCAATACAATGGTAGTCTGTCCTCTATTATAAAAAAAACGAAGTATTATTATTTATTTTCAATCGATGATTAACTACTTACCAGACTACCTACTTACTAGACTAACACCAGAAATATTGACATTGATTAAAGTTGACCGATCGTTAGACAAGGAATTTTGTCCAAAGTATAAAAGTGTGTAATGTCTCTTAATCAACAGGTGTTAACTTTTTTAATAAATGTCGTAATGTTATAGTAAATTTTACCATATTATGAACCTTAGTTTAGGTACGTACCCGGAGGTACTCTGCATTTGATTGCGGCTTTTAAATTCATATTTTTTGTACAGTACAGACGAAGGGACACGGCTGCATTTCGAGGTTTCGTTCGAACCAATATTTACAGCTGTTACTACAGCTGAAGTACGGGGCGTAATGGAACAAGCCCTTTTAACACCCTATTTCACCAGCTTTGAAGTCGTTCCAGAAACACTGCATATTGAGGTACCTAACCATAAAAATATAACTATAGAATTATGAAAGTATACAACTTAATACATATTATAATGAACAGTGTTGAATATTTACCGTAAATAACGAGAACCAAGGGAGTATACAGATTTTAACGTTATAAAAATTCGTATGCTGTATAATTTGTTTTTGTCCTACCACTGTTACTAATTACATAAAACTTGACACTATGGATGATAACGTATTAGGGTACCTGTTTTCAACTTGTTTATTTTGGTTATTCAGAGTGAGTTTAAATCTAGCCAATTAATTTGGACGGTTGTATGTTATTCTCAATTGAATAACGTATACGCGACCTTGGACGAAGCTTACACTGTATTCATTTCTAGGAAAGCTCAATGATATCATCACAAGCGCTTAAGGAAAGTGAAACGACAACGCCCGAAATGGTAACAACTGAAGCGATGATAATTGAAGCAGAGGAGGAAGTACGCGAGTGTTCGCCGCTAGCGCTGTCACTTTGCTCGCATTTACCTTACAACATCACGACTTATCCTAATCTAGTCGGCCATGCCTCCAAGGACGTTTTGCTGCGCGATCTTGTCGCATTCAGAGAATTATTAGATGCAGAGTGCTCGCATCTCGCGCAAGTAAGGCATACTGTCTATAGTTTACGCGAGTAGTACACATTTAAATAAAACACTTTAACGGTTTAAAACGCGATATATTAAACTCATTTCTTTTCATTAAAGTTTTTATTTAAACAAGTAAGGCATTTTAATTGCTTTTCAAAGTTTACGATGGGTGAAATCAAATCTAGGAGCTTTGCCAAACGGTTCCATAGAGTTGCAGGCCAAAAACAGACATCAAAAATGTAATTTCTTCAGGATTTATGAAACATATGCATTATTTGACTTCTATACATATATGTTTCTGGACAAAGTATTTTTACGTCTATGGACCGGTTACTTCTCTGGGGTCTTAACTAATCTATATGTCGTTTTTATCCTCGTTCTATCGTTTTATATAAGTCTCCAATACTTTAATAATCCTAGTAATTATTCTTAACTTTTTTTACAACTTATTATTTTTTCTTTTAAGGACTTTGTCTGTCAAATGCTGCAGCCTCAATGTGAGAACAGTCACATGGTATACCCATGTCGAGCCTATTGCCGTGCCTTCCACGCTGGCTGTGGTGATCGGTTGCCTGATCGGTTACGTCCTCATTTTGACTGTGCTCGTTTCCCGGACTACCACGGGCCTGGGTCCTGTGCGCCAGAGCCTGGTAAGCTTTGAATAAAACTTGTTTACAGCTAGGAGTTTAAGCTTCAAGACTTACAAGCTTTCTAGAAATATTAAATGAATGAAAAGACAATGATTAATACAATATTGTTTTCACGTTAGCTTTTAAAAGAATTACATATAATTAATTTTTATATCTATGTATATAATAAAATATAAGTTGATTATAAAAAATGATTTGTAAGAAAGCAGCGTTATTAAACCATTTTCATTACCTGTCGATTAATTAAATATATATTTAAAATGTTATAAATAATTTCAGATTGCCGAGGCAATTTACAACGGTTGGCTTTATCACGACGCGCATGCGACGGTATCCCAGATTGTACTGATGCATCTGATGAGCGCAGTTGTGCACATTGCGCCGCCGCAGGTTCCAACAGTATCCGTTGTGCTCTCAACCCGAGGTGTCTGCCTTCGCATCTACGATGTGATGGAACACCTGACTGCTCTGATGGCAGCGATGAAGTCGGATGCTGTAAGATATAACCCAGGGGATCATTTTTAACGATACCTATACAACTTATTAACATAACTCGGAAATTAAACCATCTTTCTTTGAGTGGAACAAGTCTTATAATTATGATTGTAGTGACTATTTAGAGAATTGCCGCCAATTTCTTCTTTCTTTTATGCTACATGGGAGTACTGATATTTTTATTTCAACTGTTATAGTGTGGGTATCACGTTCGTTGGCTTCTTGGCGCAGAGAGAACAGTGAGACAACTTTAGGAGCCATTCGAACTCGAGTTGGATATGCTGTATGGGCGGAGAGAGGCCATTTTGGTAAAATATGCGCAGCGCCTTATGAAAATGATAAACAAGCCCTAATGAACGTGGCGATGTCTTTATGCACATCGCTGTCATTCAAGTAAGCAGAGCAATCAATGTATGGCATATTAAATATTGTTGTACTATGTATATTAATTTTGACATTGTTTAGATCAGCAATAACTGCAGAAGCCGTGGCGGATGGTGAAATAGATGACAAGGAAAAAAACAACAACCCTGAATATGTGGAGATAGTGGACCCCGCGGCAGCTGAAATATCATTCATAAAAACCGATTGTCCAGGGAGGAAAGTTATAAAAATCGTCTGCGATCAGCTAGGTAACTCATTAAACGGGTCACCCTTAACTTTTCTTCTTATCTATTTTCTTTCATCTAATCTAGTAATTCATAATAATTACTATATCTTTCCCAGAATGCGGTGTTGCTACAGCGCGTGGTTTGAACGCGGTTAATGGTGTTGAAGGTTTGCCTCGATCAGCTCGTCCCGGGGACTGGCCGTGGCATGCAGCATTGCTTAGGTCACACGTCCATGCTTGTGATGCAGTGCTGGTGCATTCTTCGTGGCTTGTTACTACTGCTTCTTGTTTTCAGGTAAGATATTCACCTTATTTACCTCTACCGATTTGTTTTGTCCAAGAATAAAATATAACTGTATTACTCTCCGTCCATTTTTTCTATACGGGAATGGATTTGGCTATATATTAGTTATAAGCGGTTCTACTAGTCGTTTATTATATATCGTCATTTTTCGATAGGAAATTTCGTCTATATGAACTAGAAATGTCTGTCTATTTTATATGATGTAGAATAGAATAACATTGTGGATTTTCTAGGGTCAACCAAAAGCGGAATGGACGGCAAGATTAGGAACCGTTCGTATTCAGAGCACAACACCGTGGCAACAAGAACGACGAATTGTCGGAATGATTCGGTCACCAGTTGAAGGGAGCATGCTGGCATTGGTTCGGTTAGAAGAGCCTATAGAAGTGACGGACTTTGTTCGTCCAGCTTGCTTACCAGAAAATGGCTTCAAGGTGGACAATCGAAGTCTTTGCAATACCCTAGGATGGACGAGGAATAGAGACCAACTACAGAGGGTACACGTGATCGCCACTTCTATGCATACTTGCGAAAATGTCAGTATAGCCACAGGCAATGGTATTTGTGCAGAACCACTTTATGACCAGGATGATTGTGATGTAAGTGAAGCTTAAAATAGAAACAAAACAGTTTTATCTATAGCTTTCACAAATGGTATAGTAGTACTTTTATATATGTATACTAAAAGTAATATATTAAAAAAGGCCATGCATATATTATTACTTTTGACGGATTTAAACCACGAATTCATTTAATTTCGACCATTTCTGTTGGTTTACAAGTCATTTTATTTATATTAACCAGTTTATAAATGTTGAAAAGCGTTATTTATTTATACAATTGTGCATTAAAATTTCAAACAAACAATTTTTTTCTCTATTTACAGGAGGAAGAATATGCTGGTAGTTCCATGATGTGCTTTGACCCAATATCGAAACACTGGTCCCTGTTAGGAGTAAGTGGATGGCGGATAGCCTGTTCCAAAATCGGTTTGGGTAGACCTCGAATTTATGATTCTGTTACGTCACACGTAGATTGGATTCAAAAAACTATATCAAACTCGTCAAGGTGACCATTGGCCATTTTAAACCCTTGTGAATAAGATAAGACTGTTGCAAATTGGAGAGCAAGAAAAAGTTTCAGAGTAAAAGAAGCTTGTATGATATGTATTTGATACAGCATTAAGATAAAATTATTTAACTTATACTAAGGATGTAAAGATTTTGTAAGGGAAAAGTTAAGCTATATTACAATTTTCCAACATTTTTTTATTTTCAATACTCTCTTTAAATACTTCTCTTAGTGCAGACTTTTAATCGAAAGACACTCTTTCAATAGTCGCAAAAATCTCAGTTGTGGTAATGCAATGAAGGTTTTTTACTGTTAAGTTTTATGTAAATAAGATATTATAAGGCTATAAATAAGATATTATTTGTTAAAGTGAGATAACATAATGTAAATAAAATTATTTACCAAATAATAAAAGCTTATATGTTATGTTATACTGTGTTTTTTTAGTGATTAATATACCTACATTGTATCACTAATCATACATATGTAATTCTTATTTGATATAATTACTAAAGAAAATAAATAAAAAACATACCTTTACATATCTATCTATATTATTGACTAAATATACAACTGTAATTACTTATCTGGGCACATTAATTTTTCTTCAATATTCCTTCTTCTTTCAATTCTTGTCTTATTTTATCTTGTACATTTGGTGGCAGATTCTCTAACTCCTTATTGACATAAATGTGTAAATCAACTAAGGGTTTATAGATATTATGGACAACCTGCGATCCTGCTAGCATAGACAACATTGCTGAGACAGAAAAGGTAATATACTGACCCCAAGTTACACCTGCAGGCATTTTATTATACTGAATATTTTTCAATCTTCTCTGCAATAATTGTTTTAGCTTGTCTTCTTTTAAAGGTTGAGTAGAAATTTATATCGCCGACTTTCCAATTGATCATAGAAAATTCGAGCGCTGCTCCTAGCACAAAAAACATTGGGAGAAAACGATACAGTCCAAAAGTTTTCTTTCCTGGCCAGTTATTGACGAGTTTGTGAACCCACCCTATACGCATTTTAAGCACATAACTTGAATGGGTAGAATCCAGGGTAAGTAGTCTATGTTATATAACTTGCTTTAGTATGTATACCCATCGCTAACTCTTAGACACGTTAAAATCACTTTAGAATTATTGTTAAGTTAAATGATCTGTTGCATACAGTTAAGTGTAAGGTTAGAAATAAGAATATTACAAAATATTTAAGATTGAATGCACATTGAATGTTTTGAATATTGTCATATTTACTAAACAGTGATCAAAATACTTGACAGTGGCACTAAGGTTTGCTTTGAGTAATTCTGAGATGTAAATTAAGAAAGGCTTTAAATACACAAGTCTATGAGTAAATTCGTAGGCAGAGAGTCCGAGCTTTAAAGTTTGATAATAATATTTTTTGTATAAATTTTACTTTGAATAAAATATACAATAGAACATAACTGATAACATTCAACTGATATGTCAATTTCCAGATGTCTGTCAATACGTCAAGTCGAGACGCTCACTCTCAACGTATCAGCTGTTAATTGTAAATAATTGAATTGTTATACTATACACTAATTAATGAAAGTTACTTGATTGCTAAACTATAATTAGAGATGTCTAAAATTACCATGTAGTTGTGATCTTTACTTTGTTATCTTGGACAATTTATATGAATTATGTTATTAACGTATAACTTAGTACGGCAATAATAAATATATCTATTACAAAAGTGAATTTTATAAAAGAAGCTCAATTTATAATGTTATTGGTAATGAAGTTTCAATAAATGTTTAAGAAAAGTTTATTTGAAAAGTTGCCACTATCTAAGAAGTTGCAACCAACTCAGTCACAGGGTTTAAAAATAGGAGTTAGAGCTTGGGGAATTATAACAGATTTTGACATTGAATCTGTTAAAATTAATTGCTATAAGCAAGGTGAACAATCTTCCACAGCAGTGATTAAAATTTCAGATAAATTTGGAAAAGCTGTGTGCATCATTAAAGGTAAAACTGTTGGTTTATTATTTGGTGTCACTGCAGAGGAATGGGCAGAAATAGAATGTTTATGTGACTATAATCAGCAACTATTCTATAGAGATTTTAAGGATGGTTTAAATAAAAATTATGGATGTAAACAAAAACTCTTTTACAATTTCTGCCGGAGCAATAAAACCCAGGATATTTTAGTTGCCATTTATGAAAGAGGCGTGAATATGAGAAAAAAAGACCAGAGTGATGTTCTGCTTAATATCAAAGTATTGGAAAAATGTAAAAATAATATAATTAACTTGTATATAGATTATTCACAAAGCAATATCAGTTGATTTATATTCAGGATATTTATTGTGCTTCTATTTATTATAGTCTTTCATTTTCGATTTTAATGTGAGTAAAAAGTATTATTACTACATCATATTGCTAAATACATCCTTGTAAGAAAACATACTATTGTTTCTTTTATTCCAAGTTTCCATTTTATCAGATGAATACTTATTATTTGTATGAGTGTTTTTTTTATAAATATTTAAGTTTTATATTGTTCAGGTAGCAACCTGATTTCATTATAAATTTACAGGTTTATGTTCATGTTTATATGACTTAAAGCCTATTGTAATATTTATTATGAATCACAGCTCGATGTCAATGACCAGCTATTAATTTACGAATTTATGACGAAGTGGCATCTAATTTCTAAGCGAGAAATACTTGATGTTATAATATAAAGAGTGAAACCCCAATTACCCATGTGCAGACCTACTTTTGCGCCTGATTCACCGATCAATTTTATTTATCAGCAGTTTTCCTTACAGGTGAGAACCTGTACTTTCTTGATCAGATTTGTTTACCATCTGAAGTGACCTTTCCCCAGGACTCAAAATCAGTATCTCTCGCGCTTAACGTAATGCTAGACAACGCATGGTCATTGAACCATGGAGGTAGTGATATAAGAGTTGGAATATAATTATACGTTATTTAAAAAGCACTTTCCGCCTGTATGTGAAGCCGCTAGAGTGGCCTAACAACAAAAAGCATAATTTTCTAAGGAGGATCAATTAACTTAGGCGGAAAAATGCGAATTTGCACCATTATTTTTAAAATTATATTAACAATTTTCGGTACTTCTCTTTTTATCTTTTTAGACAACGAAAATATAAATAACTCAGTCAGGTAATTGTAGTTAAGCTCTGCCTCTGGCGGCCTCATATCTCCTTTGAGTGGGGTGCCTGTTTCTAGGTGGTAAGATCGTAGGCGTTAACACCGAATAGCCGAAATGTACAAACGAAAGGAAACAAACTTATACATTTAAAGTTGTATTGAGATTACTAATGGATCGCACGATCAGCGGAGGCTGACGGCAGTAGGTTTCGCGCGGGCATAACGAGTGAACGTTACTGTGTAACGCGCGTCCTCAAATTTCGAGTGTAGCTGCAACGAGAGACGAAATAACGGGAGAAATGGAAGTGGCAGATCAATGGCGTCGCCAGTGGGCTGGAGCCGCCGAATATGGGAAGGTGAGGCCGTCGACTTTAAATAAGTTTTAAGCGAACACAATTGCAAGCAAAAAGTTCAAACAAAACTTTATGAAATTTGGTTTAGCTTACTTAAATTTAGGACGAGCGAAAATAAAATTTGAAACTAATATTCCAAGAAATAAAGATATCGATCAAAGATGCCCAATTAAGCGGGAAGTTTCTGTATATTTGATATTTACTTTCTTTGTGAGTTTGATTTATTGGGGCACCAACTATGAAAACGTATAAATCAGAAGGTAACTTTTACATTACATACATTAGTTTAATATAAAAATCATAGCATACTTCGCAAATCACAAATTAGGTTTGCTTTGTGGCAACTTTAAATGAGTAGGCTGTAGGTATGCGTAACATCGATTATATGTTATACATGTAGATACATGCTGTATCGATATTAAAACGGGGTATTCTTGTGTTCATACTTTTGGCAATGACAACAATTGGGGCGCAATTCTTAATACATAAAAAGCTCTTTTAAATGAAGATATAAATAAGATTTAACCTTAAATTACCCAGTTAATTAATACAATTAAAGTAGTATAATTGAGCGTTAGCTTTTTTACGGTATACCTATGATGCAAATTGCATACTTATAGAAAACAAATGATAAACAGTCGACGTTATTATATCACTTTTTGAGAATAGCCCCCCAGAGTTGCCGTTTCCTTATACAGTGCAAAACCTGAATGACGTGACTGCCCAAGCAACTTGTGTTTTTTATTACACGAAAATGAATCATTGTTGCTCTTGATATAAAGTTCAATGCTATGTTGGAGAATTAATTATCGAATTTAAATAAAGAAAGCTTTGCTTTTTTTTTTCAGTTTTGTTCATAACTCGCGGTCTCTCTACAACTATTACATTCTACACGTTTTAACCCACTTTTAAACAAATAACGAACCTCATGTTTTATTAATTTTGTCAAAGATCTTAAACGACATTGTATAAGTCGCGCTATTCCATTTAACATAACATATAATTTAAGATTGAAAACTCTTACCTTATAAGTTCGCAAAATCCATTCTTATTTCGGACGCCTCCTTCATTCCACCAATACCTTTCAAGTTTCAGGTCTTCATCATTTTGTATTATAGGTATTGTGTTGATTCGTCAGTCGTTCAAGACAAATCACTATTTTTCATAGATTATGAGGATATCTCTGAATGTGAAATTAATATATGCATTTGTAGGCACATCACAGAATCCAAGTTATGTAGTAATATCTCTATCTGCTTTGTTATGTTAATTATTGTACCTATGTTCTACTTAATAAAAACCACACGTAAACCACAGCGTCTTGAATAACCGTATAAGTAAGCTATTTGAACATAACCACCTCCTTCGTGAGGGATATTATGTTTTTTATTAAGTACTCAGATAAAACTTACATCGTTTTATTATTTTTAATTTTCAACTTTTAATTTATTTCTTATTGTGACAAGTAAAATACTGTCCATTGATCTACGAGTTATATATTCTTGTTACCAAGTTGCCTTTTTATTTACGAAGAGAAAGCAGTAGATAAACAATGGTTCACGGATTTCCTGCATATATCCACTTATACTCACTTTTGTCTAGAGTTACTTTAACGACAGATAAATATGGTATGAATACTTATATGGTTTTAAAGACTGTTTTAAATATTGGCCGTTCAATTTTAAAAGTAATGCGTTGAAATCTTTCTTTCCTTAGATACAATGACTTTCATGAAATATCTAGCGAGATAATACGTTGCTGAAAGTAGATAATAACGGATTTTGTTATCCACTTATTAAATTAAATTTATCTTGTGAACGAAGTTCAAGGTTGTAATTTTAATGCCTGTATAGTTTTTACTAACATTTAAATAATACTCTTTAGTATAATTCGATTATAATTTTAGCTAAACTACACAGGCAGTTCTTTGTTAGGAATATTATCTTCGCAGATATAAGGTGCCGCTCCGGAAATCCTGCGCAAAGGCCACCACGAGGTTATGACAATTCGTGTGTAGTGTATGCTTCCAAAAATATTTTAGCGAGATGTTAGTGGTTGGTGTTATTATTTAGTATATCTAGTAGTAGTACATCTACCACTGCATATAGTTATAAGATTCAAGAACTAAACGTAGGTGTAGGCATTGAATGAAAATAGCTGACGTAATTCTAGTAGGTGGGTATAATGCATTTTTTATGATAGATGAGGACAGTCAAGCTTGGGGTCACTTATTAGAAGGTAACTGAAAATACCCCAGCTAACATCTCAACAAGATGCGTTACCTATTTCGGCTATTCGAAAATGTACACACTGAAATCGAGATGTAACTAAACTTAACGAATTTTTTATAGGTGGTTGGTGGTTAAACCCGGAGAGAACTTCTATCCGGGTCAGACGGAGTCTAAAGTGGTTTGAAAAAATTACAAAATTATTAGAGATACTTTGGACCCGGTGGAAATCAAACACACGGCGTCATTATTAGCCATACATTGCTAATTACCAACTAGATCTCTAGAATCATCTAGATCTAGAAAAATAAAGGATTCTATTTTCGAGTATACTAAAGTGAAAGATTATTAAGTCAAAAAGTATCTTCTACAAATGACATACTTGGTTGTGTTATATTGAAGAGCTAACGGTGAATTGTGACTCAATGCAATTTAAAATTTGAATTATTTGCAGTCTTGAAGGGTTTTTAATTTTTTAATACGTGATTTTGCTATAAAACCCAATGACTCAATTAAAACAGAATTGAATCTATTATGCCTACGCTGTCGTTGTGATTTGTGACGTCTGCAGGTTTCTCTTAATATGTATGAATCATTTTGTGTAGGAATATATTAAACACTAAATTAACATAAAATTGTATCATAATATGAGACAAATACCAAGTCAAAGTTAGTTTACCTATTGATTTTTTACGAGGAAATTAATAAAACTCTAACTTAAGCAATGCGCGCGCATCAAAGTTTTTTTTTTTGGCAAAGGTACAAAAACAGCCAGTATTACTAATAAAGTAAATTAATATTTTTGTGTTTTTGTTATAGATGTATTAAAATGGTTGTAATTTATTGTCAAAATTAATTAAATGTTTATTTGTTATTTTTTATTTTCCAAAGTTAATTTTATTCATAAAACATTGACCACTTTTTTGACATAAAACCTCTTTGCTAAGATTTTTAAAAGTCTTGTTCATTTTTAGACGGAATATCTTAAACCTTTATTTAAAACAAACACATGCCTTTAACATAACATTATCGCACAAGTATGTAATGAAACATTACGATATTGAAATTGGTGTAATTACAACCACTTTACGAGCAAATATGTTATAAAAGTAATTTAATATATTGTAACAGTGAATAAAATAAAGATTTCATTCAAGATAAAACGCCTCTTACTAAACCATCATAGATTAATTTTAAAGTGTTTTGCAATACTGGTTAAATAAAATATGCATTTCTTAAGTAATAATAATAAAAAAAGTCAAGTATATATAATATGTAAAAAATAAATAAAGTAATCTACATTTAAATCATATTTCCCCAATGAGATCCATGGATGTCAATGACCAAGCAACGACCGGACAGAGGCCTCCGAAACCTTTCCCCGCTGCCCACTTATGTAAACTTACAAATCACAATGTCATTATTAACATTCACACCTTGTTAAGCGTTAGTAATAAACATAATAATTTGGGTCGTTATAAAGAGTTATACTGTACATTAATAACACAAAAAGAGAGACGAAGGGAATTAACTTACTCTGTAAAATAACTGACCAGTATTAATTTAATTACTATGGGATTTGTAATAAAAATACGGTGATACTAAATCGTTTGCATGAAGAACCTTGCTTGGAGGTGTAGACTTGTAGATTTAGTGTATGACTTTTCACACCTAATTTTATTATATAAGAACTGTGCCAGCGACTTCGTCCGCGTGAAAAATTATATTGTGCTACATATGATTTATTTTTGCAAACGACCTCTTTCGCTTTATAAATTGTAGCTGTTAATTATAGGAATACTGTCGTGGACATTTTTGAGATCATTTAAAGAGGAATCATTCTTTCATACACATTTTTTGGTTTATTAAACGTTATTCGCAGCACAGGGAGGCCCAAGAATATTTCTTCGTTGTCGTTCGTTTTTTTCCAAATTTTGGAAATTCTCCCAGTCGCAGCGTGATATCATATTATAGCCTAAAGCCTTCCTGGATAAATTCAATTCGAACAAGTATTTCATGAGATTATAGCGCATATCAAAGGCAAACAAAGCTTTAGCGAATTATTAGTAAAGATGAAACTCTAAGAGATATCCATAATAAGAGCCAATGTTATTGTACGGGGCGTGATATTAATGCTATTATATTAAAGTGTAGTTAGAGCTGAAGAATTCCAAGTACAATCTTCAACAATGTTAAAGGTAACCGAAGGCGGTGTGACGCGACGGATCGCCCGCGCTATGGAAGTCCTACACGCCAGTGCTCCTGGTACACGGGTTCGAGTCATGAGAGCCGCATATCACTCTTCATCTGGTCACGGCGAGCCAGCTTCTTCTTACCTGATGCATTCATCTAGACGGGTATGTTAACGACTATTTCAGTTTTTTTTTTTTATGATAGAGGACAGACAAGGGTTTACTTGATGGTAGGTGAAATACCGCAGACTATAGCATCTAAACAAGATGCGCTGTCGAAGTGTTTTGGCTTTGGATATTCGGAAATCCAGACTGAAACCGAAAAATGTTTAAACTTCACGCCATTCCCATCTAGTGTTTTGTGACCCGCACGGAATTTCGATATTCCTACCACCCTTTTAAAGTTCAGATTCCAGACGATCCAGACGAAGCATTATGAAACTGAAATGTTTCTGAAAAATTAATATTTTTCACATGTTATTGCACACGAAGGCACTATATAATTAAAAAAATCGAAAATAAATTGAAAAAAAATTTTCCCCGGGGGGGGGGGTACCCCCCCCCCCGGTTTTTTTTTCGGTTTTGCTCTACCAATTGAGCTACGAGTCCTACACCTCCATCGTCGAATTTTTTTAACTCATTATACCTCTCCGCGCAATTATTTTTCATTATTGGTTCAATTTTTTAAATTATATAGTGCCTTCATTTTCAAAAAAATTTGAAAAATTTTTAAAACGAACTTTGTAATTTCATCTTCAATGATTTCTTAAGCTGCAAAGCATAAGACATTGAACCTTAATAGCAAGTGTTAAGGTGAATTAATTGGAGAGGTGATGTATCAATAAGTTGAAAAAATTCGACGATGAGGTGTAGGACTCGGTAGTCAATTGGTAGAGAACAGGACGGAAAGTGACGATCGGTTCAAGTCCTGCCCGAGTCGAAAATTTTTCAATTATTTTCGATTTTTTAAATGTTTCTGAAAAATTATTAATTTATTTGAAATACCTTGGACCCGGTGGGGATCGAACACACGCCCCTTCAATTAGTAGCCGCACAGTGCTACCATTACACTAACGAACCACAATGGCAGGCAAACGCTGATATCATTTAGTACCTAACAGAGTACCATATTTGGATATTTTTTAATTTTTGTGTAATTAAATTTAATATGTATGTATTGCCTACCAATAAATATTCTGTATGCATTTCAAAAAAAAAAATGATCGAAGCAAAAATGCGTAAACAAACAAACAAACAACGCGTACGCGCGACGTAGTCTACCGTTTCTATACCACACTGAAGTTAAAATTGACTTAAACCTTAAATACTGAATTAAAGCTACTTAGTTTTTTTAAATTTTCTATTTTACGATTACATAACACTTTTATTTCAGGTCATATCATCAGGGTATAACCTGCCAGAGCCCTCATCGCTACCGTCGAAACCGTTAGAAGTATCCTCATTGCCACTAGAATCTTCACCTGATATTGACAGTGAGAGATTGAATTACAAAGTGACCGAACCGGACGATATAGAAATATCGCAGCCGTCGAAATGGAAAAATGCAACGGGGAACAACATTCGCATGCCAAGCGAAGAGTCTTCGTCCGCTGATAACGCGAGCATCATAGACCTTGATTCGAGAAATAGTAGCAGAAACACATTTACAAGAAGTCGCGACAGTGAAAGTAACGAAGACACTATAAGAAATATACATTTGAGAAATAATCGGGTCTCGCCACTTTTAGACGCCCCGGTGACCTTAAGTACTTTGAAGTATACTTCTCTCCTAAATGGTAGTGACGAATGGAATAACAGACGAAAAAGTTACAGTTTCGAGGACACATCTACCCTAAATAATAATGGTAGTTTGCGAGACACGAGCCCTTTAGTTATGGACTCTTCTACAGATAGTGGAATTTGCAAGTCAACCGAATATTTTACTGATCACACTCTAGATGGTCGAATGAGGCGATCGAGCAGGGAAAAGCTATCAGATTTACCAGAGGAGTCATTTCAGGGCTGGTTAAGCAAAAATAGGCCAAGCACAACCTTTAAACCGTCTCGTGTAAGCCCTCTTAAAGATTTTAACGAGACGTATCAAACTAGTGGAAGTAACATATCTCTTCAGTCGAAAGGAAAGGTTACCATAACTTTACCTGTAATGGTAGAAAAGGATGATTCCGATCAAGAATTAAACAATGAAAATGATCGCAGAGCAAAAAAAGTCGGTTTTTGCAAAACTGAATTACATTTTGCAGCTGAATCGGGAACTGTTAACATAATCGCTACTGATGAGAAACCGCCACCCACACATGATTTCAGAAGAAAGAAAAGTGTATTTTTGCCGTATACTAGCAAAGTTGATAAGTCAATTACACTATTTGGGGAAAGAAACTTTGAATTGAAGCATACGATTGACGAACATGCGACGTTAGATGAGAATACAGCAGCTACAAAAAGTATTCTCAAGAACAGAATTCCGAAACCCAAGCCATATCTTTTAGGAGAAAATATGACCTTTGGAAATTCGGAAGAAACATCAGAATTAAAACATGAGCCTGTTCCAACGGCTGTTAGTTTAATAAACAGGCAATTAGTAACGGAAAATAACCATTACCATTATAAAAAGAATAACGATGAAAATTATTATATTAATAACGATCTAAGGAAAGACAATGCAGGTAATAAAATAAAGTTAAATTAGTTTGATGCTTCTTTGTTTAAGACGCTTTTAACTATTTTTTGTTTTTGGTTACAGATCCGAAAAATCGTTACCACGATAGTAATGAAAAATTTATTGATATACTACAAAAGAAACAAACAAGCGATATTTCTCAAAGCAATAAAAATAAATTATCACCAACATTAGGACAGTTAAAAACCCGCCAACTAAGAGAAAGCGATCTTACATACTTTGGTATTGGAAATTATGAGAAACGACCAGAAGAAATACAAACACTAGACAATCTACAAGAAGAAATACTCCAGTCTATAAAATTGGTACAAAAAGTTTCCAATAGCGTTTGCAACAGTGAAGCTGATTCAGATGACAATCATGATTATCAAAACATTTCCAACCATAGCTATCGTCCAGTCCCTAAGCCGAGAACAAAATACATCGACATAAATGAAAAAAATCAAGTTAAGTCGCGTTTAGGACCAGTATCAGAGAAAGAAAAAGATATTCCACAGACAACAAATAAGAGATATCGATCTAAACACGAAAGCAGATCAACATCCAGTGGAAGCATATCTGACCCACAAAGAAAAGATGTACAATACCTCCGAGAAAATAAACGCGAATCTTCGCCAAAACGGTATGTGACTCGAACGATCGCATTGACGAAATAGTTCGACAATTTAGTGTAATAATTTAAATACTGTCTATAGTTTACGCGAGTAGTACACATTTAAATAAAACACTTTAACGGTTTAAAACGCGATATATTAGTTAAACTTATTTGAAAATTATTTTTAACTTCGGGCCGACGTTCCAGACGGCTGCTGCAAAGATGTGTTTTATTTAAATGTTATAATTTAACAAAACTTTCATGTTACAGATTAATTACAGCGAGGCTTGAACGAGATCCAAAGGTGAATGAAAAAGAGCGTAATAAAAAATCTTCCTCGAGTTTGATACCAGGTGAATCAATGTACGTGAATCTTACTGCAAAGAGAGATATACCTGTGAAAAATGTCGAAACCAATACCTTAGACCCCAAAAAAAGAAAAGAAAAGGATGGTAATTATTCTATTACGACTAAACGACATGATGAAAGCGAAAGTACTAAAACCAAACATTTTAAACAAGGGCATAGTAAGCCCAAACGGACAGAAAAACTAACTACACCTGACCTATCGACTATGCGCAATCAAAATAGCTATTCGTCTAAGTCTGCGTACAGCAATAGAAAAGCGATTAATAATTATCAACCAACTGCGGACAATATAAAAAAAATGCAATGAAAGCAAAATTACCTTACAAGAAAATGATGTGAACCCGAATGCAGAAACAGAGGAAAAGTCACACGATCAGAATTCTGCACATAGGAGAACCTATTTAGCGCAATCTGCAGGATCGCCTAAAGTTTCCAATCATCATTCAGTCAACCGTGATCGGAGCCCCAAAAAATCTAAGGAAACAGACAGACCTGTGCGAACTTCATCAAAAAGTAGAAAGAGTAAATATGTTATCAATTATGATGATAAAAATGGAACGGTATCGTCTATTTGTAAAGTGAAACCTCAAGAGAAAAGCGAAGTACGGAGAAAAGAACCAGCAGCACAGAATAAAAAGATCGCAACAGAGCGAAATGCAAGGGTTGCGAAAAAATCTGGCTTCCGTAAGTAATCGCTGTAAGTACAAATCTGCATGCCCCTTATGACGTTGTACAGAAAAACTCGACATCTAAAAATAAAACGTCTTTCAGTTCGTACTCCGGATCGGCATTGGCTTAGCAACGGCATAAAGCAAAAATCGAAAACGCATGTACAGAAATCTTGCCAGTTGTTATAACGAAAAGGAATTGAAGTCCCCGTCTTTGGAATTCTGTAAAGAATAAACTCAATTAGCTATCTAATGATCTCATAACAAGAATAAAAAAGACTAATACTGCATTACTAATACTAAAATAAAGTATCGATGCTATCAATTAGCCAGTTGTTTTTATTAGCAGCAGTTATGAACGCTGTAATATAGAAAAACCTGTACCTTTTTGTACTGTCTTTGGAATGTAGTATTGACGCCCTCATTCCTTAGTCTTATAACATACCTTCATTATATAAAAATGCCGTATTAGCCAAATGGTTCGATCTGACTTTCCCTAAGTAAAATTGTCGTCTTGACAACTCGTATTACAGAATATAAACTTCCACGAGCCAGTGTATAAAAATACAGTCTGGAGTTTTCGCGAGAAGTACACATTTAAATAAAACACGTAACGGTTTAAAACGCGATATATATTAGTTAAACTTAGTTGAAAATTATTTTTTAAGTCAACCAGACGTTTCGAAATAAGTTTAACTAATATATGTATATCGCGTTTTATTTAAATTGTAACAAATCCCAAATTAACGGTGTCTGATCTTTTGAATGAGTAAAGGGAATTCTGGATTTTTTTACGCTCAGTTATCAAATACCAATAATTTTGTAACATTTTTACTATACAGATTCGACTTCATAAAAATAATACGCTACAACATTTTTAAACAGTTGTTAACGGATCTTTATCGCGTGCGCTAACCAATACTTCAACGTTATTGTGCAGCTGATTTTGGAGGTACGTGGAAAATTCCTTTAAGAATCCCCTTTCCGAATCAGAGTGATTAGTCAGAATCACTGATATTCCATTTTGTGCGGCATCCAGTACGTCGTGGTGCAACATTTCACCTAAAATAGAAACAATAAAAATTGAGTTATTGAAATCATATTTTTTGTTTTTAGGCCACTCTGCCTTTAACAGTATGTATAGAGTATAATTAATAACACTGCCTACATAGCTACATACACTCAGCGTTAAGCATGTGAAGACCTAGATTCTAAAACTACGGAAATAGGATCAGCTAGGGCACATAACATATCAGTAAAGAAGTATATAAAAATCTATACTAATATATAAAGCTGAAGAGTTTGTTTGAACGCGCTAATCTCAGGAACTACGGGTTCAAATTACAAAAATATTTTTGGGTTGGTTAGAGCATTTATTGAAGAAGGCTATATAAGTATATTTTACCTGTAAGATATAAATCAGCAGTAACATTCTTAAGGACGGACGCTCCAGAGCCTGCGCATAGAGCTACTGTTTGCACTGAATTTTCATCCATCACTTTATTTTTACCCAAAGCAAGACGAACATACTGAAGGCCTGTAATTTTTTTGACCCTAGTAACAGCGTCAGTTATGGAGATCCCTTTTTCGAGACGTAACAGCCTGTAATTTATTGTTATTCATTATATGTTAGCAGAGAAGACTTTTTTTATGACGGAGGAGAGACTAGTGTGGTGTAAACTTGTTGGTGGGTAAAATACTCCAGTCATATGACATCTAAGGTTTAGATTCACTATCGACCCATTTTGGCTTTCAATATTCGAAAATACACAGACAAAAGACAAAAACCGAAACGTTATCAAAATTCACAACTTTATTATTTGTGGATGGAGGCTCGTGACTCTGACATAATTTTGATATTCCTACCACTTATTTTATATCCAAATTTCCATATAAAGTTCAACATCTTTTAGAAAAATTATAAATCGATTCGAAAAATGTTGACTGAACCTAAGACCCACTGATTATTAGACAGACTACATGATTTATCATATACCTTCCTACACCAGTGTTAGGATCTTCTCTGGGTGTAATAGGGTTTGATTCTAAGACAGGAAACGCAGAAACCAACCAATCATTTACGCCACCTTTTACGCAATCCCAACTAGTATGTGGTGAATATAAGGAAATGCGTTTTTCTAGTAATAACGAAACAATTCTCTCCTTCCAAGCACTGAAAAATACAAAATATATATTATCATAAAATGTAGTACATATTTGCAAATAAAAAAAAATTTTTTTTAAAAAACCCCTTTCAACGGTTAAACCCCCAATTTTTTAATTAATTTTTTTTAAATATTTTTTTTCCCCCCCCCCCCCCCCCCCCGGGGGGGGGGGGGGGGGGGGGGGGGGGGGCCCCCCCCCCCCCCCCCCCCCCCCCCCCTTTTTTTTCCTTTTTTTTCTTTTTTTTTTTTTTTTTTTTTTTTTTTTTTTTTTTTTTAAAAAAATAAAAAAAGAAGTCTTTAAAAACTCCAGATAAGAAAGCCATGTCTTTTACAGGTATAATAAAACTGATTTAGTTTGCTTGACTTTAATACCATATAATCTATATTGACTCGACCTTGCAATAAGGATCAACGAGATATCTGCTAAACTGTCATTAAGCTTTGCAGAAAAAAATTTAAACTCTATTTAATAAAAAAATCAGTAAATAATAAATTAAGGTTATGTACCTTTGTTTCACTGATTTTAATGGTGCAAATATCGGAGGATGATATGAGATTATCATTTCACATCCATGATTATCTGCTTCTAATGCAACATCTTCTGTTAAATCATTTGTAAGTAAGATCTTCTTTATGTCTCTGTAAATAGTATTTAATACCTAAATCAATCATAAGGAACATTTTGTAGCACCTATTTTATTGTTTGAAACAATTAAAAATGTAATGACATTTTATCTATTATACTAATGTAACAAGCTGAAGAGTTTGTTTGTTTGTAGAATTAGTATAAGTTTGAAGATCTTTTGTAAAATACCTTCTGGTTGTCAAATTACCTTGGTGTGTATGGCTCTAGTAGCAAACCAGTGTTATCCCAAGTTTCAGATAGGGATTTTGGGGCAAATTTTTCTAGAGCAGATAAAACATCATTCAACTTTACACTTGACATATTTTCCTTCCCTGTCTTAGCAAATGTGGAATAACAATATAAATGCAAGTTTTTGATAATACTTCTTGACAGTGTAATAGACATTAGATTTCAGATATTTTGTATTCGTAAACCTGAAACAATTTTTTAAAGTTATGTGGAGTCATACTATGAATTAATAATATTGGAATTCTACCAATTTTTACATACAAATACTTACATAATGAATAATTTCAACAGTTTTACGATGGAGAATTTAAACAACTTCATAGAACATATATAAATTATATTTCCAAAAACTGCTAACATATTATGTTACAATGAAAAAAATATGTCAAAAATTGAAACCTAAACCTTAAGAACTACCACTTTTACACTTATTCCTCGACAAATTTCCACACTTTTATTTGACCATCATCACTACAGGACAAAAGTTCATTATTCAAAGTCGGATTCCACTTCACACAATTAACGTCTTGAGAATGTGCATCATACTTCTTACAAATCAGGTCAAATGTGGGGGCATTTGGATCAGAGTCCTCTGTTTCTTTAAATATTCTGATAATATCATCACCACTTGCGGTTGCTATAAGACCACTCTGGTGACACCATGCAACATCATAAATACATCTGGTGTGATACCCTGATAACGTGCATACACACTTCCAAACTGATTCTTGATCAGACACGCTAACTCCTAGTTCATTATTAGGCTTGTACTCTTTCCAGATCTTTACAGTATTGTCTGCACTACAAGTGGCTAGTCTCTCTCCTGTTTTATCAAAAGCAAGGCTCCATACTGTAGACTCATGTGAATCTAGAGTCGCTATACAATTCCAATCACTGTCCAGCTGATCCTCTTTATAAATCTTTACTGTGTTATCATATGATGCAGATGCTAAGATCTCAAGAGAAGGATGCCAAGTGACCTACAAATAGAAATAATTTTAACAATTGTCCCAACGTGGAAAAGTTATTGGTGCATAAGAAATATAACACACTTTTTTTACATCTTGATTGTGAGCATTAAGGACTGCTTCGCAGACATATTCATCATCACCTGCTACTTCCCACACCCATACTGACTTGTCTCTGCCACATGTTGATAAAAGTTGCCCAGATGGTGACCATGCTACACTCTTTACTTCATTTTCATGTCCTTCTAATGTAGCATTGCATTCAAACTGACCTAATAAAAGGATACAATTCAATGTTTACATTTGTATCTATTATCTTGTTGAATTATTCACAAATGAATACACACCACTTTTTTTATCCCAAATTGCTGTAGTTCCATCAAAACTAGCAGATGCTAAGAAATTTCCACACGGAGACCATGCCACTTCCCGTATTGTTCTTTGGTGACCATCTACTAACATGGTTTTAACCGCCCACCCTTGGCTCTCCTTACTCCATAAATTGATAACCTTGTCTTCTCCACATGATGCAAATATTTTACCAGCTGGGTGCCAACAGACGTTCCAGACAATACCCTTGTGCGCATTTATTGATTGTAACAACTCTAACTTAGCCATTATGCGTTTCTATTACACCCTAATATAAAATATACACGACATAAGTGAGCAAGATAAATAATTTTCAAAATCACAGAACTTACATAAAATATTTGGTCTCTTTTTTTGAGATAAAAATAAATAGTTTAAAATTTGACCAACCTGGCTTCGGAAAATGTATCATTCAACTTCTTATCAATTTTCAAAATATCACATGCACCCCTATCTGCAACAATTGCCTTTTTAATATTTTTTCGCAAACAAAACTACTTCAATGTCAACCATCAATTTGCAATGTGCATCGATTTATTGACAAGTAGAAGACGAAGAAGATTTATTAACGTGGTTATTAATCTGTGGACTTAACAAACAGTTAATCAACGTCACTGTCAATATGTTCTCACGCTAATTCAAATTTCAAAACTTTTAAATAAATGTGTATCGACCAAGAATTTTAGGTTTTCATAATTTGTAATTTGTCCCTATTGATTATTGATATTCTTTTACGTCATTTCAAGTTGGACTAGGAACCGTAAGCGTTATTAAATTTATTTATCACTCGGTACTAAGAGTTCAGGTTTACACTTTTATCGAAGGGTTTTAAAAGCTACATTTACTACTTACATCTACTTAAATACTTGAATTAATTGAATACGAAATTTACACTTTCATATTTCATGAATTGTTCTTATATTTCATTTTCCGACGACGTTAGTGGTGTCATGAACTAATTTTATATGTTTAATTTTAGACAATGTCTAACGCAGAAATAAGTAACAAGTTTATCCCACCTCACCTTAATGCTGAAATATACAGAACAGAAACCTCGGGTACTTATACTCATTCCTACTTGGACTTCATTGATGTTCACAAGGGTGAGTTAACGTTATCTGTCTTATAAAGGATTTTTATTTTGAATTTTCTCTTACATACAAAGCTATAGTCATAGTCTTTTTATTTTTACCAAAACATACTTGCACAAGAACTATGTTATTAAATCTGCAGTTCTTTTAAATTCATGTATCTTATTCTCTCATGTTTAGATGGATCAATATTGGTGGGATGCTCAGAACTGACAGGGCGTTATTGGAATGGAGGGGCCTGTATTTTTGATGAGACTACAGAAAGCTTTTTTAGAAAAACAAATGTTAAATGTGACATAAATTTGACGAGTAGCACTGCAGATGGTTGCTTTACCGGAGATTGTAACAAGGTATATTACCTAACAGCTTTTTGTTTGTGTGACACTAAGTCTGCCATTAGCTAACACATAATTAAAAGTAAAGAAGTTTGTTCAACAAAATTATCAAATTCAATGCTCTACATTGAGAGAAAAAACTATTTAGTCATAGGTTCATTGATGACACCTAAAAAATCTTAGATTAATTTATTAAAATCAATTGTAATTCTAAGGTAGTCTATTTCTGTTAAGGTTATTTTATGCGAAGATACTGGCACCATAAGTATTTGGTCAAAGAGTGATGATGCATGGAAGGTTTGGAAAGAGGAGTTGTCAGTAGCGGAGCATGATGGCCCTGCTCTTGCTATTGAATGCCTCGATTTGGATAGACTTTATGTAACAGCTGGTGGTGATGGAAACGTTAAGGTATACATTAAAAATAAAATTTTAAACCATAATGCATTTAAAATAAAGAGACTGGCTTTGTTTCTCATGGGAAAAAAATGGACTGATTAAAAAAAAACAGTAATATTTATTACTGAAGCTTTTATTTCTCTATTATGTGTTAATATCGAACTTCTGGTAAAATATTGTTATATTATATTATTCTTCACTGTATTATAGGTATGGGATTTACAAGAAAATATGATATGTTTGCGAAACTATTTTGGTGCACACAGCATGCAAATAAATAGTATAGGAGTAAAACCTATGTCACAATCACATTTTGTGACAGGCTCTACAGATACCTACATTTCATTATGGGATGAGCACACAAGCAAACCAGTATATGGTAAGTGTAAATTTGGAGAGGTTCAAAACCTGGGACAAACCCAATGAAGTGTTTTAATCAGACCTGGCCCATATAACCTTTTCTTTTTTTATGGCAACATGTAAAATTAAGTTGTAATTGTATGTTTTAAGAAATAATTTAAAGAAGTACATATACATTGTTTTAGACGTCATTGAAAATGATTGTGGCATCAGATGTTTGCAGTGGATTGAAGAGAATAAAATTATATTTGGTGATGAAGCAGGCGTCTTGGGATTGATTGATTTGAGAAATTCTGATAATGTAGTAAAGTTGCATGAGTTTCCGGCCTCTGTTCATCAGATCTCATATAATCCTGAGTATGATATATTTTTATGAATTTATTTTTAATTTGAACATCATTATTTTTTTGGAAAACTTTTATTTGTCTATTGGTATATCAACTGGGACCACAATCCAATATCTGTTGGTGAGGTTCAATATCTGAAGTCAGTATTTATTTTCACCCATATCAGTAGTCATAATGAATGCTCTGTGGACTTCAATTTCAATTTTTTTTTTTATTATATTGAATAATTAACAATACATAAACCTTTAGAAGAAGTGCCAGCATCGAGAACAGTTAAATAATGTAAATGTTTGTCTATAATAAATTTATTTGTTACAGATCAAAGAAATTGGCTGTATGCTGTGATAATAAAATAGTTACAGTGTTTAATATGAGTGATGAAGCTAAGCATATATATGACAGTAAGGTACACTCCAAGTTTGTTCGGGGCTTGGCTTGGAGTAAGACAGATGGTAACATTTTACACAGTGTGGGATGGGACGGTGAAGTAAAGAAACATACTGTAAGATAACTCATAAGACTAATGTAATTGATGTTAGAGAATATATGTCAAAATTTTCAAAAAGTCAAATATTTGTTCTTATTACATTTCATTTTAATATCAGTTTTATATTTTGATAACTACACACCTGTTAAATACTGTCTATAGTTTACGCGAGTAGTACACATTGAAATAAAACACTTTCCGGGGAGACTCCCCGTGACCACGGCTGCTGCAAAGCATCGTCGCGCCGAAGTTAAAAATCATTTTCAAATAAGTTTAACTAATATATCGCCTTTTTAAACTGTTAAAGTATTTTATTTAAATACACACCTGTTGTTTTCGAAATTTAAAAAAATTTCAGCCGTTCCTTCAAGAAAATGTTAAGTCGGTACAATATTGCGTAAAATTAGTTAACTTTTTTTAACTACGCGACAAAACGTCGAGTCGTAAAAATAGTTTAACTTACTTAGCGTTCAGGAGAATTCAAGAGTTTGTGTGTATATAAATCGATTTAAACTGTCTTTTACTTAATTTTAAATAAAACAAAAAAATCAATATTTTTATGTTTTATTCAAAATTAAGTAAAAATAGTTTAACTTACTTAGCGTTTTTAACAGTTAAAAATGTTTTCTTTTAAATGTGAACATTTTGCGTTAACTATAGACGATACTTACCATTAGGCTTTTTATATTTTGCCAACAACAAATTAAAAGAAGAAAAGAATAAGAATAAATTTAGATTTTATTTTATTGAATATAAGGTAAAAATTAAACAGCAACATAGGTAATGCTCAATGAATATTGTATTTTGATAAATACTATTTAGTAAAGTCAATGTGGTGATTGTGCGCGACGCTCGGGCGAAGCGCAGGGGGAAGACCCGCGTCGACCGTGGTTAGGGCTCTTCAGACGAACCATTGTATCTAAATGGCGAAATCTAAAAAAAATTAAGCAATTCTCTGTTAGATTTGGTTATTGACTACAAACATTTTAATGAGGTCTGTGGTGGTCTATGTCACTGAGCCTTTTTGGCAGCTTGTAGAAAATTATGGTAGGATTTTGAGATGACGTACGATTCTTTATGATGAATTATTTCTATAAGTTATTATGGGCTTCAAAATTTGATTTTGCAAACCTTCTCCTCATCTTTATAAACTAAAGCTGCTACCACTACGTCGTTCGAATCCCTTCGTTCTTGCAAGTTAATCTTAAGAGATAGACATATACTGTCGCGGATATTTTTTTAGATGATTTAAAGAGGTATCGTTCTTTACACATATTTTTGGGAACCTTAAACCGTTCTCACGGTGAACTCTGATGTTTTATAGGAAGGCTTTATCCACGATAAATGAGCCTTCCTCCACAAAAAGAATTTGACCAGTAGTTCCTGATATTAGTGAATTCAAACAAACAGACAAACTCAGCATATCATTGTCTTTCCGGCTGTTCGGCCGATGTGAGCGAGAAGAGGTTCTTGACGTTTCGCCATCACATGTGCTCGAAGAAACAATTCTTCGAGCAATCGAGGAGTTAACATCTCCTGATGACGCCGTCCATACGTGATGGCGAAACGTCGAGAACCTCCGAACAGCCCGAAAGTACATGCTGAACGACGACCGTGAAAGCCTTACACAATTTATTAAACACACAAACTATTTAGCTTCATATACATATTAGTATGGTTTCATATTCATATGATGCCTACCCACAACTTATAACAATTCATATTTAATGAAAAACAATAATGACTGTTAATTTTGTAACTCTCGTTATCTCTGCTTATTATTTACGCATAATTACCTGAGCGGCAAATCATTGGCGTCATGATCGACGCTTTGGAAAAAGAGTGCAAGGGGCCAGCTTATCCACGACGCTTGTTTTCTAGAAATAGACAACAGTTAGTACTTTGACATATACAACCTATTTGATTTGTAAGGTACAAAAGTACTTACGGAGTCGAAGGTACAAGCTGCACGGAACCGGCGTCGGATGGGGTATCTGGTGTTGTCGGAGCCATAGGCGGTGGTGTACACGGGCTTGTGGGAACTGGGGGTGGCGTCTTGTTGATCGCTGGGTTATATATCTTCGGGTCACTGACCATACGGACGAAGAATGAACGCTTGTGAGCCAAGGCGGCACGATTGCGACGCGCTCTTTCTTCATTCAAGTCCTAAAATGTATAATATTGTATTAACGCAATCTACGTTTCATTTGACTACGGCGAAGTCAAGTCAAGAAGTAAGGATTAAGAAGAAGAATTCAAGAGAAAGCTTGTATATAAATCGATTTAAACTGTAAAATCAATATTTTTATGTTTTATTAAAAATTTTTGTTATGCTGGTGTTTTCCAGTATTTAGACAATCATTTTTCTATATTGACTAATTACATAACTATGACTAACCCTTTCTTTATCTGGTCCTTCTAATAATTCAGTAGCGAAGTCTGATATTATATCCCAAGCGATCTCTGTAATAAAGAACAGTTACACGCTATTTAGTCTCAAACTTTCTGTTTATAGGAGAAAACTAAACCTTTTTACTAACCTACATCTTCACGTGTAGCATGTTGGTGCACAACACAAAATCGAATAACGAACTTATCTTGAACGGATGCTGGTACCATGTGAATTTTACCAGAAGCATTAATGTTGGTTAACAGCTTTTTGTTCAATTCATCTTCTTGTTCGGGAGTCTCATCTGGTCCTCCAACAAGCCGAAAGCACACTAGACCCAACTGTAAAAGACGTATAACACATCTATAAATATTAAATTTAATTATACAAAGTTAAAAAGTTTATCTCCATTAAAATTCTTTAAAAGTTTATATCAAATTAATTATTTTACTAGTGACGAAAAAAGAAAGACGAAATAAGCTCTAACATACCTTAACATTGTTGCAGACTTCAAACCTCTCGTCTTTCTTCACGAGGTTTTCGAAGTACTTAGCGAGTTCGCAGTGACGCCTCACATATTTCTGTAGGCCACTGATCCCGTAGCTTCTCAGCATGAACCATAGCTTGAGAGATCTAAATCTCCTGCTCAGGGGAACACCCCAATGGCGATAGTCAATGGCTGTGTGGTCATAGCAGTGCTGTAGATACAGAGGGTCTACGACCAAAGCTGATGTGAGCAGATATCTGTTCGTCACCCAAAGCAATGAGCAATCGAAACTGGTCAGCATGAATTTGTTCGGATTGGTGTTAAACGAATCTGCATATTCTACACCAGCCAAATTGTATTTATGTTCAGGACAGATAAAAGAACTGCCTGCATATGCGGCGTCGATGTGCAACCAGACGCATGGAAATTTTCGAACCACAGGACCAATTTCGGGGAGATTGTCGAACGAGCAGCATGATGTTGTTCCCAGTGTCGTGCTGACGAAGAACGGAACTAGGCCAGCTTCTTCGTCCTCTTGCATGGACTGATGTTATCAAAAAATATTATTATAATATGTTAATATTGTTTTAAATATATATCTCGATCTACCTGGTTATAAGCTAACCTAACGATGTCGGTACGAACACTAAAACAACAGATTTATGTTTGTTTGCCCGTCTATTTAAAACTGATCACGCGTGGGTACTGAATTTTGTCATAGATGGCTCTGATAGATCGTAGATATATAAAAGTTCTGAAAACCAAAAATAATAGAATCGTAAAAATCTATCACATTGAATATTAAAGATTTAGATATACACTTTTATTGACCGACTCCGGTTATCAATTATAAAACCGTGAAAGGATCTAGGTTTATCTTGGGGAAACATAATTTGTACAAATATAGTTTGCTGTTCTGTAATTCGATCAACAAAACGGGCAGATTTATTTCACACATTGCATATCTGTCGTTGAGAAAGTATACAAAATATGTATAATAATAAATTGTACGATAAAGATGGATATAACTCGCAAGGCGCTGCAGGAATTTGTGGGAAGTCATTAAGTGTAAGGCAGCCGTGTCTCTGGCATAACGGCGAGCACTTTTCAATTACCCTCCGATTATTATTATTCGGGCTCTGACCTACTGACTAGCGTGAAAACTCGTTAACTCATCCCTTAATGAACATTTTATTCCACCGATATGTTTAATGAGAGATTATTAAAATGTCTACACGACCAAACATCTTTAAAATTGAAAACTATAATATTTTTCACATGATGGCATTATATAAATTCAAATTGATTATAGATTAATTTTCGTTTTTCTCGGTAGCTCAATTGGTTAGCCACAGCACGGAAAAAAAAACAAAATAAAATTGAAAAATATTTGGGAATATAAAAATTTGTAGAGCAGAAAACGTATTTTTGAGATGTCTAACTAAATTATTTTTTCACTAAACATAACAAATATTATTTTTAATGAACTTTATCGTTTTACGATTTTATTATAACATACTTAAATATAATAAGAACTTAAATAGATATACCTCCTTCAAAATGTCGCCTCTCAAACAACCGTGATCGTCGGGTTGTAGAATCCGCAGTTTTACAAAGCAAATCATAGCTGCCTTTTCGACACATGAATGGGCCTCTTTAGAACAATAGGCTATTAGCTTGGACAGCAGAAGGCCCTCGTCGACCGTCGGGAATTGATGCTTCAGCCGTTTGATAGATGCGGCGCGGGCGGCTAGCATCGACACGAGAACACTTTCGCTGGCTGAACCCTACAGGGGTTAATTATCATAACAGACATTATAATTAAGTGTACTTAGATGCTTCGTAAAACAGTTTTAACGCTTCCAAAAATAGATACTAAATTTTTTCATTGTATTAATCACTCTTTTGAACTTGTATATTTGACTTACTTTGTATCGGGTTAAAACGCGAACTATGTTAATTTATTTTGCTTTTAATTATGAACCGAGTGTAGTTATGGAAAGCTTATAATAATGGGCGTACAATAACATCTGGTTAAGTACAACGAAATTTGTTTTAACGTTAAAAAATTTACAATTGTAGTTCACATCTTAAAGACTGTAACAAGTTTTACTTAACAGAAGCTTTGTTTGAAAAAAAAAGTTTTCAATTAAACCAGATGCTACGAAAAAGTACTACAAATATTTAAAGCGATTGCGGATTTCACTCTGTGTTGAATTTACTTACCTCTATCACACCACCTCCCTTGCTACCTTCTTCTAGGGCTAAGAACGCCGGGGGAAGCCCAATCGCTTTACCTGACGACGATGTAATTATTAAAACGTTAATCACGATAAAAAAAACAATTTGAGAGTGAGATTTAGAGGCTTGTTTGAAAAGACATATTACAATTGTTCAATAATACTCTATTCGATTCAAAGAGTACGTGTACATTTAATTTAATATATGCATTATAGAAACGGTTATCTTAAATTAAAATATATTTGTAATGTAAACGTAATAAGGTTGAAATAATATCGCGAGACCTGCATGTATAACTGAATTGAACCAATTCGTTAAGGACGAATGGGACACGATTGGAACACCAGGACACAGAAGGCTTTGGTCGTGGGTTTGAATCCCGACCCGATGTGTTTTCTTTTAATAAAATTTTAATAGGATAGTAACCACTATTTCCATTATAATAAATACTAAAATATTTTTTTAAGCTTAGTAGAAGCTTTAATAACACATTTTTCTGTATTCGAAGTAATTTATTGTTCGTTATGGAGTTTTCTTTGTAATGGAGTAAATTTTTGTATGGTATAATATCCTACAAATATTAACTCTCCTTCTTAATTGTGTATTGTATTTAAAAAATTATCAATATGTCCTAGAACCACCGTGGCTTAAAGTTGGGTAGTCGCCTAGCAGTAAGCGCGAGAAGGTTTCGAATCCGGCGTAAACTTATTGTTGATTTTTTATGTATAATACTTAGTACTACTTACTTACCCATCCAATCTAGCATAATAATTTCCAACTCCGTGCATGCAGGACTAGCAGCCTTGTAATAAAAAAAAAATTATTTCACGAATTCCTATTCATTAGTTTGCAAAATTCAGGTCGCCAGTATTCAATCATATATATATAATCGATAATACTTATAAGGATATTCTATATACATAGTACTGACATTTCACCGTTAGATAAACATTAATCAATAACAATTACTTGCACTTGAAGACAAAAGACTGATGTTTCCCATATTACACACATGATTTTTATCGAATATTACTAAACAATTTAGTATGTAAGTACACTGTATGGTAACTTAATCATGTTTTTTAACATTGTTTTTATTTGTCGTTGCTAGCAATTGGTAAAAATTAAAAAGCATAATAATGATAAATTTTATATTTTTTCCTTTATGTCTTTAAAAGAAGCATATTTTTTAAATTTATTTAATAATGACATTATAAATATTATATCGAAAAAAATCGAATGTACTAGAAGGATTTCTCAAAGACATTTGACTCACCCAAGAGAAGCCAATGCATCCAATCCCCGCTGATAACATATCACCCAATATCGAAGGGTATCCATTGCCTGAAGGGAAATAAGCGTGAAATCTTGGATGCTGCCAATGCGTTACACCTGGCATTATCTTATTTTCCACATCGCTCATAACATCGTCCCATGACTCAGGATGTTGGGGTGCCTCAGCTGGCAAGGCGGCGCGCAGGTAACCTGGTTCCACGGAAGGAGTCACGCGCCTCGTGCGAAGAGTATTCATATATGTGCAGATGTAGTCCACCATCTCTTTGCCTCTCACACGAAACTCTTCGGTATCCATGGCTGGGTCTTTCACAAACTAGATAATTGGTTACAGGAGTGGTGTCACCGACGCGACGGTCACCAACTGACTCAAAGACCGCAACAGCACTCGAAGCTCTACAGGGGATGCTCGCGGGGTGTTTTATGCGCGGTCAACTTAATCACAGGCGCAGAGCAGAAGCGGTTAGCGGTTACTGCATATACTAAGTAAAAGATTTTTTTGCGGTTCTCGGCAATTTATTGCGTACAATGCGAAACTATACTAATATTATAAAGCTGAAGAGTTTGTTTGTATGGTTGAACGCGCTAATAGCAGGAACGCTGTTTGAATTGGAAAAATATTCAATTCGAACCCGGGTCGTCGTGGGTATAAGCTACAAATAATAATAATAATCATTTATTTTTCAGAACATAAAACCATTTCTTAAAATTAATTATTTCTAATGTGTGTTATAACAATGAATGTTGGGTTAATAACAATGAATGCTGAGAAGGTTGAAAAAAAGTAATATGATGGCTAAAATAACTATTCCATGAGACACGGGGCGCAGCTAGTGTTAATGTAAATTTTATTAATGACCAAGTTGTGTATGTACTTTTCGCCAGAACACATTTAACAACTTTCTTTTTACGTTTGAAAGCTGTATTTTTTTTTACATGTTATTGCACATCATCAGCGTTCCGTTCAGAGCAACAGCCCGGAACGATGACGATGCGGGTTCAAGTCCTGCCCGAGTCGAAATTTTTTTAATTTATTTTCGATTTTTAAAGTTTCTTTTATGATAAATAAGACCAGACAATATCCCAGCTATATAATAACATGTATAATAAATAGTAATACTCGAATTTATAATCTAAAGCGGCCCATAGACGATCAATATTATTGTGCAATTTGGATTGCACAATACTTTGACGGCCGCCCACAGACGCTTCAACGTCGTCTACACGCGGTCAATTTTACTGTACAACCCGGGTATTGCACAATAATATTGTCGTCTATGTATATAAATTCCATATTATTCACGTTTCGGGTACTTTTTAGCAGCAAACTTTTAATCTGTCTGTAGTAGTGTTATTTGAAAAATTTCATTATTTATAATTCTATGACAGTAATAAGTATGCAGAAAGTTCAAAAATATGTTTCAATTGAATTGAATTTTCACACAACAATTTATACTAATATCAAATATGTAACCCATAAATTGACCTATCAGTTTATGTTTACCGTTTGCATTATTCGACTATTGATCTATATTATTAAATAAAATAAAAAAAAAAGTTAATCATAAGTCTATTAGTATTAAAAATAATATTTTACATTAGATACATGAGTATTTTATACTTCCTTTTTGACAGTATAATAATAAAGTTATACCAGAAAATGTGCAGTTTACCCATCCAAATAAATACTGTGGCAAATTATTAATTAAGTTTATTTTTTTAATAGCTTGAAGTATTAATTTATGGAAAGTTGATTTCTACGCCTCTTAAGTACGTATTGTAATTAAATTGCATAGCACGTATACATTTCCAAAGAAAATAAAGTTCAAACGATTGCTTAAGCGTAGCGAAAGCTACGGAGGGTCTACGTGAGAAGCTAAGGGTTAAGTTTCGTGGCTCTTCCTTTTCACCACTTTTTATCATAGAGAACGACAGTCAAGCATGGGGCAAATTTCCCCTAGCATTTAAAATCTCAACAGCGCTGTCGACCTATTTTCCCTTTGGACATTCGGAAAACCACAGACTGAAACCAAAACGCGATTAAACTTCATGCCTTTTTTATCTGTGGAGGCTGGGTAAAACTCGGACGGAATTTCGAAATCTTCCTACCCATTTAAGATTCAGATTTTCAGACAATTATCAAGGTTTGAATCCCGAAAAACATTAATACGCGGTCGGTTTAAACCTATAAAAGACTGATCTATGAACTACGTGATAGAATTTATTACTGAAATAGACACTAGGGATATGACATAGGAATGTCGCCCCCGTCTTGCCTTAAAACGGAGCAATGGGTTTAAAACCATACGTACTAAACATATTTTTATATAGGCTAAGTAATGTCAGTTTACGCGTATACTACAGTCTCACAAAGCATCCCAAACTGCGGGATGTACTTAAAATAAATTGTAAAAGTTAACTAATATATTTTGCGTTTTAATCATCTATATTAATTTATTAAAATATATGTCACTAATAAATATTTGGTTTTAAATTACCATGGTACAAAAATAATTAAAAACTAGTAACAATCTAATGAAAATTCTTACTATACTTACTGCATTTCACAGAAATTCATTAACTTTAAATTAAACGTTTCGTAACGCCATTAAGTGTCATGAATATTCACGGAAGTAAATAAACCCCTTTTTGCATTTTGATATTCGTTTCTTAGAAGGAAATTAAAGAATATTATATACATTATTTATTTTCTAGCAGGATTTAAAAAAAAAACCTTTACGGTTTTAAAACCGCTTTTTTTTTTTTCTTTTGAAAATGATTTTTAACTTCTCCCCGTGACCACGGCTGCTGCAAAGCATCCCCGAAACGTCGGGCCGAAGTTAAAAATCATTTTCAAATAAGTTTAACTAATATATCGCGTTTTAAACCGTTAAAGTGTTTTATTTAAATGTGTACTACTCGCGTAAACTATAGACAGTTTTCTAGCAGGATTTCAAGCTGCAACACAGACTAACTAACTAGCAATAATTATTTGCACCAGTAGAAGGCCGATTTCAGCTCTTACGGCCAAAATAATATTACGCTGTTTCTTAACCAATTGAAGTACCTTTATTTTAAAGGTTAAGTAGGTTTTTTTGATAGGTGATAGTTTTTTTTTTTATTAAAGGCACCTAACATCTAAAGAAGATGCGCTATCGACCTTTTTTGGCTTTGGACAAATTTTCAGTTTGCGACAACATTAAAACCTATTTGATAAACATTATATACAAAGTTTTATTAAATTTATTCTACTGACGTTTTATGTGATTATCCTTCTTATAAATAATCACAACAAGGCGAAAAGGATTTCTCTTCTTTATATATATACTTACGAAAACTTAAAAAATAATTATGTAATCATTTTTGCCTCCGTAACTCAATGGTATAGGTGTTGCGTAGGCCATGGCGTTAAGCACTTAGGACCTGACTTCGGTTCTGGCCAAACATTTAATTATTTCGGTTGGGCAGGGAACAGAAGTCTAATTGACCTGTAAATAAAATTGCTTTGTGAGACGGACTCAGAATGTATTCGTCCTATGCCCCACAGTGGTAACGGGATTACCTATGTAAATAATTAAAATTAGCATTTAAAGTCATTTATCAATATTGTGCATGATTCAGTAAAATACATAAATAGAATGATCGAGTGGGTGGAAATATAATATATCTCGCTATGGGGGGAGGTCGGGGTGTCATCGAGATACGTCGGGTAGTCGCCTCGCTGGAACGCGCATTCTTCCCTGCCTCTGAATACCAATGGCATATTATTATGTGAGATCTCCACTCCTATTGTGCTATATACATCTATCGAGTCACTTCATTGACATCTTATTTGCTTGGAAGTCGCGTCACGCTTCCCTTATCCCATCCCGGTAATTCGTCTTAAACACATCTTATTTCATTACATCTATACTACTTAGTATTAAAAAGCTGAAGAGTTTTTGTTTGTTTGAACGCGCTTATTTCAGGAACTATTTAAAAGTATTTAAACGAGGAAGACTTAAGGCTATAAAACATCACGCTGAGAAAAATAGAAAATAGTGGAAAATGTGGAAAATAATGCATATAATTATGAAATAATGATTGCTCTTAAATATGTCATAAATGATCTAGAAAATGTTAATATTTTAAGGGGCCATTCAAGTATTACGTAAGCAGATTTATTACAATTATTTACCCCCCCATCCCTCTTGTCAGCAAAAGTAAGCAAAGCTTTTACCCCCTCCCCCCCTATAACCCCCCCCCCCCCCCCCGTGCTTACGTAAACATTTTTCAATAAAAAATGTGGTGGTTGCCATTCGTGTAAAAAAGTAAATAAAACGATGACTAATCATCATCTGGATCCTACCCGCCATGTCATCAAAAATAACAACAGACCCCCGCCCCCCCATAGGCAAACTTGAACGATCCCTAAGATGAACTTACAAGAACGATGGGACCGATGTCGTGGGTAAAACCTAAAATTTTGAACGATGAGAAGGTTTGAATAACCTTATTTTTATGCCCAAAATTACTACTATTCTACGCGGACTAAGCTAGTTAGTAATATCACTAATATTACAAAAAACGACTAATATATACAGTCGTTGCTCTGCTTAATAGCGGTCGTAATGAAATAAGTATTTCAAGCAGCTCGATATAGTGATATGAATCAAATATTAACGTTTTACAGTTCCCTCTCTTAAATCTTAACGTAAGTCGCCTACTGTTACTTAAGCTTAAGGGTAGATTATTAAGGTAGTGGTGGCTACCTGTCGACCAAAATCCTACCGCGAAAACTGAAGGCGGCTTGCAAAGCCGTAGTTCCCTTTTACCAGGATTATTAAAGACGAATTTCTTGTGCCCGAAGTAAAACTAGATAGTAAGATAATGTTTCGGATGAAAATGTAATTTGAAATTTTCTCTTGTAATAGTTACAAGTTAAGAGAAATGTTTTTTATTTGGATTTATTATTGACTAGATTTTCAACAGTGCTGTTATAAATTGAAAATCGAAAATAAATTGAAAAAAAATTTTGACTCGGACAGGAAATGAACCGCCGTCATCGTTCCGTGTTGTTGCTGTTGATTAAGTGAAACGCTGACGATGGTGGTTTAAGTCCTGTCCGATTCAATTGTTTTTTTCAATTTATTTTCTTTTTTTGATCTATATAGTGCCATCATGTGCCATATGCTAACTTGTTTAAATAACTATATGATGAGTAACTAAAAGCACTATATATTTTCATTACCCTAACTAAAATTAATCAAAATTTTCCACTACAAAAATTCTTGCGAGACCGAGAAAATAAATTCACCGAACCGATCTCTGATGCAATAATAGATGAATATCTGCTGGAAAAGAAAATAGGCTCGTTGAAATCTAATTTCTCGTAACCACAACGGGCACCACTCGAAAGCGATGAGCCATCCGCGACAGACGCCCGCCTCATATCAATTCCCTAATTGAGATGCGGCTTCTTCAGCGTGGACTGATAACTCGCCTACTCACTTTACGCTCCACGGTTACTATATTATATGAATTGGGTTTTGTATGTAATTCAAGGATCCGATTTAACAACTGCCTGTAGTTTACTCAAGTAATACACATTTAATTAAAACATTTTAACGATTTAAAACACGATATACATATATTAAACTTATATAATATCATTGTCTTTCGAGACCATGATATGCTAGCCGTGAACGATAGCCGTGAAAGCCTTACACAATTTATTAAACTTATTTCAAAAAGTAATTTTAACTACGGTCCGACGTGTCTCTTTGTGAACGACTGCTGTAAAGCATCCGAAACAACGAAAACTATTTTTAAATAAGTTTAACTAATATATATCGTGTTCTAAATCATTAAAGTGTTTTATTTAAACCAAGGTAATACGCCAACTGAATTCCCATTTACTTATATGTACACGACCATTTACAACAGAGGCTTCAACATTCCGAAACTGCAAATAAAAACAATAAAAAGTCGTTATCATAAATTCTAATGCATATGTCAAAAATAAATCGTTCAATATTACCACACAATGAATTGCAATTTAATATTTTATTAAAATTGTACTACCTTTTCGTAGCTTAAAGCCCGTTACGCCGAAAAGGTAACACCACAATTTGAAAATTATTAAAAAATATAACTTATAATATTTACTTATTTAAAAAATAAATAAGATGTTAAGGCATAGCATGAATGAATTTAAATAAGTAAACATAGTGAATATTTTATTGAAATGAACACAACTAAATGTCAAATCTTAAACTATAAGTAAATTTCTAACTAGCTTACCAACTATGTATATACATGTAATCAATTACTAATGAATACATAATGTGCTAAAATTTTAATAGTAAGTAGTTACAGTTTGTCAATGTGTTACACCTTGTTAAGATAAGAGGAGAACATTTTAACTGCTATTATTATTTTTCATTACACTTCTACTGGTTCAGTTTCAGGAAAATCGTCTGAATTGCTTTCAGTATACAAGTGTAGCTCGTTAATTGAATAAGGTCCTTCATTACACTTTGGACCGTCACAAGAGAAATTGTCAAATTCGCAGTGTTCGCCAATTATAACCTGTAAAACAATTGAGAGACATTAAATATCCTGCGTACGTATCTACCTAGCTTTATAATGATATATGTACTTGAAATTATGTACAGTGCTCTCCAAACTTTTTGACCGGGCTGAAGTTAGCGCGGATGGTTGCGCAGAACGCAAAAAGCAGGTATCAGTTGCGACAAAGAAGGTGCGCGAGTGCGGGGAGACTCGACTTTTTGTTTAAAATTGACAGTACCATGCGCAAGATGGCGGTCACGCTAACTTCAGCCCGGCCAAAGTTTGAAGAGAACTATAGAGCCTGCAAACTAGCGCTGTCTGGAAGTGACTTCCCAACAGGTAAACCTGCCTCTTATTCCCGCATACATCGTTTGTTTCTTTGGTAATTCGCTAAGATTTTTCAAACAAGGTTCAATGTATTTTTAATTAAAATGACATTAAGCCGAATAGACTAGAAATCTTTTTAGTCTATAAGTATATAAATCGTACTTACTACTTTCGACTTTTACAACTTCAATCCAACCACTCTGATGAAAGAAGAAAAACAAAGAAAGGCAATTAGAGTTTTCTAAAAATCTTACCTTGCTAGGATTTTCTGGGTCAGGGTTAGGATCACAAAAGCATCTGCCGCAGGCACAGGTGCCTCGCCCATAACATTCTGGTCCCTCCGTAATTCCGTCGGGACGACAATTGTCCACTGTAGGATTACCCTCGCAAGCACATTTTGCGTTGTCATATAAGCTCACTGTTTTAAACAAGAAATAAGCCTCAACATAATAGACCCATATTTATAAAATTTCTGATAGTTATTTAACTTACTTTCGTATTTTTTAGACGTCACAGTATTATTACAAGGATGTGGACTAGACATAATCTCAGAAAAACATGCGTTGGTCGAGGGACACCAGGAACAATGGTCCAGTTGTAAACATTCCACGCAAGTTCGTTTAATGCCACAAATCCATTTTTCGTCAATACTCGCTATGCTGTAGGACTCAGTACAAACAATTGCAAAAATTAAAAAAACAAAAGATTGGCGAGTGTTGTTAGCTTTCATGATCTATTATTAGTTTCTTACTAGTATTTAGTTTAATTTGGTGATATTGTAAAACACGAATATATCCGTCGTAATAAAATACCAAGTGACCGCGTAGATTCAAGTTGTTAGGTACTTATATTGATAATAACTTACCATGACATGTATTATGCTTCTATTAATATTCTTTGATAACCTTTACATGCCTGGGTTTAAGGGTTACGCAAATGTTTTATTTGGACTTAAACTTTAATTTAACTATTAATATTGTTTGCTTAATACTTATTAAAGAATTTCGCCTCAATTAATACTGAAGTTGATAAAAAAATTATCGAAACAATGATTCTTGTATGTTATTGAACTTCTTGAAATCTGACTATTGGTACGACAGTGCGAAATTGTTTTTAATAACGCATCAACCAATATAAAGACCGCTTAAAGCATTGAATTTATTATCGATAAGAATATCAATGCCTCAAACGGACTTTTGCCGCATTATTTATTGATAACTTTTCCCGCCTTCATTTTTAGTCTAGGTGGAACTCGAACCTAAACGTCACGAACGGCTATTTGCTCAGAACACCACACATACGAGAAATGTATTTTTACGAAATTGATTTTTACAATTTTCTATTAATGACGCGGATCGACCAGTCGACATAAACTGATGACCATTGGATTGTTCTGTTTTAAAACGAATTGAAAAACAACCATCTTAAGTGAATTGTTTTCTCAACTCTAACAGCTTTTAAACAAATATATTATTACAGTGATTATAAAATACGTCCTAATTTAAACAGAAATAATACAAAAATTCGATTATCATACGCCGTTTATTCTTTTTTTTTTATTCCCCCATGCTGCACATAAAAGTGAAGTTTTAATTATTAATGCCCATTCTTCGTCTTCTTAATGTGTGGGCTATTCCATTCTGCATAAATAGAATCTGCCAGTGACTTGTTGACAGTCTTTATTGCTGTCAGTGTCATAATTAGTGAGGACGAGTGGTGAAGACTAAAAAAATGTTTTTGAGTATAAACGGGGAGCAATAATAATAAAAATAAAAATGGAAAATTACTTTAAAGGGAGAAATGTGGAAGAAGAAATGGAAAGAAATAAGATACCTATTAATAGTCTACCAGAAGATTTTCTTTGGATGCAGGTATGTAAGTTGTTTTAGGTTCAGATATTCAAAAACATAGTTCTTAGGTATGTTATTTAATCTTTTTTACTCTTTGATTAGGTTAAAGGAGGTAGTAAAATGGCAAATTTAATATCACATGCGTCTGGAATTATTGAGGATAAAGCTTCAACAGCTGTTGTTTGGAGTGGGGCTGGTGTAGCCATTCCTAAAGCAATATCTTGTGCTGAAATCTTAAAAAGAAAATTTGGAATTAAGTATCAAGTTACAAAACTGACTTTTAAAAGGTATTTAGTATATACATAAAGTCTGTCATACATATGCTAAGGTGTGTAATCTATATCTTTATTAATATATTATAATATTTAGGAAATTACCATGAAATCATACTTAAGATGTGTAGCTTGCTTTTCTTTTTTTAGCGTAGAAGAGTATTGGGAACCAAAACTGGAAGGTCTAGAGACTATAGTGGTAAAAAGACAGATTCCATTGATACACATTCTACTGTCATCTCAAGAACTAGTTGACACACAACTTGGGTAAATAAATTATTATTATTTTAATATGTCAATTCACAAGTCCAGCAATCCAACATTGCACCATACTAAACTCACTTAAGTTTCTAGATAAAAATATTTAGGTTGAGTATTATTTTTAATGATATACTCCATAAAAATATAAATGATAATTTTTTTTTTTTTTTAATATATCCATTAACATTTTTCATACTTGTGCAGTTTCTAACAAGGATTGGACGTTTTTTTGCAGATTTCAAACATTGAATGGAAAAAAATTTTGGGAACAGGAAGACAAACATAAAAAGCATGGGCAAGCGCAAAAGATAAAGAAACCGTTTAAGCATAAAAATATAAAATAAAGAATCGTTTAACTTATACTCAGAATGTCTTTTTCTTAAATGATATATACCCCTCCCACTGTTTTTATTTTATTTTTTAAGATAAGGTAAGGGTTTCAACGAATAGAGGGTTCAATCATTACACAATTAAATTGCGGTAAAATTACATATTTTAGTCTGTGTCGACAATAATTATGGAGTTGCCAACGTAGACTTTTTTATTTTATTTGCTACTTAACTTGATAATTTTTATTTGTTTTGTGACTGGCAACACGGCTAAAAGACACGTATCTAGTAAACTACTTTGCTAAGCCTGTGGCAGATCGATATGTATCCATTCAGTTAACATTAGAAGAAAAAAAATTGTCAATTGCAATTTGTAATAATATTTCACTTGAGATTAGAATCAATAATTTAATTTCTGTCTTCTAGGCGTATGTTTATTCCTTGATTTCCTACATCTAATACCATTCTTAGAATTACTCAATTCCATTATTTTTTATACCATAATGTCCGATGGAGTTCTTAGGCGCAATCGTCCGGGGTCTAAAGCTAAGGTGATATTAAATGCTTTAAATGTGCATATTTTTTTTAAGTACAATAATTTTTCTTTTACTCCTCTTATAATTTTCCTATTTGCATTTTGTTCAGTCATCTTTAAATTTTTTTGAAGTATAAGTAATCTGACTTTTTTACATTGGAATATACATAAGCATACATATAAGATTCTAAGGTGTGTTTGTATAAATACTAATAATAATACTTACAATATTCATGACAATTAGGACTTCTGCCGGTGGCCTGACCAACCAATTGAAGAAATGGACAATACACTGGCTGTTCAACAACTGATTCAACAAACAATTAGACGAGATCCCTCAAATTTGGAAGCAATTTTAAAAATGCCTGAAGCACAAGAGGAAGGTGTATGGAAGTATGAACATTTAAGGTATGATAGATTTTATATAAGTATTCTATATAGGCGTGTTCTTCGCCTTAATTTCAAGATTTTTAAAGTGTTAAAAGTGAAAATGGTATATGCAATATATTTTTATATATACCAACCTAACAGTAAATATAATTTAAAGTAGTATCATAGTTTAATAGGATTACTATATTTTATTGTATTACAAAGTGGTGTGTTATTTGATTAAAGATTAGTTATTATATGCATATTGTTTAATTTTAATTGTTATTGTTTAAGTATGTGTGTCTCCAATTAATGTAACTGGCTATTGCCGTTTTAATTGTTGTAAATAAATAAATAAATACATTAATTGCCATCTAATAATATTTCAGACAGTTCTGCATGGAATTAAATGGCTTGACTGTTAGACTGCAAAATGAATGCAAACCTAATACATGCACTCAGATGACAGCTACTGAACAATGGATATTTCTTTGTGCTGCTCACAAAACTCCAAAAGAATGTCCTGCTATAGACTACACAAGACATACTCTTGATGGCGCAGCGTGTTTGTTAAACAGTAACAAATACTTTCCTAGCAGGTAATAAATTATAATTTTTCCATTGTAACTTTGTCATTACATATCATGTTTATGATGTTTTATTAAATATAATGTTTATAGGGTGAGCATAAGAGATTCTTCTGTTGGCAAACTGGGCTCAGTATGCAGGAGGGTATATAGAATATTCTCCCATGCCTATTTCCATCATCGTGCCATATTTGACGCTTTTGAAAAGGAAACACACCTATGCAAGAGATTCACTCATTTTGTTACAAAGTATTCTATAATTTCAAAGGAAATTTTAATTCTGCCCAAGCTCGATGATGAGACTCCAATAAGTCAACCTGTTGGAGAATCTGAGGCATAAGATCTGAAATTAGTTGTTACAATTCTGTACCAGTTTTGTAAATGTTTTAGAGACACTTGATTTTTTTGTACTCAGGTGTATTAAGTAAATAATAGTATTGTGGCTTTAAGTAGCCAAAATGGCTTTCATTTTGACTGTTCAAATATCAATATTATAAGCATGGAGAATCTGTTTGCATGTATGCATTTATTTAAAACGTGTAATATATTGTGTAACTAGCTGTCAATCAACTTTATTTGTATTTCACTATATTAATAAATGATAAATTAAAGGTATGAAATAAGAGTTATTTACTTGTCTAGTAATAAGCAGCTAAGTAGTTGATAAGATTTTATAAAAAAAGTATCAGTGGGTAGTTGATATCAATTTCAGACGGAAAGGACTTCGTGTGGATTAAATAATTTCTTTGTGCTATATACATTTTGAAATATAATAAAATATTAATAGTGATAATGCATGCATAGAGGATATATCAATCACGACTAGACTTATATAGTAATAGATAATAGAAAAGGCATTATCGAAAGTAACGCTGGCACGGGGCGCAACTTAGTTTTCTCTGATTTATTTCACCATATACGATAGACAACGTATCTATTATACTCTGTAAACGAAACCTTGGTCTCCATAGTCTATGGTGATGTTTGTAATTAATAAGCTGTGGCAAATGGCAATATAATACAAATGTTGTTCTGAGCAAGTAAATAAATATTGTACAGAAGTGCAAAAGCAGTAAACCAACAGTAATTAAAAAGGAATTATTTTGCAACAATTTGCTTAGTAATTTATTTGTAGTCATCTATGTTATAGTATAATTTTCTGTAAATTGAAGTAACTACTGTAAAGATGGGGAAAGGATTTAACAATTACATGTGCAAGAAATTCTTCCATCCTGCCTCACGAGATAATTTAAAGAGGGTGAGTGTTTTTGTGTTTGTCTTTTATGTAAGAAGTAAGTTGTGTTTTTACAAATCTGAAGTTATTATTATTTGCATTAAGGTATGGATGGCAGAACAGAAAACAGATGCCTACAAGAAGAAACAGGAAGAATTACGTGTACAATATGAAAAAGAGCAGGAGCTGCACGAAAACAAGTATGATGCCATATCTTATCATGTACGAGTTATTTTTGGTTATAGTTCTATACAAATAATTTATTTTGCAGAGCACTACTGAGTAAAGACAGCAAGGACAAGTTAAGCTTGAACTTTATGTATGAACCTCCGCCTGGTGTAAAAAAAGAACGTGAACGTGAAGATAATGAACCGGAGTATAAATTTGAATGGCAAAGAAAGTACAATGCTCCTAGAGAGAGTTATTGTAAGGGCGACAATGAGATTAGAGATCAACCATTTGGTATTCTTGTGAGAAATGTAAGATGCATTAAGTGCCATAAGTGGGGTCATATAAATACAGGTGAGAAACATATCCAAGAGAGACAATTTTAAAATATTTTTGTAAATTGACTATTATAATTAGACTATACCTGAAATAATTGGAGACTTGGGTGGCATAAATATTGTACACTTATTCTTGTAGTCTGTTATTATTTAGCTCTTAACTAAACAGTACTTCTTTTTATACACAATCATTTTAACTTATTAGGTATTAAGAAATATTTTTTTATTTTTATTTGCACACAAAAGACAATATAAAATTTTACAGAAAAAACACAAACATTTTTAAAACCGTAATGATGGCTAATTTGATCTTTGCCATTATTAGGTAATTACGTAAATCTTATTTATTTGATTACAGATAAGGAATGCACTATGTATTCATTGTCAATGAGTGAAGCGAGAGCATTGCAAGCTTCTGCATCTGCACCACAAGAGGATGAAGAGAAACCTGATGTACCAACTCTAATGCAACAAATGAGGGATAATGGATTAGTGATGAAACCTGGTGCATTGCCTCTTGCCCCAACAAAATTAGAAGAAGGGGAGACATCTACTTTGACCGAAACTGACCTATTGAGTCAATTGACTAAGAAGCAAAAGAAAAAGTTATTAAAGTATGTATTGTTTTTTAATGAGGAAAGTAGTGTTTAAGTTATCTTGTTGTAAATACCTATTTATTTTTGCATTTTTACAGGAAATTAGAGAAACTGGAAAAGAAGAAGGGTGACAAAAAGAAGGATAAAAAGAAACACAAGTCTTCCAAACACTAAAATTCAATGTATAATAATTATTGTCTTTGGTGTTACTATTCTTATGTAAAAGTACATTAAAAAAATGTCTTTAAATAATCTATCATACCTTTTTACGTCATGATATACCTTAAAAACAAATAGATTGTTGATGATTATATTCAAGATGAGTATCCTTGTTCCTAAATAAATAAATAAACAATGGAAAAATAATTTGTATATAACAGCAAAAAAGTATATGATGATAAAAGAATTATTAAAATGATGATTTGTTAATACAAGTATTCAGTAATTACTTAGATCGAAATTAAGGGTTGGCGGAAGTCAGTTACTCGGGAGCATTTGATCCTAACAAATAACTTAAATTATTTATGTATAGAAGTGACCTAAGTAAGACATTCTCTGGTAAAAATATTTTTTTTTTTATAGAAATTTTATTAATGAATCAAACAAATTTATATAGTGCAAGTTTATTATAGTAGGGAGATATCACAATTTCTTATAGATTAAAGCTTTATTATTATTAATCACATTTCACACCATACTGATAACAGATATATTTTGATATTCTTTATAGCTTAACATACGTTTTATCATCAATTTCTATTATATCCTGTCGATCATTTCTTTCTTTCCAGTGTAGGTATAGAACACACCCTATAATTACTATAATTATAGCAGTTAATACAAATACACTCTTAAGAATAACTTTGCTCGGTGTTACAAATAGCTGTGCTCTCCACTGGGCAGGGTCATTAGGAGGGGCTGGGATTAAAACTATTTGAGAGTTTGGTATAATCTGTGTCCAGCTTTTAGAGTAACCGGATAGTCCCACAGTCAATGTATCAACAAAATTAGGCGTCCGGTCTAATCCGAATATGGAATAAGGTAACTGTAATGCAAAGTAAGCAGATTGTGGTAGTTGAGCACACACACCAGTTCTGTAGTTACCTTCTTGGGACCAAGTGTTATAGCCTATTTTAGGCCCTGGTAAATTCGTTCCTGAAAACAGAGGGGAAACTTTATTATGCACATACTATAATTTAAATAATAAAATTTTAGTACAAATAATTACCAAAAGTAACTTTTCTGGTATATAGAGTGCCATTGATAGTGGGTACCCGTTTGTTACTTAATCCAGTGACAACAATAACTTTGATAAAATTTGTGTCATACTCAAGTTCGTTCCGGAAGGCTTTCATCATGTAATTCCCGGTTGTAATATTTTTCTGGACATAAATTACATCAAGGACACCATCCATATAGAAATCGTAAAAGGTACCCATGACAACATTGCTGCCAAAGGAATTGAATTTTTCCCACTGAACTTCAAATGTTCTATGAAATTTACATCCTGGCAGGTTGCAAGGAACATTATGCATTAAAAAGACTCTAGTTTCATTATTATTATTTGAAGGGGTGAGGGTCATGAGAATATCTGGATACCCGTCCATGTTGTAGTCTCCGCTTCTCATAGTAATAGTATCAAGATATGGTTCATCTCTTGGTGGGACAAAATGCCATAATGTGCCTTTTCCATCATTGAAATCAACTTGTAAATCATGCCACTGTCTGTTATCATAGATAAGAATAGTGCTGTTTATGCAGCCCAGATCATAACAAACTGGCAGCACTAAAAAGAATTCACCAGACAATGCAACATCAATGAACAATGCCTGCCCATATGTGGTTGCAAATCCAACTAATAATTCAATACTGTTATTATATTTAAAACCGCTTGGTTCTTCATTTAACCAGACTTCAACATCTAATTTAGTTGTAACCAATAAATCTGCAGCATTATCATCATTCACATCTAAAAAAGAATGTGAATGTGGTAGTTTAATTTCTTTGTATTTGTCATTCCCCATTAAAATTTCCATGGGGGCTGATCTGGAATGATCAAAAACCCAAAAAACTCTTTCATTTTGAGCATTCATTCCAAATAGGTCGAGAATCATGTCACGATTGTAATCCATTACAAGCGGTTGGCCTTTTGTTATAGCTTTGATTAATAAGGCATCACTGCAGTTAAGTTCAGGCATTCCACCCCACAATATTCGCACTTCATGCAAAGACGTTTCGTTCTGTATTAGGGTCGTGAAAAGTATATCCATATATGCATCTCCATCAAAATCACCAGGCACTATGCTACTCACTATATTGTTACTAAAATTGCAATAAAGAGACGACCTTAGAAAAGGTTCTTTGTCAAAGGCGAGCAGTACTTCAATGCTTGACCCATTTATTATAAAGGCATCAGTTAATTCGTCGGAATTAAAGTCACCAAACGCAGAAACAAGTCCAATATTATTTTTCCCAAAAGCGTTTTCAGTCATGTCAGTGATGGAACTCACTTCTTTTAAGAGAAACGCCATGAATAAGAAATTCAACTTGTGGAACATGACTGCAATGTTATTCACATTCATTTCGCATATTTAATAAGCAATAATAAAATCCACTTATTTTGCAAGCTATAATATATTAAATATTTGAATAAGTAGAGTTACATTATAATTTAAACCTTAATAATGGTATACTAATATCGTTGTAACAAAAATGTTATTTCTAATAGTCTAATTGGATTTGTTATGATAATACAATAATAGATAATTTTGCGTGTGTGTAGTTGTGAGTTTGTGACGTAATATGAAGTTTAATAAATTGTAGTGAGACAGATCACAGATGTAATAGAGCATGTAAGTCTCTAGTCAAATAGACTGTAAACGAAACCAAACAGGGTTCGCCCACAGGATGATGAAAGCATTCCTTTTACTTTTTTTCAATTTGACATCGACAACTGACATTTTTTAAATAAATTTCTACATAAATACGTCAAACTTCTTATTACATTTTTCTCTTTACAATAAAAATTTACATCAATTTTCACTGTATTGACAACAACTATAGTTCGAAAAATCATATCATTCATAAGCGTAAAGATTTTTGATGTGAATAATTTTATAACATAGTTAAATTGCATATTTGCTAAAAGCCTCAATTGTCTCCTAGTGTTTGATACGCGACAAAAAACATCGTCGTGTTCCTAGACGGTTTACTTTGCGTCAGTTATTTGTCGCTTCGTGTGCTAAATTGTTGTGGTGAGTGTTCCATAAAAGTTTATTCTGGTTTAGTGGAAAAATAACTTTGAGTGTTCCGATAATAGATAATACGATAAAAATTATATTAATCGATAGAAACGGTGATGCTTCTAAATAACCATTTATTAAACTATTTGAACGAGCTGAGCCTATAATCCGGATTCGTTATACATTAACTTCTTGTCGTTGTGTTGCTTTACGTTTTAACACATTCATACTGTTTTATCGTGTCGGAGTATTTTTAGAATCGCCTACAGTATTGGGGCTTCATGTCTTTGTAAACATATTATTATGATTGTGAATACTTGTACTGTTTTTATATGAACATTTGGATACTTGAAAATTCTACAGTGTCAACAATGTGATGAAAGTTAAGTGTTCCTAAGAAGACAAAAAGTATTTTAAAGAGGCATTAAGTTTATGGTAAGTACATTTAGTGTAGATTTATATAATGATAATAAGAAACATAAATAGTTAATTAATTTAATAAATTAAAATTATAACTTTTATGATGTTACCTGAAGTGTTCTTCAGAATTTTATTCATAAAAAACCAGTAAAAGTTTTAGATTGTTTAGCATGTCTATTTGTTAGATGTATATTAACATATTTGTTAATGTTTATTGCAATGTTATGTATCACATTTATCATTCTATAGTTTTGATGCTGTTTTCTGTTTTTTATTACCCAACTAACTTTTTAGACAAAATTATAATGCACAAAGTATACTATCAATTATTAAACTATTTTTGCAACACTAACTTTACAAATCACACTTTAAATTATTTCCATTCCATTGAATTGAAAGAGTTTTAAAAAATAATCAATAAAATCTAAAAGTTTTTTAGCATAGTAAATTAAAATCAATCATAACATTTAAGTTTGTTTGGGCTGGGATCTCAGTGTCAGACACAAATTGGAGTCTTGTGTGGCTCATTAAAATTGTACTCATAGTGAGTGATATGTTATTAAAATTACCTACTTTCTTACTTTGTTCCTTATGAATTGCAAATGTTGGGGCAACATAGCTACAATAACAATTACTGCAACATATTTTTATCATAGAATGATCCTCTCCATCAACTTCACAACAACTATCATGCCCTGAGATAGTTTCATAATCATATCTTATTTTTGTCAGTTTTTTATTTACTAGAGACACCAATAGGCCAGGTGAACAGTCGATGCCATTTGCCAACCATTTCACCCATTTTGTCAAAGTTTAAGTGAGCCCAGTAAAGTTTTTTTGGTAACAGTCTAAACCAGACAACCAATTTAATGAAATGAGATTTGCCATTGATGGACAATTAAAGTTATCAGTGGCATAGCTATCGTAGGGCCAGGTGGTCCAGGGCACTAGGGCCCCGGAGCCTGAGGTCCCTCTAACCTCATCTTTGAAAAGATATAAGCATAAAGAAAAACGATTTTTTGAAAATTTTTGAAGCAACTGTTCTTATTGCTATTTATAATTTTGGAGGTTCATATAAATTCAAGCTATGCTGAAAGAGGAGATGAGGACTTGATTCTTGTTAAGGGCCACGGATTAGTTAGACCAGGGCCCTTGTCCACCTAGGTATGCTACTGAAAGTCATCATCAATATGCATCACTTGTAGCACGGAGCTGTGACTTTTGTCAAATGCTATTTTTGATGTTGATAATTTACTTTGTAGTGAACTAAAAACTATTATAATAATTTAATTTATTGTAACACTTTTAATATTGGTAAAGTCTGCGCTGTTCTGAATGCAAAAAAATTGTGAAAACTAATAACACATAACATAGTCTTAGCATATTGACCAGGACGGTGTGGTCGATTTTTATTATCTACAGGGGTGGGTGTGTTGGGGTGTGGCAAACCAAACATCAGTTCGCCAAGATCGATATTAAGCCAACTATTCCGCTTACGACGTAAATAGATAGTATGAGTAAATCGAAGATTTTTTTTTGACATTTCTGTTTCTTTTACTTTTATTTAAATATAGAATAACGTAAAGTTTTTATTGTCACATATAAAACTATGCATACTTATATTATAAACGTGAAAATGCGTTTGATTGTCCTTTTTTTACGACTTAAAAAACAAACCTATTCACTTGATACTTGGCAGCAAGCAATAATTATGGGTACAACTTATTATCTCTGTATTTACAGTCCATTTAAATCAACAAAATCCTATAATTGCCATGAAGGACAATTAAAGAATTTTTTTTACATCAAATGAATTGCTTCTTAGTAATTTGAACATATTATTACTTTATAATATAATAGAACTTGAATAACATGAGATGAGAAAAATAAAAGTAAACTTTTACCATAAGGCTACCACAGAATCCGCCACTGTATTAATATAGGCAGGTATTTGATTAGAAAAGAATTTATGAAATTACGCCCCTTTGAGAAATGTGGGGTAGAAAGTTAGCATGCAAAATATTAAATCCCTAGTCAAATAAGTTCCAAGATTTGTCTAAACCGTATTTTATATATTTGATGAATCACGCGTTAATTTTTTTAAAATGGGGTATTATGTTTCACTACGTTATGATATAACGCGAGCAACACCGCGGGGCGCATTTAGTCCCGAATAATACGCGTAGTTCCGTAGACGGTTCGCATGCAAAGTGCAAACATACCTGTTTGAAAGTACCTTAAAGATTTACATGCAAATGTAGTTCATGAATACCTACTAGCTTGGAATGTACACATCAATTCTAAGCAGTGTGACCGCTGAATCAGCGTTCTTATGTATTTGGTGTGTTATTAATAGCTCGGTAAATATGTAAGTAAAGTCGAGGCTACCAATATTTGATGCGTCTATTCATATGCTGTATATTACGATGATACAATATGTATATACTTGTCGTTATAAGTCATCACTTCTCAAAAATAGTTGTATAATTATATTATCTATATATCAACACGAGTACATGCTCGCAGTGGCAATAAAATTATATCTTATGGTATTTTATTTCTAAGTCAACAGAATCGGTTTAAGACAGCTTATTATATTGAATAAATAGCGTTCAAAGATTTTTACATCGTGGTCTACATATTATCCCTGCGGTGCCAAGGATCACGATCTGAATTATGACGAAAGGTTCAGTTTCTGTGACTGTTAAGTTTTGAAAAGCGTGAAAAAAGAGAGGCTCAAAGCTTTGGCTCATTATTTTGATACTTTAGTTGTTGTTCGTTGCTCTTGTCGTTGTTCGTTGTTTGTAAATCTGACAAAAGTTGCGACATGACGAAAACAAATCTCATGTCACTAAACTTGGAATTGGCCACGTTTACTAAATAAATATACATTTTATAATGATACCCATTATGTGGTCATTTCTGCTCTCTTTAAATAAAAACATCAATCAGCTATCTACGCAGACTTGCGCAGACAGAATAAATGTATTAAACGACACGACATTTTTCCTCTATACGTTGCGCATAGACACAATTTATAATCTCCCAACTGACAATTATAACACGAGACATCACACGTCCTATCTCGTTTGTACTATGCGGGTATACCTAATCTTTGTATTTTTATTAATGTCTAAAAATAACTTGAACGTTATCGCTCTCGTTATCTCAAGGCGAGATGGGTGTTACTGTCGCTTGTGGACTATGGTTGTCACAATAGTCTCCCGTTCGACTAACCGTCTGTAAATACAAAAGACTCAGCGCGCCTATAAAAAATATTAGCAGCCAGGTTATACTTTTAATATAGATCGATAAGTATGCTAGTTCACGCCTGTCGTGTTTTCGAACAAGTATCTTGAGAACACTAAGAAATAACCCTTAACGTTTCTTAAGTCCCTTGCAAACATATCATAAAACGTAACTTAACATGAGCCTTTATTATATATGTATATTAAAATCGATTTATATTGAAATATAAGAATGTAAAAAAAAACTAAATAAATACTATCTGTCTATTAGGTGTTTTTTATCTTATTATGCCTCTAAAAACATTAAAAGGTTTCCGGTTTATTTTCAAAATTTCATTTGTTATAAATTATATACACCACCAATTTTTACCTCAATTCTAGTTATTTTTTTGTAATTTGACGATGACATTTCATTCGCTTTGGATGCTCGCGTCCTATTTTTTTTCATCTACACTAATTTTTAATGTAAATAAAATGACTCAATAGACTCAAAAACATCAAAGAAATGAAAAATCTATCTTGTTCAAAATTACACCTCTTATACTCGTAGAATAGCGTATATTTAATTTTGCACTCTATCCAGATAATTAATAATAGTCATCGCATAATACTGAAACTGGAAATGTGCAGAAACGGACTTTTCTTGCCGAAATAGCGTCATGTCAATTACTTTAATAGGTCTCCGGCTGTGAGCCAATTACTTACTTGACAGCAGGGAAGTAATTCCTACATTTGAGGGCGGAAAACGAGCTGCAGGAAGACTTCCCTTTTATTAAACGAAAATAGATCTATTAACGCTCAATATGATCACATCTTTATCACAATTTGTTCTCGTGTTAATCTGTAAGGAATTAATTTTCTTCCACTGAATATGTAGTATGTAGTAAATGTAATATTTTGCTACTTCGTTTCATAAAACCGATGTAGCGTGTTTTGTGGAAACTGTTGATATATTTCATTTTTGTCAATAAAAATAACTACTTATCGAATTAATTTTATTGCTGAACTTATAAGTAGGGTTGCTGTTAAAGCGAGAAAATAACTAAGATACCAACATGAAACCAAACCAGCGAATAATATATTTTTATCTGTTAATATCTGTCATCGCCTCCATAGATTAATGGTGACGCGTTAAATCCAAAAGGTTTTTGGTTTTGTTTTACAAACTCTATGGTTTTAATAAAATCTTTCTGTAAACTAAAACGACAGTGACACAGACACAAGTATTTTTTTTACCTTGGGTTATTCAGGGGGAAACTAAAATGTTACACATACACCGTCACGGTCATTTTTTCAGATTATAGAAAGAAGAATAATTCTTTTTTTATATATATATATATTAGGGTATCTTGAAAAGTTTCGACTCTCAATTCTCTCATAATTTTTCCCGTCTTTTCTACATTTCCCAATGTGTTTCGCTCTTATAGATACGTAATGTCATATAGCCTATAGCTATCTTGATAAATTCTCCCTCGTATTCAAAAATAATTTTTCAATTCGAACCAACAAACTCTTCAGCTTTATAACATTAGTATCGACAAAGTAAGTTACTCCTAAGGTCGAGATCCAGCCTCCACTTATTCTAGATTTGATCCTTATCTTGCTTATCCTTTGTTCAGGTGTTAGCGCCAAAGTGAAGGCGACGGCATGGGGCACGGCGCGCGGGTCCTTGTACTCGCGGCGCTGGGCCTATTGGCCGCGTCTTCGGGTCATGCAATCGTTCCTAAGAAGTTTGATGTCACCATTGGGTATCTGCCCTCCATCAAGGGGGAGCTCAGGTCCAGGCAGGGCCTCGCGATATCAGGTGCCCTCTCGATGGCTCTCGAGGAGGTAATGTTGATGAACACATACTGTTGAGCTTGTTTTTCCAACAATGGTTATATTCACTTTCAATAATGACGAGGAATCTGTAAATGTGAAGAATAATGAATGAAAAATAATTCAGTATCCAAATGCTTCACAGATATTAATTATATAAGAAATTAAAATGTAAAGAATACAAAAAAATACTTATGCAGCTAATGATCAAGATGTCGAATAAAATTAACAAACTCGCCATATTACCCAAAATTTTAAGGAGCAGAACCGTTCCTAAAATGTTGTGTTGTTTTATTGACAACTAAATAGGTCTCTCCGTGACCACGGCTGCTGCAAAGTATCCGAAACGTCGGCCCGAAGTTAAAAATCATTTTCAAATAAGTTTAACTAATATATCGCGTTTTAAACCGTTAAAGTGTTTTATTTAAACTAAATATACATTTGTTTCCAGATTAATAACAGCACCGACCTATTGCCAGATGTGCATTTGTCCCTGGCTTGGAACGACACCAAGTGCGATACGGTGACGGCAACTAGGCTTCTAACTGATATGAGCTGTTCAGGGGTCGTCGCGTTCTTCGGGCCCGAGGGTCGCTGCCACACGGAGGCCATAATAGCGCAGTCTAGAAACTTGCCAATGATCTCATACGTAAGCACGATAAGATTTTGATCCTATTGTCAACCCACTGTGAAACGTAATTACTGTCGAAGAATTATATGCCTTATCAAGCTCGTAACATATTTTATTTTTATACAGTTTTACAGTGATTTATTCTTTCTTCTAGAAATGTTCCGATTACCAAACTTCCAAATTACCAAATTTTGCGAGACTGGAGCCACCCGATGCGCAGGTATGAAACAAAGGTCTTTTATGTTTACGATAATGAATTCAATAACCTCGGCTGAGGGCGTTGTTCTAAGTTCAGAATTGTTGAAATTACCATATTGGATCCAAAGCTTTGTGATGGAATTGGAAATCAATTCCAGTAAATAGGTCGCGCTAAGCTGTGTCCATATATTGTATTTTACCCGTATCCATTATCAAGGAAGGAAGGAAATGAAAGAAGAGCTTACTAGGAATCATTTTTAAAATTGAGATATTGTTTCTGTCTTACAATAATTTTATTGAGCTGGATTACCTCTTACAGGCGACAAAATCAGTGATTTCGCTACTAAGATACTATAGATGGAATAAGTTTTCTATATTGTATGAGGAGTCTTGGGTAACAGTCGCTCTAACATTGGAGAATCACGCCAAGAAGAACAACATGACTGTCAACCATCAACGACCAGTGATAGACGGCTTTAAATGCTGCGAAGAGAAGATGACCTGCTGTGCACCCGGTTTCTGGTATCAGTTTATTCAGGATACTAAGAATAGAACAAGAAGTAAGTATTACTTCTAATGAACGTAATTTAATTTCAAGTAACTTAGGACACTACGATGTCATCAATGACTTTAGATCTTTAAAATCTTTACTTAATCTACCTCATCAATTAGTTTATGCTGAATTTCATTTCAGTATACGTATTTCTTGGGTCACCAGCGGGACTTAATGACATGATGACTGCTATGGAGTCACTGCAACTGTTTGTGAAAGGAGAATACATGGTGATATTCGTCGATATGATGACTTACACGTTCAAAGACTCCTTGAAATATTTAATTAGTAAGTAGTGTATATTAAAACGAAATTGTAATGATTTTAAATAAAACGCGTTTGTTAAATATTAGCATTCAATTAAATGTTTTTGTAATTTGAGATGTCGGTCTTCTTGTTAACTGTTATGCTTATCATAGAGGCTGGAGATCACGGTCCTGAAACGTACTGTCAGAACACACCAGAGTTCAGGAAAAGAGCACAATCACTATTGGTCGTGGTGTCGTCAGAGCCCGAACGAAGCTATGAAGAGTTCACCAGCAAAGTTCAAGTGTACAACACAAAAAAACCGTTTGAGTTTCCCTTGCCAGCTGTGTTCGAAAATAAATTTATAAAGGTAATGATTTATTCATAACGGCGTACCATTTTTTGCTATAGAAGTGTGTACAACGACAATAAAGCGAGTGAGGGACGATAATTTTGGATGTCAATTTCAGTCCAGCGTTTGAAATACTGAACCAAATTTAATAAACGTACAAATGAAAGGAGATTGGATTTTTTCAAACGATGACATAGATTATATCGACCATCGACATTATTCTTATAATTTAATTTATAATCTCTAAAAACTACTGTATTTTTTTTTACATTCAGTATGCTAAAACTGTTGTGGTATTAGATTAAATTGAGTAAGGGCTTACAATTGGTTTTTGTCTAAAAAAAAATGAAAAACTTTATAGTTACACAAATTGTGCTTTGACTTATATAAAATACGTTGTTTCAGTACGTATCCATTTACGCCGCGTACCTGTACGATTCGGTGAAGCTATATGCAACAGCTCTGCACAAATTGATTGAAGAGGAAACTGTCAATAAGAACGAAACGCTCACGCACAAAAAGCTAATGAGTATCGTTACTAATGGAACCCGTATCATTTCCAAAATGATTGATATCACACCGTTTGAGAGTAAGTGTATTGGATAAGCAACGCTTTTTTAAACGTTGGCGCAAGGGGCATACAATTTCTCTAACCGGAGGGGCGATTCTCAAAAAGTAATACACGATCTATATCGACTGTCTGTTATTATACAATAGTGAAATTATTTTCGAATTATGGCGGCGTAAATTAACATTGAGTTGATTCAGGCCTCTATCAGTTGGACTACAATAACAAATAAAGATTTAATTGAATTTTAAGTTGCAGTTTACTTAGATGTAATATTTTGGAAGGACCATAAGTAGAATTCCAGTTAAGAGCGTTTATCGGTGTTTTTGTACCGCTCCTGTAACTCACGGTAAAACGTCTTGCCTAACATTGTGAGTGTTGGGTTCAAATCCCTGTTAAACAGTAACTTTTGTCGGTTGGGCAGACCACAGAAATCAGATCAACAACTTGACATCACGGTTTTAAGAGCGAAATATATTGGTTCTCTTAGATGCATCGTAATCAAATATTATGTGTTTGTTAGGTGTATCTGGTATGTCGATTCGCTTGGACGAGCGCGCTGACTCCGAGGGTAACTTCTCTGTGCTTGCTTTCAAACCAATCAACTCGACCGATAATGTGGTTAACTGCACACACAGCATGATCCCCGTTGGTCACTTTCAGCAGTGCAGTCGCGAGTTTCCGGTGAGTAAAACCAATTCACCAATATTTTCATATGAAAAATGTTTACGGGATTTCGGGAAGGATAGTTTTTATATATATAATAAAGCTAGAGTTTATCTGTACCCAGACACTCTTTACTTAATAACATGGGAAGTTTCATTATATGACGTCATGGCAGTATTAAATATATATACACACTATTCTGTAGTTTTATGATGGCCTATCGTTGCCGTAACAACACTCATAAATTTATGGCTGCAATTCTAGTTGATTAATTAATACAATAACACCCCCCCCCCACCTTAATTACTTATTACTTTTTTGTTGTGGATTGTTACAACCCTTAAATATTGTTTATGTATAAGTATTAATTTATTATAATATCACTGATTGTGTTTATGTGCTGATGTGTGTAAATATTATATACCAATATATAATTATCAAGAAATTCTGTGTGGTCTTTAAGATGTTAATTGTTTATGAGTTTTTAAGTAAGTTTCGCACTTCTTTCACAAAGAGTCTTGTCTAGTTTTCATTATTATTAAGTTTCTTTCTACTCGGGTTGCCTGGAAGAGATCGCTTATAGCTATAAGGCCGCCGGTACGTCTTTAATTTGTTTTCCGTTTCTTTTTGTGTACCTACGTGAAATAAATATATACAATGTTGCTAACGATATGTATATGCCATACAGGAATACAAATTGAACCCCCGTTTGCCGATCGACTGGCCAGATAGTGTGAAGCCAGAGGATGAGCCTTCGTGTGGATTTCTCAACGAAAAATGCCCCAAGGACGACTCCCAAATTACGTCGCTAGTGGTGGCAGGCACACTGGCTGTGGCTCTTTTTTGTACCCTCGTAGTCACTATAAGCATTTATCGCAAATGGAAGATTGAGCAGGAGATCGAAGGGCTCCTGTGGAAGATTGATCCTCACGAGATAGCAGGGTATTTAGGCAGCGGCTTCGTTTGGTCGCCTAGTAAGGTATGTTATATCATTTTAAAACTTTAATAGTAATCATTTGTGGCGATTGTGCTACCGAACAATTGGTTATAGCAACGGTACAGAACGCTGTGGATGCTGGTTCAAGTCTTGCCCGAGTCGTAGCTTTTTTTTTCAATTTATAATTGATTTTTAATTTATTTGTCATATCATTTTTTAATATACTTACTTACTTACTCCGCTGGCGCAGTGACCCAAAGTGGATCTCGGTCTCCAGAACAACAGAACGTCACTTGCGTGGCTCCACCCACAAACTAGAGAACTACACGATTTTTTAAACTTTTTATTGACACGATCACAATTTTTTAAATAGTTTTTCACGTTGTGCCTTTCTATGGCTGAAAATGAAGTAGCTTTATTTATTACTTATCTAATTGTTGATTATGTTTTTCAGTTAAGTTTAGCTAGTGGTATATCAGGGGAGAGCAAGTGTTGTACACAAATATTCACGCCAACAGCCCAGTACAAGGGAAATGTTGTCAGGATTAAAGAACTAAAATTTTCGAAGAAGAAGGTATGAGTCTCCAAATGAAATTATTTCTTGTCAAGTATTAAACAAAATATGTCTGAAGAAAAACAACGATAGTTTAACCGATCTTTAATAAGCAAGTCATTATTTAAAGAAATATTCAAATAGGACATGGTTTGTTTGACATTTCATTAGTTAACTTTTAAATACATTTATTTGTTTTTTCTTACGGTTTAATAAAAAGTAAGGGTCTAGGTTCCTTTTTAAAAATATAAATCGTTCATGTATTTTTTTCATTTATAATTTTTAAAAGCTACTGTATTTTTTTAAGATTATTTTCTTGGCAACAAAGCTACATTTTTCTACCAGAATCAGGACCCTGGAGTAAGATAATTGTAATACACTTTTTTTTTTATTTCTAGGACATATCCCGAGAAATTATGAAAGAGATGAGGCTATTACGAGACCTAAGACATGACAACCTTAACTCCTTCATTGGTGCTGTGGTTGAACCATCTCGTGTGTTGTTACTCACAGACTACTGCGCCAAAGGGAGCTTGTATGTAAGTCACTACTAGTACTTAAAATAAGGAAATATAGAGACTTAAATAATACGTACTAACTACGTAGTTTCAACATCACGGCTTACACAGAAAAACATAGGATAAACCTTCAACATGATAAACTAAAATGTGTAATTATGATATTTTTTTGATAAGCATGATATTGTTTGTTACTGAATAGCGATATGTTTCAATGTATTATTGCTACAGCTAATTGTATTTACTTGTTAATGATTATTTTTTTAACACAACATAATATAGTAATGTGCTTGCAAAGAAATATACAAATATTTAATTTATCTTTTTAATTGTGTAACATTACACATGTACACACGTATTTATTTATATAACTTAGCCTGCACGCCAGTGCACGATCACAAACGTGATCCTTGGCCTACCCACTGTTTGTGACAGCGGAGATGGACCTAAAAGCTCACATAAGATGCATTGTTTTTTCCAGGATATAATCGAAAACGAGGACATAAAGTTAGATAAGATGTTCATATCGTCACTGGTGCATGATCTCATTAAGGTGAGTTTTGCGAAATCGCTTCCTTTCCTTTGTTGTAAAAAGAAATAGACCGTCAGGTGTGTGTAAATATGGTGTGACTCACGCTGTTTGTTTAAATGTTTTTTCCTGTGTGCATTATTTCAGTAACACTTATGTATAGGTAATTAACCGTTGTAAGCCTTGTGGTTTTACTTGTACTATAGTTTTTATAAAAATCTATAAAAACTCATAGGTCAAGTATTCCATTGACGCAATATTCGAGTTGAATTAATAATTACGTACTACAATGTAAATGTTTAAAATTCTACGTTGTTTTTATTGATGTAAGTCCTTGGTACGTTTATAGTAGATGTGATTTCGATATAGCTGCGCATGCGTCACATTTTTAATATCAATAGAACTCTCTGCTTTCAGGGTATGATTTTTATACATACTTCGCCATTGATGTTTCATGGAAATCTCAAGTCATCGAATTGTGTTGTCACGTCCAGATGGATGCTTCAGGTGATATTTTATTTAAAATCTGAACGTAATTTCTGAGTAAAGTATTTATATTTAGGATATTATTATGCTTATATCACATTGTTTCCAGGTAACTGATTTTGGACTCCACGAATTAAGAAATAGTGCAGAAAACGATTATATTGGAGAACACCAATATTACAGAGGTATTAAAATGACTTTTCGTTTTCAAAGCCCGTTTTTAAGCAAACAATTTAATTCTTTCCCTTAACCCTTTTCAGGTTTATTGTGGAAATCTCCGGAGTTGTTACGTCAACTGGATTACCCTAATGGATACGTTGGTGGCACACAAAAAGGCGACGTCTACGCGTTCGGGATTATCTTATACGAAATAATGGCTCGACGAGGACCATTTGGTTTTACTTCTTTGGAACCAAAGGGTAAACAAACATTGTATTATATTAGAAAGAAAAAATATATTTAAAAAATAAGCAAACCTCTGTGGCTCAATAGTTGTGCCTTGTGCGTTCCGATGAGAACCGGAAATGTGTTTTTTTTTACATCCAGGTTGGTGTACAATTAATTTTAGATAATCAAAATATCTATTATCAGCCATAACATGTAAACTTTGTATGATTTCAGTGATAAATTACAACAAAATTTGAAATGTGAATGTCATTACTGACGTGGGAGATACGGTAGCCCAAATTGGTTAAAGCAGTAGCACGAAGCGCTGTTGATGCTGGCTGAAGTCTCGCCCATATATTGTCGAATCTTTACATTTGTTTTACTTTAATCGCGTTTTCTTCCGCCCCAAGTTTTTAGTTAAGACTTGACTCCTCTAGGTCATGGCACGTAGCTGATACGCAGCTTCAATGTTTACTTTTATTAAATATAAATGTTGGTATTGTGCAGAGATAGTGGAGCGAGTGAAGCGCGGCCCAGAGGGGTCTGAATGCGAGGAGCCATTCCGCCCGGATTGGCGGTCCTTGGAGGGCGAAGCGGAAGACTACATTCTGGGGATCATGCGCGACTGCTGGGCGGAGGAGCCCGCTAGCAGACCGGACTTCCCCACCGTGCGATCCAGGCTCAAAAAAATGAAGTCCGGCAAGTGAGTACCTTCGGTGGTGGTTACTTTATTTATTTATTTAAGTTATTTACATACATCATTTTCCACTAAAATTAATTACAACCGATAAAGAGACGTCCAGTCGGTTTTACTTTAGCTAGTTGATGTTTTATTGAATACTAGGTTAAAGTCCTTTGCAATTCTACTAAGAAGGATCGTGTTATTCTTCAGTGTTTTTTAAATTTTAAGTTAAGCTTAGTTATAGAATAGAGAATCTTTAAGAGTTTTTAGTGTTGAACTGATAGAACAGTTATTTAAACAGTGGAAATCGTAAAATAAGACTTACTGTTTATATTACACTTTTGTTACTGTCTCTAGTTTACACGAGTATTACAAATAAAACAAACGGTCTAAAACGCGTTAAACTTTTGAAATGTAAATCGGGCCGAGGTTAAAAATCTTTTTCAAATACGTTTAACTATTTTTCCCCGTGTTTTAACCGTAAGTGTTTTATTTATACTCTTTTGTAAAAATAACATGTATTATTAAACCTCTTTCAGGTCAAGAAACATAATGGACCAAATGATGGATATGATGGAGAAATACGCTAATAATTTAGAGGAACTAGTCAATGAGAGAACGAGGCTATTGATAGAAGAGAAGCAGAAGACGGAAGATTTACTTCACAGAATGCTACCAAAGTAAGTTGATTGTTATGTCATATTTATTGATAGCATCGGACATCTAAAGTAAAGCTCGAGACGCACTTATTGTGCTTTGATAGTTATTGTGTATGTACTTAATTATCCGTGTCCATAACAACTTAACATTGTGTAACGCTTTGTAGTTAGGTTGTGGTCTTCTGTAAACGCCGTAAGCCGCGTGCAGTTTCACGCTTTACGCAGCGTTAGATCTTATCATAGATGCTTACTGTTAGATTCTGTTAGTCTGTCTCGAGGGAAAGACGACATCATGGACTCCAATGACCGAGTCGACTTCCACAGGCCAACGTCAGCGTGTGAATGAGACAACAACACTATATTTATAACTCGTTACGCGTAACACTACGTGACATACGGCGATTATAGGACCACCGGCCTATTGATGTTGAATGTAAACGTTTGAAATGAAATCAGTTTTAAGGAAATGTTAATTTTACCTATGTCGATAACAATTGATAGTGTTTTATTTATAAACATCTCCCATATAAACTTCATGGGAAACTGCATGTTCACTGTAAGTTGTACAATGCTAGATGTAAGAGCGAGAGTTATGTATAATTTACTAATGTTCGTATGTATTCGGTGAAGTGAATGTAAACGGAAGACGCAAATACAACAAGCCGCCTCGCACTTGTGGCCGCACTGGTTTACATTTGGTCCATGGGGCATGTACTCCTAAGCTCCCCAAATAGTTAGGGACAAATTTTAATTCTCGTAACCCATTACTTTCATAACATACTTCTTAACTTATAATTTCAAGCGAGTTTTGCTCGAGTAAAGCTTTCGCTGTTGTAAATTTGTGAGACTGCATAACGCGAACGATACTAATATTAATTATAATTTTAACATCTCAAGTTTTTAAGATTTCTCTCATACACAGACATTCGTGTTTTCAAATCCCGTTTAGATCTATATATAGGCTTGGACTCGATGTAAAGCAGTGGAAAACGCTACACGAACGATAGACAAAGGATATTATTATATTCAAGTTGTTGTACTTGTGTTCTTTTACAGATGTGGGGGTTGAAACCATTATACAAATGTCGTGAAAATGTCTTGAGGTAATTAACTCTCTACTGGTGATGTAGTTAATATGGTTTGTCTTGTGCTGTAGGTGACCGGTTTTAACCGGTTCAGTTCATTTTCCTATTAACACAGTAGTTTTGTGCTTGGGATTTGGGTCTTGTAGCGCACTGTTCGGTGTTGGAGTTTCTCTTTACTATTTTCTTATACTTTTTTACTACAATGGTATTTTTTAAGACCAGCATGCTTTTAACTCGGGTCATTGTTTTCTTGTGTTATTATATTAGCCAACAGAGGAGCCGGTGAGTGTTTTATAACCTAATTTATATGTTTTCGTTACAATTTTAGAATAATTAGTAGATTTAGAATTGGTCTTATTTAATTTTATCTTTCATTTCGCATGTTAAATGTAATATAGTATTAGATAAAGATGTAAAATATAAAAGCGAGTACATTGTAGTAAATATGCAACTTTCCTAGTTCCGCTAGATGATTATTTGCGTACGAAGTGATGATTTTATGTATATGCCCGTCAATTACGTCACACGTTAGAAGGGGCAGAGCGAGTGATTGTGACGTCAATACCGCTTGTAAAAATTTTGTTTGTTTGTTTATTGTCATATAGGGGTTAAGAAATTAGATTCATGTGACGTAATTAAGGGATGGTCTGTTTGATAAGAGCTTTAAGTAGGAAAAATAACGAACTCAGTCTTACCATAACTAACTTAAAAGCAATGTTGTCGTAGGTCAGTCGCTCGTCGCCTTACGACCGGGGAGGGCGTCGAACCCGAGTCCTTCGATGCTGTAACGATATACTTCAGCGATATCGTCGGCTTCACGGCGATGTCAGCGGAGAGCACTCCGCTTCAAGTCGTCAATTTCCTAAACGATTTGTACACAGTGTTTGATAGGATTATTAGAGGCTACGATGTCTACAAAGTCGAAACGATCGGAGATGCTTATATGGTGGTAAGTATATGTGTCCACAAAGCAAACAAGTATATAAATATACAAATTATTACAAATTATTATATTTTGCTGCTAATTATAGACAGCTTGCGATTGTTTTTTCTGACGGGAGTTCAATATTATTCTGTTTTATAGTTTTATTATTTATTTTCATTAAAAATCAACTCAAGTTCTCGGTACTACTAGGAAATAAATGTCTAAATGCTAAAAGCAAGAATTTTTGTTATGAGTCTTTTTTTTGATGGTATGAAAACCCTTTATAGAGATGTCGATTTTTTGCTAATATACACAAATAATTAAAAAATATAATTTGTCTCACTTTAGGTATCCGGCCTCCCGATAAGGAATGACGATAGACATGTTGGAGAAATTGCGTCTATGGCATTAGAATTGCTGAACGCTGTTAAGAGTCACAAAATAACGCATCGGCCGAACGAAATACTTAAATTGCGGATTGGAATACACACTGGTAAGAATTCGTGGCAAACATACGTAAGTCCATCGACGCCTAGTTGCGACCAAGCTTGCTTGTTTAGTACTCTTCTCAAATAATGCGCGGAAATTAAAATAAACTAGTACAGTTACATACTATGCTAATTACGAAGCTGACAAACAACTAATAACAATTGTTTTTTTTTACTAAACAGCGTTTGTGGCAGCCAGTTCAAAATTTACATTTAAACCTTTGATGAGTTAACTCTTTGGTTGAATTAAATTCGTCATGTTGCCAAGATCGTTCCATTTTTAATGGCACGGCAAATATGATTTTGTACAATAAATAATTTATAAACACGATAGATTTGGATTTTCATGCAACTATTCCCGGCCACTGCTCGACCAGAACAGCAACTTCGATTTATCTCTAAAAAGGTTTAAATAAAACACTTTAACGGTTTAAAACGCGATATATTAGTTAAACTTATTTGAAAATGACTATTAATAACTAATATATCGCGTTTTAAACCGTTAATGTGTTTTATTTAAATGTGTACTACTCGCGTAAACTATAGACAGTACCTAAAAAGGTTGTCAAACTTATAAGCATGTTTGAGAAAATCAATTTTTTTTTTAAAAGACATGCTTTATTGTTTACTTATGTTCTTTCCGCCCTTTACAGGCTAAGTCGTAGTTAAGTTATGTTTCAATGTTGGATTTTCTCTTCACGTAAGTCAATTATGCTCTGTTGGATTGAAACGCGACTTCATTTAACTGAATTATTTTTTTAGGTATAGAAGAATGTGATAATATTTAATTCCTCATAACTGTACATTTTTTTCAGGTGCGGTCGTAGCGGGTGTGGTTGGTTTAACGATGCCTCGATATTGCCTCTTCGGAGACACAGTGAACACTGCTTCGCGTATGGAATCGAATGGGGAGCCATTGCGTATACATATCTCGCCATCTTGTAAGCAGGCGTTAGACAAAATCGGAGGATACATCGTCGAACCGCGCGGGTCTATCCCTATCAAGGGAAAAGGAGTGGTTAGTTTATTTTGTTAAAGTGTGCCTGTAGTTTACTCGGGTAAACGCCTTTGACGGTTTCGAACGCGAAATAAATAAGTTAATTTATTTTAAATATGACCCAACGTTGCGGATGCTTTGCAACCGCCGTGGTCACTGATTGAATATGAATGGTGTCCCTAATGTCAAAGTCATATGTGATACGCCAGCGCCATCTAGTTCTTCGTAATTGGGATTTAGAGAAACTAGCGGGCTCATTACAGAATTTATTCACGGTGTCCTATCATTTATTGGTGTGCCCTTTATGAAGATAACACACAAATAAGTTAAGTAGTACATTTCGTGTTTTAAACCGTTAAAAGTGTTTTATTTGTCTTATAATTATATAATTTGTCTTTTAGACATTTCGATCTGAATCGTGGAACTTGATCTTAGAAACTCCAAAATAAAAAAATTACAAATTCTTGTTATTTACAAGAATGACACAATCCAAAATGCCTGAAAAAAAAGGATTATTAATTATTTTTTGTAATACCCTTTCTGATGCTTATTGGGAATTCTTTCATCCACTACACTATTAAAATGATTTTACAATCATTTATTATGACTGTTAGCGTACAATTGTTATAAAGTTATCTACGATAACAACTTACTATATTTTTTCAGTTACAAACATATTGGCTAGTTGGAGCGACAGAGAAAGCGATACAAAAGCGCCCAGTAGAAGGAGAAGAGCGACCCCTGTTTTGTCGACCGCGCCGCAGCCCACGACTCACCGATTCCAGACATCCATCTATATCAGGTTATTATTTATTTAAATTAACATTTTATTGTATCGCATTGCATTTGACTTGTTGATCTTTCGTTTTGTGTGAAAATTTCCTGCCAGTTTGAGTGGTTTTCCATGAAATTTATTGTTTCTCTAGTTTTGAAGACAGAGTTATTTATATTAATTAATTTTAATTATCATTGTTGACATAGAGAGCCTTAGTATTACGTAGGCATTCAAAATACGTAAGCAAACCAAGACCTGCGCCCCCCCCCCATCCCTCTATGGTGATTACATATGTTTGAACGGGCTATCTTTTTTCAATAGAAACAATTGACGATAAAACAATATAACAAAAAAGCTATGGAGTCTTACAGTTGCTTCTTTTTGATTGGATATTTTAGTAAAATTTGCTCCTATTAACTTTTGTTACGCTTAATTTAGGAAACAGCCAAGTTCATCTAGCTGCATGATATATCAATCTGAAACACTTTTCTTATCAAATATAATCGTTTAGTAACTTGCCTCACGTCTCGGTTTCAAGCATAAATACTTGTGAGTACATGTGCAATAACTAATAGCTTGGTGTTGTGTGGTGTGACAGAATTGAGAAGTGAATCGCGAGGCATTCGTCAGCGGCTACATAGCGGTGCCTCGCTGCCTTCACAACCCGCCCAGATCGCCAGATCACGCGTCGACAAAGACTCTGCGCACAGACACAGGTATTCTTCTAGTTTATGAAACAGACCTAATTTCATAAAGTAGTAGGAATGTGAACTTATTGTTCAGCTACAGGAAATATAATAAAAATCATTATTATATATTTATGTTATTTCATAAAACATATTAAACATTATTAACGGTTCAAAACACAATTCAGAGCGATCCGTGCTGTTGCTCTAACAAATTGACCTACCGTTTATATTAATACTATCATGTGAAAAGAGTTAAAAGTTTTCAAACGAAATGTATTAGTTAGTTAACTCATTTCTAATATATATTTGATTTCTAAACCGTTCAAACTGTACTACAAGCGTAGACTAAAGACTATATTTAATAAACAAGTCTTTTACTTCGTTTTCAGAAATGCCCTGAGTTCGATTGCATCCTCGACTGCCTGTGACGCGGAAATGAGTTGCGGTGACTGTAAAAGCGCAATACGGACTGCTTGCTCCTTGGACACCCTGGCGCGGAGAGACCCTCGGCCCGACCGCCTTCGCAGACACCACACCACGCGCTCCCTGGACGCCGACGTCGCCATAGCAACCATCTGCGGGGGACCGCTCTTTAACGGCAACGTGTTGACCGATGAACCGCCACGAACCGGGGAAGACAGCCCGCTGCTCCGTAAGGCCAGTCTTACGAACCGATTGGAACGACCCCGGCGCAAGGTACCAGAATCCGACTATATCGAGTTCTACAAGAAGTGGCGATCTTTAGAGAACGTAGCTGATGTGAAAGGGGAGCGGGGTAAGATGCCCCGTTTCGCGATTCGTTCGTGGCTGCTCGGTATATTCAGTGGCGGCACACGCAGCAGCAATTCGTCGCTCCGCCGCGCTCCGCCTCTACTGGACCGCGAGTCCGCCGTCTGATTCACGATTCTAATATGCCTTAACAGTCCCCACTGCTGGGCTAAGGGAATACGCCTCCTACGCTGGCCAAATGCGTGTGGGCTGATGTCGAATTTTTGGTTCTTGGGCACGCCGGTTTCCCGACGATTTTCCTTTATCAGAGTTCGGATCCGGATCCTATGTTATACGCTCCTATACTTGTATATTAGAGAAATATGTATATGCTGTTGTAAATAATATGTGTAAGTAAAACGATGTTACCGTGAATTGTGAAATAAGAGTTTAATGTTATTAAATAATTTCTATTGAACATAGGTCTTTTAATAATACTGACAGAACTATTCTATATGTTGTATTAATTACATCAAAAAATGTGGCAATAGCTGGTATTATGGGAATGTGTTGCTGTAAACATTCTTATCTGATATTCCAGCAAGGTATTTATGGTAAGTGAACGCGGTATGTGGTTGAAACAACCCACCCAACGTGAAATTTGAAATCCACAAATGAGTGTCATTTTGACTTATGTAACTCAGAGGCAAGAATAGCTTAGTTGATATTACTGAAATTTCACCCTAAACTTACTGCATTTGATACTTATATAATCCATGGGAGTAAGTTTAACAATATTAATAAGATTCCAACGTTATTGTAAACTGTGTATATACTAAAACTTAAATTCTGGACGTGCTGTAATAATACTACTCTTCATTCATTTCGGCTTACAACTAACATTGTTACTTAAAATTATAAAATCTAGCATTAAGTACTTGAATTAAAAAGGGATTTAGTAAGTGGTATAGGAAATATACTTAAAGAAAGATTCTTCTTTACTTCTTTCGCCTAATTATAATTAAATTTCTGTAGGATACTAATACAGAAGATCTATGTGATAAATCAAGCAGAGAGTTTCTTGAGTGATACCAAAAAATAGATGTCGTTAGAACCATCGTTAGACCAAAAAAGACGTTATTTTTTGGTTAACGAAACATTGGTTGTACTTCGCAAACTTCATCTATAGAAAAAATAATTACACTACTAGTTACTAAGAAATTGTCAACAGGTTATTTTTGATTTAATCCGTCTGTAAGAAAATGCAGAGAAAAAATAGGAGACAGGTTTTTCACTTTTTAAAGACTTATTGTTTTCTATGAGGTAGAAGTGCTATCGTATTTTAGTATAATTTTCTGCATAAAACGTACTTAAGGTATAATTTTAAATCACAATACAATACGAAGTATTTTTCCTTTTTATAATCATTTGGAAATGCTATATAATGTCATAATCGGGAGCCATAGAGAGCTTCAATGTTAGTTTTATCACGAATCGAGATGCCAAAGGCTTTCAGACCATAAATTAGTATGCTTACAAATTCACTAAGTACCTTTAGTTAGTTAATAAGACTATTAAGCATCAGCCAGCAGGGGTTCTGCTGCTGGATCCACTACACCATTGACAATTAGTCGAATATCACATTCCGGCACATGCTCTATAATAGGACAAGATACACTTGTGTACTCTTGACGTAAACTTGGTGGCTCCAAGTGTTCTACGCGTGGTGTTGGAGTCACTCGGTTCTCACCGATGACCTGTAACAAATGAGACATGTTTGAAAACTAATATATAAAGATGCCATTATGTGAAAACGCTGTAGTTGACAGTTCAAGTCCTGCCCGTGTCGAAATTTTTGTCAATCTAAAATCGATTTTTAAATAAGACCTATTATATGATGAAATGCAGTGATAATATGGTTCAACTTTGGTCAGTATGTGTAGTCGCCAACTACAGGTCTAAAAATCACATCGATCTGAAAACGGACAAATAAGTATTTGCTCTTTTTTCCGTGAAATTATGAACGTAGAACAAACTGTAGCTTAAACCTTCCCAAAGATAAGACAATTTGGCTATATTTACATAAATAATGTTATATATAGCTTTTTACTCACTTCCATTAAATATTCGTCACTTCTATGGTGCAGGACACTATCATTGTGCGATTCTAAATGATTGCCTGAAGCGAACCTTAGTTTCTTTGGAGATTCTAAACTGCAACATCTAAAAGCACATTTCATGTGATCAAAACAAACATTAACTAGACATTTGAGATCAATGTGGAATCCACTACAAAGTGTATGCATTGTGGTCTATAATAATATTAAGGTATTTTTTATTCAAAAGACGCTCTACAGATAGTCAGCATAATTGAGGTAGATAGAAGGTAAATTTTCGTTACCTGTGCAAACCGCCCACTTGATTCTTCCAACCACGCGTCTTAAGTGAACTCCTATTTTTCTTATTCGTAGATATCGGGGTGACTTCCTTGTGTATAGCGCGGCGCCTAGCTCGACTGGCTGCAGCGGCCGGTTCCTCACCCCTAACCCAATACGTCACTTGATCGCGTTTCCCCTTCATAGATACAATCCCCCTCTCTTCTAAAATGTAGCCTCCCAATTGGTCTAACAACGCCTTACACGCGGCACTGCAATGGATTTTCAGCGCTGGAAGAAGAATAGAGTTGTTTAGTTACATGTAGAAAAATATATATATTGTGTATAATTGCGATCATTGGAAAGAAAATACGGCGTACTCTATAACCAAAATAGGTTAACAGGGCATCTTGGTTACATGTTATGCATCTAATATGTTTGTCTGTCCTCCTCTGTCATAAAAAACTATGAAGTCCATTCATATAGCCCAAAAGGTCAATCAGAACTACTTACGGACACCTGTAGATTCAAATCGACTAGCAGTATTAACGGTGTCTCCGAAGAGGCAATATCTTGGCATTTTCAATCCCACAACACCCGCACAGACTGGACCTAAAATAATGATACAGCTTTAAGACATTGCTCTATTTAATTATTATGTAATTTAGAATTAAGAACTTAAAGAATTGCTTTAAGAGGGATACGAATGTGTTATTTATCAATTCAGAAATTACCTGAATGTATGCCAATCCTAAGCAACAGCCTTTGATCAGGCCTATGGCGGACACGAAAGGCTCTCGTGGCTCCGAGCAGGGCAAGGGCCATTGACGCTATTTCTCCCGCATGTAGGATACCATTGCGGATCGGGAGACCAGATACCTGACAGTCAATTATTCATACAGAGAACTTTGTTTCAGTCATACAAAAAAGGAACATAAAGAAAAGCTGATCTATATCATCGGTTAGATCATATAATGCATTACTACTAAGAAAGAGGATAGCACTGCGCAGACGCAGGTCCAAGCTACGACAAGCTGCACCAAGATAATCATCGCACGTCGCTTTGTACCTTTATATTACTTCACATAAGCATTTTAAATGAATATAAAATATTTGAGGATTCTAACCCCGCCCATATATTATATATTTTTAAATCTAAATGGTATATTTATATGTATAGATATTTAAAAACTCATTTCGAAACATAACTATTAGTTTATTACTGAAACTTACCACCATGTAAGCATCGCCAATAGTTTCTACTTTGTAAACGTCAAAATTTTCTAAAATAGAGTCGAAGCAAGTATATAGATCATTGAGGAAGTCTACGACCTGAAAAAAATTAATTCTTTATTAACAAGCTCTCGTTGCGTAGAATTGTGTCCAAGGAGTACTGGTGTTTGAATCCCTAGGAAAAATAAAGAGTTGAGACTTACTTAGCTGCAGTCGAAACCTATCAATCAAATGGACATGCAAATATGTCTCTACTATTTCCGATATTGGTTAAATTAAACTTTTCTAATACAATGCAATAGCAAGTGTTAAGTTTAAAATTACATTGCGCGAAATGTGCATGTATCAATAGGCTAAAAAATATTAACGATGACGTGTAGGACACGGTAGCTCAATTATTTAGAGCAACAGTACGGGACGCTGTAGATGCCAGCTCCTGGTTGTGTCGTAAATTTTCAAATGTATAATCGATTTTTAATTTTCTATTGTAAGTAATATTCAAAAATTCTAATCTCATGTAACTGTATTACCTGAAGCGGAGTGCTCTCAGCAGACATGGCTGTGAAACCGACAATATCACTAAAGTAAATGGTAACAGAATCGTAGTTTTCTGGCAAGACCCGTCTCCCGCGCTTGAGTTGTTCCGCTACAGGCGCTGGTAACATTTCTTCTAAAAGTGCCTCTGTGGGTCGAAACATGGACGTTAGAAGGATAAAATGTTAATTTTTTTTTCATCGTTTCATTACATAATTAAATATATATATATTGAATAATATAAACGTATTCTTTATGTTGATTTTATTCGATGTTCTCATAGAGACACAATTGAGGCCGCTAGAGGCAGAGTAGCCTAACTGTAACTTTATATCTCGAATTATTTATATTTTTATCATTTCAGAGCACATTTTCGTTTAAGTAATTGTGCATTTTTATTTTTCTCCCTATTGAAAATCATGTTTTTCGTCAAGCCACCTCTACCTTTAGCAGCCTCAATTAATTTTGGTCAAGCTAGTTGGTCATTAGAATTTCTAGCGCTCCACAGTACGAGTAGGTCAGTAGACCAATACCTATAAAATAAAATCTGGTTTCCATAGTGACCGAAAGTTGATCCGTCCTAGGCACTATTTATGCAAATGTGGTCGATTGCGTAGTGAATTTTCTGTTGATGCTATTTTAGTTACCTAAGTATAAAAATAGGTAAATTCATTTTAATAGCTTGTTGGTCAACATGTTGGTATACATTTTTGGACTTCATCTACAAATTTGGATATTAAAAGGGTGGTAGGAATATCACATTCCATCTGAACAACGAATTACCGTCCACAGATTAAAAGCCGTAACGTTTCCTCGCATTTCGGTTTTAATCTGTGGATTTTCAGTCGTACTCAAATAGGTAGACAGCCTATGTTATTCAGATGATATATAGCTTTTGATTAGTCATATAGGGCTAAGGCGACTAAAGTTATTGTATTAATTATATCGATAATGATAACATGTACACTTATTCTTTTCATAGATTAGAAATTTTTTTTTGTAGTTACCGGTTTTCTTTTTCTCTTCCTGCAGTTGATCTGTTCTTTCGTCGACCAGGGCTTCTAAATTATTGGCGTATTTTTCCATCATAGCAATCATATTATCGAATATATTAGGCTTCCTGGAATATATAACGTATTAATTAGAAATCTTCATATATTTTTGTTAGCAATAATGATATGAAATTCATTAGTTTTCAAAATCCCATATTAAAAATAGCACTTTTTACGATTAAAACAAGTTTAAATTCGGTGTCTTCCCGCTAAGGCCTCTAAAACGGACCATCTTAGGCTTATTAACTTAGCATTATCATTACGAGTGTTCTATATGTGAACTTTATATGAGTTTGTACTACGTAAGTATGGTTTTCAATATTACAGTTAGCCCATACTTACATTCCCTTCCTCAGTGGTCGTAACTTAGTTCGTATTGACTTGAAGTCTGGTCGAGCGCTGGTTTCCTCAACCCAACATTCTGCACAACACTCCCGTACACAGTCAAATCTGTCTGCCAATGCTTCTAATGGCGGTCTGGCGAAAAATAATTCTTCTTTAAAGCATTTTGTATTATATTTCCAGTAACTCTTCAAAAACTAACATTTATTTCACAGCAATAAAGCAACCATTTGGATCAACAGTAATTATAACACAATATGTGTATAACTGTCTGTCTGTCGTTCGAGTGTTTACTTGTTTTATACTATAACATATTACCCGATTTCTTAGATAAATATACTTGGTCCGTAAATGTGTCGATATCTGTAGTATGATTTATTTTAAAAAGCGGATGTAACTTTATCAAAGGTATAGTAAGTAGCACCTTTTTAACAAATTTGACGGATTAAAATATGATCCGTTAAAATTAATAACGACGAATCATATTTATTAATAGCCCCTATTAATCCGTTAAAAAATATTTTTATGTGATCGCGTGGTTTCGTTGAACCTTGTTTTGTGATGTTCTGTGGGACACATACCTACCTGTATGGCGCAGGGTATGGATGCGCTAAACGACGAAGCAGTGAAGGAGGCGACGGGGCCCCAGGACCGAAAGGGCCCCGGCGCGTATGTAGTTCGTAGAGGAGCAACGCGAATGAGTAAACGTCCGCAGGTGGCGAACCGCAGCGCACTTCGAGTGATGTTGGAAAAGAATCCTTCCCCCATCCAGCTGACCTTAGTAGCTCTGGCGATAGATAGACTAGGCCTATCAACAAAAAAGAAAAGTAAAGTTTTTATTAAAATAGGCAACTTACTGTAATATAAGATTGAATTTGTTTAATTAAAATTGTAAGTCTAATTGTAATTGTGAGTCTAGTTTAAACTTTTAATGCCTAAAGAGAAACGCTTCCCCCTTCCCCCCTCTAAGGAAGGAGGATTAAAGACTCATGACGCTGTTTCAATTCAAACTTTAAGGACTATCATAACAAAATTATTGATGACTACCCACACCAAAGAACCTATGACATTCTCTTGCGATTGTAATAATTCTGTGATAATTTTACAAATATTATGCAAAGTGTATTCCTAATACTAAACTACTTAGTTCTTTTATTACTTTTAGTACTGTTCGTTAAACTTTTTAAGTCAGCATAAAAATGTAAAAAAAAATCGAAATATTCAATGTCGTTCGCGCCCACTCCCCTCTTCGTCGAATTAGATACTCGATGCGCGGCGTGGCGGCCACCGCCGGCATGCATTTTTATTTTAACTTCGTGATATCTTTTGAATGGAATGTCCGATTTCAATAATTAAAAAAGTAATCTCAGGTTTGAGACAGTCTTGAATATTAAATTATTTATTCGGATAAAAATTTATAAATGGTACGGATAACACGATCTGATTTTGATCGGCATTTCTATCAATTTGTTAAATGTAAAAATGTAGTTATAGCGACGTCACTACAATAGTTAGACATATGCTCTCGCGATGTTTTTTGTAGATATTAATATATTCTATAATATTGTCGAACATTTTTTTGTACTTAATATTGTTACTCAGTGATAATGTAGCTTTCTAATGAAAAAATAATTATTGAAATCGGTAAAGTACTTTTTGAGTTTACCCGTTACATACAAAAAAACAAAAATATAAATCTTTCCTCTTTATAATATTAGTATAGATGACTACGACTAACGACTTAACGTATTCTTCGAGGCGATGTGTAAAAAGATATAATTACGGCATCGGTAGTACACATTTAAAAAAACACTTTAACGGTTTAAACAGCAGCGATATATTAGTTAAACAAATAAATCTGCAATTACATAAATTATTACTTCTTCATGTCTTTTCTTTCGACTTTATTCTTTCTTCGCGTTTGAAATTCATAAATTTGCCTATCGTGCTGTAAAAGTTATATGCAAAATTCTATTGAAGCTAATACAGCAACAAAATCGAAGCTAAGAATAGTCAATAAATAAACCAAGTTCATCACAATTCAGTGAGATCGCTATAATAGATTACGGAAGAAGTAAACAATGAATACCGAATGAGATATGGTACGAAAATAAGGTTTTTTTATTAGAGATGTGCCAAATGTCAAACCGAAAACAAATTATTTCAATTTCTCAATTTATACAATGTGAGTTGGTGATTTCTGATGTCAGACATTAATCAAGACACATCTTCATTTTAGAGGTTTGTTTGTTAATAAAGAAACAGATAATTGTTTGAAATTGTTAAGCTACATTACTCATTAATGTTTGTTCGAAGAATATTAAGTTTTGTTTATTTTTATATTTCATTGTCCATTTATTTAAGCAGGCCATTAGTGCGCAGTACTACGGAACGTAAAATTAAAAAAAAACACAGTACTGGTAACTTCAGTTGTGGTAATAAAAGTTCGGTTTGAAATACGGTTAAATCAAACCGAATTTCGGCTCATCGCAATCTCCGATTGATGTAGGTCGCATTTTGTAACGTATTGATGGAACGGAATTTTATAGTCGAATTTTATATCTCCCGCATTATGCTTTAATATTAAGATACGTAAAAGTGGCTTCATAAAACAGCAATATATTCAGATTTATTATATTATTTTATGTATTCGTTGCGGTAAGTAAACTTTGGCATAAAATTTAAGCAATAAACGGCATTGTGTTACTAATCTAACATATCAACATTATTAATAAATAAATATAACTTAAAAAAAGATTTCAAAAATGCATGACACTAAAAGTGTGTGAGAGCTCGTTTTCCCTTCTTGGGGCATGGGGCGAACACATTTCTATTATATTTTTATATATTCCGTTTCACAGATCCGTTCTTTTCAACGGGCAAGTAGTTGATCAGACTTTGTGCCCTGCCCGACCGAAACAATTTTATGTTTCCATGGAATTTGAACCAAGGACCTCTGCGTCGCAATGGTAGGCAAACGTTTAACCATTTGGCTACAGAGGCGGTCAATGGCACTAGCCCAAGCCCAATATTCACGACCATCGTACAATATTCTTCATAAATTGAACTGCACTGTTTGCATTGTGTTCATCAAATGATGCGTGAGTTCGAGTCCTGTGTCATAATTTTTTCAATAAAAAATATTGCTAAGATACAAAGATCAACTTACATTCAATATGAGACCGGAGAGCAGTTGGATCGGAAGGCGGCAGTTCTCCACGACGAAACTCTCTTAGCCCGAAATCTGCCAGTTTTACAACCCATCTAGCGTCCACCAAGCAATTGGATGGTCGCAACGCACCATGGTATTGCAAAGGTGACTCGTGGATGAATATCATTCCCTAAGTAGATATATTGTCATTATAAATATGTTAAACAGTAAAAAAATTGGGATTGTCTCTTATTGGAGTGTATACATGACTGTAACAAATGTAATTTTGTATTAATTTAAAAATATGTTGTTATTATATAGGAAATTAGATGACATAAATAAAATGAAACAAACGTGGACATGGGGCGAAGACCGTGTCCGTTTCTCTGATTGATATTTGCAGAACATTAATTGTGTCGTTGCTGTAAGTAAAAAACTTTATATTGACGCAAGTAAAAACTTTGGTTCCTCAATTCGTTAGACAAAAACCCTACTAAATTCGACCTAAATTGTAAATTAACGGATAATAAAATACTAAACTCCGTCTATTGTAATCTAAAACGCAATAATAACATACCCGAATAATATCTCCGACGAGCGACGCAATGAACATATTGTCCAGTTTGATGTCTTCATTTTCCAGAATGTCCTGGGAAAAGTTTATTATTATTATCGTTATCTATATTTTTGGAAAATGCTTTTTATCATTTTATTAAAAAAAGGCTTAGCTCACAGTTGTACAATAATATAGAATATCAACGATTCTCGAAAAGGTAGGAATTTTAGTCATTTACACATCGAGACGTTGAAGAATTTGAAGCTACAAGCGAGTACAGATATATTAACATATAATTAATATGTTTTATTAAAGTAATTCACTATTCTATTATAATTATCTGTATTCCTATATTTATTTTGATGGACTCGTGACGCTGTGGTAGCGATGTATGGCTAATGATAGAGTCATGAAGTTTGATTCCCACCAGATCTAGCTCAATCTTTTTCAGATTATTTTATGGATATTGTATAAATTTTAAATGGTTTAATATAGCGTGAACAATCCGTCACCACTTCATAGATAAGTTGGAACATAAGTCCCATTTCGGTCCCAATCTATAGATTTCAGAATGTCGAAGCTAAAATATGCTGAGAGATCATCTTCCAGTTATTTCCCGGGGCATAACCGTCCTCCAAGTGAATCCCAGGCTTATATTTTCTGTCATAAAACTATTAATGAGCACTTACTTTAAGACTACCTCTAGTGCAGTATTCAGAGAGCGCGCATACATTAGGCGGCTCAATACAGGCGCCTACGAAACCGTTTACATTGTCGTGTTGCAAATCTCGCATCTGTGACAAAGAGAAATTAATGATACCTCAAAGGAGGCGTGGGAGGACAATGTATTGAAGACGTTTTAAGTGTTTCGATGATATTAAGCGTCGCATACACTTTTAGCTGGCATAACCTAGTTATTATAACAAATTTAAAACAAATTTGTGAGTGATATTTGTTGGAATAGATTCAACTTTTCAAAAAAGAATTAGCAAATTTAGTAAAAAAAAAATTTTTTATCTTAAGTTAATTTTTTCCTTTATTTCTGTATTTTAACCCGTTATAGCGATGTAAATTGAGGCCCTAGCCTCGTTTATTCTTTAAGTTTTATTGTTAATTAAGCGCTATGTAAGGCCGTTTGGTTGTAAGTTTAAATAATAATAAAAAATAAAAAAAAAAAGATATAAATTGTTTAGTTTCAACGGTTTCAAATGCGAAATATACCGGTTAATTTATTTTAAACCAGACCCTTATCAGATCTTACGAAACAACTATCACGTGGATACATTTTTATTGATCTTGTTTTTTTTTAATGTTTACCATTTGAATTATTTATACCAATATTATAAAGCCGAAGAGTTTGTTTGTTTGAATGCGCTAATCTCATGAACTACCGATTACGGTTTTATACTTTAAAACATCACGATGCGACCAATAGAAATGAAGAAACAGTGGAAAATATGAAAAAAACGGGGAAAATTATTCATCTATAGAGATGAACCCACAAGGGTTTCCATTGCGTGCGCTGCGTGAACGGTTTAAGAAAACAAAATTAAGCATAATGGAATGATTAAATGATTTTTTTAAAATCCCGACATTATATGCCTATTTTTTAAGATTTACAAGCAAAATCGATAAGACGCGGACGACAGCCATAATGTTTCAAGCTAAGGAGATTGTTTGCAAAAATAATTAATATTATACAAAAAATAACTTCTCCACGCGGACGAAGTTGCGGACATAGCTAGTTAAAAATGAAGTCAACGTTAATTCGACAGTATTCTGTGAATTATTCAATCATTATAACAACAATAATAATTATAAGCTTAAAGGTGTTTTAAAAATTTAAAATTATAAATATTTACATAAGTTGAAGCATGTCTCAGTAAATTCGTTTTATTTACTACCGATTATAGTTTTTAAAGAGTGAGATGAATAGTATAGATATTAGTACTATGTTGTAATATATATATATATGTATATCTATGTAAATACAAAAGTAAATGAAACATATTATCCTCTTGTTTCTTAGAGACTTAAATAAAAACAATCGTGATTAACCGTTTAGCCATCTATTACAGTGTTCATAGTTAATGCTGCCATCTATTTTGCGCTGCCTAAACATAGGAGAGGTAATAAATTATTTCGTTGTACTCTACCTTACTCGTGTGTAAAACTCATGCCAAATAGGAATGATTCATGCTCAAGAATTAGTTTGTCACGAGGAAACATTGTATTTTTTTTATTTTGCCACGTTAGAGGTATAAGTATGCTTAGTTTAATATAGGATGCTACGTCTATTGACGCGCCTAAATCTATGAATGAAACCAATATATCTTGTTTATCATAATGAAGACAAAATTTTTGTGTGTTGTGTTATTTTATATTTCATCTATACTCTTAAACTTTACCAAAGTAAGAACTGCCAAATGTTCCTTCTTAGTCTATGACGACGAAAATAATTACTTTTTGAAATATTTCGTATATAAATTATCGATTTTAACTGTTGTTACATATATCAGGCATTTACAAATACTTTTTTACTTTCCAACTTGTCATCGTATTTTGGGCAAAGTGTACTGTATAAATAAGCCATTCATGCTTGGTTGTGAATCTAAGTGATTAGCTTTTGTCTCATGTGTTATCTTTACATTGAGACGAGCAGGGCGTCCCTAAAGATAGAGTTCACTGGTGTAATTAACGGTCTATACTCTATATCCTTCAATGTAGGCGAGTGAGCTTTCACACATTTATTAACTCGAAGAAAAATATTGGTCTATTATTACTACTACTTTATCTACCGTTTTCTCTTAAAACTAACGAAAACAGCTCCATAAATAAATGCTTCGTCGCTTTAAATTTATATTGCATTGAACGAAGTGATGATACGAGTGGAAATCGACCCAACTGTTACAGCGTTCCGTGCTGTTGTTATACCAATTGGGTTGTGATGTCCCAAGCGGCGAGTTTCTTGCCAGTTCTTCTCGCTCCTTGATTTGAGAACTGGTAGTAAATTTAAATTTAGAATCTTTAGTTTTTAACTGATAACGCGTTTAATAAAAAAATAAATGATTCAATAATAAATATTCGATTCTAACAGATTACATATTTGAATTATCAAAGTTTGGTATAAAGCATTCTTTTTGTGATAACCGATTCAAATTGTCACCAGCAATCCTGTTTGTAAAAGCAAGTGCTCTGAGAACAAATCATATGTCAGTATGGCCGTAACAGATTAATTGAATAATTTTGTATATATATATATATAATTAAACTTGGTATAAATCTATATTTTTGCGATAACCGATTCAAATTATTACCAACAATTCTGTTTGTAAGAATAAGTGCTTTAAGAACAAATCACATGTCAGTATGGCCGTAACAGATTATTTGATTTATTTTGTATATATATAATTAAACTTAGTATAAATCATAGTTTTTGTGATGTATAAATGTGGGTAGTTTACAAAATGTTTAAAAAGTAATGTTCGTGATATTCGATGACGTCCATCTAACACTTGCGTTGTTTTTCGATTGTTATAAAAGGAAATGTCGATCAGTTGCTTTTGAGAAATCGTACGGCGTACATTGATTAGAACGTTGGTGACACCAGAGTAGTCTTTGACTTAACGTATTTTGATACGGTGAACGTTGGTTGGACCAGAAACATCTCTTGTTTAACGTATTTTATTGTTTGGAACGTTGGAGGGTCCAGAATATCCTTAAAATCTTATAAAGTTCAATATCTATAATGACTATATCTAAAGTCTAGTATATTATATTTACCCATACTATAATGCATATTATATGAATAAAATCCTAACAGGTTCATAAGTGTACCTAACTAGGTACACTAGGTACCTAACTACCGTTTAGGTAACCTACGTGATTGAATAATTTTAAACGACATGTGAAGTTTATCGATCTGTTCTGCCGGACTTTCTTCAAGTTGTTATCGACGTTCTTCACAAGTTGTCGATGCTTCACCATTCATTCGGTGTGGTGAACACAGACGCCAGCAAAGACCGAAGCACGTCTATATTATGAAAGACGGTAGTTTGACCTTCTACTTACAATTTTTAATTCCTTTTTTATCTCTCTGTTAATGTCGATATGATGGCGTCTCACTCGTTTGACAGCAAGCAAGCGGCCCCTGTAGAACGCCACTTGTGTGAAGATGGCGGAATAACGGAAATCCAGGTCCGGGTTAGAACTAAGGGAGACTTGACTGGAACGAGCCGCCCCCGTGCTACCCTTCTCACATATCGCGTTGCTTGAATTCGTGTTCAAGCCCGCACTGCTATCTTGCTGGAAAAAAGCGGCTCTGATCAACTGTTCTTTATAACCTAGAGTATGGAATAAGATTTATGTTGTATCTCATATATATTCTCTGTCGTTGTATGTCTATATATATTCTCAAAATAATGCTAACTTATACAATCCATCTAATTTAAAATGGTCAAAAGCAAAATAAATAAATATTAGTGCATACTTTACATATATTTTTAAGACTTTATAGAATAACATGCTGTTAATAAAATATGTACTAGATTTTAAAGAAATTTTTTACGGAAACACTTTTAACGGTTTCCAACTCGAAGTTATTTTAACTACGGCCCGACTTTCACTAAAACAGTCGGGCCGTAGTTAAAATAACTTGTAAATAATTTAAAAATCGAAAATAAATTGAAAAAATTTTCGACTCGGGCTGGACTTGAACCGGCATCGTCAGCGTTCCGTGCTGTTACTCTGACTCGGTAGCTCAAATGGAAGAGCAACAGTTGGCGATGCCGGTTCAATTTATTTTCGATTTTTAAATAATTAGTGCCTTCATGTGCAATAACATGTAAAAAAAAACTAATAAAGTTTTCAAACTTTTAAATAAGTAAACTAATATATATATATATATTGCGTTTTAAACCCTTAAAAATGTTTTATTTAAATGTGAACTACTAGCGTAAACTACAGACAGTATTTCAAACTGCTGTAGTTATATAAAGCATAAACAAACATAAAAATAAACGATGACTTATGTCTATTATAAACTATCTCAACGTACACAAACATGCAAACAACATATACAAATTGTGTTTACCTACTCAGTTTGTTGGCGCGCTGCTCGTCATCTGGCAAATGAAGATCTCTAAAATCGATCTTCCAAAGGAGAGAATCGAGTTCCTGTTCGTAACGCCATCCGCGGTACAGTGCTAGTGCAGCCAGAGCTAATAAAGCGAGGGTACCTCCAGAGGCTCCTAGGGCCCATGCACCGATGTGACCTAGGCAAATTTATTATTTAATACTAAGAAAAATAGAGGTGTCTGGATGTAATTGCTCGATAAGAATAAGGCCGACCGTGGTCATAGTCATGATTGTAATTAATATTTATTCTTTATTTGTATCATTGGTGGAATGTATTACAAAATGTCAGTCTTAAAAATTTGTATCCACCAAGAGAATTAATGTAAAAAAAAATTTATTTGAGTAAAATTTATTTAATCATTAACGTTTCCTAAAAAAAACCTACGCGAAAACTCCTTTTCAACGTAGACCAAAACATTACAGCGTTACCGTTATATATCTATCGATTTATCTTACTTATAGTACTTACATCTCTCAGAATAAGTATTCGTACAATTTTATCAATTCTTTTCAGCAAATATTGAACCATTACGGCGTGATCGAACATTGTGCGAGAGTGAAGGAAATATTATACCTCAAGCACTTAGGCATCGCTGTAAACGATTCGATTCAATTTGTATGTACGAAGCTCAGACGGGATCCGAAATGGAATCTACTAAAGTAACTACGAGGGTAAGTCGAAACTAAGGCTGTCGTTTTCTATAAGCGCAGCAGATCGCTTACACCGCTGTTTTATTTACACCATAGTGGAGTAAATAAAACAGCGGTGTAAGCGATCTAGTACTATCGACAAAAGTCCTTTACCACTTTGCGAAATCGTGTAGCAAGCTTAACTTCACCTCTGATTTGTCGCCAATCATAAAAGATTTGAAAAGACAACCATTATTAAAATTTGGTCACTTTTCGTATTTCCTAGTTCGATAACGCGTATCGATTTTAGCAACTTAACAACGAGCAATGTGTTTGCTACTGAATACTTTAATTATTTACATCTTATGGCTTAATCGAATGACATTTTGATCACAACAATAGTCGACAAACAATGATAGCGTCAAAATCATTTATATATATCGTTTATATTATTTGAAAAGGAGTGGCGGCGAGTTTCTTGCCAGTTCTTCTCGAACGTTCAACGCTCTTAATTTGGAAACTGAAATAACGTCCATAAATGTACTAGCTACCTCCATGAATAAATAACTTTTGATTAATTGTTCACTGATTGTTTATATTTCGCATATCATTAAGTACCCACATAAAAAAAAAAAAATATATATATATATATAAGACAATTAATCTTCCAAATTCGATTTGCCCTAACCTTACACATGCTAGTTTTGTGGAGGAGATGACATTACATTTCTGTAATATAGTTGTCTTACAGCATTTATAGGAGACCAAAGCCTAAAGTAAACTACAAGGGAAAGTCGAAACTTGAAACAATTAATTGAAAGAGCGAAAGCCGTGTTGAATTCAGACTTTATTTTCATTCGTCACCTAGGATTAAAATCATCGTTGTTGGTATTATTGGGATTAAAATTAAAATAACTATTGTAAATGTCACCATTTCAAAGCTTTTAATTAGGATCTTCACACATTATAAGATAATAAAAGTATTTTAAGTGACATTGTAGTTAGTTGTTGCGGGTTGGTAGCAATGTATAATCAATGCGTCCTGGGTTCGATCCCCACCGGCTTCAACTTCTCATTTTTCAATTTATATTTCTTTCTGACACCATCTGGGAATCTAAATTCAAAAGATAAAATGCGGCGAAATTTAATGGCGTTTTGGTTTCATTCTGGGGATTTCCGAGTATCCAAAGCCAAAAAAGGTCGATAGCACATCTTGTTTAGATGTTATAGCTGATGTATTTCACCTCCCATCAAGTCAACCCCTTGCTTGTCTGTCTCGTCTATCATTAAAAAAAAGTTATTAGTTATCTGTCTATCATTAAAAAAAAGTTATTCGTCACGCCTGTGTCATCAATTAAGCTTATTATAATGCCTTTGATAAATAAGTTATTACGAATGTATTCGTGATAAATTAGTTTATTCATGAATCCAATATAAACATTGACACGGATTAAAGATAGATCCGTCTCTCTATATTCTTTGGATCAGTCTCAATCTGATTTATCGCACATGAGTAACTTAGGGATAAAGGGTGGATTGTGATTGGATGGATTTAGATCTCTGCAGTTACTTTAAAATTGATCGATAGAGTTATTTAAAATGATTAAACTTTCATTTGCATTAACGGGTGTGATTTTTTTAATATTTGGGGGTAGTTTTTACAGCTGGTTAATTGTTTAAAAATTTTAATTCAAAAATAATAATTAAGAAAAAAAATGTATTCTCTGAAGTTTAATCTGAATAGATTGAAATGAAACCTTAGTTTAGTGTAGTTTAAAGTTAATTCCAAAGGTAATGCCGTTCCACGAATTCATTCATTCATGCACACATGTTTTAAAATCATATTATTGTTTTTTGGCTGTTAGGCCGACGTAAGCGAGAAGAATTATTCGAGCAAACGAAGACCTAACATCTCCTGATGATGCCGTCCGCCCGTGATGGCGAAACTTCGAGAACCTCATCTCGCTCACGTCGGGCGAACAGCCCGAAAAACAATGATATGCTGAACGATGCCGTGAAAGCCTTACCCAATTGATCTTTTAAAATGTATTCGAGTGTATATATTAAGTTCTAGCTACTTTAGTTTTAATTAAGATCATTAAACGGAAGCAATATGGAGGATAAGTATAGTAAAGTATAGTGTATATTGACCTTTAAAAGATTTGTCATTAAAAATGTAGAATCAGAGCCAAATAATTGTAATGGCTAGAATTTTTATATAGACGCTGGAAAGGCACAGCGGGGGTGTGTAGACGGTTGCTGCCGGCTGCTCGACATTGCTTGTCACTTGCACCCATTACGACGCTTTTACGACCCACACACTCTCACTTACAAGCTTTGCGCTTAATGCCGCCCGACCTCCAGCTAAGTATTACTTTTTTAGTTCCAACGAAATAGGTCGGCGACCTAATGTATCCGGTCCTGTTGATTCTATTAGCTACTTACACTCTATGCCCATTTAGCAAACTACCCACTTTCAGGGCCAGCGTGGGGTTTTCCTTCTAAAACTTTTTACCCATTTTTATCGAGATATTAACATTGTTAAAGTTGGTTGTTATGTGAATTTTGAGATTTATTTCCATGTGAAAATCTCTGTTTGACGGTCCATTAGTCTTAATCAATGTATTAGTGTTAGTGAAATTACTTCTAAGTAAGCTAATTTTTTACTTACTGACACATTTTTCGCCTCGAAATCCGCACGGTGGTTCTGACAGAGGCACGCGACCGCCGGGCCATTTAATCTCTCGAAGGAGTCGTAATTCCTGTTCAAATTACACTACTAATGTACACAATAGATAAAACGTACAAAAACATTCACTTAAATGACGTGGAAAGTTGAATTACAAAGTTTGGGAAGGCTGGAATTCCACTAGACAAAAGAATGGCTATTTTTATACACTCGGTCCCTTATATTGCATACTCCTGTCGTATTTCTAGAAATTTCATTATACAACACATCTTTAAAGAATCTGATTTCAGAAAGGGGCGGTTACATAAAATAATTTTTGGAAATTGGTTGCATGGTATTCGTCATATGGATTTATAATTACTTTAAATATAGATTATAGTACCCAACTTAACAACCCATATGGAAGGAGGTTTTATATAACAAATAAATATTGGTATTATATAAATTCCCTAGACTAATAATATCTTTTATTCTATAAACCTCGAAATCTTGACTATTTAATTATTTTATATTATATATTGACACTGAAAAAATAATAAAATTAAAAAGTGTGTAGGTAATACAAAATAAAGGCATATAAATAATCGATTTTAAAATCCCTGATGTATATTCATGAAAATCTTGCTATAGATACATAAAATATGACACTTACAGGTGACATTTTGTGAAAGACACCGAGTGGGTAGAGACCAGGAGGCCGCGACAGATCAACCGAAAGAAGAGTGTAGTTGCCTTCAGCATCACCGTTTTCGTCCATATGAACACTATATCTATATTGGTGGAAAAGAAATGAATTATTAGTCATTTATACTTAAGCATAAACAAATGTTCGAAGGCAAATTAACTAAAAATTTCGCAGTAAGAAAAATAGTTAAAGTAATACGAGAAATTTAATACGCAAGAAGTGATATGTACAATTTTTTTTGAGGATTTCGAGGTCACTGTGGTGCTGAAGTAACTAGAAAAGTAATGATAGTAGAAAGTATTTATATTTTTTCTGAAACATGTTGGACTTTGTCTCTGAAATCTGGATATTGAATAGGCGGTAAGAATATAGAAATTCTGTCCGGTTCACGTTCCATCGTCCACGCTTAATCGCGCTTCGGTTTCAGTCTGTGGATTTCCGAATATCCAAAGCCAAAATAGGTCAACAAGCTCGTCTGTCTATCTATCATTAAAAAAATATCAAAACAGAGTTGCTCGAAATTGTTCATATATTTTGTAGAATAATTAGAATTATCAATTCAAATTGGCAAATTGCAAACTCAATGGAATTCGCTTTAGGGCGAGCGGAAGACACAGTTTAACATGATCTGCATTTCAATTACTCGACTGTCGTTACAAAGAAAGAAATTTACGAGTGGCAGACTAATACTAGAACAGTTTAACAGCACAACAACGCTCCAAGAATAGTAATCAGCGTAAATGAATTGCGTGAAATAACCTAAACTAAGTATTTACAGTTCTGTCAATACCGTGTTATGTGTCTTTTAACATGTAAACAAAGAATATTCTCTAAAGAGAAACGGTTTATTGTGAAGCTTATTTTTGTACAGGACAGATATATTACTGTGTCAAGAGTGTGAAAAAATATTGTATTTGTAAGACGAATTGAAACACAAGATAGCGTACGTTAAAATATGATTACCGGGGATCTTAAGGAGATATAATGAGGGCGAGAGGGGCAGGGTAACTCAATTGGTCGAGCAACAGCATGGCGCGTGGTCCAAGGTTCGAGTTCCACGTATAATACACGCTTCTATGTAGAATAAAATTTTCTTTTTCCTAATTCGAAGTAAGGACATTTCAAGTTTTACCATGAAGCTACGATAGTGGAAAACATCTAATAAATTAGGAGCACACTAATTTAATGAACGATTATTATGTATTCAAACGAAACATCGATTGTTCTTTTCTTATTGATAACCTGTCTATTTAAGATGCACGGCGCGACCGTTTTGGCAACTTGACGAATACCTGATACTGGACGCCCGCTGGCACCGGCAGCCTTAGCATGCGGTTCAACAAAATAATAATATGTTTACACACGCATAATTCAAATACAAAAACGTTCAAATTTGATTTACATTTTGTTATACATTAAATAGCGCTGTGGCATTCTTCGTACCTGCCAAGACCTTAAAAGTCTCCTAATTGAATTTCACTAATAATATGTGAGGCGTGTAAAGTAAAAAGTATAGCTTACTTAATTATACTTCACATAGCATTCAAATACATTGAATATTACACTGACCACATTCTATACAAGTTACCTTTCCCACTTTGAGATTTGAACAAGTTGCGGACTTGATAAAACATTGTTAAAAATTAAAAAAGATGTTAGTTAAAGCGTAGGTTGGGTGTAAATCGTAAACAAATATATGTCAGGTTTTAAACTTGCGTAAACTACAGATAGTATTTTATATGTCACGTTTTAAATCGTTAATAGTGTTTAAACTAATGTGTACGACACACTAAGTTAGATTATGGATTCCTAAAATACACGACATGGAAAAATTGTTTTAATAGTAAAATTATTCTTTTTTTTTACTTAAAATAATAATATAATAAAGGTTTGGTACAGCAGTGGACGTGAACTAGCTTTAAATACAAATAAAAAACCTAAGAAAAAGTTAGATGTAAGAAGTGGTCACAAACCGTTATGTTGTATATATCACGTTTCTAGATTAAATTGTGTGTGTTGTGTGTTGTATTAGCTTTAAAAGCGATCAACTTACCCCATGACACTTTTGTACGTTGTATTCCGCATATGAGCTGAAATTGCCCGACCATCACGCGGACCTTCACCAGTCCTCAGAGCTGCGACCAAAGCTCTTGCATATACCCAAACAGCATCATGCAACCATGCTGCTTCTACTGGTATCTAAAAACCGTTACAATATTAAAAAAATATGTTTGTTTGATCATTCCGTTACAATATTTTTTGAAAGTCAATAAACAAGATAGTAAGAAGAAGTTGAAGATAATATTATATCATATTTGAAAACTTTAATATTTTTCAAACCAAAAATATCGCCCGTGTCGTAAAATTTTTTAATTTATAATCGATTTTTAATTTATATCGTAAATATATTTTTTTCTGTTATATTGAATTATTCTTTGTCTCTAGGAGGTCTCCGTTAACATTAAACGTTCTCCGGTAACGGTCTCCGTTAACGTTAAAGGTCTACACCAGATCCTCGGGGTAGGTATGAATCATAATTCCCTCTCTGAATGAGAGAATTGAAAGGAATCATTTTGAGGAATAGAGATAACACTATGGTACCATTTTAATTGGCAATTATTGATTCTTCTATCTACATCTACGACACGTTTTAAAACAATTTATTTTTTTACATTCGTTACTAAAACTGAATTAGTATCAGCTATAAACAGGGCACTGTTTGTAAATTACGGTAATAACCGTTTAATTTAGGTATTTAGGGCATAGTTATCTGTAACAGCTTTCCGGTGTACTTGTGATAACGTGATGGGTGAGTATTTTTAGCGTACTATTAATTAACAGAGTGAAACAATCTTTTTCAAAAACATTTCTTAGTTAAAAAAATTGGGTAAACTTTCACCATTTAGATTCCATTGTTATATTTAAAAATATATTGTGTAAGAAATCTTTCAAGCGGTTCGGCGATTTAGCGAGAAGAGGTTCTTGACGTTACGTCGGCCGAACCCCTTGAAAACATTGTTATATTTTTAATAATATTTAAATAAAAATTTTTTGGTAACGTTAGCCGTTTTACTAACCCGCTTTAAAGAAATATCTATAAGATTTTCTATCTATAGCAATAAAAGGCGATATTATAAAGAGATACTATGCGGCCTTCCCAAATGAATAGGTTGCATAAAAACAATATGCATAACAAGACCTATTAGTTTTGCGAGTAAGAGATATGAATTGAATTCTTGTACTCACAACTTTGCCACCCCCTAGAGCCAGTAGGGGATTAACGAAATTGAACGGAGGCATTTGTAGTCGTCTATTCACTTCCATCGCAAAAGCAGGATACGAAGGTGCGGGTGATGGCGACACGGCAAGATATGAACGAAAAGCCTTGACAGTTCTTGGACTAGGCTCCTTTAGTAAAGGACCTGATAGATATCGTATCGCCTCTTCAGGTTCGTATTTTTCCACGTCTACCCCAATAGCTGCGTATTCACCTAAAACAAATATGATGGGAATTAAGAGTGAATGGAATTGGGAGAAGTGCATGTATAGTTAAAAGAATTCGCCGATGACAAGTAGGACGCGGTAGGTCAATTGGTTAGAGCAACAGCACGGAACGCGGTGGATGTCGGTTCAAGTCCCGCCCGTGTCGTATTTTCTTTTTTTAATTTATAATCGATCTTTCAATGAACTAAGAGTGAAGTCACATTTTCTTCGCGAGAAATGGATCTGTCTTTTTCATATTGATGTCACTAATTATTAAGTAGGCTATTTGAAAAATTAATATTTTTCACATGTCATGCGCGAGAGGTCATGTATCAATAAGTAAAATTCGCGAGGAATGGATGTAGGACTCGGTAGCTCAATTGGTAGAGCAACAGCACTGATAGCTACATGTTTCATGTTGATGTCACTAATTATTTTAAAGTAGGCTATTGTTTCTTCGGGATTCCAATAGAGGTTCTCCATCCCTAATGGCATAAACATCACATTTAACTAGTGAGACGGATTCGAATAGTCGACGGGTGTTTATTTTCCACAAAGTTTTAATATTATGTAAACTTCCGAACTCAGGCTATTAAATCGTTATCATTTTCTCAAACAACAGCTGGTTTCTCGGTAAACAAAAGAGGACGTTAGCTGAATTTAATCAATGTTGTTTAAGTAATTTTTCTCTGCCTTCTTTATAAACAATGAGGAAAAAGTTAGCGTTTTAAATTGTCTTAGCATGTTGAGAGATTTATAAGTTTAAAGAATTGTTACCCCATTTTCAGTAAATGTATTATACACCAGTAGAACACTTTACATAAATAAACTTATTTAACGAGTTGAGATGCCTTTAATCTACTGCGAAATGTCAGATCATAATTAATCAAAGTAGCATTAAATTAACTTTGATTTAATTAGCATTTTAATTCGTTCAGAGTATAGAGTTTAATTATGATTTATGATTTAGCTACAACTTTAATATTGAAACAAAGTACAAATGAGTTAGAAAAGAAATGCTAGCCTTAAAATTAATAAAGACTAGATTTCCCAGATGATGACTAATTTGAAACGAGAATGAAATTTTATGCTACTGCGTCATCGTTAATTTTTTTGTTGTAGCGTGTTTTAAAGTACTCAGCGAGGAAAGCATTTAGAAGGTTATATCTGCGCAGAGGCAATAGTGCTCGTCGCTTTTTACGCCTTGATTTAAAGTGTAAACGAACATTAAAGAGATATCGACATTATATTGCTCAAAAATTTTAGTATGATTAGTTACTTTTCTTTGTACACTATAGCATGATACCGTGCATATCTATGAAGTTTTGCATTTCTCTCGTAAGTGAAGAACTGTTGTCTGTGGTGTGAATATGATTTTAATACAATACCTACGTTAAATACTGTCTATAGTTTACGCGAGTAGTACACATTTATAAAACACTTAAATTAACGGTTTGACGCGATATATTAGTTAAACTTATTTGAAAAATGATTTTTAACTTCGGCCCGACGTTTCGGATGCTTTGCAGCAGCCGTGGTCACGGGGAGAAATAAGTTTAACTAATATATCGCGTCAAACCGTTAAAGTGTTTTAAAATACCTACGTTACAGAATTTGTATTTCTAGCCGATGTATATACGTCGTTCATTCAGTAATTCCAATCAAATCTACGAACACCCAATTTAGTAACACAGAAAAATAACACCTTTTCTCTTTTATTTTGACAACAATAAAAAAAATGTACAATATTTTTGTGTATATATTTTATTGATTACAACTTCGATATCTTTCACTAAACTTATCATCATACATTAAACACAGTATAGTCCGAGATGAATGACCGGTAACTGGAAAATCTTTAAACCCGCGGTGAGATACGGAAACTTTGTGGGCTAATCTGCAGTTTTATTGAGGTATATAAACGCGAGATATGTTGGATGTGAAAATAGTTTATCCAAAACCCCAGAGATGATCGTAGTGTGACGTCATGAATGATAGTGCTGATAGAGCGTTTTATAAATATTTATTAAAATTTTCGGTCAATAATATACTACATATAATATGGCTTTAAGCTTGTTATAGAATATGTAAAATGATGCTAAGCATCAATGCGAACAGAAATATTAGGTTAGGTATGTGATCTGGTCAAAGAAAATCCCTCCTTTTTTAACTAGGTTCTAAGATACAGAAAAGACAGACACATAACTCTAAGCCGTAGCTGTTTGGTTAAGAAAGGACGAAACAAAGCGACTAGGTATCACTCACTTACTTCGGAGTCTTTACATAAAAAGGTTGTTATGTTAAGTATTGCCTATACTATATAAAACTCAGTAAACAATAATTAATAATTAAATAATAATTTTAACGGTGTAAAATAAGAAATATATTAACTTCGACAGCTTTAAACGTAAAACGGAAAATTTTATCAACATAATTATAGAATTATGTTGATAAAATTTTCCGTTGATAGTCCACTGACTAGTTATGGTCTATGTTAATAAAAATATTATTATATTATAATTAAGGGTTGCTTGGAAGAGATTGCTCTTATAGCAATAAGTCCGCCCATTGCACTCCATAACTTGTAAGAATAATGTATCTTTATAGATTGTATAATTAAGAATATTTTTTAAGTAAATTATACTAGACGGTGGTTGCAATATTAATAAATAACTTAATGTATATAAATTACTATTTATATATCTAAACCTAGTTTATTTGTAACTCGTTCTTAGATCATATTAAAAATAAAAACAATTCTTTACCATAACTACTTTATAACAATTTCTTACCTGTATCTAACAACTTCATGCTGTCTAAAGCTAACATCAGACCGATGTGATCATGATAGTAACCGATGGACACGTAAACTGCAAAAAAAACATTAGAATTTCTTTAACTATCGTCTTTTTCTCGAAAACAAGGCATTAAGAGCATCAGCACTGTTGGCTATTGGTTATATATTCTATATATAACGAATATATATTTTTTTTTTATTTGAGTTCGAGACACGCCTGTGTTATCGAATTTATTCAAACATAGGTTTTTAATTTATTATATAAATGCTATTGACCGGGCAATCGAAATTTGGTTACTTTAAAAACGGTTCTTGTGAGTTTGTCTTAAAAGATAGATATATATTGTCGCGGAAATTATGTTTTCACATTTTCTTCGCTCCTATTGGTCACAGGCTCATGATGAAATTTTCATTTTAGCCTAAGGCCTTCGTCGATAAATGGTTCAACCAACACAGTTAGTATGTTTCAATTTGAGCCAGTAGTTTCTGAGATTAGCGCGCAAAGAAACAAACAAACTCTTCGGTTATAAAATATGTATAAGTATAGATATTTCAAAGTATTACTTACTCCTTGTATCTTTGTAAGTCTCTCGAACTATATCCAAGAAGGGGTTCCTTGAAAAGTTTTCCCGCCTGTTTTCATAGTAATAAGGTTGACGATATACTTGCACTGTTCGTATCGATATTTTCTTCTCGTTTGCTGCCGTTATTATTGCGTATGCCAGACG